TCCCGCGGGCGAGCGACTTCAAGCCCGGCTTGGTCGCCCGGCGCTTCGTCGTGCAGCCCGGCTGCACGACAGCATGCACGTTTTTCCGGTGCGGGACGTTTGCAACCGTCCGCACCGCTTGCAGCGTCGGCTCCCGGAGCCGACACGCCATCTTCACCTCGACGCCTGTTATTGGCGGAGACCCCCATTACATAGGGTGCGTCGGCTCCCCGAGCCGACGAATCAAATTCACCCAAGCCATCGACTCCCGGAGTCGACGGCGCCTCGTCACCTTGGCTCTTATTATTGGCCAGACCTGATCCAATCAGATTGGCGTCAGCGTCCACGGCTGAGGCGTGTGACTCGCCTGCGTCATCCGTGCCCCTTGAGGTCGGAGACTCTTCCTAATTCGCTGAAAAGCGGGTGTCGATCTCCGAGATCAACACATTTTCTCCTTTAGCCGTCGGCGGCGACGCCGACGCTTGCTGCTCTTGCGCGTGTGCTCGCGCGCGCCCAGGGCGCCCCGGGACAGCGGCATTAGGCGCTGCTTGAGTGGGGTGTCGCGCGCACCTGTCGGTGCGTGCGTAGCGGCAACAGGGCCATCGCTCACTGTTCCGCTGTCGCGACCGAAGCGCACTCTCGTGCGCTTCTCCCAATCGATGACCGGATCATGCCGTGCAAGCCACGGCATGCCCAATACAATGTCAAACTTATCGTCCAGATCCAGGACGATAAAGTTCTCGACAAACTCTTGATCTTCATACGTGAAGCGCACGCGTACCATGCGCTTCTCGGTCTTCACGACGGCACCCGTTGCCAGTCGTACTTCCAACATACTTCGAGGTATCTTTAAATCCTCGAAGTCAAGCCTTGATAGAGTTCGCAGTCGAACAAAGTTCTTCGACGCGCCAGAATCTACCAAAGCACGGAGAGAGCCGCTTGCTCTCATCGAGTTCACATTCAGGATGACAAGGTCAGGCTTGTCATCTTGGTTCTTGCAGTGAGAATGAACCTCACTGGGGGCTGCAGTCCTCAGTGTCGCGTGTCCAAGGTCGACACGCGGAACTGCATTACCAGTAGGGCGCCCCGCGCCTACTGGCGTCCAGCGTTTTTTGTTTGGTTGCGACGGTGCCCGGCACCGCCGCGATAGCCACCCTGCTGGTGCACGGGGGCCGTGCACTCCCGAGCAAAGTGACCGATTCTACCGCATCGGTAGCATCGCACATGGTTTCCTTGCGACTGCTGGGGTCCAGCAGTTGCAGCGCTCGAGAGGTCCATGGGTTCTGGGCCTCCCGTCCTCACTATCGGGCGAGGCTGTGGCCTCGGCGCATGTGCATGCAGCTTAGCCTGCCGCAGGCTAAACTCCTCCTGCATTGCAAGAGTGATTGTAGCTTCGAGAGTACTCGGGTACTCACGGAATAAATAGGTCTTCACATGCCCATCTCTCAGTCCCTTCATGAACGTGACGACCTTGGTCGCCTCGTCGATCGGATTGGTCACGATGTTCGAGACCAAGTACCGTGCTCTCTGAGCGTAAGCATGGACATCATGCTTGCCCTGCTGCAGGTCGAGGAACTCCGCCCTCGACCGGAACTCATTTTGCGGGGGCTCAAACGCTTGTCTGAGCTCCTCCTTGAAACCCTCATACGTGCTGAAGCACGTAGGATCAAAGAGTACGCCCAACTTCTCGCTCGTCCGCCAAGACATGACATGGCGAACGCGACCTTCGACAACGGGTCGACGATGCGTCGAGCCGCAATGGCAGTGTCAAGTTCGACAAGCCAACGGAGGAGAGGCTCGCCCTCTCTTCCAACGTAATTGCTCACGCTGAGCTTCAGCGATTGCGCGCGCGGTGTCGTCCCCGACGACACCGTGGTAGACGAAGCAGCACCTCGCTGCTCCTTCATGATGAATCCCAGAGCAACACCGTGTTGCTCCGTCGGCGATAGTGTGCGCAGCATTGCAGCTACAGCCGCTTCTCCAATGACTGTTGACAGTCGTTGGAGTGCCTCCCACTCTGGATCCGACAGGTGGAGGCAGTCAGCGCGTGCAACATGTATTGCAGGCGAAGTGGAGCTTTCCATGGGCACCTCCGCGCTCATGAAAAGGTTCTCGGCTCATCGTTCGTACAGCTCCGTACGAACGTTCAGGTAGTCGGTCGTTGGACGGACTACAAAGTGCTACCAGGTGTAGTGGGCCTACCTTGGCTCACTACTACGGCTTACACGTATGCGCACGTGTATGAGGAAGCGTAGGTTTCTTTTACTTGAGTTAAGTATACTCGAGATCCACGAGTATACTTTAAACAAGATAAAGACTCCAAGTAGCGGGTTTTGGGAAAAGATGAGAACTGCTATTTTTGTTTTATGTTTCTGACTTCCTCTAAATGTAATATTCTAAGATAGGAATCTGCCAACGGCTGGTTGGCAGGATTCTGCTAACATGCAAATCACTCATTGGCTAAAAGATGCTGCTTTCAGCCAGAGGAATCCTAACTGTGTATAGACCACCCGTCGTGGTGGTCGTAAATGTATGTAGACATTGGTGTACCTTACACCAAGGTCGAGGAAGTGTTCAAACCTCTAACAGACATCGCATCTGTTAGAGTAACAAGTGATTGTAGTCACTTGTGCGTGTAACCCCGTTACATCAAGGTAAATTCCAAGCGAAAGGTGGAATTCCAGGAGTGGTGGGCGCGATAGACGGCTCTCTAGTGGAGATTAACAGGCCCGAGGACTTTGAGGGATACTATTGTCGAAAGATGTTCCCAGCGCTAAATGTGCAGGCTGTTGTTGACGACAAAATGCGCTTTACTAGCGTGGAGATTCGGCCGGGCTCGTGGTCTGACCAAAAAACATGGCGTGCGTCTACTTTAGGCTCCAACTTCAAAGACGTTTTGCTAGCGGGGACCCACTTTTAGGAGATGCAGGATATGCTATTAGTCCGGCTATCATGGCGCCGTTCATGGAAAACGATGGAGCCGGTTTGACACGCAAGCAGCTACGTTACAATTATCTGCATTCCCGAACTAGGATGACAGTCGAGTGTGCTTTTGGACTCTGGAAAGGTCGCTTCAGAATTGTTAACTGCTGCATTAACACCAAATGCGTCGAGAAGGCTGTGGATATTGTGGCTGCAACGATGGTTCTCCACAATATTTTGTTGGGTTTGAAGGATGACACTTCTTTCGAAGATGAAGATGACGCGCGGGTGAACTTCGATGAAGAGGAAGATTTTGTTCTAACTGGAAACAACTCTGAGATGACTGCAAGCTTTCTAAGAGATGTTGGTTCGAGAAACGTGAGTCCATTTTGGCCTTTACCGAAGCTTTTGAGCTAGTCTAGAAAACGTGTGTAGCTAGATTTTAATGGTCGCGGCGAATCAAATCCAGTAGCTCTCGAATCGTTTCATTCTGCACTCGAAGTCGCTCGCTCTGAGCTTGCATTTCCGACAAGAGTTGCTCGGTTTGGGCATGAGCCCGCTCACTTTGCTCGCGGAACAGCTCGGTCTGTTGCTGCACAGCAGCTGCAATGTCTTCGGCACTCCCATTTCGGACTGTAGCAAGTCCTTGGCCCAAAGCTTCTAGCCCTTCGCTAAACCCTTTAGCAACCGCACTCAAACCCGCCTCCACACACTCCCCCTGGGTGCGCTTCTGTCGCTTATTAGACGACCCCGTGGAGCCAGACATGGTGCGGGGCGTTGGAGATTGAGGAGGGGGAGGCGAGGCAGGCGTGGCGAAGGCAGCGACGTCGGCGCTCGCAGCGTCACCAGCAGCAGCAATTGTGTCCGGGTCCTCCGTGCTAAGATGCGGTCGGTTGTTCATCCCCGTCGCATCACCCCAGTAGTCTTTCATGATGGAGTAGTGATTTGGGCGCCACACGGGTCCGTCGTTGCCAGTTCGACCTTCTGCTTCCCGCACAGACGCCCACTTTTGCTTCATCTTCTTCATCTTTAAAAACTATTCACCGCACATCATGATTAATAACTTAGTAGTGGCTCATTCCGATAGATATTTTCACATTGTAGATATTTACCTTAGATTGACACTGCTGGTCAGTGAACACTTTGCTCTGGTTAACAGAGAGTGTTGATGATAAGACGGCCCACGCATATTTGATGCGCTTGGTGTCCTTCGTGTTCTTGAAGTTGTCAGCTAACTCTGCGTAACGGAGGCGAAAGACCTCGCTCACATCATCATCGCTCCATGATGCAGCTGGCCTGGTCGAAGCTCCTCGTCCTCCACGACCACCGCGACCTGCCCCGCGACCACCACGGCCTCCACCATGCGGGGGTGCCCTCTCGACGCCGCTCCCGTTGGTGTCCGTGCCGCTTACGCTTCTCCCAGCAGCGTCTTCAGCTTCAGCGCCGCCCACAGGTGGAGCAGTAAGGGTGCCTTCCATGGCTGCGAGTTCTCGAGTGTGATGGTGCTGAGTCGAGCAGCTTGACACACCAAAACTAAGACGGTCTCCAGCCAACCGACCACATCGGCTCAGTTCACCTTAGGGGTAGGCTTACCGGAGACGAGCGAGACTGAGACGATCATTCCCCGACCAGGCTCTTATTGCATTCACAAGGGTTATATTGCATTTATTGAAAAATGAAATGTCCGGGTTACTCGGTCCCTAGTTCGTAGCACCCGAAGTGCTCACTACGTCTAGCCTTATGTCGTCCACTTGCTATTCTGCTGAAGCTTCACGCTACCGCTGTTGTGTCGAAGATATGCATTAGTTGGGAACAATGTTGTGCCCCATTTGGAAAGAGAAATTGATCGTCCTGGCAAGAGCTTCAACTTCCAGGACAGTCACCTCATCTTGATCCTCGTACGCGATCTCCCAGAACCGCTTTCCACCACGACTGAAGGGGGGGTTAATTTTGCCAATATAGGTCCGCTGGGACTCCTCGCCATCCGCCTCGGTCACTGTCTTTTCGCTTAGCACGCTCCAGTTGATAACACTTGCTGGCTTGTCCACAAGTCGTTTCATCAGGGCATCGACGGAGTATTGGGATGTTCTCACACCATCTCACTGGAGGCATTTGCTTTTCTTGCGCGGTCTACCGGGAGGCCTGCGAGTTGGGAGCCCACGAAGCATCACCGTCAAATCAAGATTGTCAACGAGGTGAAGGCATGCTAGTACATGAGCACACAGCCACCTCGTCTGGTAGAAATCTTTGCAGTCACACTTGAATTTTTTTCTGATGGTGTTGATCTCCTCCAGGGACCACAACGGAGAGTTCCAGTCGTGCTCATACGGAAGTCGATCCAACACCGCCACCTTGTGCAGTGAGAGGTATCGAAACTGGACATTCTCCACAATTTCATCATCCTTGAGGGATCCGCTGACCGATCTCTCATAGGTCTTTGTTCGGCTCGCGTTCACCTTCAATCCATGCACATTGTCGTCCCGGACGATGTAGTATCTCTGGTTGAAGTAATACGCCTGGATGTTGCGGATTGCTCTGCGCGACTTGCGTTTGTGAGTCGGGATGTAACGGGGTTACACGCAAAAGTGGCTACAGTCACTTGTTACTCTAACAGATGCGATGTCTGTTAGAGGTTTGAACACTTCCTCGACCTTGGTGTAAGGTACACCAATGTCTACATACATTTAAGACCACCACGACGGGTGGTCTATACACAGTTAGGATTCCTATTGGCTGAAAGCAGTATCTTTTAGCCAATGAGTGACTTGCATGTTAGCAGAATCCTGCCAACCAGCCGTTGGCAGGTTCCTAGTTTAGAATATTACATTTAGAGGAAGTCAGAAACATAAAACAAAAATAGCAGTTCTCATTTTGACCCAAAAACATTATTTGGATCATTTATTTAGATTAATCTATACTCGGAGGTCCGAGTATAGATTAACTCTAGTCTAAACTAAGCTACGCTTCCTCGTACACGTGCGCACACGTGTAAGCTAAAGTAGTGAGCCAAAGTAGGCCCATTACACGGGAAGTGGTTGTCGTCGTTGCAGAGGAGTACACCAGCTTCTAGAACCTCTGCGGAAACTGGCCCAGCGGCAAAGTGCTGGATAGGCTCCGACCCAATTTCCATCGCGCACTCGACCAGGATTGTCGTTAGAGTCAACGCAAGCACATGCCCTGTTGAAGCCCGCAGCTGATTCACTGCAGTAGTCTTGATGCTGTGGTGGTGCGATTCAATCGGATTCTGGTTCGGAACAATACCTGGAACGTCGCTGGCCGTATAGAACCACAGGTCCCACGGCTCTGTAAGCTATTCCGTGTCCAGCCACGCCGCATACGCGCCTTCACCAAGGTCGTCCAAATTCTAAGTAAGGGGTGCGGAAATCGCCTCGAATTGCTGCTTCGAGCGCGATTGACTCAAATAATCGTGCTGGGTCTTGTTGATGTCGTTGTAGCGGTCGCGCTCTGCAAGCAACCCTTTCTTCTTCCGAGCATTCCGGTCGAGATGGGGCCAGCAGTCGAGAAGCTTGATCTCTGACCAGACTGTCTGGAAAGCGTTCGCAATTGAAGTGGAGCGGTCCAATGAGCCAAACCGTAGATCCAGTGCCACGCCGAAAAATTCTTGGCACCGTTGCTTCCATACGGAAAACAGCTTCGTATACGCAAAGGCGGTCTCCGTCCTGACGAACATAAATGCCATCGGGTAAATCTTCTGTTGATACGCATGCGAAGCGGTGTAACGAAGTCCGAATGTGCCAAAAGACACAAGCGGCCAACCACCGAAGTGAAGCTTGTATGTTCCATCTGTGACCCCGAACATCTCGCCATTTTGACTTGCCACTGTTCTGGGAGCTGTTCGAAAAAGCCTTCGCGAAGTGAAGATGATTCCGACCGAGGTGTCACCACTGTCGATTGTGTCGGTGAAGCAGTCCAGCACTATGAGCTCATTTTGAAACTCAAAGGGTTGGCGAGCGATGCGCCGAGCGTCCCGCTCGCGATTGTAGCGCATATGACCGAAAAATGCTGCTGGGGTTGTGCAGAGTCTTGGCGTCGCCCAAACCATGACATCAGCGTAGGTGGTAATGTCCAAATCCCCCCGTCTTCGCAGTAGTTGTGCTCTGTTTTTGACTTGGGAAGCTGATGGCAGCAAGGCGAGAACTTCTTCGGAGTGATCGTACTTCATGCGTAGGGTGTTCAAACACTTTTTGGGACCTTGGCCTCCCAGCAGCAAACCGTCGATCTCCGGAAGTAATGGCTTGTAAATCCCCGTCCGCTGCGTCTCAATCGGTGCCACAACTGCCGTATGTATACCACTACGCGACAACGGAAACTTGCCGCCGGGATCCAGAGTGATGCTTCACACCTAGGTGCAAAATATGTGATAGCGGCTTCTGTACTTAAATCACCTAGATAAAATAGATATGATAGCGACTTCTATACTTAAACCTGCCACGAACCTTGTCCGAACCTTTAAAAAAAAGGCCAGAAATGCTGTAAATGACGCTATGTTAAAGTTCCAGAAACTTGCTTCGATCCTGCCCTTCTAATTGTTTCGGTACGGCACCGAACAGTAACCCTACAAGCCCTGAACCGAAAAATTTATGCAATGCATGTAACAGCCATTTCGAATGTACAGAATGAAATAAATCCATCAGAAATGCAATGTAGCTGTCGAGAATGCAATTTATCCCCACTAAATGGAAAGTAGCCGGTGAGAGAAAGAAAAAAAAGTTTTTTCATCACGGGCTTGACCTTCCCATCCTCGATGCGCTCCGTGATCGCATTCAGAGAAGCCTTGTTGTTGGGGCTAATGAAGCCAACGTGCTGCGCCCCGAACTCCGAGTCCTTAACAGGCTGTGCCATTGGCAGGATCGTGATGAAACGGCCCGTGTTCTTCTTGAGCACCACCTATGCCCCGTCGTTCCAAGCCGAGGGCTCCACCCAGCAATCGAAAACCGCATCAACAGAGTGCGGCGGCAACACGTCCACCCACTTCTCCTCGGTGTAGTCGACGACTTGATCAGCGCCGAGAGACTTGATGAGCTCAACGTTACGTGAACTCGTCGTCGCGATGACCCGAGCCCCGATGTCGTGCTGAATGACAAACATCCCGACTGAGCTGCTGCCGCCCAATACGAGGATAGTGTCTCCTCGTTGAAGCTTAGCGTGCTCCGTCACCCCGGCATACGCTGTAATCGCCACCGAGGGCACCGCAGCGGCCTCGTTGAAGTTCAGATTCTTGGGCTTCGCCGCTGCGACGTCCTCGTCCAAGACCCAGTATTCCGACAGGCTACCGATGGTGGCACCCGTCGCGGACGCATAGACTGCGTCGCCCACCTTGAACCGCTTGACGTCGCTGCCGACCTCGACCACTTCACCGGCGGCGTCATGGCCGATGGCGAAGGGCTGCTCAGGGGACGGAGCTCGGCCCAGCATCATTTGGCCCATGACTTCCACCAGCTTGTAGTCCAGAGGGTTCACCGAAGCGCTGTGCACCTTGACGCGGACTTGGTTCGAAGCGAGGGCCTTCTGCGGCAGGTCGGAGCGGAGCTTGAGCTCGTCCTCGATCGGGCCGTAGTGGTCGTACTGGTACGCGCGGTAGGTCTGCGGGAAAACCATGGGGAGGAGTGGAGTTTGTACTGAAGTGCTTGTCGGCTTGAAGGCGAATTGCAAAGTGAGAAGACGAGTCTCCGAACTCCTGAAAGCAGCAAGACAAGGTGCTCGGGCCCAATCCGATTAGCTAGACGTGATGACCAGGGTTCGGTAGTAGTCTCCAGAATAGTAGCGATAGTAGTACTAATATCACTACTATTACTATAGTAGTGCTATAGCAGTGGGGTCTGGGCCTCATAGTAGTGATAAAACTATAGTAGCGAGAAAAGAGGTCACTAGTAATGATAATAATTGTGCTAATATCACTACTAATTCCCCGAACTTCAACCCACGTAAGATCTTCAAAAGGCGCGCAAATTGGTGGTTCTCCGACCCCCCCCCCCCCCGCGCTTCGAGCTCTTTCGCTCATTTCTCGATTCTCAGGTAAAGCCAGACTGATGAAGTGTGCTAATATAGACTGACATTGGGGGAATCTAGAGGAGACTTCGCCGTGCAGTGTGTGTGGTCGGCCCGTGCATCACTTGTGCAGCAATGAACTCTGCACCAAGCCCGACGTCGACCTCGCGAAAAGGTAGCGCTACCATTAGTGGTCTTTGCACATAACTTTTGCTTACTGATGCTCTACATGCAGGTTCTGCAGCCACGCTTGCGTGAGCAGGTTCTTCAATACGGACAGCGACTCCCAGGAGTTCACGCCAAGCAGCCAATCCGGCATATCGTGTTCCAGCAACGCCACTGTGATCGACCTCGCCCAACATGACGCCGAAGAAAAAGAAGAGCCCGTTAACAGTATCCCCGATCATGTCGTCTACAAGCCGCCAGCAAACTCGACCGACCCGGTGTGGGAGCTGATCCACCGCTTGGATACACCTTCCATCTACGAGGCCAAGACGTACACGCATATTTGTCTGCTTTGCGTGCAGACGAAGACGTGGCAGGACTCACTCTGCCGCGCTGGCAACGCATCGAACGCTAAGACCCATCTAGTGTCCATTCATAAGGACCATGAGTTGGCTATCCAAGAGCAGCGGCGCCGGCTAACCCGTGCAGACCGCTACATGGTGCAGGTGGGGCCCAAAAATGAAACCAAGCGGGAAGTTTCTCCAAAAGCAAGATCACAAGCAGATCACCCCCTAAAGCGCCAGAAAACGTTGTGGTCAACTTCGGGGAGCAGATAACGGGCCATATAGCACGGTGGCTGATTCATGATGGTGCGTTTTTAAAAACTTTTATGACTTTGAAAGCTGCTAAATCTCATTATTGCTATGTGTATCTGTGCCTAGGGCATGCGCACAACATGGTGACGACTGCTGCTTTTCATGAAATGCTCGTCGGCATTACGGGCAACCCGAATGTCACTGTACCCCCCACCAAGATGTATAACGACATTTTGGACAACCATTTCGAGAAGTTTACAGCGGACGCAGCTGAGATGTTCATCGAAGAGTTTCAAGAGCTGGATGAAACGTCATGACGGTGGAGCACGACCTATGGACAAACAGCGCAAAGAATAACATTGTTGGAGTTCAGGCAGTTATATCAACCACCAGTGGCGACCTGTACGCCTTGCTCTCCTTGCTCACGTGAAGAACGATGGACATGATTCCAAAGAAGTGGGCAAACTGATGAATAATCAACTGAAGACACGCTACGGTCTGGATGTGAACAAAATGGCTCGCTTCACGATATCGGACACTGCTCCAGGCGCGCGAAAAATATCGAGGCAATTCGACTCGACCCTGCAGACGGACTGTGCGATGCACGCACTCAATCTCTGTATTGGCTATGGCATCGGGTTGAAGGAGAATGTGCGCAACGAGTACAAGAAAGACCCAAAGTCGGAGGCGTACGTCAAGACGCGGACTGTTGTGACAAAAGGTGGGGCATTCCCAGAAGGTGGCAAGGTGATTCGAAAACTACGTGCTCTAAACAACTTCTTTGCTTCGAGCAAGTCCCCGGAGCGTGTCGCCCGCCTCAAGGACGTCCAAAAATTTCACAAGCTACCCCAGCTAGCAGCTTTGGTGGACATCGACGTTCGCGTGGCGTCCACGATTAAGTTGTTTCAGCGTTTGATCATCAACTTTTCTGCGTTCCAGGCATTTTTCCTGAGCGCAAACGTGGCCAAGGACGAGAAGCATGTCTTCAACCGAATCACCGACGCAGAATGGGCGTTAGTGATTCAAATGGAGGCGATCATGCAGCGCGTGGCAGAGTTAGCACTCGTGGAGGCTCAGTCGGCGTCCATGCTTTCTTCGACTATGTATGTGCTGCTGCGTGTGGCTTCCGCTCGCATGAACTCGTACAAGTTCTCAGCCTACTGTCTAAATGGTGCTCGTGACACGGGGACGAATGAGAAAAACTTCCCGCGGGTCCAGCTAACGTTGCCCGATTTATCGGAGCTCGCTCAGCGATGCATCACGCGAACGCTTCACCAAATTGCTGAGCGTCTCCCACAGCCGTCCGTGCCTATGGGTGTGGCCTTGCTACTCGATCCACGCACGAAGTCATCTGCCAAACAATTCCTTCGCATTCCTGACACAGCGGAGGCTGCCACAGACAAGATATTGGAGGATGCGAAGGAGCTAATGCGCGTCGAGCACCGGGTTTTCTTCAAGGGTCTGCATGCACGTGACAAGGAAAACGTCCACGACGCAGCGTCTGCATCAAACTCCCCACCAAGAGAGGCTAACAGTGGTTCAGACACTGAGGCTGACTTGCTGTATGGTGAAGAGGTATCTCAGCCGTCTGAGGAGGCCAGTGCTGATGCCATGATCAACTCCAAGGCGGATGCGTTGCTAGACCAGTGGTTTGACCTTCGAGTCGATTGGGCTGAGGTGGCTAAAAGGCAGTATCCCGCCGAAGACGAGTACGATACCGTGCTGGCTAAGCTGAGCGTGCGCGACAAAAAACGAGGTGTTCGTGTGTGGAATGTTGAGCAAGTATGCAACAACATTGACGTCTGCAGCTGGTTTCTCGAGGCTGGGCAGAAGGAGTTCCCGTCAGTTGCAAAACTGGCACGCGTCTGGCTGGGACGGGGCTGCTCAACTGCGTTCCAAGAACGCGTGTTCTCTACAGGCTCCTTTGTGATGAGTCCACCAAGAACGCGGACTGCCAACGAGCGAGCACAAAGGCAGCTGATACTGCGCCACAATCGTCTCGAGCTCGCGCGCATGGAGGAAAGTAAGCGGCAGATCTGGTAAGCTCCGACAGTCTGGATAGTAGTGCTATAGTAGTGATATTAGTAGTGATAACTACTAATTTCGTTTCTTCACTACTAGTAGTAGTAGTAGTGATAGTGACTCACAGTCGAATAATAGTAGTAGTATCACTACTAGCCAGAATTCTCACTACTACCAAACCCTGGTGATGACGTACAGCGAAGTTTGGCAAGTTGGGACGATCAGTCAGTGTGGAAATGTAGCCATTTTCTCGAAGTGCTGGAGGGATGTGGCGGACAAGCTAGGCAGCTACATGAAGGACCTTCACTACAAGGCAGCTTCTCATTTGTGTGGCACAGACTGTGCCACAACACAGATACCGGTGCCCGCACTTTCAACAGCGTCCATGGCACGTGCATGTGCGTCGTGTTCAACGACCAGCTGGACACGCTCGACACGCTGGCCCACTTCCAGTTCCGACAGAGACCATAGGCGAAGTGTGAGGTGGCGGGCACGGCCATGGTGGTGTGCTCTGAGGTCTAAGGGAGCACTAGTCGCACCTGGACGCTGCTGCCGCCTCTATTTCAAACTGCGCAGCGAAGACGTATTCCTTCCCCCCGCTGCGGCGACGCGGCCTGTAACATTCCGCGCTTCATCTGTGCGGGCTCACTATCGGTCTACAGTGAGCCGCGTAGTGCAGTTGTAGTTTGTATTCGGGTTGCAGCGAGCATTGCCTCCTCGCCAACAAGAGGCGCCAGGGGCCATGAAGTGTAGCCATTCCTGGAGGGATCCGCCTGATTTACTTCAACTTGCCAACACAGCCAGCCAATCAGCGATCAGAACGCCATCTTGGGGTATCCGAGTAGTACGTAGGCGCGCCTTCTCTTTCAACACCCCCAAACAACGGAATCGCACACACAAGTGCAAGAATGGTGAAGCTTGCAAGACGCCGCGCAATGCCGCACCGCCACGTGCCGGAGCCCAAGGAGCCCTCGCCCTTCTTTGAGCGCCTGCGCTCGGAGCTCAAGTTCAAGGCGCGGCACCGCGTGGCCGAGGCGGTGGACGCCGTGTGCGCCGCCTTCGAGGACGAATTGACGCAATTGACGAAACCATTGCTTCCGATGGACTACAGCTACGAGCTGTTCTACGACTGCTGCAGCCGCCTGGCGCGCTTCATCGACAGCAACTTGAGCACGACGCCCGGGTTCCTGGTGGAGATGGACCGCCTCATCTTCGCGTGCCACAGCGGGGACTCGGGCGACGATGGACTTGGAGATCCGACGGGGACAGGAGAGTGAGGCTGACGAGGCAATGGTGGAGGGGGATAGTGGCCAACCGGCGGCTTCTCCGAGCGATATTGGAGCTGCGAAAAGAACGGAGGAAGTTGCTGCTGGCGGTGGCGATGAGAACGGAGTGAAAAACGTTGGAGATGCAACTGATGGTGACGATGAGGACGATACGTCTTCGAATAAGTCTGCAACGGTTGACGACACGTCAAGGGAGTGGGGGACAAGGAAGCGGCTGTCGACGAGAAGCCAATCGTCGATGAAGCAAGGCAAAACAAAGCGATTGAAGAGGTGGGTGGAGCGTGGAGAGGATGAACGTGAAGAAAAGAAGAAGGAGAAGCGAGAAGGTGAAGGCAAGAGTTCGGGGTGCGCGCAGGATGAGCATAAGAAGCAAGCAGATGCTGTCATGCAAGATGCTGGCGACGAACCAGCTCGCAATCAAGACCAAGAAGAGCTGGATGAACGCAAGGAGCAAGCCGATGCTGGCGAGCAAGATGCTGGCGACGAACAAGCTCGCAATCAAGGCAGAGGCGAAGAAGATTTCCGGCGCGGAAAAGAACTGCTCGCGTTATATCGCGACAAAGGACAGCTGCAAAGGCCACGTCCAAGCGGGGGAAGCGGGTTCATCGAAGTGATGCTGGAGATGCAACGGGAAATGACCAGAGCACTACTGGTGGTGGTGGTGGTGGTAATGAAACTATGGCCAGCCCGGACAAGCACGTTGGTGAGACTACCAGGCGTGAAGAAGCTTGTGGAACTGTGTCGGTGCCGAGGAAACGGTGGAACCTGAGGAGTGCGCCAATGCTTACCACCGAATCGTGTGGCTCTAAACAGAAAGACGAAGATGGGGACGCATGCTCGCAAGTTCGCAAGGATGCACAAGCTCCCGTCGCGAAAGAAGTCTCAGAAAAGAGCGCTACACCCAAATCGACACAGGATGCCGATATTGGCGACGAACATTCTTTTGAGGCTGAATCTGGTACAACACCCGAGTCGGAACAAGAGGACACTGCTGATAATAAGCACCAGGCATTGAACTCGTCAGTTCACACCGACTTGACTACCAAACCGAGCTGCTTAGATGGCGTCGACGGTGACGAAGAGGACACGACTAGCAATGGGAGTGAGGCTGAAGTGACCCAAAAGCATGGCAACACTGACAACGTTCGGAAGGAGGGCAAGCTCAATATCGTGGGCGACTTTGAAGGGGTGCCAGCTGAAGAGGACACGACTGGCAATGGGAGTGAGACTGAAGTGATCCAAAACCATGACAACTCTGACAACGTTCACAAACTCAGTATCATGGACGACTTTGAAACGGTGCAAGCTGAAGAACCGGAGAGTCTTGGTATTATTGACGTGGAAATGGAGAACGCGAGTGTTGTCGACCTGACGGGCGAAACGCAACCGATAGATGAACCAGAGACGGATCAAGGCCGAGAAAGTAACACCATTACGGTTGAAGGGAGTACAGTAGCTACTGATGCTCGTGACAAGCCAACAAACCCCGAAGACCAAGAAGTTGTTTATGCTGATGTCATGGATTCATCAGACGAACCCCCCGTTCCTGGGTTTTGCGATGCGGGAATGCGACCAGAAAATGAAGTCCGTCATTTCCAAGACTGCCTACAAAAGGCGATCCAGTTCATAGATGCAGTTCTGTGCAAGCCACCGCGCGGTAAATCGTGTGTCAGAGGTTGCAAGAACATTCGTGAGCGGCAGTGCATAATGGGCGAACCGTGTCACGACGATCTTTGCAGTAATTGGCACAGCGCAGAAGCGCACAGGGCGCGCTGCACGAACCCGCTGTGTGAGTTTCGGGATCGCATCTCGCTTCGCGAAATCATGCACCAAATCGCAAACCTGGACGAATATTCTCAGGCGATGCAGGCGCAATGGCAGAAGAAAACATTGGAGCTTATCATGGCAACGGATGACGAGTCCACACAGCTGAACGAGGACATGAAACTGCTTCTGCGAAGCATTGACGAAGCGAAGGAGGAAATGGAGTTCCTCAAGGACAGCAAAAGAGTACTACAGGCCAACTTGAGCGCAATTGGGATCATGCCTGGAGACGACATAGCTGACCGCTTCCCTGACGTTGAGTCACACTACATATGAGCAAGCGTCGGGGCTCGAAAACTTGTTCGTGTTGACTCTGCATACGATGACACTTTAGCTCGGCAAAATGAGTCGGGTATCTACTCGTAGTTGGACCCCACAAGCGTGTCATTTTTTCCCCTGAACTAAGTCCGTTGCCTACCAGAATAATAGTAGATGGTTGCCTTAACTCCCACATCCCGAAGATTGCGAGCTATCAAGCGTTCAACAGCATACCAATTGAAGTTTGGGGTACCATATCCGATTCGGGGTAGATGAACGGTGGCGTCTAGCTCCAATGCACGATGCGCTAGCGCCTGCAGCGCAGTCTCAAGCGCATTCAGGCGGAACGTCGAAGACTTTCCCTGACGAACGAGCTGGCCATTTCCCACGCGCTGTTTCTTCTTCGCGACGAAGCCCTGTACAACCAGCAGGCAGACATATCCCTCAATGGGTAGCTGATTGGTAGCTTGGGGTGGTAATCGAATCAAATGCGCACTGCCAAGCTTGAGATCTCCGTTGCGTCCTGCCTCCTCATATTGGTTTTGTATCGAGGGTGATAGTGTTGACAGGCTGCGAAAGAACCCACGAGAGCACCACACACCACTGTTGTCCACGCAGTGAACAATGATGTACGGCCTCAAACGTAGAGAATTGATAGGCGGTTGGCTGGCATCCCCAGACTTGTACAGCAGTCGACCCGAACTACGCGGAGGGCTTGCGCTGCGCGGAGATGATTGCACAGAGCTGTCTCCAGTGTTACTGACGTCAATGGCCACTGACGTGTACTTGTTGGCCTTCCATTGAGCAAGCTTTCGTTCCAACGCTTTTTGACGCCGCTCCTCTCGCTTTCGAGCTTGCTCCGCTTCATCCGCAGCACTTAGCTCTTCGTCCACTTCGTCTTCTTCTTCATCATCATCTTGTTCATATCTTTTACGAGCCGTTAATGTTTTACGCTTCGTAGTATTTGCTGCCTCGGCGCATAGCTTCTGGAGCAACTCAGCATCTTTCGCCTTAGTGTTCATGACTTTCGTGTAGTCTTCTCCCTCGAAGTAATACATGTTTTCCTCTCGAAAATCCCCACCCGACTCCAGCAGCTTGTCACTCTTTAGCGTCGGCACCATTTTGTCATCGGAATCAGCGCCCGCCTCAGATACGTGATCGGTTCTTCGAGTCAAAATGTGTTGGATATATTCCTCCTCCAAAGGCTTCATCAGCGCATCTTCGTCCTGACCAGCAGCTTCTTCCATGAGGCGATGCAAACCAAACTGAATCATATCAAGCAAGCTCTTCCCACTATCATCGTCGTTTTCATCGCCGTCACCATCAGTTCTTCGTGCAAGGTTGCGGATGCGGTCAGCCATGCGCATTTTCTTGAGAGAGCGTCGGTAAATGCTCTCTTCAACCGTATTCGCGCATAAGAACTTGATCACGTGAATAGGCTTTGTCTGTCCCAGGCGATAAGCTCGTGCTACTGCCTGAAGATCGGTCTGCGGGTTGTAATCCGAATCCGCGAAAATAACCGTATCTGCGCTTTGCAAATTCAATCCGAGACCGCCAGCCCTTGTCGAGATAAGGAAGACGAAAGTTTCAGGATCCTTGCGAAAGCGCTCAATGCTTTGCCAACGCTCTTTCCCACGCACAGATCCATCGATGCGCTCGTACGCAAAACTCTCGAGCGTAAGAAAGTCTTGAATGATGTCCAGAAAGGGTGGAGACTGACTGAAAAGCAGCACCCGGTGACCTTCCTTTTTCAGACGCGGCAGGATCTGATGCAGAACAAAGAGTTTGCCACTGTTTTCATACAAGTGACTGCCTTCTTCAAACGGTTCAGGTTCAGCGCCCGGAAACAGGTACGGGTGGTTGCACGCTTTCCGCAGTTGGGGAAGAATGTTCAGCAGCGGGACCCTACCAGACAAGCACCAAACTACTGTTACACATATTGAATAAAAGAGATCACAGCGCGCGAAATAAATGCCGGTGTACCTGCTGCCATGAGCTTTCGCGGCACCATTCAGGACGTATGCATTCTTGGCGATAACCTCCTTGTAGTATGCTCGCTGCATTGACGACATCGGCGTATGAACCACCATTTCGGACAATGGTGGCAATGTAAATGCGCCCTGCACGTCTTGAACCGTCCGCAGCAGCAACAGCGGTGCTAATAGTCTACGCATCAGCTCCTCCGCTTTGCTCAGCCGCTTGGATTTCGCGCGCTGACCCTCATCCAAACGCTGCGCTTTCGCCGAAAAGTAGTTTCTGAACGTCGACTCGAACAGCGCTTGGTCGTTGAACACGCCCGGGTTCAGTATCGACAGCAATGCGAAAAGCTCTTCCAGGTCATTCTGGATCGGCGTGCCCGTCAAGATCACCATGTGCTTGGACCGCAGTCTAGTCGAGACGATCCCGTGGAGTTGGCCTTTCGGGTTCTTGAGTCTGTGGCCCTCGTCCATGATCATCACCTCCCACTCCGTCTTGCTGTAGAATTCATGGTCATGTAGCAACATCTCGTACGACGTCACAACCACCAGCGGTTGGTCCTGTGGACTGGCCGCGATGACCTTCTGCGTCGCCTCACGGTCCTTTGCCGGACCGATGTACATGACCGTGGAGATGCTGGGCGCGAACTGCTCGAACTGCTCCATCCAGTTGGGCAGTACACTCAGCGGTGCGACAACCAGGTACCGACTTCCTCGAGGCTTCTTCTGGCCTCGATAAGCAGCTTCCAGCGCTGCGATGAACGAAATAACCTGCAGCGTCTTGCCCAGTCCCATTTCGTCCCCCAGAATGGGGTTCAGCCCCTGCTCATGCTTGCGCAGCAGCCACCGGAGGCCTACCAACTGGTAGTCGTGCAGCGTCGCGTTCTCCAGTAAAGACGGCTGCGTCTTGACCTGGTCGGCCAGCGGCGTCGGCTGCTGCCCGCGCAGCTCCAGCTTGTGCACCACCTCGTCCATTTTGGCAAGTGGGTGCAGAGTCGTCACTAAGGGTATCAATGACCATCACTCACTGTGTAAATCCCCATTTTAGTGACATTTTTGACATGGATCCAGCAACGTCGCGGCTGCTGCTGTGCGCGAGCGGCAGTGTGGCGACCGTCAAGGTGCCGGAGATCGCTGTGCGTCTCTCGCAGACAGCAGAGGTATGTTTGCTGTATAGTGGCAGCATGCGTCAGGACTAATTGCGCCACGTTGCCTTGGCAGGTGTGCGTGGTGCTGACCAAGTCGGCGGACTTCTTCCTGCAACGCGCTAAGGACTACGACGCAAGTTCGTGGGCGGACTTCGACGCCGCAACTAAGTTGGAGGATGGCGCGCGCGGCAGAATTGCAGTTGTGCGGGACGAAGACGAGTGGGAGGCGTGGAACGCCGTTGGGGACAGCGTGCGCCACATCGAGGTGTGCACTTGTCGTGATACAGGCGAAGAAGCGCTGAGGGAGACGCAGGGCTGATATTTGTGTCGGATTTGAATCGCTGCAGTTGAAGGACTGGGCGGATGTGATGCTGCTGGCGCCCATGTCTGCGAACACACTGGGCAAACTTGCAAACGGATTGGCCGACAACCTCCTCGTGCGTTGCTGCTTGTACTCATCATTTAAGTGAAAGAAATTGGTTATTCACGTTTTTGGATGAGATGCTGAGCAGACCTGCGTTGCACGAGCGTGGATCATGAGCAAGCCTTTCATCTACGCGCCGGCGATGAACACGGACATGTGGAACCACCCCATCACTGCAAAGCAGCTTCGAGTGCTGGACGAGTTCGGCTACAAGATGGTGCCCCCTGTCGAAAAGAAGCTGGCTTGCGGAGTGGTCGGTAAGTAGTGCTGCTGTTTGTTTGGATACTGTGCACGTGCTCTATTCACAGTTACCGAAAATCTAATCTATGCTGATCAATGTGTCAGGCAACGGAGGTCTAGCAACAGTCGATAGCATCGTCGCCTTCACGCTTCACGAGTTGAGTCATCGATCGCTCATCGACTAGATCAAATCAGCAGTGAATCATCAAATACAGCGGTACAATGCGCTCTACAGCGGCGTCGTGGCCTCGACGTCTTCCATGTCGAGGTGGAAGACCTCGCTGATGGCTTCGATAGCAGCGTCCTGCACATCCTTGACCGTTGCATCCGGACGAATGCGCTCGATACTTGTAACCGCGCGATCGTCGATTCCGCACGGAATGATGCGATCAAAGCCGCGCAAGTCCGTCTTGACGTTGAGAGCGAAGCCGTGCATGGTGACCCAGCGACTCGCGTGCGTTCCGACCGCGCAGATCTTGCGCATATCGCGCTCGTAGTTGCCCTTGTGGTGCTCTCCATCTTCCGACATAGGCTGCTCCTCCACCCAGACGCCCGTCAGTCCGTCCACGCGCTCGCCCTGGATGCCGAACTTGGCCAGTGTCCGGATCACCACCTCCTCCACCTGCCGGAGGTACCAGTGTAGGTCCTTCTTGTGCTGTGTCAGGTCCAGAATCGGGTACACCACGACCTGTCCGGGGCCGTGGTACGTGACTTCGCCGCCGCGATCGACGCGCACCAGCTTGACGTGCTCCGTCTCCGGGTCGAACTTGACGTTCTCCATGGTGCCGCCTCTGCCGAGCGTGTACACGCTCGGGTGCTCCAGGATAAGCACCACGTCCTTCTCCACCGACTGGCCGGCACGCATGGCCACCACGCGCTGCTGGATGAGCTGCTTCTGCCAGTCCCACGCGGTCTCGTACTCGACGCGGCCCAGGCGGTACGCGACGCACTTGCGCGGCGTCTGCGGCGTCTCCACGGCGGCCGATTGCGTGGACAGGAATCGAGGCGACATGGCTCCAATCTGAAGGCAACGCTGGTGTCTAGAGGCCATGGAAGAGGCCGCTGCCAAGGCGCCGCGCCGCCCACTGCGGACGCTCATGTTGCTCTGCTCGTGTCAATGCTGCTTGGGTTGGGTGCGAACTTACCGAAGGCTTGATTGATAAGTTCGCTGGCGGGAAGTGGCGCTGCCACTTTACTTAGGCACCTAAATGTGGCAGCGGAGCGGGTGGAGTGGGTCGGAGTGCCAAGTTTCTCCCAAACTTTTTCCCGAGCCATTTAAACAGGAAAACGCTTGTTTATGGCGGGTTTGTGGCACCAAACGGGTCAAGTTTCGACCGAACCCGCGAAACTTTTGTCGCCACAAATAGTGGCGGAGACCCCCCACATTCTGCCACATTCTGCCACGAACAGAGAGGGCATATGCGCGAAAATGGCGCCAACGCCTGGCGCGCCCAGCTCCTGGCGCTGCTCCAGCGGCGTAGGCAAGCGCAGAAGGCGATCGCGCTGTTCATCCCTGAAGCATCAGCTGCTGCACGCGACGCTGGAGCATTACCGGCGTCGTCGCTCGCCTTGAAGCTGCTGCGCGCCGCGGTCGAGAGTCGCCGCCCCGAGTGGACCCAGGCGCTGGCAGTCGAACGCGATCCCAAGCGCCAGCGACTGAGCGATGGCGGCAAGAATGACGTCGTGTTCGCCGCCAAACTGGCGCAGAGTATTGTGAAGACCTACGCGCCCACTAGCGCTGCTGCCGTAAAGGAAACAGGTCGACAATTGAGCATCTCCTCTCTTGAGTGCCTTTGAAGTACTGATCATTGGTGTTATGTATTGCAGAGCTGGAGGATTTCGTGGCAGCGCTGGATCTGGCGTGTGTGGCGCTTTACGTGGTTTGTGCGTTGGAGAATGCGGCTCGACTCGGGGACCTCGTCGTGGACAATTTGCTGTATCAAGTAGCCAAGAAGCTCGCCGAGATTCCTAGTGTACGTTGCGGCGCAGTGCCATTGATAGTGTAATGCGGCTTTATTTCTAAATGGGTGTTTGGATGTACAGATGCGCGTAGCTGCGAGTTGTGTGGCTGCTTGTGTCCACGTTCGCCTGTGGAATGTGCATGCTAAAGTATGTAAAGCCTCTGATGGCGACATTGCGGAGTCGTCGCAGTTGGTCATGTTGCTTGAGCAAGAAGATGATTGCTCGAGCAGAGTGACGCAGCAGTTGGAGCTGGCGGTGGAGTTCCCAGAACCAAGGAGTTGCCACTCAGAACAATTCACGCGCTTGCTGCTGGGCCATGTAAACACCTCCGTCACGCTGCTACTTGCCGACAAAAAATCCGAGGTGCGAATGCTGAGTTTCATGCTTTCAGCGTAACATATGAGTCTAACGTCGTTATTGCTACCACCCTTTTAGGCCATCTTACAAGTTGCGGATAACACTTTATCTCGCTGGATCGATCATCTGCGAAGACTACCTGGCCAAAACCCAAAGCTGGCGTCGTCTTTCAGTGACCGAACGTTTCGGATATTGTGGAAATGTGCAGCTGCCGCGGACGGCGTCAAACAAAAGTCGGCCGAAACAGCCAGTGCAGCCCTCCGCTTCCGTTCAACAGCATTGCTATTCCTGCTGAAATGCTCCAATTACACTGCTTCGTACTTCATCCAACAGGTAATAGGTGGCACGCTTGCAAGACAATAGTGAGCGAGGCGACCAGTTTCTTACTTCTTGATGAATCCCATACTTAGGTACATCGCGTTGGGGTTCAACACGAACGCGCTACCAAAAGATCTCAACTGGGGCTTCAAGAAGTGTACGCGTTTTATGCTCGAGAAGCGACCGCATTGTTTCAAACCGTTCCTGATGCGCCACACATGTACACTGTGCGTGTAGTGATTGTTAATGTGGATATATGCGCTGGTTTACTAATTGTGTTATCGTTTAACCCTACGATTTTGTGATGCGGCAGTCAGAATCGCTCCAGTGGGAGTACGTGAACTGGTTCGAGCACTTCGCTACGGTTTGTGACTTGTCCGGAATGCACTTGAAGAGCGCGATGATTCTGAAAAGTGTGGTCCATTATGTTAAGCAATTTGGAAGCAAGGGGGCCTCCATTCAAGCGTGCCTCCTTTATTCGATTGCGGGTGCGCTTTTTAGTGCAGCCGATTCTTCAAAAGAAGGAGTATGCCATTCATCAGAAAGTGGGCGTGTTAGCGCTGCCTTTGATGAAAGGTTAATGTCTTGCACCGGAAAACGTTTTCAGGATCTCTTCGACAACACCAAGCCCAGCGAGTGGCTTGATCATTGTGAAAAGGCAGCGCGGGTGTATTTGAAAAAACTCGAGTCGTTGGCGCCTTACAGTTTTGTTGGCTTGGGCTCGCAAGATCACGGCTTGTTTCTGGCGCGTTGTATTAAAAGAAGCTCGACTAAGGTATTTAACTATGCTATCAGTGTTCGACATTCTCAGAAAACCCAGTTATACAGACAAGACATCATGTGGTAAGTGCCTTGCACATTCTTCGTCGGCGTAATTCATATCGTCGGTCTAACCTGATGTTGCAGCTTTGGGAACATGTGCAAGGCGTTGACAGGGCTTCGCTCCTCTCCGACCCTTACAGATATCAAGACCATTGAAACTTTGATCCTAGATGAATCAAGGCTTCACCGAATGGCTGTGATGCTCTCGGTGCGATGTTGCAGGACGATGAGCTTTGACGCAGCCAAACCCGTACTGCACACGATGTCACAGCATGTGAAATTAGTCCGTGAACTACTGGATTACACAATGATGGATGGGAAGCCGAGCGAATCAATTCTCCAAGGAATCCTTGGTGATCTGAACTCAATTGCCCGAGAATGCTATGCCTGTGCTTCAAGCTGCTATAAGGCAGGGATGTACCACGATACGATTTCAGCTCTGGTCGGCGCATTCGAGCTCGCCGAAAGCTACTTGGAGTACGTTATGTGCAGCAAGCTCAGCATTGAAGACATCCACAAGGCGCACGTGCATCTCAAAGTTGATGCAATTGCCTCTTTGCTGGCCCACTGCTTCCGCGAAGTGGGTGATGTTACGAAATCGCGGGAATTCAATGGGTTCTCACTATTGTATTGTGGAGATATTTCCGAGAAGATCCCGCAAGCAAGTGTTGACAAGTACGTGTCCTGCATCCTAGAAGAACCAACATCTTCGGACGTTGATATGAAATTCTGTATGGCTGATGTGTTCAAAGCGTTTGTCGATAACGCAACTCATGTGTATAAATCTCGCCACATCCCGGAGGACCAGATTTTACGACTTTGGCGTTCATTTCGATCCGCCTTCGAGCGAATGTCTGCCAAGATTGTGATGAATTTGCGAGCAAGTGCAAGCGATGTACCTGATCTTCCATCCTACGATACTGTGGAATTATGTTGTACGATTGAGAGCCATTTAGATGGTGTTTTGATGGGACGTGCGAAGAATTCCAACGAGTGCTGTGATATTCTCCTTGAAATCGCACATACTTTGGCAAATCGCAAGCTGCTTTTCTGTGCCTACTACACGAAACACGACTTCAACAGTTTAATCGAGGGGCTTCTACACACGCATCGTTCTTTGGGTGCTGCTGCTGAAAAACTCGAAGGTTTTACCAGTAGAGCAGACTTTGATATCGGAGGTGTTTACGGATGGCGTGGCGTGATCACCCTGGAGATGGCTCTCATTTATAGCTACGCTGGTACTTCTCATTGTTGTGACGCCGTTGGGGATATTGAAATCAGCGAAAGGAGTGCAATTATGGATATTGAGAAGTGCCTGCACTACTGGCGGGTTGGCGAAAACGCATTCGGTTGCCTGTTTGACGAACCCCACGTGATTACTTGCTTGGAATCCGTCTGCAATACGCTGTCGTTGGCGTCGTGCTCTGCAACAGAGAATGCGGCTAGACACTTGCTGAAGACGTTTGAGGTGTCCGAGATGAAAGGTACTACATTAGGATGTATCCCGTCCCCCTTGTTACGTGTGTTTGGAACTGTAGCCAGCAAAAACGCATTGGTAGAAGAACCGCAAGTGATCGGTATGCAAGGGGCTAACAACAACGAAGAAGTACAGGGGTTCGAGCAAGTCGACCTAGCGATCTCTGCTGCAAGGAGATCTCACTGTGATGAAAACACAGTCCAAGCTTGCCGACAGTTGCGAGATGCAGTTGCTATGCTGGGTGCGCTAAAAGCAACTACAAAGCAACGCTCGACAGCGACGGTGGTAAAGGCGCTTGGACTGAGGGAGATGCTAGTTCACACGATTCTATCGGATATCCATTTTCGTGAGGGGCGAAGTACTGGCGCTATCATTGAAGCTAAGTCAGCGCTCCGGATTTGCTGGAAAATGGCGAAAAGGTTCACTGCTGCATCGTCGACTGTTGAAGCTGCGTACTTTGACCTGCCTTCTGAGTTATCAGCAACCGACTGGCAACACCGAAAATCGGCGCATCTTTATTTTATGGCCCTAGAAAGCTCGTCATGGGATGTGTTGTATGCTGCGAAGGTGTCGTTGTGTCGAATAGCATCCCTCTACTGCTATTCAGACCAGCCTCACAGAGCTGCATCGTATTTGACTGAGGCGATGCGGCTTGTGGGTGGATTGAATCTGCATTTGTTTCGTCGAACCCCATTTTACGAATTCGCAGAATTGGAGCTAAATGCGAGTCACTTGGAAAAGGCAAAAACAGCAATATCGATGTTGTCGTCGAATTCGAGGATGGAACCGGTAATTCAAGATCTTGATATCAGTGGTTTAAGACCGAAGCATCATCCCTGTGCTCACACCGACTGGGCGTTCACAGAGCAAATGTGCAACGAAATGGTACAGCGAGGAGACGTGCACGTCATTGAAGGGGATAGACAGAAAGCACTGCGCTGTTACTTGGAAGCGATCGAGACATTGTCCGCGGTTGAAAATGGAGAAGTATCTGAGTCCAGCGCGTTGGCAATGGTCAATGCTCGTTGTTGGCGGAAGTATACACGCCATCACAGCGAGATCATCGATTTATCTGACACAAGTGCAGTGGAAACACTGCTAAACTCGATGAAAACACTTAAACGAACGTTGAAGCGCTGTGGTGCACGATTGGAACGGGTTAAGTGCATGCTGGAATTAGGGCGCATAAACATCAAGCTGCTACGCTCGTCCTCATGTCGGGCGTTTGCAAGTCTGGAGCGGACGATCTCTTTACTAGAAGAAGCCTACTCGCTTGGCGACTGTCTTGGCATTGCTCACTTAAGTCAAGAACTGCGGGCAACTTTGGGAATGGCGTATTTTGCTGAAATCGAGGAAAGTGCCCACGGCGATGCAGATCGAATGGACGGTGACAGAGCGCGGTTTCTTTCATGGTCTAGCAGTGCACTGTTAGCGAATAGTTGCAGCAGTACCGAATGCGAAATGGTGTCAGCAGAACCTACCGATTCGGATGCAGAATTATCATCGAAGGAGGCTCTGATGAATCAGCTTGAGCAATTGTCAGCTCGTCCAGGCGCAGATCAAACTTATTCAATTCGCAAACAGGTTGAGGACATGACCCAGAGCCTTTCTGAGAAGGTCCACGAGCTACCCAGCTCCTGGGTCATCGTGTCCTTGATGATGGGTCTGTCGTCTGAACTTGTGGTTACTCGTTTTACGGTACGTATTCCTCGTTCTATTGGTAGATTGACAGTATGCTAACATCGTGATATGCGCAGACAAATGGCACTGCCCCGATCTCGTTTTGTCTGCCCAACGTTTCTTGGAAATCGTGTATAGACAAGATGGATGCCATCGTCGAGAAGTCAAGGTGCGCTACTGTTGGTGTGACTGATCTCTCGCGAGGATCTGACGTTGTGTGTATGGCGGACAGGGAAATCCTGTCGGGCCACACGGCCGAAGAGGCAGGCTCTTGGAGCACAAAGCAAAAAAAGGAGTGGTGGGATACCCGTAAGCAACTTGACGAGCGCATTCAGAAATCAGTCCGTTCAATGGAGGTGCGGAGAAAACGAATGTGTGCTGACAAGATAGTAGTGCAAGTACTTACAAAAATCATGCTGTGCTGTGTAGATGACGCTTGGATTTTGGCGATGCTTGCTCGTAAAAGGAACAAGCACACTTGAAACGCAGTGCGTTCAGCAGTGTTGGAGTTTGCTTACCTCGAGGAAAGTATGCCCCGTCCTGCTGGCTGAGAGGAATCAAAGCTTGCTATGTGCAATCGCTGATGCGCAACAATGGTTGTCGGACGGTGAAGTGGTGAACGGATTAAAGCACATTGCTGCAGAAATTGATGTGCCCCTATCCGATTCTGGGTTACAGGAAGCCCTTCAGTTATTGCGGAAGCTGGGGCAACAATCTGGGTTAAGCCCGTCACGAGCGACTCACTCAAGCTACCTACCAAAGCTAAGGACGGATAAAATCCAGAAGATGAAAGTGAGCGAGCTGAAACAACTTCTCGCTGCTGAAGGACTTAGCACTGACGGTCTGAAAAAGGTGCTGGTTGAGCGGCTCATAGCTGCGCGCGATGCAGCACTTTTGGAGCCTTTGACCGATCAAGCTGCGCGCGATCAAGGCTTTTCGACTATCTTGATATTGAATCACCAGCTGCAGCAATTTCCGTGGGAAGGAATGGACATCATGGGAAGGAGCAGTGGCGTAACCCGAATGCCTTCTCTCGATCTGACCATGCAGAACGCAAGATACGTAATGCAGTCACGAACGTCTAGCTACTCCTCGATTCGACGGGATCGCGTGCGCTTTCTTCTGAATCCTGCTGGAGACCTCAAAGCGACACAAAATCAGCTGGGGCCTGTTTTAGAAGGCGGAGTGACGACCTACGGATGGGAAGGTATTGTTGGGGAAGCTCCAGATCCTGACAAACTGAGGTAAGCGTCTCAAAAATGGCGGTGCGCATGGAGATGACTTTTCTAACTTCTTTTACGTTGCTGCGTATGCAATGTTGCCAACCGCAGAAACTATTTATTGGCCGCCGATCTGTATATTTATTGTGGCCACGGCTCGGGCGAGGCGTACTTGCATCGCGACCAAGTGCTCAGTCTGAAGTCCGGTTGCAGCGCCGCCCTGTTGTTTGGCTGCAGCAGCGGGCGACTCAAGCGAGAGGGTATCTTCGGCCCGAGTGGCGCTGTGCTGGCTTACTTGCGAGCTGGCAGCCCGGCGGTGCTGGCGATGCTCTGGGACGTCACGGACCGGGACATCGACCAACTGAGCGTCAAGATTCTGCGGGAGTGGCTTCTGAGCGAGGACGGCGACTCGAGCCCATCGCTCGCACGAGTGCTGCAGGACTCGCGAAGCGTGTGCAAGCTCAAGTATCTGAACGGCCACGCTGCCGTGTGCTATGGCCTCCCACTGCACGTGGCAAAGAGCTGAGCAGCGTCCGTCGACCACTTCAACGTGAGCCGTCTCACTGGTGTACGCCACACATCCTGCAGTTTCTACGCAACGCGCGACATGTTTAACGTGTGAGTAATGCGGAGCGGACCAATCGGGTGCGGCCACTGACGTAGCCCGTAACGGCCACTCAGCTGCCGAGGCTTCGGCCAAGCGAGCGCCGTCTCCGTCACCTCCATCCATCTGGCAAGTTCTCCCGGAGAGTGCAAGTGAGAGATGGTGCTGCTGTGCTCGACGCCGCCGGCCCCACTGCCCGTGGACGTGGCTGCGACCCGCCCGTTGGTGCAGGAGCTGGCGACCTCTGCCGCCGCGCGAGAGCATGTCCGAGCGTTGGCCGGCACGACGTACGGTCGCTGCGTGCTCGGACTAGGTAAGACTAAGAAGGGCTGGCTGGATTAGATTCACGGCTATTGAAGCACTATGGGCGTGCTTGTGTTTTGACGCTGCTTCTGTGTTGTAATTCCTGGCAGCGGGCTTCCTGACGTACGCGACCGAGCACATGGCTGCATTTGTCAAGCGCATGCACGGTGATGTGAGCTCGGAAGATCTGGCAATCACGCATGAGGTACGACTGAAGCTGGTTGTTGCATTATTCAGCAGGTCTCTCGAAGCTGATACCATACTGTTGCTTGCAGATGCTTCTGCTACTTGCTGAGACGGTGGTTGACGAGGACAATGCTACATTTATTGGTAAGATCTCTGATGCAATGACACTATGCTAGTTACTTTGTTCCCTGTTCGTGGTACTGATTTGTCCGTAAATTTACAGCGCGTATTGGAGCACACCCTCTCTTGATGCGTCTTATGGAGAACGAGAACGAGGATATTCAAGAGGTCAGCATTTCTTGCGTTGGATTGCGATGTTTGGAGTTGCGAGACACCTCACTAATGTCGATGCGCGGATGAAAAACGCAACAGGCGGCTGCCGAGGTTGTCACGAGTTGCACAAGTAGTCCGTCGGCCATCACATTCCCGCACCGCGTGCGACAAGTGGGTGAAGTGGAGCGCTTGTGGCCGCGTGCGGTGCCGCTCCCTTTTGATCCCCGAGATAACGCTCCGAAGAATGAAGACGGCTCTCAAGGCACACTGGAGGTGCTTATTCGTCAGGTGCCTACGCGTATGACAGGACAGAGGAAGACTGGATACCTCCTATGGGGAGCAGCTTTTGTCCTCGCGCGTTGGATTCACAAGCACCGTGAGCTGTTTGAAGACAAGAGCGTGATTGAGGTCGGCAGCGGTCTCGGACTCGGAGGTATTGTTGCTGCCCGCTATGCAAGGCAGACGACGCTGACGGACTACCAGAGCGATACGTGTACTGCTCTCGAGTACAATGTCCAGCTGAACAAACCGTTTACGCACGAATTTGACCCGACCAAGCCGGAAGTGAAGGTAAGCCTCTTGGATTGGGACACCTCTGAAAGCATCGAAGCGGTTCCCAAGGCAGAAGTCGTGATCGCCAGCGACATCATCTGTGAGCCGAGTACGGCTGAAGGTTTCTTGCGTGTGGTTCGACACCACGTGCTTGGTAACCCCAACGGCGTTGCCTACCTCATGAACGCTAACAGCCACAGCCGCTTCGGTGTCATCCACCTCCACGCTCTTCTAGCCGCCAGTACTGATCTTTCCTACAGCATCACGCCTGTGGGTGAGCTGCCTGATGGCGCAGAGCTTCTTGAGACGGTCAGCGACGCACAGGAGCTCTCTTACGAGTTCTACGAAATCCGTGCGGCATCTCAGTAAACCGAGTACTAGTAGTAGAGATCACAGGATACAAAGCCAAAGCGTATCCCGATAGGATTTCAATAGAGTGTTTAGAGAAGTCCTATTGATCTTTCGGTCGCATTGCGTTAGTGCTCCCAGCACTTCGGCGGAGAGGCTATCTAAACGAGGATATTGTACGCCACAGGTCCAGTGCATCGCGGATCGTCTGGAAACCCGTCCCCGTTCGGATTCGAATTGCCAGGAATGCCAGTGGCAACACAGGAGCAGCGTCCTGATCCACAACGGTTTGACTTCGCGCGTTGAAGCATTTCCTCCCGCGTCTTGAATTGTTGGCCAGGTTGGGGGCAGCTATAGGGCATCCTCATCTGCAGTCGCTTCCACATGGGGCTGTCTTGGCACATGAGCTGCTGTGCTGAAGTTAGAGTGCAGGAATTGCAAGTCCGACAAATACGATCTACCCCTGCTGCACAAGGCGAGACTTCGTACTCGTCCAACGTGCATTGAGTACACGGTGAGCATACTCGATCCGTTGTTGGGGAGCAGGCAACGGAAACGAATTGGCCCGCTCGACACTCCGTACACGCTGGTGTTTGCATACACAGAGGCACACGATTAGCCTGTGCATAGGAGTTTTGCGTGTCTAGCAGTACACTTACGGTAACAAAGCGTATCTTGCGTAGCTCTGCAAGCTTCAAGTGCAAACGAATTTCCAGGACAAACGCTGCAGGTTGCACAGACTCGGTTTTTAAGATCTGAGCACGAACTGACGAGATAGGATCCGGTTGGACACGCTGAGCAGTCTGCGGGTGAAACTTGAAGCAGTTTTCCGGGGCCAACGATCGTCACAGCGTTACCGGCAAAGTCTGCGACGAAGGTGTTGTCAATTCCCAGAAATGTGTTTGCCTTTGTGATACCGACCTGGCCAGTACCAAACGCGTTTAGAGCGGTGACATCGGTACGGCCCAGTTGTAGAGTAAGAAACGTGTAGTCTGCCGGCAGGCGATTTGAATCTCGTAGCGTGGCGCCACTCAATGGATCTGGCTGAGGCGAAAACAGACGCGTAGTCGCAGATGAAAGTGGGTAGACATCGATACCCGCCGCGGTCTCCGAGAATGTAAGACCCTCGATTTTAAGGGTGGCAAAGTCTACGGCTTCTGAAAAGTGCAGCTTCAGCAGGCGGCGTGGCAAATCCAGACTATAACTCAATAGTTTGGGTGGAACAGTATCTGCCTTGAACTTGGTGACACTGATGGCTGCGCTTGAAGGTGTGGCTACCGTCATCATCGGAGAGCAAGCAAGGATCCCGCTGCTTTGGCAGTTGTTAAGCACGTACTGGAAAAGACCAGCATCGACGCTTAAGAACGCGGTATTTGCGCTCTGCGCCAGACCGACTACACGTTTGAGCGAATTGAGATCCCCCACACCAATGTTAACCACAATTGTTGTTCCGTCCAAGCTGCTCGTGCTCGTCTGCTGCGGAGAAAACCGAAAGGTAGCGCCATACTTCAGCTCACGCTCGGACTGCAGTAGCAGTTTGCTCACATCCAGCGTTGATGCTTGGACTGGAACGTTCATCCGGAGAGTAAGCGCACCCAATGCCATATCGAGATCAAATGATTCAATATGCGGACCTTGGGCAATTCCTACCAGCACCACTTCGAGAACGTTACAATCTCCGACTGTTGTTCCAGTCACGTCGGAAAGTTGCAGCCAGAAAGAGCGCGGTCGAGGGTCATAGCTAGTGGGCGTTAAGATTTGCAGAACAACGTACTTTACCTCAGAGTCGCCATTTGCCCAAGTGACAGCAGTGTTTATGAGTGGCTCGAAATCCACTCCAGGCGTTGCTGTCCCCGCTACAGTATTCACGGTGACGCGTACCGGGACGGGAAAAGCTGCAAAGTTGCGTTGAATGGCGACCGACAGCACCCCTTGCTCGGTCATCATTACACTAGGACACAATTGGAGCCGCGAGCTTGTGTTGCGCGAGGCCAGCTCGATGAAGCTTAGATCTGGAACTTTCAACACAGACTCCAGGGGCTCGCGAGCAGCGAAGTTGATGTCACCGAGGAACACATTGGTCACACTGGCAATATCCACGTACGTAGTACTCGCATGAACGCCGTTAATTGGGGCCCCTACGCTATTTCGTAGCACAATCGCGACACGTCGAACTGGTAGCCTTGGATCTGGTCGAGACAAGGCTTTCACGATAATTTGTCGGTCGCTGACGTCACCTTCTTTCCATGACAGCGTTTGCTCTAGTGGTTCGTAGTCCAACCCTGCTAAGGCCGTACCATCTTGAGTAGCAACTGTAACGGAGCAATCTCCGTCACTCCCATTTCGTCGCTGGACCGTCAGGCGGGCGGTGCCTCCTGCGAACATTGAGTACTTGGTACTCGCGCAGTCTGGAAAACAGTCAGCATCGAACTGTAGAGTGCCCGACTTTGCATCGTTCGGACCAGCGATGGTCACGACCATTTCTCCAATGTCTCCTATTGCCCCTGTGCCGATCGTGTCACCGTCCGTGGCCGCCACTTTTACTAAGCGTAAAAGGAAGTTCTCCGATAATTCGTACAACCCATCGTCTGGAACTTGCAACACGATATTCTGTGTTCGATTGGTAACACTGGCTGGGTAATTGTCACGCTTCCACTGCAAAAGCTGCGTCAGTGGAGATACCAATTCAAAGTCTCCTGGCGAGCACGCACTCTTGCACACAATCTGAAATTTGACACTAGCAGTCGACGTCGTGCCAGCGACCCAGAGAACAGGAATGGTTAATGTGTTGCCTTCTGATATAGTCACTGCGGCGTCCTTAAAACTAAAGCTACCGGGTACGACTGGAAAATGCAGTGATAGTCAGTTGTTTGCAGCGTACCAGCATCGCAAGAGATTCATACAACTCACGGTTGGAAGGAGGTACCAGCACCACTTGTGTTCGGTTGCGATCTGGGTTGATGTCCGCTCCAATCGAGTCATGCAGCTTCAACATGAAGATTTTTGGGCTCTCTTGAGGTTTGCCGTCGTTGTAGATAGGTAAGTAGATCGCCTTCTCAAAGTCTTCGCCATCCTGCCACACGAGACTGACGTTGAACAACGGTTTGTAGTCTCGCCCAGCAACAGCGGTCCCCACACCGGGAATGGTTGATACATATACTGCAGCACGACCGTCGGATCCAAGACTGCGCTGCACCGTAATGTAGGCGACTCCAAAATCTTCCGTAGTAGAGTAGACGGCTTGGGTGAACTGGAACCTTCCATTGGCAGCGGCATCAGCACCTCGTAAGGCTTCAAACAGGACAAGAAATCCCACAAGTAGCAGTAACCAGTGGTGCTGGCATTGCCTAAAGATCGCCATGATCGACAGCCGACGCTTTGAAATAGCTGTTTGGTTTAGCTGAACGAAACCACACCGACGCTTCATCGGTCATATCGAAAACGTAGACTTCTGAGAGCATGGCTGAAGTAGCCCGCGGCTTCTCTTAGTGTTTTTGATCCGGATACTGCAAAATGGGCAAGGTGTCGGTAGCTCAAGTGCCACAGGATGTCCCTGGGAGTGCCTCTCGCGAGATATTCCAGGGGCTCTTCAAGGACTTGGGGAAGCAAGCGATGGCGATGGAAGCTATACTTCGAGCGGTTTGTGGTCGTGTGGACAAAATGGAGAACTGGCTGACAGAAGTGAGCTTCGGCATGACGGAGCTGGATCTGAAGTTGAGAAATATCGCGCACAATATCGACGGAACGGCAGCGGTGGATGACGAAGCTCAAGGACCACATCGGTGGGCCATTCCTCCCCCTGACGACGCGAAGCCCTTGGCGCCAACAGTAAGCAAGAAGCTTGGAGCCGACAAGAAAGCGGTCCGTGTGACGGGAATGGCCGCTGCTATCTTGGACCGACTCGCTGCACCTTCGACAAGCACTCCTACTGCGGTTGAAGCAGAGAAAGTGGAGAAATCTGGAGCGAAGAAGAAGAACAAGGAGAAGAAGCATGGTGCTAAAAAGGCGAAGATGAGTTGCCTTCCAGAAGTCCCAGTAACTTCGTCGCTTGCTGCAGTTGAGGTTGCTCCTCCTCCCGCCATCCAGCTGCCTACTCCTATGACGTCTGCTGAAGCTCTACATATTCCAGCACCCGAAGACCATCCAGTGATAGAATCGATGCCGGTTCCTGAGATTCACGAGGAAACACCCGGTGCATCGACACTATCTCAACAAGCACCAGCGCTCCAGCCTCCGGAAAGGGAGGTTGCGGTGGAGGATGTAGTTGTTTCTACTGCGCCGCCGAATGTTGATAACATACCACCAGCAACGCAGCAAGAAAACCCCTTCACAGTCGAAGTTCCTGTTGAGCATGGCGTCACTCCAGCCGAATCGTTAGCGGAGCCACAACCTGTGGAGGAGCACACTGTACCAGTTCCGAATCCGGCAGTCCCTCAATCTGAAGAATCCTCAAGTGAAAGCAGTCCAGCGATGTCACCAAGGGAAACAAAAACGATTGAGGCATCGGAACAAAGCCCAGCAGCACCGATAGATCATGTCCAATTTCAAGAAACTGAAACACCCCCGACAACCAGTGAGCAAGATTGTGGTAACTCCACGCCAAGTACTACTACTTTGGAGCAACATGAGACCGTTGTTCCCGCCCCCGAGCCATCGCCACCGGTACCAGCAACATCTCCGCAAGATACTGTCACCGATATCGCATCGGTGACTTCGGCACCGAAGGTAGCAGCCCCAGTAGTGAAGCCGGTTGCCAAAACTCCAGAGCCAACCTCATCAGTCTCAAGTATTCTTCCTACTGTTCAAGTTGAACGAGCTACTGAGCCGTTCGTATTGAAGGGATCGGCGCATACAACCACGGCCCCTGTTACTCCTCCTCCTAGCAATACCCCTGAACCAGTCACCACCGTTTCGGAGCCTCAAGCAGCTACTATTGCGGATAATGTGGTCGTGATGAAGGTGGACGTGGAATCCAACACAGCTTTAACAACACATCATTCGGCGAATAGTGACAAGCGGCCAACATTGCCAGAATCTGTTGCGGTAGCAACAAAAGCAGTTAAGCTTAAGGCCACCGGAATCCCGACGTCGCCACCATTATCCCCCCACGCTTCAGAAACAACGGGGCCAGCAGTTGATCCACTTTTACCGCACAGAACTGCGGCACATCGACGATCTTCAAAAATGGCGGCAAGACCAAGTCTTACAAAGAAGCTTGAGCACGGCGCTGATAGTGATCCGTCACGGCGATTATCAGGAAATAAGCGTGGATCGGACTTGACACGAAACTCAATTGCTCCGCCAGCTCAAGAGCACCCCTCTCATCATCCAGTACACCAACCTTCACAGGTCAATGCACAACCATCGCCGAGCTCGCAGTCAATATCTCAGGGTCCAGTCACGCCCACGATTTCCACGGCGGCAATGTCTGAAGAAATTCACGAAGAAAGTGGTGAAAGCGGCAGCGATTCCTCATCAGACGGATCTGGATCGTCTAGTGAAGATGAAGATGCTGAAGCGGGAGCTGCCGTCGAGGAGATTTCCAACACTATGACCGCTCTAAAGAAGCTGAAGCGAGCTCAGATGCTGTCACCTGAAGAAGAAAAGGAGCTGAAAGAGCGAGCCCACAAGAAATGGTTCCAGCTCAAGGGTCATATCAAGGAAAAACAAAAGAAAGATGTGACGAACATCCTACTTAAGCGCAAGAAGAACGTATTCACAGTATCATCGAGGATTGAGCTGCTGGAAGAGAAATCGCGTGAGATTTTCGCTGCACTCAAGCAGATTACGAACGAAATGCGCGACAAGAGCGACCGTGCTACGCATGAAACGTTGCGTCGCCGCGTTGCTGATATTGAGCACAGTCTGCAGAGTATCGATTCCAGAATTGCGTCTTTGTCAGCGCCCGCATTTGAGAAAGTTGGTGACCTAGAAGATGAGGTGAACTCGTTACGCAGTACCGTGGAGCTTCAGCTTACGACCGCCCAGGCTGAAGCTACAGCCAGGCATTCGCTGCTTGAGGAGGCTCTAGCTACTCAACGAACACTGGTTGAATCGTTGACCCAAGATTTCCCGGCCCAACTGGCAACCCAAGCTGAGCTCTTCAACGAAAAGCTCAAGCAGCTACCCGACTACACTGCAGCGATAGAGAACCTCCGACGGGGTCTAAAGCGCAAAGCGGATTTGAAGCTCCTGAAAGAGTACGATACGCGCAAGCTTTTCGCTATTCACCCGACAGATTTTGATAAACTGACGTTTGGATTTGCTCTGATATGAACAGGTTAGAAGCTCGGTTGCTCGGTCTGGATGCGGAGAATGAGGACTGTCTGGTGCGCTGCTTATCCTGCCGCAAAGAGGTCACTAACCCGTACAACGACAAAGATACTGAAGGCGATGATCAGGATATTGTGAGCTCTGGAGGTGGCGTCTCACAGCTGCGGAAGATTAACACTGGCCCAACTTCGTCTCGGATCTACCGCTCAAACATACCATTCAGTGCCCAGCCGATGGTCCAGGAGGCCATTCTAGAGGAATCCCCTGATGAAACCTTTTTGCCACCTCAAGCGTTGTTGCAGCCACTGCCACAGTCGATAGCGATGCAAGAGCCTCAACTTCGTCAACAGCTCCAGTCAGCGGGGGATTCTCATGCAAGTGAGAAACCTCCAGTTGTTCGTGTCCCTAGCGTGAGGTGGTCGACCCCACCAGAATCTTTGAAACGAGAGGCCAAAACCCCACAACCTTCACCTCTCAGGTAAGTTTTGGGCCCATTCTTCTCCTATCGTGGTGGGCTTCAATTGACGTTTTTACGCAATGACTGTTCCCTGTAGTTTGATGAACATTACCGCGACGCGTGCCATTCTATCACCCGATCGGCCGATCAGCGCCCCCGTGATCCCAATTAAAAAGAAGGCAAGTACCGCAGTCAGGTCGAAGTCGGTATTAAAGTCACTATCCTCTTCTTTAGATCCACCTCAGAAGGACTAGTGGTAAACCCAGCGCTGTCCAGATACACCACAATATATAGCTTTTCACTTACTTCCAGGGTTGCCTTTAATATGAAGTAATCGCCGACACAGTCCAGACCTCTTCCTGTCATTCTCCATATTCGTATCGGGAGTGATAACGTCGACCAACCGTCCTCGACTTGCGAGTTGCCGCGATGGTGGACGCCCATGACGTTGGCGTTTCTCAGCTGCAACATCGAGTTTTGGCCCAAGCTTTGGCTGGAGTTGCTGATTTGATAGCTCCGCAATAACACGAGTCTCTTTGATCAACTGAGCACTCCTCATCGAAGCAGCAACCACAGCAGGATCAACGCACAGTTGGAGATCGTGGTGCCCAGTATCTTGACTGCAGTCGTATTGTCCGGCGCGGCGTAGCGAGGGAAACAAACCTTCTGCATTTTGTAAAGGTGTCGTGAATGATCCAAGAGCTTTTATGGGCGACTTTGTTGGCGACGTGGGCGCCGACTCTCTTGGAATGGCTGTAGATCCTGAAAGTGGGGAATATCTTCTGTCGTTGTTTGGCCTTGTCGGTAGTTGACGATCTCGTAAATAGTGAAGCAGGTCCATCTGCATTGGTGGCCCAGGCAACTTTGTAGATGGGGAGTTGTTGGCTGTTTGCATGGTTCTCTTCAACGAAGATAGGTGAGGCGAGAGAAGAGGAAAATCTTTCTCTTTTGGAGTAGTTCTTTCTGCCAAGCGTATCGAATGCGTTGCACTTTCAGCCCTATGCTTCTGTTGAGCCGCAATTGCTGCTCGTACAGTTTGAAGCCCTCCACGTCCGAGCAATGCCACAATGAACAATTCTTGGTTTCGCCGTGATAATGCCCCTGTCGCAAATGTTTCAGGATTGCATCGGTACAATTCAACGCCCAAAGCATTTACGATGGGGGAGTCTGCAACAGCGTACTCTGCGTCAGGTAACTCCGTCGAGGTATTACTGTTCGTCAACAACCCCCGGTTGGTAGCATCACCCTTTTCATCAGCATACAAAATCGTACATGGGCCCAAAGAGGCCACTGGAGTATCAATCGCCAGTTTCGGACTACCAGCAGTACTTTGTAGAGGGACACGTAGTGGGGGTTTCCGCCGGGGCTTTCGCTGAAGTGCTACGTACTTGTGCATAATGCAAAGTCCGCTTTCAATCACGAGCAAAGTTTCCCGAGGAGTATAATTCCCAAAAACAACTACCAAATTCGAAAATAAAAGTGTTAGGAGTGTAGTATTCTACGATAAATAAACGATGGCGTCATTGAGCTTACCTTCGTTGCGCTTGAAACTGAGCTCTTTCACGGAATAGTACATCGAGCATAGTTGTTCTGGTTCGAGAGGAGATGCAGCATCAAATGCTCGCTTAAGCGTCGCGAATTTGGATTTGAGACGCTCTCTCTGAGGCCACAAACTAAGGAATACCGCTTTGGGGACCCGAAGAAGTTTAGTGGCCGTACTTGACACAACCGCTTCAATCAGACGTCTATTAGAGTCAAGCATGAGCTCAACCTCTCCAAACGTATCTCCTGGCTTCAGCACTCGTATTGATACTTTGGTTCCCCGAGCATCTGAGCTGGTCCCCGCTGCTAAAGACCCAGAAGCCGGTAGCGGTGAGTCTAGCACTTGTTGTATGGTGACGGAGCCCTCGATAACCAGGAACATCTGATCAACCAACTCCTCGTCTCTCTCGAACACGACCGAATCGAGCGACGCAACTTCCACCATACAGTGCGTGCATATCTCCAGGTATTGTTGTTTTGGTATATCCTTAAATATTGACAAATGATGCACCATCGTATACGTCAGTCCTGCACGGTAATGAAACTCTTGCTCGAGTTGTGAGCTCCATCGAGGTCGCTTTTGCGTAATTCGAAATATAGCAGCTTTCCAATTGTTCGCCGTTGATCTTCGATAACGAGCAATATCATTTAGTTAGACAAATACATATCCAGCAACAGTTTGAGTCTAACTGGTATGGTTTACCGTTTATGCAGTTGAGAATGATCCGTTGCTAGAGATAGGCGGTCTTGGTTGTGATCATGAGAAAAACATTTTGGAGATGATACCTCGATAAAACCATCACGCAAAAGATACACCAACTTGACAGTTTTGTTGCCGTTGGCTCCTACAACAGCTACCGCTGTCGTCAAGCGTCGGCTATCGCCAATAAGGCATTCTTCCCCAAACGCGTCACCCTCGCACAAGTCAATAGACCAATAGTCATCTGCTGGTGATGTCGGGGGAGACCTGGTTGCTCCTGGGCTGCGCTCCCGCCCGTTGAATCTGCATAAGCAAGGTGCGCACTACGCATCACTACCTGAACATCGATCCCAACTCGAGCGAAAAATGGGTGAAACTTACAGGCGCACTCGACCAGATAAAATGAAGTATGCAGCAACCCCCTCTTCGCCACACCTGTACACTATAATTCGCAGAAAGACAGTTTTTTTTTCTCTGACGTATCCCTGCATTTTTCGTAATAAAACAATCTTACCTGTGTTTCCAGCGCTCATCTCAATATACTGCAGAGCATCAGCTACTTTATGGAGCTCATGCGTAGTTAACCGCTTCGCAAGACCCATTCTCTCGAGAATTTGGTAGCGAGCGTTTTTTAGTGAGGAATTTGTTTCATCTCCGCGTACTTCATGTTGGTCCGTATCCCGGCCTTCCACAGCAGCTAGTAAATCTTCTTTAACTTCGGGGTCCAATGTGTACATATCGTCAAGGGTACCATCACTCCATAGAATTCCCAGTCGACAATGTGAAACAGTGATTGCCGTCTCTGGGTAAACTGAATACACCGCCGATTCTTGCCGGAACCTGCGACTAGTTGCTCGTCGGACAAGTTGGCTCAGTTTGCTAGAACCACGATTTTGATTCGTAGCTTGACTCTGAGAAGCCTCAAGAGGCCCGTGGCGTCCAAAGCTATCTCCCATTTCAAAGTCAACGACATGTTTGTAATCACGAATATAAAAGTCATCATCCACTGGTTTGGTAAATGCAAAGATCCCTGGTTCTAGAGCCCTTGCAGAATCTTGAGAGGTGATAGTTTCGGTAGCTGGAAATTCTTTTACGCCACCTTTAGAGCGAGTAGATAATCTCTGGTCGCTTTTCATCTCCGCTACCGGGCCACGAAATATCCTAACATGACCTTCAAGGACAATGAAGACACATCCTTTCGTAACTTCTCCCGCTTCGAATATAAAATGGTTAGCTGGGACGTTGACTGTCTGCATTCGGCCAATCATGAATTTCAACTTGGTGCTCGGAAGTCCAGAAATCGCAGGACAATGATGTAAAAGTCGCTCGAACTCGCTCTTCGCGTAAACCTTCCGCGGTGCACTAAGCTGCAAGCGTGAAGTGGTTCTCACGGCTCGAATAGTTTGCCGCAATGCACGCACAGGATGACAAACCAAATATTCGTCAATTCGAGCAAGGCAAATTCTTGCCAGTTCGCCTGGAATACTAAGAATTTTGGCCGGGTTTCCAGGAGAATCCACGCCAGCGTATGCCACATATCCGAAAGGGCTTGTGGAACCGAGGAGTACCGGCAATAAACCAAACGCACTGCCGCGACAAAGTACTCCAATGGGCTCCACAAACGCAGCACCTCCCTTTCCGAGACACGAAGGACTTTGGCTGGTCGGTGCCATAGGAGCATCTTCTTGATTGATTGGCATGCAATCTCCTTCATCACTGCTGTATTGTGCATGTTCGTTTCTCGTTCGATCAGCTCGTGCATGAGTTCTGAATACTCGAAGATATCCATCCAACAAAATTTTGAGACTCGTGCACTCTGCCCCTTGTTCTTGGACGCACGTGAGCTCTTTTCCAACCACGGAATGTGTGTCCAGCGTAGCGCTCAAACAAAATTGCCGCACAACAGCCAGCGGGAGCTGATTGAAGAACGCCTTCGCTGATGAATATCTTGAGAAAAATATTTCTAGATAGCCCAGCTGCTCGCAGGTGCGGTCGCGCGGAGGCCTTGATGTCAAAATGCTGTAAGCTGTTGAGACTGCAAAATCCGTGTCCAGATAACTCAATCGTGAGGCGAAATAGTCATCAACGGCAACACTTATTGCGTAGGACGCGTCATCGCAGCCTTGCGGTACCGAAAGCAACACACCTTCGGCATCAGAACGGTTGAAATTCAAGGAAGAGCTCAAAAGAAAGCTTTCCCCGTATGAATCTCCTTCAAATAGTTTGCCAATATGAATAGCCGGAATCGTTCCTGGTGCGTGCGTCTCACAGCAGCAAACGGTGTCGGTGTCGTGATCTCTGAGCAGCTTAGCATTTGACTTTAGGTGGTTGAACGCCGCCACGTTGCGGCTTCGATCCGTCGCTAAAGCATTCAATTGAATTTCTTCCGTGCTTTCCGGAACGTGAACACAGCACTCACCACTCAGCAAAAAGTATACTTTGGTTACGCCATCGTAAGCCGGGTGCAACCTTTCACCAGGTTCGAACACGTGAAGTTGTAGCTTTTGAGCAAGTTGAAGTAGAATATCATGCGGCAGCTTTCGGAAGCATTCGTAGCGATGGAGAAACCGCTTCACTACTCGCATGACATGTTGGTCAGCTAGCATCGCTGTATCCAATCGAAAGGGCGCTGTAGAATGCAAATCTGGCTTGTTGAAAAGGAGATGAACATCGCTCAGTATTCTTGCTTCCGCCTCCACGTTAAACCGTGCGATACGAAGATAATCCGCTTTCGTGACGAAGGCTATCACTGCGTACCAAAATCAACAAGTAAAAATAAGACCCCATATTTTGCAGCAGCCAAATGTACAGCGACCAAGATTCTTACACGAGGTGGTTTGCGCCAGCACTGTCGTCTTCCGAAGAACTGCACCAGTAGTAGCATCCTTTTTGAGTGTCGTGCCAAACCACAAATATGTTTTAGCAAAAAGGTAGGCAGTATCCCAATACCGTTCCCAGCGCAACTACCCACCTCGCCACAGTTCGATCCTTGGTTGCACGTGCCGATACACTTGCCCAACCTGTCGACACCTTCGCCACTCCTACTACCTTGAGGGTGATCTCCAGCATCTTCCTGCTTGGAAAACACCAACAAAGACCCCAAAACGACAAGAAATCGTCCACTTGTATCGTCAATGGCATCTCCTTGTCGAAACACCGCCTCCCCATCATGCACGACTCGGAAGTGCAAAACTCTGGCCAGTGCTGCATGCAAACACGGCATTTCCGGCCGTTAACACCTAAACCACCCATTCCACCGCAACACCACAAAGTGTCCCACCGTCAGTGGAAGCCGAGGACAAGCCGGCGTTAAACCTGCTCCGCCGAAGGAGCTCTGCCTGGTGTGCCACACAACGTCAGCCCAAGCAATTCAGCCACCCAACCACCACTTGAAACTCTCCGCACCAATAGCTTGACGTCCACGTCTGAGCGGCAGTGGAACCTGTTGACAGCCATTTCCACTCAGTAACTTTCCCTCTAAAATAATTATTACCTATTATTTATGCAACAAATTAGTAAAATAACCTACGGTTTAGATACGATCCTCCGCAGCAGAGCTCTCTTCTTGTCCGCGCAACAGCCGTCGACTTCGTACGGGAACGCGTCGCGGAACGAGGTGCATGTGTGCGTGGGGGCGGCCGCCCGCCTCGAGCGCAGCAGCCGCAGCACGAGCGCCGCCGCTCGCAGCGTGCGCCACCGCCGGCTCGGGCTCATAAGACGACTTCAACCTGGTTTTTGGGCCAATCGCCGCGCAGGATTTGCAGCACTCGTTTCGTTGGCTGAGCCGAACACGCAGAGCGGTTTCGCGGGGCATACAAAGCGCAAGGTATTTTCGTGGCAGCCACTCGCCCGGCCTCCGCACCCCTTTGTCAGTTGTCAGTTCACTCCGTCCGAGCGTCAAGCAGCGCTCGCTTAGCTCCAGCCTCAGCCTCAGCCCCCCCCCTCCCTCTTCAACCATGTGCGGCATTATCGCGTTGATGCTGGCCAACAAGTACGAGCACTGCAACCAGGGGCTCTACGATGGACTCACGGTGCTGCAGCACCGCGGACAAGGTAACTAACTAGGCCACGTCAGGGGGGTTACTGCTGGGCTAACGGATACTTGCCGCTTGTTGCGAATTGCAGACGCTGCCGGCATCATGACCTGCGAGAAGAAGCGCCTGTTCCTGCGCAAGGACAACGGCCTCGTGCGCGACGTGTTCAAGCAGAACCACATGCTCAACCTGCGCGGCAACATGGGCATCGGCCACTGCCGCTACCCGACGGCGGGCTCGAGCTCGAGCTCGGAGGCGCAACCCTTCTACACCAACTCGCCCTACGGCGTGGCGCTCGCGCACAACGGCAACCTCACCAACTCGCACGAGCTCGTGGACCAGCTGGCCAACACCAACTTCCGCCACGTCAACACGGACTCGGACTCGGAGCTGCTGCTCAACATCCTGGCCGACGAGCTGCTCAAGCGCGTGGACCAGCCGCTGGACACGGAGATGGTGCTGGACGCTGTTGCGGGCGTCTTCAAGCGCTGCCGCGGCGGCTACTCGGCCGTCGTGCTGATCAACGGCTTCGGTATCGTGGCCTTCCGCGACCCGCACGGCATCCGCCCGCTGGTCTACGGCACGCGCAAGTCCCAGCACGGCACTGACTACGTCGTGGCCTCGGAGAGTGTGGCCATCGACACGCTCGAGTTCAAGACGGAGCGCGACTTCGCCCCCGGTGAGGCCATGGTCATTAAGCAGCGCGGCGAGATGACCACCCGCAAGTGCGTCCCCGACGCTAAGCTGTCTCCCTGCATCTTCGAGCACGTATACTTTGCTCGCCCGGACTCGTTCATCGACGGCGTGTCGGTGTATCAGGCGCGCCGCAACATGGGTGCCAAGCTGGCGGAGAAGATCCTGCGCGAGCGTCCGGACCACTGCATTGACGTGGTTATCCCGATCCCTGACACAAGCCGCACGTCGGCTCTTGAGGCCTCGCAGCGCCTCAACATTCCGTACCGCGAGGGCTTCGTCAAGAACCGCTACATTGCGCGTACGTTCATCATGCCTGGCCAGGTTGCGCGTAAGAAGACTGTGCGCATGAAATTGAACGCCATCCGCTCTGAGTTCGAGGGCAAGGTTGTGCTGCTTGTGGACGACTCCATCGTGCGCGGCACGACCTCCCGCCAGATTGTTCAGATCGCTCGTGAGAACGGCGCCAAGGCTGTGTACTTCGCGTCGGCTGCGCCTGCCATCCGCCACCCCAACGTGTACGGTATCGATATGCCCACGACCGAGGAGCTCATCGCCTTCAACAAGACCGAGGCCCAGGTCGCGAAGGAGATTGGCTGCGAGTGGATGATCTACCAGGACCTGAAGGACCTGGAGGACTGCGTGCGGCAGGAGAACTCGGCGCTGGAGAACTTCGATTCGTCGTGCTTCAACGGCCAGTACGTCACGGGCGACGTCAACCAGGCTTACTTCGAGCGGTTGCACGCTGAGCGTTGTGACGCGCGCATGCAGGCCAAGAACATGGGATTCACGCCGTTCAACCGCACCATCTCGACCCCGCAGTCTGACGAGAGCATCGACATGTACAACGCGCCGCAGTAAACTGGGGAGTTTATCTGGTAACGGCAAAGCTGAACGAGGGAACCAGTCCAATTACAATGAACCCCTTGCGGGCGAATGGGCCCCGTGGTAGGGGCCGAGGAAATGTTCCGGATCGCCATGCTTGCTTGGCTTCCTCATCTCTCCGGGGCGTACTTTATCATGGTGGGGTCTTCGGGCCTTTTCCTCTGTAGAATCTACATAGAGCAGAAATGAACTCAGTTTCTTTCCAAACGCTCCCATTACACCATGACCCGCAGGAAGTGTGCTCTGTAAAATCACGAATCAAACGAACAAATAGAACTTTCGTGATGAAATGCTGCCGCATGCTGCTCAGCATCCCCCACACTCTGAAATTTGCTAATTGTATGTTGGGCAGGAAATGCTGCCCATGATCCATGCTACTTCATCTACTGGAATGGCACGCTGTTCTGCGCGAAATATGACTGCAGTGCCGTCAGCGTCGCAGGTGTCGGCAGTTTTGTCTGAGCATACGCCAAATGCTGAAAACACAACAAAATAATCGTCAGAGATGATACATCCCCACCCCAGCGCATTGAATGAGCAAAAAAACAACTTACCACGCCAGGCTTAGAGGCCGACAACTTCGCAATTGACTCGGCAAGGTAGCGCGTTGGCACCGGGTACTCCTGTAGGTGGTCAAGCGGCACCACAGACGCGAAGAAAAGCTTTGCGTAACCAGCTTCGTATCCCGTCTGTTCCAGTTCCAGCAGCGCTTCATCCTCGTCCTTGACTGCAGCACCGCTTTCTCCAGCTTCCTCGAGAACCTTTACCACTGCGGCCAACATTTCTGTCCACAGATCCAGGTCCGCCACACAAAGCTCCGTTTCACACATCAAGCGCGTCAGGCCAATAACACAGGCCTTTCGCTCAGCAGGGGTACGACCGCGAGCGTTGCACGTCAGCCAGACAGACTTGATAAACATGGTCGACATTCCCTTCTGAAGAGCTTCCAGAGATGCCAAAAATGTGTCTGGGCCCAGCTTTCCGATCAGCACAGAGACCGTGTAGATCAGTTCCTTCGTGTATCCCACAGAGTTGCGGCCAGCCATACGAGTCTGCAACCGAATCATGAGGATTTTGACGATTTCGTTCAGGAAGTTCGCGTACGCTTCACGGGCCATGAACGCGAAAAGACCGCGGAGCAACGAAAAAGCGTTCGCTTCAGTAGACCTGGACGAAATGAGCTTCTGGAAAACACCAAGAATTCCCTGCACCGACTGAGCAACATCATTCGGGGCCTTGCGCATGTACGCCTCAATGAGCTTCACAATAGCCGGAACGTTGCTTACACGCTCCCACAGCGTAGGGTTCAGTAGCACCGGGAACATACTCTTGTACGCATCGGAGACGCCGCTCGGTCGGAGTTCGAGCATCTGTGCCAGCACCTGATACACGTAAGGCGACAGTGCATCGACGTCGTTTGTCAGCACCTTCTGGAACGGCGGGAAGAGCAGTTCCTCGAAACGCTCCGTCGCGGCTGGGTTGGTTTTGCAGACGTTCAGGATCATGACGGACAGCGACTCGAAAAGGTAGTGGCTGAACGACGGGTTGCTGGGGTTGGCGCAGATACGGTTCAGGATACTGGTGAGCTTGTTCACAGCCATATCTGTAAGCGGCAAAATGTCCTCCTTGGCCACGTTCATCACCCGCATAATCACCTTCATGAGGTAGTCGTTTTCCGGGTAGTTGGGCTGCTCAAGGATGTTAAATACGTGCTCCAGCAGCTTGCCTAGGTACGGGGCAAGACGCTCCTTCGAGAATCTCAGCGAGCCGGACGGGTCCTTCACGGTAAGAAGGCGCTCGAGGCAAGCAGCAGCGTAGGTGTGCACCACAAACTGCGACGGGTCCATGCAGTTCATCAACAGAGGGAAGAGCTGGTCCATGACTTCCACCGGCATCTGACTACGGAATGTCGAGACAAACTTGATGGCATCGGCCTTCAAGATGAGCGATGCCTGATTGGGAGTCGACAGTTCTGGAAGCACCTCCGCCATGAAAAAGTCCATCAGCGGCACCCGGCTGTTCACCTCAGATACACCACGCAGGCGCGACTGCTTCATCGCGGAAATAGCAATCACCAGGTTGATCGACACGTCTTTCATCGCCCAATTCCGAGCCGGGTCGGCCTTGTACTGCTGGAGGTGGGTTTGGATCGTACTCATACAGATTTGCGTCACAGCCTCGTCAAAGTTGCCAAGCAGGCCACGCACCAAGTCGCGCGCGGCGCTGCGGCGGCTGTCACCGTCAGAGCCCTCAATATCGCGGCGGATGTAGTCCATTGGGTTGTCCTCGAATAGCTCCTCATCCGACGACCGCAGCTGCAGGTTCTTGACCACGATTCCGCACAGCTCCGAGAGCACCTGCGGCGACTCAAACAGCGCGCGGTGGAACGAACGCGAGGCCACCGACGTCAGGAACTTCATGCATTTGGCGGCCGGCTCGTCGTGCTTGGGGAAGAGCGTGATGCGGTTAGCCAGAAGGTTCCAAATCACCTCGGTAAACTTCTGCAAGAAGGGCTTGAACTCCTCGTCGTACTTCTCGGCATACAGGTTAATGTTCTCAACGATCGCCACCAGGAGCCTGTCGATCGGACCGGGCTCGTCCTCATTGTCCGTGTCCACCAGCGCCGGGTTCTCGTAGCTGAAGTAGCTCAAGAACTCGCCCATCCACTCGGAGATGTGGTCCTCGAAGTACTCAGGCAGGTCCTGCCAGTTGAGCGAGTAGAAGATGCGGCTCATGTACCGCAGCGCCGCCATCATGAGCGCCTGCTGCTCGGTCGCAACTCCCGGCGCACGCAGCGCGACGCCCGTCTCCTTGAAGAAGACGAGCAGCGGCTCCTGGAAGGCCTCGAGACAGTGCTTGAGCTCGCGGAACAGGTCGTCGGACTTGAAGACGTTGCGGAAGCGCTTGAAGATGGTGTTGGCCGTCATGAGCACGCCGTTCTTGACCTGCCAGTCCTGCTCGGCCTGCAGCTTCTGCACCAGCTGGGCCAGCAGGTCGGGCCACTGGGCCGGGAAGTCGTACTCGCCGATGGTGGTGAGCGCCTCGATGAGCTGCTTCTGCAGCGTCTCGGGCATGCGGCACATGAGCTCCACCAGGTGCTGCTTGACCAGGTTCTTCTCGTTCTGCGGCACGCAGCCCTGCTTCTCCGGGTCCCAGTTGTGCTTGATGAAGTTCTTGAAGAGCAGCGCGGCCGCCAGGCGCACCTCCTGCTTCTCGGCCGCGCTCTCCAGCACCTGCAGCAGCAGCAGCACGTAGTTGGGCTGCGCCGACAGCGTGTTCAGGTACGCCTCGGCGCCCTTGCGGGTCTCCGCGAAGGGCGACAGCGTCCCCTCCAGCGACTGGCGCAGCATGGGCATGTTGGGCTCCGCCATATCTGCCGAGATCTTGCACTCCAGCTACTCCTCTCTCGGCTTCACTATGAAAAATAATAGCCAGCCACCGTTCTGGAAGGGAGCTAACACATGAAGTGACGCGTAAGTTGTGTTAGTGTGTACCACGCTATTGATACTTCAGATATCGCTACTTCAAAGTGGGTCCGCATTCTCCACACTTGAAGCAGAATTTAGATTGGCATCGACCCGGGTCATGACGATGGGGGCGGAGGACGACGCGCTGGCGGCGGACCTGCTGCAGGTCAAGAAGCTGTTCGCCAACAACCACCTGAGCGACGTGCTGTTCATCTTCTCGTCGGACTCTGGGGAGACCGGTGGCGCTAGTGGCGGCGGCAGCGCTGCTGCGACAGCTGACGACGAGTACAAGAGCTCGACGGGGGGCCATCTCATCCCTGCGCACCGCCTCGTGCTGTCGCTGCGCAGTGGTGCGTTCCAGGCGGCTCTATTGCGCGCCAAGAGCAGCCAGGTGCCGGGCCAGGTGCGCTTCCCGCTCAAGATCCACGTGCAGGACACGCCCTACCGCGTGTTCCACTCGATGCTGCGGTTCCTGTACACAAACGAGCTGGGCACAGAGGCGGAGGAAGGCGGGGGCGGTTTTGGCAGGAGACAGAGAGATAGAGAACAGTTCTGGCAGCAGCTGCTGAGAGCGGCGTTCGTGTACTTGGTGCCGTCGTTGGTGGACATTTGCGTGAAGAGGATCGTGGAATTTTTGGTCTTAGAGGAAGAGGGTGAGGAGGACGCTGACAGTGAAACGGCGAAGGTGAAGGCCGAGGACCGGAAGCTGCGGCTCCAGAAGAAGACGCTGGATGTGCTGGTGTTTATGGATACGGTGCTGGCGACAAACCCTCTGACTGCTCGAAGAAGAGAAGCGTCGGATTCAACTCCGCCGTCGACGCAAAATGGACGGCGATCTTCCAGTGAGCCAGGGGAGGCAGGTGGCTCCGTGTTGTCACGATGCACTGAGGCGGTACATGAACTGCAGAACATGTGCCTGAAACAGCTTCGGCATATGGATGAAGCAGCGTTTGAGGAGCTCTTACAGAGCGACACAGGGAGGCAGTGTTCGACGGAGAGGCTGTGTGAGGTATTGCGAATGCGATCGGATACGCCGTTGGTTGTGGCGATTCGATATCAACTCGGCCGTGTGGTGAACGAGTTGCTGAGACTTGGAGAACCGCTGGAGCATGTTGGAAAAGACGAATCGGATTTACCATTGGTTGCTGCGCTGAAGACGGGGAACAATGCAATCATTCGTCGCCTGCTAGTTGACGAAAGTGCGCCATTCTTCCTGTTGACTGATAAGGTTCCGTTGATATTCTTAGCGAGTGCAAGTGGGAACGTACAGCACTGTGAGATCCTTATCGTGCAGAATGCAGCCGATGTTAACCTTATATCCCAGCTGAAGGACGGAGACAAAGAGATTACAGCGGAGTTTGGGCATCAGCAGACACCCTTGCACATCGCTAGTCGAAAGGGTCACAATGCTGTTGTCGAACTGCTGCTCCAGCATAACGCGGCATCCAATCTGCCCGATGAGGAAGGCAACACGGCACTGCACCACGCAGCAAACATCGAAACAGTTGAAGTGCTCCTGAACAGTGCTTTCAGGACGAACGCCAACATCCCGAACAGACGAGGGCGAACACCACTGCACATTGCTGCCGCGCGTGGAGACGTAGCTGTGGTGGCTTATCTGATTCGTCATGGTGCCGAACAAGATATTGTGGATGACCAAGGTCAGAGTGCATTCCACCATGCTGCAGCCAACGGCCATACTGCGGTCACTCTGGTTCTGCTTCACGAAAACGACGCTACCAAGACTAAAAGCTTAGCTACGCCTGCTGATCGGAGCAGTGAGAACAACGGGGCGGCTGGAGATACTTTGGCGAATGGATCTCAAACGCAAACAAACAACACTGGCGAAGACAGTGGAGAAGAGAACGCAGAGGAGCAGGAAGAGGCAAGTGGATTCGACATCAACCAAGAAGACTTGAAGGGTAACACGGCACTTCATCTTGCGGCCATGTCGCCGTCCGAGCGGTGCCAGAAGATGCTCCAGCTACTGCTGGAAAATGGAGCAGATCCAAATCGGGCAAACTGGTTCGGATACACTCCGCTGCATCTCTTCTGTTCTCACCAGAGCGGCCCAGCATCTCTTATCAGCGCATTTGTAAGTTTCGTATCTGCTTGGTCCATGTGAACCGTGAATTTACTTTTACTGTCGAATTCGTTGTGCTGCGTGCAGATCGAGCATGGCGTGAATATCCATGCACAGAGTCTAGACGGTAGTACAGCGCTGCATCTGGCTGTTGGTCGAGGAAGCGAGGACGTAGCTGTCGCGCTGGTAAGTGCCGGCGCTTTCGTGCACCTGCTGGATGCAGCCGGTCGCAGCGTGGTGGACCTCGTCGAGAGCACGAACCAGGGTTCAATGCTGGTCCCAGTCCTGCGCAACCTGTCGCATCCGCCTGAATGGATCGGCGATGAGCAGACCACGGAGTGTTCTTCGTGTCATACGACGTTCCGACTGGCCATGCGCAAGCACCATTGTCGTCATTGCGGCCGCACCGTGTGCTACAACTGTAGTAGCAACAAGATCGCCATCCCCAAGTTCCAGGTGCTCAAGCCAGATCGCGTGTGCGACACGTGTTTCGACGTATTATCCTTCCGCAAGTTACTATAAGCACGAAGTTGCCATCAAAATGCAAGCACACAACGACAGCAAGCCCTGCCGTCAACCCTCGTCGTGACCAGATGGCTACACTATGCTCTGATTGGTCAATACTCCAGCATCGGTTCAATCCCATGTGGGTGGACATTCAAGAACAAGAATAGCTCCTCAAGACCGTCGCCGCCAGCTCCGCCCGCCGCCCCCATTGTCGCCTAGAGCTTGCATCGTCCCCTCCTCGTGTCATGGCAACTCGTGCTGAGGTGCCGCCGCCTGCACCCGCGTCGCTCGCGCCCGAAACGACGCCACAGGAGCCGCAAAGTGGGGACAAGGAGTTCTTCGTGCTGAGCAACCTCGTTGGCGTCGAGCTGCGCTGCGTTGTGAACCCCAAATGGCCGTGCGAGGCGCTGCTCGGTGCGGCTGCAGAGGCCTACCAGGTCGCCTTCCCGAACAGCGAAGTGCCCGAGTGCAACGTGGTCTTCCACCGCAAGAAGCAGGAGTTCCTGGTGGCCGGCACGCCAATCATTGAATGCTGCGCCAATCGCGACGAGCTGGAGCTGGGCGTCACACTACCTGCGCGCGCTAGTGCAAACGTTGATGATGCAGCATCCGTTGCCCCGAGCAGCGTCAGCGGAGTCGACAGCGACGGTGAGACGAGTGAGTTCTGTGTGCTCTTTCATAAACTGCCGCTGGGCTTTACCATGAAGCGCGGACATGACGGAAACACGGAGGTGGGCACCATTTACCCGAAGAGTGCGGCGACACACTTTCCTCGCTTGACACCGGGCGTGACTATCGTCAGCATCGCTGGTACACCGCTCAAGGATATGGGCCTTCGACAGGTACATGACCTGATCAAGAACGCGGAACTGCCTCTGGAGATTCATTTCCGAGGACCCGAGCTGGCGCCGTCACTCACGCCAGGGCAGCAGGAAGCATCGCTTTCAAGACTGTCGGGGTCGGCGGGACCGCCGCCAACTCATCCTCAGCAGGGAGGGCGTCGTAGAGGGTCGTTTGACCGACGCAGTGTGCGGAGCAGCGGTAGCAACGGTAGTGGCCGCAGTCGCAACAGTCGTAGCAGCGGACGGGGCAGGAAGAAAAGTGGTGAGGTCATTCTTCAGCAAGGTGGTGACAATCAGCAGAAGGGCGAAGGCGGCAAAATGCGGGTCCAAGCAGGAGCTCATACCGATGCCAGTGACTCGAATCAGCGAGGCGGGCCTGAGGAGCATGAGGCTGATAAGTCGGCTGAGGCTGAGCTAGTGGAACAGATCGAGCAACTCAAGGTGGCACTGCTGCGCAAACACGAAGAAGCGAAGCAGATTGCGCGTCAGCTAGAGATGTGCTCCGAAAAGCTTCTTGCATTGCGCGGTGAATCTGCTGGTGCGGTGCCTCGTGGCCAGCAACAGCAGCAAAAACAGCAATCCAAGCAAAATGGCACCCCACGTTTGCGTCGTTCAGCCACGTCTTCATCGAGCAATGGCGGATCCAAGGTTCGCCTGACTCCTGAAGTCTTGGAGGCCATGGACCAAAAGGCGGGGCTCCCTCGGCGTGGCACTGGTGCATACACTTCGTCGAACGTGTCTTCCATCTCGGGGTATTCTGCGCAGTCCATGCCTGCAGCTCGCTCTGCGAGCATGCGTGCCCGAAGTGCTCGCGCGGCTGCTCTTGCCAATGCTGACAACGTGTCGGTATCGTCGTACACATCGAACTCATCGAATACGTCTGCACGTCGCGGTGGCAGTCGCTCGCCTCGGGGCACGGCGCTACGGAACCTCAACAAGCGGTACAACTACATGCCGCAAAAGTATGCAGCGAACACAACGGGTGCTTCGGAAGGAGGGTCCACGTCATTGTCTTCGCGCGGTGCCGTGATGTCTCGTGCGCGCATCTCGCGCGACTCGTTCATTACCAAGAGCGAGAGTCCTGGTGTTGGGTACTACGACGTGCAAGTCAAGGATCGCGTCAAAGGGGGTGAAATTGGCGACTCGGACCGCTCCCTGCCGTGGTCTTGAGCGCACTCAGTACGTCATCTGGAGATTGCATGGTAGCAGTGTAAGAAGCAGTGCCGATGTTTGTCTCCTCCATATCATTGACGCATCGATAGGACACGACCATGGTCCTCGTTTGCTAAGAAGCCACACGCGAATTAAATCAATAGACATGCCACTTTCATCAAGGTGAACGAGTGTGGATCGTGTTGTTATGAGCTCGAACTCCCTCGATGAAGCAAATGAAACCCTACACTGAAGTGTTTGTAAATCTACTGAATGACGCATGGAGAGAACTCACACGCACGCTAGCGCCAACGCTACGCTCCCCTGTCACGGGAGATCGGGTTTGTATCAAAGCAAGCCCAACCGCCCAGCAGGAAGAAGCCAGCCGCGACATAAATACTTGACTACGCCCTAACAATTATTCGCCTCCCTTCTCTCGATCGCTGCAGCTGCGTTTGAAGAGGCCGCGACGAATGTCGAGAAGTTCCAGCACCTCAGAAGTCGGCCACGCCGGTAGGGGAGTCGTCCCGCTCGTAGTTCTTGTTGCGAGGGCCGAAGGTCGCTTCAAAGTGTTCCCACACAGCTTGAAAGCACGGCGCCACCTGCTTCTCGTCGTAGCCCGTGAGCACGGACAGCTCGTCCCGCCAGAGTGGGGTGACCCCGAGCGCCTTGCGGGACGCCACTAAAATACTCGCGGCGACGACTGACGGTCGGTACACCTGCAGCGAATACTCCTGTAGCACGAGGTCCACGAAGAACTCTGCGTACTTGCAATAGTAGCCGTGCGCTTCGTCCACGAGCTCGGATCCCAGCAACCTGTCGTCGGCGAAGAGCACGGTCTGGCCAATGTAGTGCTGCAGGAAGTGCAGCGGCGTCACGACCGTGAGTCGCCATCCCAGTCTGCAGGCACACAAGTACGTCACCAAAGCAAATTTAGCGCAAAGGAGGTTACGGCACCACACGTGTCCACTTTGCAGCAAAGCAAAACTCCCACTCAAAAGGGGGCCGTTGGTGGTTTGCTGCTGCGTGACGAACAATAAAGACCTCACGCACTTTTGGAAGATGTCGGCCTCGGCGTCGCTGATCTCCTCGAACGAGTACATGCGGTTGCCCATCTCCCAGAACTCGGCCATGGGCGGCAGCTCCTCGTCCGTGCCCAGGAACTTGAGCGCCATGCGCAGGCAGCTGAGCGCCAGCAGCTGGAACCGGTCCTTGCGGGGCAGCGGCGCGTCTCGGGCCAGCATCTTCTCCAAGTACCCCACGGCGGCGTGCACGTACTCCTTGCGCATGCGTAGGTGGGTCTCCCCCACGTCGGCCATCCACTCGACGAGCACGCGGCGGTACTTGACGTACTCGTACTGCTTGGAGAAGTCCGGGCGCACGAGCTCCTGGCGCAGCATGGCGCGGTACACGATGTCCACGTCGCGGTCCTCCAGTGCCACAAGCTACGGAAATGAAATCATAGGACAATAATTATTGTCATAAAAATATTGTCAAAGTGAAGGGAGGACATGACGTACATTTTGCTCCTCGAAGGAGAGCTCGGCGGACCAGGGCGCCTCCGACGCGAGCAGCCCCAGCACCTCGCCCGCCTCGGACTCTTGCGTGCTCATGAGGTCTTCGTCGTCCAGTACTTCGTCGCACTCGAGGCATTGCGCTTCCCACTCCATGGTTGAGACGACGTGCAAACGGAAACTATCCCCTGTTGCCTTTGAGCTGCGAGAGGAGGGAGGAACCGCAGGGAGGGAGGGAAGGGGGACGAGGGTTCGGGTGCTGCTGGCGACTTGCCTTGCCTCCGGGGAGATCGCTCGCTCGCCGAGTGTGTTGTTGCCCACCGCCACAAAAGCGCAAATGCAAGACGAAGGCAATGCGCACCCAGAGCAGCACCTGGCACTGCTATGTGCGACCCGCCCCATACTGAGCCCAAGTGTTGCGTTGAAGCCCCGTTTCTGGCGGGAGATCCCTCTCGCTCATCCCCTCTTGAGGCATTTCCACTCGCCCAAACGCCTCATTGGAGACCGGGCAACTCAAACTACTGCCTGCGATCGGCTCCGGGGGGCGTGCGGCATCGCTAGCGGCCTAGGACCAAGCGCATTGCTCTTGGAGCTGTGCCAACACTATGCCGGGCCAAGAAACCCGCGCTGGGGGCGACGTCGGAGACTGTCGCACAACTAAGCAACACCGTATTTGCCTTAATTAAGCAGCCCTAGCCCGGATATGCACCTAAAATAAAAGTGAAAGGCAACACTGCTCAGTGGGCGCGCCGTTGCGTTGCTTGGATGGACAGCGCGCAATGGAGCCTCGCGTTGTGGACTTTGCCGATAGATATACTATTCAGTGGGTGATATTGGCCTTGGCACTATGCTTTCGGCGCTGATATGATTATGTAGCCATCTGTGTCCCTCAAGCGCAGATGACCCGCAGGTTGTAGTCTCCTAATCATCCAACTGGGACAGCATTGCCACTCCACGAGCCACCCAATGTGCTTCGGGCCTGCTTGTCGGCAGCCGGATGAAGCAGATGAAGTTGGTCGAGTGGCCAGTTGTAGACAACGTGCCTCGCCTCTCGCTGCGAACATGCAACAACACAAGTATCATCATCCAACCGGTTAGACTCGCGATATCTTTAAAACACCGGATCCATTGCAGTTGCAGGACGCACCTCGTCTTGTAAACCGGGCACGAGTACGAGCTGCGCTGGCTCATTTCGGTCTTCTTCACTGGCCGGAACAGCAGCACCGGCGCCAGCGAGAACAGCACCTTTGGGTCCGACTCCGCCAGCTCATTCGTGGATTTATCCCACTTGGCTCCTTCGAGGAACAACCCCCGCACATATACGCCGTCCTGGCAGCACAACACACACACATACAATTGTGTAAGTTTTAGCTCAGCGTGTTTCCAATCTATGATCGACCGTACCTTTGGTGGTTGCGCGTAGTCGTTTCGCGGCATGGGTTCGTGGTCGAAGCCTAGCTGGTCAATTGGAAGGGTGTACTTACGCGCGTAGTTCTGACTGGCACCTGTGAGGAATGCCTGAGTGAAGAAGAACCCAGAGATCCAGAAGACGACGGGCGGCTTCTCCAGCAACCACTTGTTGAAGAAGGCGATTCGCTCCAGCAAGTCGGTCACGTAGCTACCCAACGGCTTTAGAGAAGGGTACGACTTGGACGCCCAGAGAGCAGGGATCTTGCCGTAGAATAGGCTCTTGGACACGTTCTCGAGCTCTGCAGACATCACAACAAGACCCTTGAGAGCCTTTTGCAGGCTTTCGAGACTCGAACGGATGGTCGACATGAGGTTGTTGAAGCGAACGAGCTCTTGGCAGAGAACCGTGTTCATGGACTCATCCCAGCGCACCGGATAGCGGATTTGAGCCACCTCCATGTCAAAGTTTGGTGGCAGGCGCTGCAGAATGTCGTTGGCTACGACCTCCACCAGCTCTTCTTGGGATCCGCTGCTGCCTTCGCTGCCTCCACCCGAACTTTGTGTGAGTAGCACGTCTCGGCAAAGCTTGGCAGTCGCATTCTGGTCCTTCGTGATCGTGGCATTATCGTGGAGTCCAAACACCCCCGGTGGGGCTACTAGCGGCAAACCTTCGATGAACTTGAGGTACGAGTCGTAGTCCCCATCAGGTGGCATAGTGTACACTCCTTGCTCATCGAACGCGTAGCCTTCTTTGAACACATCCAGGCAGTAAAACTTGCCCAGAACAGACATGAGTGTACGACGGTCCTTATCATCCGTCACGCGCCCGCCGTAGTTACACTCGCCGGTGCAATAGTTGAGCGCACGCAGTGGCAACTGCACGTTCTCATCGATAAACATCGCTAATTGGCGAATGCTGATACTAAGGTCGGACTCGTTGAATTCGTACTGAATATTCCATCCAAGCGGTCCAAACTGCCGACGCTCACGCACCAGGGCGTGGAAGAAACACAACGAGTACAACAACACGCGGAACTCGGTGCCTTTGACCACCGATTCCAAGAAGCCCTTCTCGCCTATGGGGTCGGACATGTACGAGCCCATGAGGTTTGCACGCAGGCCTTGGGGCGGTTCATTCGTCATCTTGACGCCATTTTGCAGAACCGCTGCTGGAAACACATCGGACGGGTATGTCGTGCACCACAACCGGAAGTCAGGGTGCGTGTTGTCGAGCTTGATGTCTTCAGCGATCTTCTCCATCACGGGCATCCAGCTCGGCGCTAAATGGCAATTTTGGAGGACGACCCACGATCCCGCCTCACGAGCACGAACGATCATGCGCTCAGCAATGGGGCCCTGGCCTTGGCCTAGTGAAATCGTCTCTGCCTTCTGTCGAAGTGAGTCGGCAAACTTGAGCACGGAGCTGATTGGATCCGATCCTGGTGACAAGATGAACACCAAGGGCGATGATACGCTGCTGTCTGAATACGAAAGCGCCAGATCAAACTGCGGGGGCTTGACGAACTTTTCGCCCATTTCCCTCACAAGGAACTGCTGGATTCCTACGACCAACAGATCTGGACGAATACATCGCAGTCCCAATAGCCGACGGAACTCGCTCACTCGGCCCATTAGTCCGGGGAACGGGAGGGTGTGACCGATTGGACTGTCGTACACAGCCTTCCACTGGTCCTCGCTATCGATGAACTCCTCGATGATGCCGTGGAAGGCTGGCAGAGCACTTAATCGTGAAAACTCGGCCCACTGCTTGTCACTGAGCCACAACTTGGCTGGGTTTGGTGGTGGCTCCGACAGAGCGACGCCTCCAGTCAGCAAGAAATACCACTCGTTGCTCTCAATCTCGTGTTTGCCTTGCTTGATGGAGATGCACAGCAAGAAGGAGAACATGAGTTTGTCCTTTTCCAGCAAAGAGCGGCAAATATTCCGATAGAGTGAGTACGTGAAGTGGGCGTCGAGGTTATGCAGCCGTTGGGCCAGATCAGGTGATCGATCACTGTTGAGGATACTCGCGATAAACAGGTTGATGAACCACGACAGTGAGTACTGGTAGACCGGCTCGATGTTGGCGAGCTGGTCGATGCAGAAGAATAGCACCTGGCTGGAATAGGCCACCGGTTTGTACCCTTGTCTGACAGAATCAATCTCAATCTCCGTCTTCTCGGCGACCAGTTGCTCCTTTTTAATCTCGTCTGCGACCTGTTTGCTCTGGTTCATCGTGTTGATAGCGTCCTCGTCCTCTAAGATATTTCCTTGGGATGATGATAAAATATTCAGGATCTTGTCCTCGATCTCCTTGAGCAAGCCCTTGTTGCGAGCATTCTGCACAATCAACTTGTTCTTTTGTTCTTCCAAGTCAGGCCTCTCCTGAGCAACAACAATCCCCAAAAGTTGGTCTTCAAGGCCGTGCGGTGTGATCATGAAGTTCAAAAGCGTCACTTTCACCGATACTTCCGGTAGATAGTGCGGGTTCCGGTACTTAGTCGTAATGTAGAAGCGGAAGTTCTCAGCATACTCCACAGTCGAGTCGCCAAGTCGAATGCAAGTCACTCCGCCTTGCTTGAACGTTTGCTTCAGTAGCAGCGGCTCTAGCGAAGGGTCCAGCTCTTCGCCGACATTCTCTAGCAGAACGGGAGTGCCAAATTGTACGGCGTTTTCTAACGTTCGCATGTAGTCTGCATCCGTTAGCTTGATCACCGTCATTTGGTTTTCTTTCTCCATATTACGAATCCACTTGTTAGCTTGGCCCTGCGGATCGATCATCAGTGGCCATCGGCGTGAATTGAAAACGATGATACCGTTGTCTACAGAGAAGCCGTCAGTGGGGAGTCCATCGATGTTCCACTTCCGAATTTGAACTGCGTCGCCGAGTGATCCATTCAGAGACGGCGAGTCGCTGCATGGAATGTCAAGCTGCTTGCAGCGTGCTACCCAATCGTGCACTGCATCCTGCCGATACAATGACGTGAAAGGGCCGAGGTACGCAACGACTCCTGCCGATATCAAGACATCTCCTGTCAGTCGGCTGTATTGGACTGCCAACTGTTCTGCGAACTCCGTCCAGCGTGTCTTCTCACCACCAAGGCTCTCAATCAGAGTGGACGCTCGGACAAGCTTCTTGCCAGTAAGATCCACTTGGTATTCGAGGTTTTCCTTCTGTTTCGTGGCGGAGTCGAATTGCCGCTGCAACTCGGCGAGTCCGTCTTCGACCTCTTTCAGCTGCGACAGCTTCTCGTTTAGCTTTTGCATAACCTCGCCAAGCTGCTGCTCAGCTACCCTCAGCGCTTCACGCTTGGGTGCAACTACCTTGGAGACGTTGTCATACAGTGCCATGGCGTGCACCCACTTACATAGTCCTGCCGCTGCTTTCGAGGCCTTCTCAGCCTTTTCTGGGCTGAAATTCTCGTCCGCGATATACTTGCTCGTGACAATTTTCATCGTTTTGGGGTCAAGGTTGTCCTTGTCGAACTTCTTCAGCGTTGTGATAAACGTGGGGTCGCTGAGCATTTTCTGCGACGGACCCCAGTAGTCCATGATACGCTTTGAAGGATCCTGAGGGTCTGGGATACGAGCAGGTTTGATTCCAAGCATCACACAAACACCTTCGCACACCAATTTCACACCTGCTGGGGGGTTGCTCATGGCTTTGACTTCGTTGATTTCACTCGGCTTGATAGTGTCGAGGGCCTTCAAGGCTTCTTCCAGAGCTGGGATGGCTTCGGCCAAGTCTGCCTCCACGCTGGCTTTCTGCAGCTCGCACTCTGCCTTCGAAGCATCAGCTACTGCAACGTCAGCTTGCACCTCGCTTCGCTGAACTTCGACCCCAGGAAGTTTGGCCTTGATTTCCTCCATCAGAATGTCCGTATCCTTTTTGGACTGATCCAGAACTGGTTGCAAGTCTTCGAGCTCCTTTCGCATCACCGCCACGTTGTTCTCTGCGAAGTTGATCTTTTCGAGACCGACCACGTACCGGTTGCGAGCATTTTGTACTGCTTCACGCCGACGCGCGAGGAAGCTTTTGAATGCCACGATGAGCTCGAGATACGAGGTCGGCGTGACGTAGTTTTGGCGACGCAAGGATTTTAGGAATCTGTCGGATAGATCCATCACGCTTACGTGGAAGTACTGACAGGTGTCCACAATGGCTTTACGAACATTTGCACTATCCATCTCCACGTCAGCCAGGAATTTCTCGGCCACAGCCACCAGAGCATCCGAAGGCCATGCAGTGAACCAATCGATCGTACAACAATTGATCAGCGACGGGAACTTCCGCAATCTGTCTCGGAAGGCGTCTCCGATGGGGGAACATGCGAGAACAATGTGCAAGTTGCTTCGCACTCGTTGCAGGAAAAATGCGTACAGCTGGGTCTGGTTCATGTTGTCTCCCACCGCCTTGCCAAACTTCTCTTTAACATGAGGTCGAACAGCTTCACAGATGCCCACCCTCTCATCATAGGGGAACAAATTTGGGATCTCTCCAGAGTTTAGCATGTTGTTGATGTCTTCCACAAAGCCGTCATACTTGATTTGTGTATCACTGAAGAGGAACACAAGCGGCCTCGCGCCTGTGCCAGCCATACGCAATACATCTTTCATATCTTCGCGCCACTCCGTCATCGTGTAGTTCTTCGAGATTTCGATCTGCTTGATCTCAAAATCAACAATAAACGCTGACAATCGCGTCAAACTTTGGCGACCACTGCCACCCACGCCAACAAGAAGCGCATTTCCACCGGGCATGTTGAGCACGCGAACAATGCGCGACAAATGCTCAATAGCAAACAGGAACATCACGAGATTCATGGGCTTGCGGCTGATGCCATTGTATTCGGTCAAGTAGCCGTCCAGACACTGAATGAGCTGAGCGATGCCGTCAAAGTCGGTGTCCAAGCGAACATCCACCTCCTTATAGAGCCTCGGGCTGGCATCAGGGTCCATGTAGTCACCAAAGAACAGATTTCGCATGTCAACAGCCGAGACTGGGCCCTCACGCCCTCGTTTAAGGCTCGTAAACACCTTGTCAAAGTTCGTCGCGAAGTGCTTGATGGTGATTTTCTTTTGCACGTCATTAAACCACTCGCGGTCTTCATCATCGATCAAACGGTCACCAATCACACGAAGAGATTCGTGCACCCAAAGCTTCACCAGACTGTTAGCGTTGAATTGGTCGTTGGGCACTACGAGCATAATTCCTTGAACAATTCGAGAGAAGTCACGAAGGTTAAATGTGTAATGGGACTTTTTGGGAGTAGGAAGTAGAGCAGTCATAGCAGATTGATACAGCTCTAGTGTCGCTGATACAACCGCCTCTGAGAGCCGCTTCACCTCTGGGATGAACGGATTAGAGCCAAAGTACCAGTCCAGAATCGTGGTGAAGATGCGTGTGAGCGTCGTATCATCAAACTCGGAAAAGCACAGCAGGTTGAAGTGCCGAAGCAGTCGAGGAGTCACGTGGTTTCTTCCTCCGCCGGGGGGTCCCATTGCAGCTAGCACGATAGTGTCGACAATTTTCCGCCATGACATTTCCTTCAGGTCGTAATAGCCTTCACTATCGATAAGCTGTCTCACCAACTCGATGGGTGGCTGGGCACCATACGTCTCCACTAGTGGCATATTCAGGTCGTCGACAAATACGATAGCGTTCTTGCCCAGAGGGGGGCCGAACACACCCTTGCGTCTCTTGTCCAGCTTCCCGTCAATAATATTCTGAGTCATGTTCGCTGACGTTTTCGCAGAGAATGACAACATGATCACAGAGTTCTGGTCCTGAGGCAGCACCTCATTCAAGATAGAGGTCATGTAACAAGACTTCCCCGTTCCTGTAGGACCGCAAACAAGCACCCTCCTCTTGTTGGACACGAGAAGCTGCACCAGATACTCTAATTGCGCCGTGAAGATTGTCGGTACTACGATCTGGTTGAACGGTGTGTTGGGCTGAATCACATACGCTTTAAGCATCTCCTCCCACTTCATCCACTTGCTCTCTTCGATGTTAAAGTAGTAGTCGTGCAGGTTGCCCTTGTTAGGCATTGGGAGGGCCAGTGCGTACGTATTTTTGCCGTCGTCGAAAGCAGGTTTCTCCCACTTGCGCACCTGGAGTGCGCGGCTCACCACGATGTACTTGCTCTCCAGTGTCTGAATATTTTCCATGATGGAGCGAACGAACTCACAGAATCGGGTCCGGCCTTCGGAATTAATGGTCTCGCCAACTGACCAAGTAAGCGAAAACATGAATAGAGCTTCGATGGTTGCTTTCTTCTTAGACGCTGCATCCTTTGGAAGCTTGCACAACTGCGCCTCAAAGATGTAAATGAGACTCTGGACGAGGTTGGTATCAACGGTAGGGGAGAGTTCAACCAGTTCTTTTCTGACAAACGCGATGCATGGTTCAACTAGCCACGAGAACAGGAAAAAGATGAGGCTTCGCTGCTCGCTGTTGATCTCAAACGGACCGAACGGGGGCTCCTTGCTTCCTTCTGGCACTGTGATTGAGTCTAGCCATGAATTAAGCACCGGAATCCAGCCTAGCTGCTCTGGTTCCATGTAAATCATACCACAACGAGACACTGTCGCAGGTGATGCAACCAGCAAGTCCATCGGCTCGAACATCATACTCATGACCGTGCTCATCGCAATAATCTCGCCGCTCATCAAACACAACTTACGATTGTCGTCGAGCACGGTGTTCATGTTTTCGATCCAGACAGCATCAACAGGGCCATCGAACATAAGCCATTTACGATCCGGCGAAGGGTTATTAGCCAAGTTGCGGTAGTTGATGGCGAGCACGCCGTCATTCCATTCGTGGGAGACGGCATCGAATTGACCATAAAGCTGCCCCATCGTCACGGACTTTGGGTTGATCACGGATACGATGACATTGGTATAGCGATGGTCGTTGGGGAACTGCTGGTGTAAGTGAGCTAGCACTTCGGATAGAACCCGCCACGAGCACGTCTTCCCTGAGAACGGCATTCCTACAACCATGAAGCCGTGTCGCACGATCATCATCTCGTAGATCTGGATCACCTTCTCCACAAAGTTCGGCACGGGCTGTAAGTTCATTTGTTTGCACACATGGTTAATCGAGTTCAGCATGTCGGCTCGGTCGGGTGGGTCGATAGTCACGCCAGGGAACAGATCCGACACGATACCATTGAACAGAGGAACATCAGGAGATAAAAACTTGGGCAAGTTGACGTCGATGATGGATCGTAGCACCAGTGTATCTTCACGCAAATGTCCCTCTGCACGCTTCAAGTTACCCGCGGCTCGGAGCACAGCCATGACGGCTCGCATTCCGTAGTCGTAGTGAGATTGGGATGATAACTGCTCAGAGCATAGAGTATACGTCGTCGTGATTTTCTTGGACAGAGCGCTAGCATCCATATAGCCGTAAGAGTAGAGCATGATCTCTGCAATCATGGCATAATCCGGCACCATCATCGCCACAGTTCGGAAGAGCACCTTCAAGTTGTCAGGCAGTTCTGCTCGCCCTGCATACCCAGGATTCATCGTGATGAAAGGACAGCACGTTGGGTTGAGTCGTAGCTCAGTGCCCTCGAAGATAAAGCTTGCCAGGTTCTGTGCCTTTGCCAGTTGAATGCAAAGAATCTGTTGGGCGATCACCGACAGCACCTCCAACTGAATACGATTGAACTCATCGAAGCACGCCCATGCGCCAGAACTTGCGAGTCCCTTGAAGAATTTCCCCATTGCAAGATAATCGAGACCGTCAGAGCAATTGGTAACCACGCACTGGATAGCGATTGCTTTCGCAAGATCTTTTGTCGTCTCGGTCTTGCCAGTACCAGCAGGACCCTCCGGCGCACCACCAAGGTTAAGGTGAATCGCCCCCGTTAGAGTTCGGTAGCACCTATCCGTCAGCGGAGTGATCACCAAGCGCATGCTGTTTCCTAGGTACTCAAACGCGTACAGAGCCAATGTGTTGATCATTCGGCATTCGAGTGTATGCGGCTTGCCAGTTGTCGCCGAGACACCGCCTTGGATCCAGTAGTACCGCAGTTGAGCAAGCCAATCGAAGTCGGATTTATCCGTGATCTTCAGGTCAACCAGCTCAGCGATTGTGTCTCGGTTGTGCACATCCATAACCACAAGTGCTCCGAGAGTAATACGAATAAGCTTCGGTAGTTCACCGCGGACCATCTCAACAGTTCGCTTAAGCTCTGTCCTGAGCACTTCCAAGTGGTTACTTAACGCGTTAGGATCCTTTTCGCACTCATTGAGTGCTTTCTCGCTCTGTTGGGTCCACATCGTTTGGTTCACAGCCAGAACCACTTGTCCGGGCCACTGCTGTACCCACTCTAATCTGTCTTTGGTCGGGTAATCCATGATAGATCCATCCAAATGGAAGGCAACGCTCTTTTTCATAGTCATTTCAACCTCCTCCAGCCAGACCTCGACATTTCCTCCAGAGTTGTTCGGATTGATGAGATTTTGCGAAATCTTCTCATACCGGAAGGGCACTTTCTCCATCTCCGGACTAAGCATTGCGGTGATATCCAAATTGTCCTGGAACTCAAGCTGAGAAATTCCATCGAAGGCTTTCTTGAGGTGGGGCTGGACACGCAGTGGGTCTTTCGTTTCGGCAAGGATTTCCAGTAGCTCGTCGTTAGACAAGAAGAAGAAACGCGGGAAGTATAGTCGCTTCGTCTCCAAGTAGTCGTTCAGGCCTTTCTGAATCGTGTCCAAGTCCATGTTAGACTGTTGCAAACTCGGTAGCAAGTCGCTACGCTCTGCCACCGTCAGAACAGCAGGGGATGCAACCGTTTCTTGCATATTGCGACGCCAGTTCGAGTCGACTTTGCGGAAAAGAGCACCTTCGGTCGGCATTTGCCGCATAATATCATCCGAACTAAAGATTGGTTCGAGGTACAGCCACGTTGCTTGCACCTTAATCCAGTTATCCATGATATCTTGGATTGAGATGAGCATTTTCTCCCACTTGCTGATTCGCTCGAAGTACGGCTTGTTATACCGACTTCCACGCATGGACTGGGTCTTGACGATCTGGTCGTCGATAATTTGCTGGATTTCATCTGTAGAGCACAGGATAGAGGTGCCTGTTGACCGATACTCCTTCGTGGAAAAGTTGATGCCCACCCACTCCGTCTCCATTTTGTCGAGCGCTTTCTCTAATGAGTACTCCTTCGAAGCACTGACACAGGTTTCTTCGATTGCGCCCGTGAAGCGGTGCAAGCCGAGCTCTATCATCTGATTGATATTCGATCCCTCGTGAACTTGGACCTCAATGCCCGTGATGCGTTCAATCTCTTCCCAGTGACGGTCGCGAATGCCGGGGGTGCACAGCAGCACCATCAGCGGAATAATGTTATCAAGCATATCATCCAGCGTTTTCTTCACCTCCTGAGCCATCGTGATTGCCACCGCGTACACGTCGGTATTCTTTTCACACTCCTTAATGATCTTCACGATAGTGCGGCGGAACTGGTCACAGTCGCGCTCTATCTCTTCAGCATTCACAGTCGCTAGCGGAGCCTCACGACTAAACGTCACCTTCTCCATTGTCTGAGAGATAGTAGACCACAACTTCTCGATGGGGTTGAGCATGTCGTACAGATCTGTCAAGGCGGTCTGGTTATTCGTGATGCTCATACCCAGCATCGCTTCTTGCTCTTTGATGGACTCAGCCTCAGCTTCGGCATCTTCAAGGGATTTCCGCGCCGCCTCGATACGCTTCAGAATACTCTCCGAGTCCGCCAGGTTCGCATAATCTCGCATTTTCTCAATACGACGTTGCAAGGACGAAAACTGGCTCGAGAGCTGCTCTTGGCGGCCCTCAACAATAAGCTCCAACTCGTGTTGCCGCTTGGTCTGGAGCTCCATACTTTTCCGCTGGAACCCTTTAATGTTCTCTGGCCAACGAAATGTGTTGAAAAAGAGTTGGATCTCCTCGCGAGCCATTTGAAAGTCGAAATCCTTGAGAAACTGAATGCAGCGACACACATCGTCGTAAAATTTGGTGTTCAAGACATCGATGAGCTCAATGCTCGTGACGTAGAACTTGTCAAGTGCCTTCAGCTCGAAAGAGTCCAATGGTTCCGTCACCAGCTTTGCCCCAATTTGCTCATACTCTGCGATCATCGAGCTCATCTGTTTGGTATTGTCGGCTGACACTTTACTCAGAACTTTGTTCGCATGGGCTTTGATCTTGTTCACTAGCTTGACTTTCACATCGGTACACGAAATTGCCAAGAGCTTGAAGCTGTATTTGTCACAGATCTCGTCCTTCACGCGGCTTTCCAGAACCTTCAGCTCATTGAGCTCGTGACGGTACACCAAAAGTATATCATTGGCCGTCTTAGGCTCCGTCGTTCCTTCCCCACGCAAAAGTTTATCACTTGATTCAATCAACGCCTCAAGTTTAACCTCATATTCCCCATTGATAAGGTAGTCATAGGGCTGGAACAGCGCTAGGATCTCGGTCGGGTCGTGCATGTGCTCTGCGATAAGCTCAGCCAAAGCGTTTTTCGCTTTTACGACAAAAGTGTCGTCGAGTGCCATTGTACTTGGACCAAGTGTGGCTGAATTACGTAGCTTCGAAGGAATTTTCGTTTGGCCGTCAATCCGAGGGAAATTGTGAGAGGACTCGACAATGATGTCGACACAGGATGCAATCTTCTCGCGCAACGCATTAGGCGAAGGCTCAATGAAAAAGCCGTCTTGCGTTCTCACGGTTCCGTCGCTGATGATAGTGCAGTCCACAGACAGAAGCAGCGCAGATTCGCCATTGAACGTAGGGTTCGAAAACTGTCGAATGAATCCAACGAACGTATTCACCGACGCTTCAACAGATTCCCTCAAATTCCTTGCCATCAAGACCGCCGCTGCGTCGAGAACACCGACAAAGTTTTGGTACAAAGCTGCTTCGGGGTCTTCGGAATTGGCGCTTGAAGTACCCAGTCGATCTGGCTGGGGTTTCTGGACTAGCCCCTCAAACTCCAATCGGTCTCGTAGAAGTTTGTTGTGCGCTTCATGACCCGGTGATCCTCGCGATGGGTCACCTTTGGATTTAGAGGGAGACGCGCGATTGCTAACAGCAACACTTCGTACTGCCCCTGCCGCTCCAGGTACAACCGTGTTTTCCGCTGGATTGGCACTGGTGCGGATAGCATAGTAATGCAAATGCAGTGCGCACTCATTTACTCTCTTCGCCGCAGCAGAAACCCAGCACGTCTTCAAACAATCCTTCACGAGATCCGCGCGTCTGGAGATCGCGTCTACAAAGTGATCAACGGTTTTCGGCAATGTCGCCCGAAACTCGGGACTATAAACGTCAACGAAAAGGATCGTCGAGAAAGTAGTCCCTCCTCCAGTCGTCGACATTTCCCATTCAGGCGGCGGTATCTCCATAATCCACTGTTCCTGGAGAGCGTAAGTTACTGGGTTGATAGCAAACAGGTATTGCTGAATTCGACTTCGTGCTAGTTCCGCTCGAAAACTGTCGATTCCGGTTTGGCGCAGAACCCGCCACGCGTCCGACTGGTACATCTCGTCTGTCCACCATTTCTGCTCTGCTTGTAGAAACGGAGGGTAAATGTTCATTTTCAGGCATGTGTTCGCGTCCAGAAGATCGTATGAGAGCATGCTCCGCGCAACAGTCTCGTAGTAGTCTGCGTACACTTCCTGGAAAATCTCGGCGATCATGGCTTCACTTCGATCATCAAAAGTCTGCAGGCCCTCAGCATCCAATCCAGTTGGCGGTGGTACTTGGAGACGTCTAAGAATGCGATGGGGGCGATCCGGGGCCATAGGCACGGTTCTAGCAGCAGCCAGATACTGATCCACCTGCTTCCAGTACGCCTCCATCGTCTTCACGTAGCGGCGCTTCTCCATTTCAAACGTTCTTGGGGTAGCCTGCACCGGTTCAAGCTGGAGCTGCTTGCTCGTTTTGTTTTCGTTCACGTCCAGAGAAAACTTAGTCCGCGCCTTGGGGCTCCGGTGGCGAGGTTTCGTAGGAGACGGAGAGCGGAAGATACCCTGACTATTTTCCACATGCCGGGCGTAAGCTCTCGATCCTTCCACGTACACACTAAGCTGCTCCCCATCCGTTGTTTCCTCTCGTGGAGAGATAGAGCCGTCCTCTTGCTTCTCACCGAGGGAAAGGGACGATCTATTCGGTGATCCCCGCTCGAGCACCGGACACACTGCCATGGGACGCAACGACGGCGATCTCAGTGGCGACTTGGTGAAGGTCACGGGCATGTGTGCCTCCCTCTTTGTGAAAGTAGAGATCTTCTCGATCGTGAGCGTCCGTGCTGACTGTGTATAGAACGCTCCGATCCGGTCACTCAGGCGATAGTACCCTCGGTCCTCCACACTCGCCGCCACCTTCTCTCCAGCGCGATAGGACGCGTGTAAGAGCTTCCTCTGCTTGCGAGGGGGCTCCGTCCCTCGTGACAATGGGCCCATGAGTCCTCCCAGCGGCCCCATCGTCTCCAGCATCTCGTCCTGCGAGCCTTCGAGTCGGTTGATGCGTCTCTCCGACCGCGGGCTCGCGTCTTCGGCCGAGTAGTCCCGGACGTCGCAGTTGCGCGTGTTGATGGCGCACTGCAGCATCTTGAGTCTCGCCAGGCGCACGGGGCTGCGTTTGGGCGAGCCGCGCGCCACATACGGCGACGTGGCGTCGTCCCAGACCTTCGGCTGGCCCTTCATGGCCACCTGCAGAGCTCTCGATCTTGACCAAGGCACGACCAGCCGCACCCCGTTTTACCCCGGCCTAACGAAAAGCGGTTTAGTGTGTGAAGGGGTGCCAGCCCCAACAGACGCCTATGATCGATGGCATCTCATTTCGCTCTCTCCAGTATTTGTAGTGCATGCGGAGGAGTCCTCTCTGTGTATCCGGTATCCGGCAGATAGAATATCCTCGCGATCCGGCTCGGCAAGGACAGCGTTGTTGCCATCATGCATATTGGCCTGAACTTGTTGTGGCTCTATGACGGAGATACCAAATCGGCTAAGTTTAGATAGCACCGTTAGGAGTCCCACCGACGGTGGCCGAGCCTCCATCGATCCGATCGATTCGGACACGACCTGCGCACGGGTTGAAGCTGGTGAGCTTCTCGCTTCTTGTGAGCGACAGGGCGAGGCGGTTGCGGGATTTTGGGGACGCCCAGCGCCTGCAGCTTCTGCTGGTTCTCCTGGACGCGGCGCTGCCGCTTGGCCTCGTACTCGCCGGATGGGCCTGTACGCCCCCGCGCTCGCGAGCACTGCAAGAACGGCGTTACTGTCCATCCCGAACATCTTGGGGGAGCCGCTGAGGCGTGGGGACGCTCCATTGCCGCTCGTTGCTTGCGGGATGGAGATGGCGGGTGGGGCTTGCGGTGGCGAAGGAGGTCGAGCTTCGACTGAACTCCGGCTAGGGGGGTGGAGCGCGGGGAAGCGGGTTGGAGCGCCGTCACGAGGGCCCTGCGGCCAGCGTCGCCGAGACGGGCTCGAGGTGACGCATCTCCGGAGGATGGCGCATGGGGAGCTGGCATCGCTCCCCCTGCCGGGGAAGTTTGGCGAATGGCGCCACTAGACCATGAAATCTGAGAGCATTTTGTTGCCGCACCGCCAGCGTCGCCAGATATCCTGCTCCTGTTTGACAAGTTGAAGCGCGCCGCAACGGCCAGCGACTGGCGTCCTCTATGCGTCGCAGTGGACAACGGCGCCCGCGACTGACGACGGTACGCGCCCGGATTTCCGGCCTTTGCCACGGCCCGTGGCACGGGCACACCGCCGGCTCGGCAGTAAAGGTCGGAAATTTCTTGCTTGGGTTTCGAGCAGTACCGTGGACCGCGGTGGACGCGCAGTACCGTGGCGGCTGTTTTACTAAAAAGGTCGGAAATTTGTACGGTACTCACTTATCTATGATTTTGTATGGTAAAAGCAATACTAAATGAAATGGAACGAAATAGAACAAAATAATAAATGAAATGAAAACACGATTAGAAATTTGGAATTTTCAGAATCGATCACCGAAAGTCGTACCAGATGGGGACACAGTTCTAATCCGTATGTAATTTATCCGTAATTTATCGTACATCTGTAAATTACGGTACATCCGTATCGTATCACCGTAATTTATTGTACAGTATGGTTGTTGGAAAAGCGCAGAGAATTGCCAAGAACTCGTTGCCGGCGGGGGCGATCGGTGCCAGGCTCGACCACCACTGACACAACTCCATTTACAGACTCCTCGAAGTCGAGGAAAAGTATCCCCGCCAAAAGCTGCGACTTGAGCGAGCCGCGTCCGTTCGTTCATCCGTCAGCCCGCGACCTCTGCGATCCGTAGCGCTTCGACGACTCGAGGAAGGCAGTCATGGTGCTGGACATGAAGGCCGATGCCAAGGACGCCAACCTGGACGGCCACACTGCTGACAACAACTTCGATGAGCGTCAAGACGTCGTGACCCAGTCCGACGAGGATGCCGCGATCGCCGCGCGGCAGTTCACTATGACAGGCGTGGTCAGCACGAAGCAGCGGCGGCTGGTGGACGACACCGTCGAGTCAATAGAGATACCGTCGTACACGAGCAACACGCCGAAGGAGCAGCTCTGTCTCGAATATATCGCAGGTTTCCAGCGCCAGTTCGAGCGCATGTTCCCCAAGCGACGGCCACTGTATCTACATCCACCGAACGAAAAGGGTGTGCCCAAGTTCGTGTGCACCACGATCCGACCGACGCTCCTTCCTTATCGAGATCTGTACGACTGCCATGCGTTGGCCCAATTCTTGGCGGGTGTTGTCGAGTACGAGCCCCTTGCAAACCCGACGATCCCACCAGTGTGTCTTCCATCACCGACTTTCACGCTCAAGTGGAGGTCTGCAGACAGCTTCGACTTGGCCACGCTCTTGGCCTCCTTCCTCATCGGTGCAGGGTACGACGCCTACGTTGTCAACGGCATTGCTCCTCGGTGGCTATGTCTTCTGGATCAGAGCAAGGCCCCACTACCAGTGTTACCGGTGGAGGAGGAATTGAGGAAGGCGCATGAGCACGACACGACGTCGGATCCGTCCAAAGCGCATGGCGGAGCCAGTGATAGCAAGTTGGTGAGTGATGTGAAATTGGTCAGTCGCACAAGCTTCACGAGCAAGTACTTGGAGAGGCAGGAGCTGGCTGAGAAGGAACGACTAGAGAAGTCTCGTCGAGTCTTAGACTTCAGCTACGGAGAGAATGACGATGACGAGGATCCATTAGAAGGCAAACGGGCACACGCGTGGATTCTCATTCGCGCAGGTAAGCGCGAGGTTTCGGACCATTTCTTCTTGGAACCCTCGACTGGACGAAGCTACTCGCTGCGAGACTCCCCTTACACGGCCATCGAGAGCGTGTGGAATCATGAAAATTACTGGGTGAACATGCAACAACACCCCGTGCACCTTACTCTTTTCGACTTGGCCAACCCAACCGACTGGGAGTACGTCTTCCTGTCCGCGGCAGAGCGCAAGTCGTCAAAAGAATCCGAGCAAGGCGCTAAAGGTGTGGATCTGTCGGACGATCTCAAGATGCTCAGCACGGAAAGCGACAACCAGCACGGAGCGGATGCCGCCGACGACGACGACCTTATTCTCGACATTCCTCCGTCTTGGGTGACTAAACTTCACATTGACCGGGCAACCTACAAGAAGAGGTTTGTGAAAGATTGCCAGCATGTCACGCTGTATCATCGCGCCAAAGTGGAGGAGTTCGCTGACAATACGCACGAGCAGGGCTTGGTCGCACGCGTTACGATCTTCCGCGACGTCGGGTGTACGCTACCCATCGAGATTCGAGAATACTTCAAGAACCGGAAGGACAGGCTTGAATCTCGTACGCGTTTCCCGTTCGAGGGTAAATTCGAGGAACGCTTTGCGCCGGGTCGGATCCCGGAAGCACTCAAGTCACGCACCGAGTGGATCGGCTATCGTCGGGAGCTTCAGTTCTACACGAGTGCTCGCCCTGACGGGCTGGTAAGGCGTGAAGAGGAGATCCAAAAGCGCGTTGTGGAGCATTTCGACGGCCGCGACGACTTCCTCATCTTCCGGTCCGTGACGCTTGCCACCGACAAGGACGAAGTAGACTCGAAGAACCCCTACATTTTGCCTGGTGGTCCTGCTGGCGAGATCTCAATCAAGAAGATGAAGGAGAAGTTTGCGCGAAATACTGCCGTTGTAGCTGACGAAGATCAGCGCAAGCGAGCTTACAACCTTCATGAAGGCTCCATCCGCGTGTACTACCACTACGCGACTGGAAAGATTACCGCTGGATCGCGTGTCTATTTCAAGGCCCCGAACGTCCCTGTCGAAGTCGTAATGGCGGATCCGAACGCGAAGAAGCCGAAGCTTTCGGTGTTGGAAAACGAATTGCGCGCTTCTCTGCAGGTGTACTTGCGGGCTTAACTTCGTATTTGGACGAATTGCTCGTTTGTTCACGATTTTTATGCGTTTTTGTTGCTCAGATGGAGAAGGATTGCTACAGCGCGGTGCGGCACTCGGACATTGAGACGCAGGACATCCTAAAGATCCGAAAACGTGAAGAGATGGCGATCGTCTTAGAAACGAGCTTCTTCGACACCAACGAGGACGAAGCTCAAGCCAAAGAGAAGGAGGACGCCAAGGAACTCGAGAAAAACGTACGTTGTCTGCAAGTGCTGCTTTGGTCCACCATTCTACATTTACTTTGTTCACCACCTCACATGTATCACTGCATGACAGGCGAAGAGCGAGGTGGATTACCTCAGCCCATTCTTGCAGAGCGTGCACGCAACCGGGGATCTCTCCAAGGAGGACGCCCAGACTGTGCGCGATATGTGTCTGCGCAACCTGAAGGAGCGTCTGCTCGAGCGCGCCAACATCATCCAAGGCCGGCTTGACAAGGAGAACGCGCTGCTGGCCAAGCGCCAGGCCGCGTTCCAGCGCAGTCAGCGCGAGCACGACCAGGGCACGGACGAGGAGTTCGAGCGCTTCTGCAGCGAGACCATGTTCCGCATCCAGATCCTGGAGCAGCGTCTGGCAAGTCACGAGGAGACGGCGCTGCAGAAGTACGCTGAGATGGACAAGCGTCTGCACAGCGACCCTCGACTGCGAGTGTTGCACCGATGAACGTGTACTGTACTCTACGCCGCGGTAGACGATGAAGCAAAGGCGAACCCTGTGTGTTGTAGTTCCTTGTGGAAGCCCTTCGTTTTATTCGCGTTACATGGGAGGCAGCGAGGCATGGAAGTCAATACACTATAAAGAGACCTAACAGAATCTTCCCACGCTGTCGCTGTTGCTCTCATGCAGCCGCGAATGCCGCGACCCGACTCACAATTCCCCGACGAAAGCGCGAAAACAAGATGGAGCTGCATAACGCCGCACTGACGCCAACGTGATACGCTCCTCTGATTCGACGCTTTATTCAGCAGCTCCGAACGGCCCGCACACTTGATAACCTAAGCAGCGAGTCGGCCTGGAGGCAGCAGCGGTGCGAGAGAGAGGGACGACGCTTAGTAGTCCTCGTCTCCGCCGAACATGTCCATGCCGCCGCCCATGTCGACCTCCTCTTCCTCCTCAACGGCCTTCTCCTCCACCTTGGCGGTGGTCTCACCGGCAGCGGCAGCGCCGGCAGCGGGGGCAGCGCCTGTAGAGCACAATATCGATAGCATTAGCGTTGCAATCCTCCCATAACTGCTATGTAGCACATTGCATTGGCGTGGTCGTACCAGCCGAGGGGCCAGCCAGGAACTTCTCGACGTCCAGGCCGCGGGCCAGCAGGTCGGCGAAGAGCGGGGCCACGTAGGCGGCCACGTCGTTGCCCGAGGCCTCGAAGGCCTTGGTCAGGGCGTCAGCCGTGACCTCGACGCCGGCGTCGAAGAGAGCCAGGACGGCCAGGGAGGCGGCGAACTCGTCGCGCTGGGTCTTGCTGAGGTCGGCGAAGGACATGGTTGCGTCAGGAAAGATAGAACTGAATCGGTTTAAGCTCGCTAGCGGAAGTCAGTCTGCCACCCGATTCGCCGCCCGGAGCGGCACATTTGCCGCGAATGACTGGTCCTGCTAGGGCGGCGGCATTTCTGCCACTCAGAGCGCGCGCTGTCGGTGTGTTGCGCGAGGTGTGCGCCACACCATATGAGCCGGCGGATGTTGCGCGAGGACGGTCTTCGCGCAACATGCTAGACCACTTCAGCCAAACCGTCCACCGCAAGTGGACACTTTTTTTGCAGATTAATTTTGAATGCGGCTTCGGTGGGTAGACGACACCAGTGCACTTACAGACTCTGTGTGCTTAGTAGGCACTGCTTACCGTTGCCAATGGAGCATTGGTCTACTTCATCTAAGGCTGACAGAGCTCCTACATGTCCCTGACCAACAGAACCGTCAAGGTCATTCATGCCGGCTGAATTGGCCCAGTATATTCGTCAGGCAGAATTCCCATCTGGACTGCCGCAGCTGTATTCGCCTGCGTATCCCAAGCAGGTGGCTCTCCCTCGGCCTCTCTTCACCCAGATGGCTGTCTGCTCAGAGATACGCGTCGCAACGGGCAGAGCATTGGACAACACTTGCCTTCTTGCGTCCGTAGCAGCAACTAAAGCCAACTAACGTACTTCGATGGTGGCCGTGCGGAAGAGCGAAGACGTCACCGTCGTGTTTTCATCGGGTGCTTCGCTGTCTGAGAGCTACCACCGCTCTGTTGAAGGCTTCACTCGCTCCGCCCCGAGCACGCCCAGTGGGTGCGGCAGGCGTGTCATCGCCAGCAAGCGTGTGCGAGAGCTCGCCGACATCCCGCGTGCTGCTGGACTACGAGATGTGAACGTTGAAGTGACGGTGGCTCACACGAAGAGCAAACTCAAGGCGCGATTCTTCGTGGAGATGAAGCGTGACAAGACCATGCTGAGGCAGAGCTGGGGATTCGGAGTGGCGCTGGCGGACGTCCGCCAGTTCGAGGTGCAGATGCGGCAAATTGTGAAGAAGCACTATCGCGCCAACCGCCAAGGCGAGCGCAATGGGGTCAAGAAGTGCTGCGCCATGTGCATCCAGCTAAAGGAGGAGATGAACGCATGGTCGGCAGTAAATCGCTGGAGTGCCATCAGTCCGGCTCACAAGGAGCGCAAGTGCGATACCGTCAAAAACTTCTTCGAGAAACTCTTCGCCATGCTGGGCAAGCACGCGCAGTGGATGCACGAATGTGAATCTCTGCGCGAGATTCTCCGCGCGGCGGAGGGGCTGAGCGAGATGCAATACCCGCACGATGCTGACGCGGTCGATGTTATCCGTTCACTGCGTCGCGTTGACATGAGTGACGGACAACAAGACACGGACTGTACGATCTGCATGTCCAAGATCGACAGTCTCCCGGTTGAATCGGCGGAACACGGACGCGCGTGCGGAGTGGAGCTACCCTGCGGGCATCGCTTCCATGATACGTGCATCTGCATGTGGCTTCACACTCGTTTAGACTGCCCTGTGTGTCGAGGACACATATCGGCTCCTGCTAACCCCGCTCTCTCCTCATCGAAGCGGGTATTGTAAGCCACGAATAATGATTAAAGACACAAATATCTACGTGTAGTTCTTGTCTCCTTGGTTTAAAGTGAAATCGAACGCTATCGCTGTGAATGCAACTAAGCCGATGTGACGGTCCTAGTTTCATCAGCCATAGTGCAGCGGACCATTACACGTGCGCTCTCAGAATCGCCTTCTCGCCAGCAACCTCGACCCGGAACGTCAGCTGTTCGTGCACGCCATTCGTGATGATGATATCGTACGACCCAGGAAAGCTCACAAGGTTCCCCTCCTCGTCCACGAGCGCAAGCGTGCTCCGTTGCACCTCGAAGCTCAGCCGAGTACTCTCGGAAGGTTTCAACGTCACACGACGGTAGTCAAACAACTGCTTGTTTAGCAGCGTGGCTGGCCCTGATGCATCGGTCTTGATCGGTCTGAAGTAGGCAAACACAACCTCGTCACCCAAGACGGAGCCAGCAACACCGAGATCGTAGTGTTCATCGTCGCCGACACCGATTTGGCCGTGGTGGCAGTGGCATCATCGGCCTTCAGCGAAAACGAAGTGTAGCTGAGACCCCAACCGAACGGGAACACAGGTTCTCCCTTGAAGTACCGATACGAACGACCAGGGTACGCCGTCACGTTCATACTCTTCATGTCAACGGTATTGACGTAGTCTGAGCGATACATGGTGACTGGAAGTTTACCACCCGGGTTCGCATCGCCAAAGAGAATATCCGTCATCGCCTGCGCCCCGAAAAAACCTGGGTAGAATGCTTCCACGAGGGCATCCGTCTGCCCGATGATATCCTCAGCCGTCAACACGCCTCCGTTCATCAGCACCACGACTGTGGGTTTGCCCACAGCTCGAACGCGTTGCAGCAGCTGCACCTGGATAGCTGGTAGGTCGATGTTGTTACGGTCTCGGACTTCGGCTTCGACGGATTTGTCGATACCAAGGAAGAGAACAACAGCTTCAGCTCCTTGAACGGCCTTCACAGCCTCGACGAACCCAGCCGTAGAGTTACCAGTAACATTGCAACCCAGTGCATACGTCGTGCTTGAATCTCCGTTCGAAGCACTCACAGCCTCAAACGGGGTCTTGATGCACCCCACTTCGTTGTAATCGCCATGACACATCTGGCCGAGATAGTTACCGAGCAAGGCGCGTTTGGCCTGGGCGTGAGGCCCCACAACTGCCAACTTGACCCCTCTACGCAGCGGTAACACTGGCTGGTTGTTCTGGAGCAGGACGATGGACTTCCGAGCGAGATCGAGGCTCAGCTTCTTGGCCGCGTCCGTGTTCACATCATTCGGCGTCACCTTCCAGTACGGTTGGTCCTCGATAGGGTCAAAGAGACCGAGTTCAAAACGCAGCTTCAGCGTGTGGCGCAGAACGTCGTCCACTACCTTCACATCGAGCTGATTGCTCTCCACCAGCTCTTTCAGACACGCCATATATCCAAATCCCCTACCGCTGTTGACATCAGTACCGGCGAGGATCGCCAGCCGTGCAGCCTCACAGCGTGTAGGAACGTAGTGGAGCCAGTCGGAGATAGCTTCGATAGCCCCCGAGTCACTCGTGATGTAGCCGTCAAAACCCAACATACCCCGCAGCAGCTTGTTCTCGAGTTCGTTGTTGGCGCATGCCGGAACACCGTTCACGCTGTTGTACGAGCACATGACGCCCTTCGCGTTCCCATCGACGATGGATGAACGAAAGGCAGGGAAGTACGTGTCTGCGAAATCGTACGGTGACACAATTGCATTGAACGTCTTGCGGTTGCCACCCCCGTAGTTTTCGTACGAATAAGCGACGTAGTGCTTGAGGGTAACCACAGCTTGAAGATACCTCGGGTCTTCGTGCTTGCCCTCTTGAAGGCCCTTGGTATACGCCACGCCGTACTTGCTGTTCACGAGTGGGTCTTCCGACGGCGTCTCTGTGTTGCGTCCCCAACGCGGGTCACGGCTGATATTAATGTTGGGTGATCAGCAGTCCAAGCCAAGGTGCGGCCCCGTCGCGTAGTTCTCTCTTGCTCCCTCGAGCCACAGTCCGCGAAGTTCCCAGCCCACAGTCTGCGCCATATCACGCACCGCCTGTGGATCGAAAGGTTCACCGGATTGGGGAATGACGTCGGGCAATTGGTGCCGCACGTCGACCGGACACCGTGCACGCAGTTGGCACCCCAGTTGTATTCCGGTAGTCCGATACTGCTCATGTTGCCGCGGGGACTAGCGCGAGCGGTCAGTAGGATGGCCTTCTCGTCCAGCGGAAGGCGCGCCAAAAGGTCTTCGACACGCGCTGAGACTGGTAACGAGGTGTTGCAGAATTGCAGCTTCTGATGCTCGCCGACACAGGCCCGTGGAATTTCAGCATCGACCGATGCAGCAACAACGCTTGCGACGAGGAGCAAGAGGGGTAGCACCATGTTGTGCAAGTTGGGAGTATCGATGTTGTTATTTTTTTTCTTCTTTCTTGAATCTGCTTGAGTGGATGGCAGAAAAATGCGGAATGGCCGTTGACTTTCGTTTCTGCGGCGCGGATGGCGGTGCTCTCGAGTATCATCCCAAGATCGATTCCACCCGGAGGTTGCTCTTGGGGATAGGATGAGACAGGCTTGACTTCAAGGCTTGAATTTGAGGTGTCCAAGTTTACACTGCAAGGATTGGTACAGGCCTTACTGGCAGCTACGCGACAAGGTAATACGTTACATTCACCTCATCCACTCACCACATTGCTTGCTTACCGGTATACTCATGTGTTGTACATGTATTACGCGTGGATTGAAGTGCACAAGACCCTCATGATCAAGCATGTTCGTGAGTAACATTCCTTACAGTACATGTATTCGTAATGCGACGTTCTTTTGCTGTGTTGACCATCGTTTATCGTTATAACTGGCCACACTATGTTGTCGCTACGTGAGTTGAATGCGCTCGTAAATTAACCAGGGTTCACTACATGTACTGCCCCTTGTAAGCTTGCTTACGGTATTGTGCCTTTCACTTATTCTGCCGTGATAATTCTGGCATAACTCTAATCCCTTATCGACCTTAATTATGCCCTGAGGTAGCTAATTCCCATGTTAATTCCGAGTCGTCCCTCCGTGGTCGAATTAGGAGCGGCGATGGTGAGGCCGAGTTAAGGCGGAATAAGCTAATCCAGCCTGTGTTAGGCGAAAACAGAGCGATTGGCGGCTTCCTACTGTACCCGCCAATCCATGCCATTCTGCTCGTATCTCCGTCGATTGGCTCTCAAATGCTGATCGCGGGTGTTAGGGGAAGCGCTCACAATCTTAGGCAGAATTAGCACTAAATAAGCGTTAATCGCCCTTTTATGACTCTAATTCCGCCTGAATTAACAGCTCACCCGCCAAAATATGTGAAAGGCACAATAAACTCCGTCGTCAAATCCGTCGACAGATGTGCATATTTGGGATCCATAAGCTTAACCGACTGTATCCCACCCAATGCGCCGACTGCACACTATCAACAACCAAAATGGCTACTGTAATGGTCTCAAGTCAACGACTTTGTTTCTGGGTTTCCGAATCCCTTTAACTAAAAATGATAGCGAGATATTACCACTCCCAGTCCTCTGCGGAAGGCAAACACAGTTTGTCGTGTTGCAACGATTCCGCAGCGGAGTCGTATGTCGGTACGATACACCCGTAACGTGACTCCTTCATGCTGTGTCACTCCAGTATGTGGATAGCATCAGTGTTGTTTCGGAGCTCCGCGAAGTGCAGCGCATTCTCTCCAAACTGCGAGCGCAATCCGATAAATATTTAACGATTGTGCCGTATTTACTTACTAGAAGCGGCATACACGCACGTACCGAGTTCTTGAGTGTCGTGTCGGCGCCGTGCTTACGCAGAAAATCAATGGCCTCGGTTTGATTTTTCTTGGCCGCCACAATAAGCGGCGAATAGCCTTGCTCGTCGAGGGCATTGACGTCGGACCCGGCCTCGACAAGGAGTTGGACTACCTCCAAATTCGGCTTTTCACTATAACACGCATGGTGAAGCGCGACAGAGCCATTCTGGACGCAACAAGAAGGCAGAGACCCAGCTTCAACACCAATATGCACAAATAGCTGAGAAAAGCAAAAGCTTACAACGTTCTTGATGGAGTGTTTTGAGCCAGCTTGGAGCAAATGCGATACACACCCTGGACTTCCTGTCCGAGCAGCGTTGTGCAACGGTGTATTTCCGAACTACAAGGACGAAGGAAGCAAAAATATGGTGAGCAAGTTTAAACAGTGAGCCGAGTGTACTCCGCCCTTACCTGGTTCTGTAGATTGATGAGGTCAACAGCGTCCTCACTAGAATTCTCGAGGATCTTGTTCAAAACAAGTTGCAGGATATCTGGGTCGCCTTTGAAAGCAGCCTCATGAAGAGGGCTGTTCCGATCCTGGAGCAGATTCAACATATCAGCTAATGAATGTTGACTCCTTTAGCAAAATGGCCAGCAAGCCTCGACGGACGGGGGTTTTCAGCACTCCGAGCTCTGCATCAGCTTTGAGTAGGATCTCGACGATCTCGCTGTGGCCGTTTGAAATGGCAGCAATCAGCGGCGTAGCTCCATACTGCGCGCACAACAAGATAACTTCGTGAGCCGATGATACTCGACGCCTGTTTCCACCACTGCGTACCGACTGCGTGCAGTGCCAGTTGATGTCCACTTCCGGGTCCAGCACAAGACCCCTGACAGCCTCGACGTCGCCAGTCTCGCTCGCGCGGAACAACTCCTCCGTCTGCTTGGACACCACCCGATTCGCACTCATCAATTCCACTGCACTGCCGATGCAGCAAAGCAAAAATGCACTGGTGACTCTTGGAAAGAATCCTAGATGAAGAGTCGTTCGCTCGATAGGCTTGGCCCAACCCCAGGGCACCTTGGTCCCGCAATGAAGAAGTGATAGCATGTTGCTCAATAACACTAATCAAGTGCTAATAACCAACTCGTTGATAGAAAGTGACCGAGTCATTTTCACACCCTCCGTGGTCATTTCCGAATCCTCGCAGTTCCAAGAAATGCAGATCCAAGCTCTAGCGGCGCTGCTGGCCGTTGCGTTGGCTCCACGCAGCTCTGCCGCCTGCGACGGCTTCGACCAACTTCGCGCAGCTCTCAATGCCAACAGCAACGGCCTCGCGGACTCGCTGACGGCCTGCGTGGCTCCGCTGCTGTTCGCGCCGGTCAAGTGGCTCCCGACGGACCAAGCGCACGAGTTCTGCCGCCAGGACGCGTGTGTCCGCGCCGTGGCGCAGCTGAAGAAGCTCCCGCTCTGCATGCGGTACAGCTCCATCCCGTCCGGCAGCGACGCCAACACGCTGGCCATCGCGCAGCAGGTCATGCGCGACTGCGGCGGGGCTTGATCGCCATCGCTTCACTTCAACTTACCCCCTTTGACCTCCCAAATCGAATATTTCAGGTGTCGACCACAACAATTATTGGTTTCAACGGGTTTGTGTGTGCCCCGGCGGCCAGTGGTGATCGTGCCAAGCGCAAAGCAGGAAGGACACCGAGCTAACTACAGGACCATGGCCGGGCGTGGACGCGAGCTCACTCTGCCCGCGTGGATGAAGAAGCAGCAGGCGGGAGGCCCCGCCCCAGGTGCTGGCGCCGCGCAGCCCCCGCCCCCGCCGCCCCCGTCGCGCGGCGGCGCGTACCCTCCCCCTCCCCCCCAGCACCAGCAGATGCCGCCGCCGGCGCCCTCGCAGTTCGCCGACGCCCCCGTACGTGCAGTGACGTATAAAATCATCGAGGTATAGTCTACTCGTACTAACTTATTATTGTTTATTGTATTATAATGTAGGAGGCGAGCAACGACAGCCGCCCGCCCGCTGAAGCCGACGACCGGCGCCGCAGCTCGCACCGCAGCAGCAGCCGCCGCAGCCGGGAGCGCTCCCCGCACCGCCGAGACCGCAGCCGCAGCCGGGAGCGGCGGTCTTCGCGCCATCGCTCCTCGCGTGACCGTCGCAGCCGCAGCCGGGAGCGCGAACGCCGTCGCTCTCGTGATCGCTCGGACCGCCGCTCGTCGAGACGCAGCCGCAGTCGCTCGCGCTCGTCGACGCGCATCGTGCGCCGCCGCAAGAAATCCAACTTCGACGTGCGTCCGCCCGGAGTGACGGAGGAGAACGCCGCGGCCTACGCGGCGCAGGCCATCCTGCAGCAGAACATGGCGGCGCTGTCGAGCTCCGTCGGCCCAGCGTCGTTCGGCGCGCCACAGGCTTCGTCGATGCCCTCTACTGGAGTGAGTCAAGCTTTATTTTTATCATTTATTTTGGACGCCGGTGCATGTACGCACATGGAGGACGGCAACCAGCAGCAGCACGGAGAGATACGACGGCTGACACGATGTCGTTGTGTGTTCGTTGTCCGTTGTCTGTCCGTCGTGGTGCTTGGCAGCTCTGCATTGTCTCCTGGAGCGGCGCCGGATTCGGGCGCTCTAACCCTCGCATTTCCGCTAACTCGTTGTGCTTTTGATGTGCTTGCTCCTTGTTCTTTCAGAATGCACCGTCGGCGCAGCCGATGTACAACCATTCGCACCAGGGCAACGCGGCGTATGGATTTGCAGGCCAGTCGCAGCAAACGCGCCACGCGCGCCGGTTGTATGTCGGCGGCATCGGAGAAATCTCGGAGCCCGAGATCACCGCGTTCTTTAACGATGTCATTGACCGGGCACTTGGAGAGAAGCAGGAAGGTGGTTCTGTGGTGTCCGTCTACATCAACCGCGAGCGCCACTTCGCTTTTGTGGAGCTGCGCACCATTGAGCTCACGACCGCGTGCATGAACCTCGATGGAGTGTCGTACAACGGCCAGCCCCTGAAGATCCGCCGACCTAACGATTACAACCCCGCCACTGTCCCCAAGGACCTCGGCCCGATTCCGCAGCTCAACCTGGCAGCGCTCGGTATTGTGTCGACCACTGTGAGCGACGGCCCGGGTAAGATCTTCATCGGCGGTCTCCCGTACCACCTTAATGAAGAGCAGGTGAAGGAGTTGCTGCAAGCGTTCGGTCCGCTGCGTTCGTTCCACCTCGTCAAAGAGCTCAGCTCCAACCTTTCCAAGGGCTACGGGTTCTGCGAGTACATGGATATCAACGTGACGGACGCCGCGTGCCTCGGATTGAACGACATGCGCCTTGGTGACAAAACGCTTACTGTTCGCCGCGCAATGTCCCAAGAGAACGCCAAGGCTGTCGCAAGTGCAGCAGGTACGGTGAACACAGGCCTGGAAATGGGATTGGACCCGTCGCGCGCCGCAATGCAGGCTATGAGTTTGGCAGGCATTCCCAGCCTGCCACTCGGTACGCCTTCCCGTGTGATTGTGCTACTCAACATGGTTACTCCGGAGGAGCTCGAGGATGAGGAAGAGTATGCCGACATTTTAGATGACATCAAGGGTGAGTGCGAGCGCTTTGGTGCTGTGCCGTCACTGTTGCTGCCGCGTCCCCGAGACGGAATCCCCAGCGCCGTCGGTAAGGTCTTTGTTGAGTTTGGCGATGTGCAGTCAGCCCAGAGCGCGGCGACAGAGCTGCACGGCCGTGGATTCTCAAACAGGACAGTGGCAGTCGAGTTCATGGATGAGGGAAAGTATGCGCGCAGGGAGCTTGCGTAGGTTTGCTGAATCGCTAATTTGGCAACTTTATGCTGCTGAGATAAGAGTAGCGGGACTGATGCCCATACTCCTATGGACATCAAATGGATGCATTGCGTGGGGCAACCAGTCTTCCGACGACACTCGGGGATTAGCGTACGTGCTCGATGTAACTGCTCTGTGCTATGTGCTTCTCACTGGTACTTCCTTCATATCATTCATAATAAATGCGTGTGGTTTCTCTTCCTTTTCGTGTCTTCAGTAGCAGAATATTTACACACACACGATTCCACCTCGTGCACCCCGGGGGCTCTTTCGCTTGAGCTTCACGTAGCTTCATCGAGCACGAACTGCTGAGCCAAGGAGTAGCCAAGGTCCGTGGCCTGCAACCAAAACCAAACGTTCACGGGTCATTCAGACGACGCTCTCCGGTTCAAGGCAATATCGTCTGTGAGAAGCGCACCTTGCGGAAGTGCGCTTGTGCAGCGTCTGCATTTCGTGGGACGCCTTTGCCATGCGACAACAGACACCCTAAGTTGAAATGTGCATGCGGGCTGTTGAGATCTGCGGCGCGGCGGTAGCATTCAGCAGCTTTCAGGAAATTTAAGTCGCATCCTTCACCTTCTTCGTACATCAACCCTGTCCAGATGAAACAAAACCAACGGTGTTAAAGAGCTATGGTGGCACAGAGGAGCGGTTGTTGTACCTAAAGCGTTCAAGGCTTCGGGATCACCAGTGTTTGCCGCGATGCTGTAAAAGCGATGTGCCTTCGATTTATCTGGCGTGCAGCCAATACCCGAGTAGTACATGGTGGCGACACGCTTCGCTGCCTTAGCATGGGGCTGATTGGACATCACATTGGGCGGTGAAGGTCAGAAGTTTATCGACGTGAAACACCTCAAGCATCCGTACCGTAGTTGCCGTGGCAGCTTTGGAATAGAAGCGAAGGGCAGCGCCTTGATCTCGAAGAAGCGAAGATGTCTCCAGCAATTTACCGAGGGCGTAGTAAGCGTCTGTGTGCCCTCCGTTCCCAGCGCTTAGCAGCAAGCGAAGTGCTTCATCATGGGACTCTTCCCGATCTCGAAATTGAGCTGAAGATGATGTTGAAGTCAAGGCCGCTGCTACATCGCTCGTCTGAGGTGTATCGAGAAGCAGCAAGCTTGCGAGGCGTGTCATGGCTACGCTGCTACCTGCATCTGCAGCCTGAGATGCGGAGAAGTGAGTCTAATGGAGCTCTGAGTCAGTCAAAGGAGAACGTACACTTTGGAGAAATGCAATCCCGCGCTCCATGTCCTGCTTGACACCGTTGCCCGTGGTATATAGCAAGCCGAGTCGTGTTTGTGCGCTCGAGTCACTCTGTTCGGGACACAAGAGATTCGGTTACCTCCCATTATCAGACTACGATACAAATGCAATTTCTCACCTTGACTGCTGCGCGCTGAAGGAAATGAACAGCTTTGACCACATCTTGCTGAACATGCGTTCCCACAAGAAAGAGACGTCCGAGACTCGCCTCGGCTCCCGTATGACCCTGGTCAGCAGCTTTGGCGTACCAAGTGGCTGCTTCCATGTCATTTGGTTCGCATCCACCGCGTCCGTGTTCATAAAACATCCCTGGAAACCAATCGTGAAACTAGTGAGGTGCCGAAGAGACCCGTTGAATTGCCTGGATGGTTCGAACCTAGCTCGAATTGAGCGTCTCGGTGACCTTGCTCCGCAGCTTGGGAAAAGCGAACTCGAGCAAGGGCGAGAAATTCATCCGATTGTCGTGCGTCTTTCGAGTGTGCAGCTTTTTCGCACTAGACAACAAATATGGCAATGCAAGGACGTTAGAGATGAGCTTGAGACAATTTATGGCAAGTATGGCCCCTACCTACCATTAGCAGACCCAGTTGATGACAAGCCTCGAGATCCCCAACAGAGGACGCAAGCTCATACCATTTTCCTGCCACGAGCAGGTCTTTCTCCGTTCCATTTCCAGCGAAGTACATTTGTCCCAAGCAAGTCATTGCCACGGCGCAACCAAGGTCCGCAGCTTGCTGTCATCGATACGCAAACGCACAGGGGTGAGAGATCTGAGAGGTGAAGACGAGATAAAAAAAGTTGTGCGTATTACCGCGTATAGCATGAGTGCTTTTTGGAGATTCTTGGCGACGCCGTGGCCGAAGAAGTACTGATGCGCTTCCAAGCAGATTTCATCCCCAGTAGGAGCGGGTATTTCTGCTGGTTCTGGTGGAGGTGGTGGCGTCACAGGGGCTGGTAGCGGCAGCTCGATACCTGATCGACGCGCGACTGCCATGGACAGCTCCATGAATAGAGATGTGTAATACGAGTTGATCTCCTGAAAGGCGAACAACACCTCGCGCTTGAATGTCCGATTGAGCAAGAATTTTGCGGCGCGCAGACGCTCAGCAATTGCAGATACCTGTGCCAATGATGCTGAAAAGTTCTGTAGTGCGACAGAAACACCTTCATTCGAAGCGTGCTCCACGAACTCGGCCTCGTACGCCGCGAACTCATCTTGTGCTTTGCCTAGCAAGCCTCGAAGCTCCCCACCCAGTCGTACTGCAAGCAGCTTGCGCGGGTCCACGCTGTCCAGCTGAGCCAAAAGTTTCTCCAATATTTCTCTAACGTCGTCCACCAAGGGGTGTGCTTCGGTTGCTAAGCTCGCGCCACTCTCAGGGTCGACAGACGCCGACGAGTGCCTTGATTCAGACTCCACCTCCTTGTTTTGTTGTCCACTTGGCTGTTGCCTTACTGCACGACTATCATCCGACGCTTGTGATTTTTGAAGCGATGATTGCAGCAGCTCTGGTTTGCTGGCTTGTGCTCGCTTAACTATTCCGAACATGGTGCGCATACTGGAATTGCCTTCCCCAGCCGAGCTCACGGGGCTTTTGACACTGCTAGCAGACTGCTTCTTGGAGCGAGTAGCGTTCGATGCATTTACCACATTCTTGGCGACAGCAAAAAGCAGTTTGGGCTCGCGAGTCTTTGTATTTGACGTAACTTCAGTTTTCTTGGTGTCCTCCTGGCTCGTCACATTTTCATTTGCAGGTCCTGTCGGCGACATTGCAGCAGGTGTTAAACCAGGCAACGGCGACGTCACGACAGTGCTTGGATCACTTGCCATGGTCGCTACAGCGCCACCCAAACTGCAATGGAGAGCGAGGTACAAAGTGCACAAATGTTCAAGGTAACGCGACCAGCTCCCGTAATAGAAGAGAGTTTAATTTTACCGCTAACACGCATCAGTCTAGCGCACAAGTGCGAGGGTCAAGCTCTGCAATCCCCTAGTCGTACTGCTCCCAGGCTTGCCTCCTGCTACTATAATACCCCTAATCTCCCCATGTCTGGACGAAAAGTGCGTCTCAAACCGAGTTATCTTCTTCTCTCGGCAGGATTGATTCAAACTTGCACCTTCGCCAAACTGAAAAAAAGAATGGGTGGTCCACGACATCCTCTACGGCTGGTAGTCCGACGCGTATCTGCGGGACGTGCGGTCGTCGTGTCCGTTGGACGGCATGGGGCGTCGATACCCACGCTCCATAGCTTCGTCCTCCCTGCGCATGGGGCGTGCGTCATTGCGTCGGTAGTCATCGTCCCTCGGTCCGCGCGCAGAGTATCCACGGTCTTCGTAGCGGTCTCCGCCGCGTCGGTAGTCTCCACGGTAGTCCCGACGGTCACGAGAGCGAGAACGGGAGCGAGAACGACCGCGGGGCGGGCCACGACGGTACGAGTCTTCACGGCGTCGGTCCGCCCCATACTCAAAGCCACGGTAGTCCCTGTCCCGGTCGCGTCCATTGCCATTGCGGTCTCTCGAGCGCGAGCGCGGTCGCTCCTGGGGCGGCGGGGGGCCTCTGAAGTCGCCGCCATTGCGTCCGTTGCCACGGTCACGAGAGCGGGAGCGCCGCTTGCCGCCCGAAGGCTCGCCCATGCCGTTGTTCATCGGCGGCGGGCCGCGCGGGGCTGGCTCGGGCGCGTCGTCGAACTGTCCGTTGCGCGCCGGGGGAGGAGGAGGCGGCGGAGGTCCCTCGCCAGCAGACGGAGGCGCGGAGCCCGGGGCGGGCGACGCGTTGAGGCCCGCCTTGGTCATCCACGCGGGCAGCGTGTTCGCTCGGCCTCGACCGCGTCCAGCCATCGTTCGCGTAGCTGCTGGCTTTTGAATTAGTTTGATGCTCTGGAAATGAACTGACTGACGTGCACTTAGCGAGTCGGTCTAGTCCACTCCTTTTTATAGTCCCATTTGCGATTTGTGACCGCCAAGCTGTTCAAAAAGCCATTGGCCGTCTGCAGTCAAAGACTACTGTAGACCATGTCGGGTGCCGGACGGAAGAGCGCGTACCGCAAGGGCGTGACTTCGCGCGTGCTGTATGGAGACCCGGAGCCCAAGGAGAACGAGCTCATCGTGCGCGTCACGGCGCTGCGTGGCAGCAACCTGTTCGAGGTGCGCGCGTTTTGTGCACTTGACTTTTTTGGTCCGGTGGTGCTGGTGTTGACCTTTTTTGAATTGTTTCGTGCTTTGCGGCTGCAGGTGGTTGACGCGGAAGGCGCCAAGTCCGTGACCATGCTGCCGACCAAATTCCGCAAGCTTATTTGGGTCAAGAGAGGTAAATATCATCGCTTTTCGGCACTAAAATGCTCGATTCGGGAGCTTTCTTGGCTCTGGAATTATAAAACTGCACGCTAAACGGCGCAATACCAATGCGTGCAGCAGCCTGGACACTTTTTTGTTGTTGAACTTAATTGTGATGTCTGTTGTTGGTGTTGGTAGGCGACTTTTTGATCGTTGGAGAAGGCGATGGCGGTGAGGCTACGACGGCCAAGGGCAAGAAGGGCGCTGTGACGTCCATTGTCGAGCACATTCTGTACAAGGATCAAATCAAGAATCTCAAGCGCAAAGACCTTTGGTATGTTGCCATGGCGTTCTTAAGGTTTTGTTCAGGGTGGTGAATATCTGAATGCTGACATTGGTTTCGATTATTTTTTAGGCCTGCGGCGTTTGACGATTCCTCTGCGAGTACGGCTTGGACTCAAGGTGATGTCGATGAAGACGACGAGAAGAACGATGACGAAGATGCCGAGGAAGAAGATGCGGCTACAGCTTCGTCCTCGAAAGGATTGACGATGGTGGCAGACAGGTTTGCCCAGATGAAAGTGAACCGGAATCGCCGCAAGGGTCACTTCGACGACGACGAAGAGGAGGAGGACAGCGATGACGAGTAAGGCGTGCACTGAAAGGCGCTGCTTACGACATGCGTGTCCTAGACGTGTTTGGCCAAATTTGGCAGCTTCCATATCGATCCATTTTTCAATAGAGTTATTGTTAGGCCGAGATGGATTTCGTCCCTTGAGCACTGCAGACGAGCTGTTGCAGAAACAGCAGCAGAATCGACCATCATGCAGCGCAAGCGCAGCAACGTGTACAGTGCTGGGCCCTCCGTGCTGGTAGGTTAGTCAGACTGAAGGATTGTGCAGGAAAACTTACACAAAGACCTTGAAGCAACATCGGCACTCCCTCTATGCCACGAACAATGACCTTGAGAATCCTGACCCTCAACTCGGTGTTTTTGGCAACGTACGTTGGCTTGATATGTGCTGGTGTTGCCTATCGTATACTTACTCAAACTCTCGTTGACGAAAGTATTCCGAGAAAGACTTTTTCTCCGACCTTCGTGTCGAGATTGATCGCGACAAGCATGCAGTTTATCCGGGGTACCTTCGAGGCAAAGCATCTATTATGCGATCTTCTGGAATCACCACCAAAGTGATAACCAGGGGGAAAGCAACTTCTAACGGTCCAGAGTCTTCCGTGTTGGTACCGTCAAGTATCCGCCAAATGCAAAGGTCAGTGCGCAAGGAAAAAACATTTACTTCGTACGTTTGAATGAAGCGCCTAAACGCACATGGACTTTGGTGCAGACGGTGCCAGTCAGCTTCTGCTGTCCGAAAGAAACTTTTTCACGCTGTAGAGCAAGGATCGAATACTGGACACCAGCATCCGAACCACAAGTTACAGTCCCAAATGGATGCACTGCGGAACCTGGCTTCGGGGTCGCTGTCTAAGGCGCCTACGAAAACGCAAAAAGGGCATCGCACACCCAGCGCTGACGCGTCGATTTGCCACGGAATCGTGAACCTGTCGCGGAAAAATTCGGGGGCGTCCATGGCAACGTGCAAGGCACAAAACCAAGAAGAGTGTATCTCAGGAGTTCGGATCGGTCCTAGCCGTTCAGCTAGTGCTTCCATTCTCATGGCCACGTCCACCCAGCCGTACCAACCACAATCGGTTCTGGTAGGTGGGTACAGATCGTCGTCTGTGCAGCTTGAAGTCGAGCTAGTGGAGCGGTTAAACGAAATCGGGCGCTCAAATGTACGTATACTCGCAAAAATACGTTTGAATGGTCAAGGAAAACTAATAGCGATCAACGATCAACTGCCTCGCAGCTACCTGAGAAAACCTTGTCACGTACGAGAGCGTGCCAGGCTGTACTGGACAGCATCGTGCTGCAGGATGAGGTGTGCTTTCCAGTTTCAGACTTTAGTCGTAAGGATAGTATAACTCATATCCTCTTCGTGCTTTACAGCACTATGGGCGACTCCTCTCAAGAATTCGAGACGAATTCAGCACGTACGTCGACATGACATGCAGACGGAGTCCCGCCAAGCCTAGTAACTCGAACGGGACAAAATCATGGTGTGCTTGTGGGCAAGACATTTTCGGTAAGTGTTTCGAAGCTCCCCGTATCTAAAATTTCACTGTCTAATAACCATGACTTCCTACAGAATTCGCGCTATTGAAGCAAGAAAATACAGTAATGAAAAAGCGAGTAAGCAATATGCAGCACGAGATCGAAAACTTGCAGGCGGCCTTAAGGCAAGCAAGGACTGGCGACTCGAGCGGGCGTAGCTACGAAAGTGTACGCGACACTAGTAGCACTGGCACCTGGGCGGAGGATGACCAAACACAAGAAGGTAAGACCCCGGTCAATCTTTGTTTTGTCATCCAGCATTGTAGTAGTGACACATGCGATCTCTACTTCCCTTAGACGATCTTGACGATGTCCAGCTTTTTCCCGCTGAAGAAGTCCATGAACAGCATTTTCGGCCACTGGGCGTTCCGAAGCTTAGCTTTGCTGCTCTTCCTTTATACAGCGACGAGGTAAGCTTAGGAGAACTTTTGACAGCAGCACATGCAGGCTCTAACACAAGAAATCTTTTGACTTTTCCTAGGAGGAAGACGAGGAAAGCCAAGAGGAAGAAGGATACACGCAATAGTAGAGCTACTTAGCTTGCGGAGTTTATGGTTGTGCAGTTCCTCAGTTGCAAACATCATCATCATACTTTGAATTCAGACATTCTTGGCAAAGTGTTGTTATCTGGATGCACATATCAATCCTCCGTTTTACCAAGTCTAGTCAAAAGCTCCTTCAACAGCTCCTGCTGCTGACGCTGCTGGATAAGAGACTCCCTAGTCAGCGATTGCATCTGGTCCATCGCGGCACAAACCCGATACATCGTGTAGATAAACACCAGCGCACAGATTATAATGGCAGCTTGAAGAGTTGGATGGAGCTGGGTCGGGGGGAGGCCATTACTTGTCGCAGTTGGAGCTGGCTGCACCAGTGAGGCTGGTGGAGAAACAGTAGTCGCAGTAACTGGTTGAGGCGAGTCCTTTGACGTCTTCTCCTCGCACGGGGACGGCTTCGTCGAAGGTGCACTCGCAGGAACAAGAGTATCAGATCCAGTTTCTGCTGCGGGTTGTTGCTTTGTTGCTTCGGCTGCAGCGTTTAGCCATGATTTCACGGCGTCCTTGGCTTCTGACACAGTTGTGCTTTCGATCTAGGAGGGAGGGGACGGAAGTCAGTCTCAAGTCTACAACAAACCTTTGTCTGTGGAGTTTAATCACCACAAGCGTACCTGTTTTTTCAGCCACGTGCTCTTCGACCATTGAATGCGAAGACCCACCTGCACCAAGCAAGCACCTTGATTTTTCGTAGCACTGAAGACCCATCGATGCTCGACCCGGAAGTAATCGCAATATGGTACGTCCGACACGCAGGTTGTAGTGCTCACGACGAGGCGACTGCCGGGCGTATACGCGTATCGTTGGGTTTGAGCCGTCGGAATGACACTGGGACCTACCATGTACTTCTTGTTGTGGGTGTATGTGACTAGCCGAGAGCCATCAAACGAGTCTGGCTTGCTCACTGCCGTGTATGATACAGTTGTCTTTTTCCACGGAGGCATCGATAGGTTCGTCGACCCGGCTGTATCAAGAATACTGCGGGCGAATGCGTCTGACTCGACCCATAGTTTTGAGTAAGCAGTATCGACACTACAAACAACGCATGTTAGTAATTCCGTGCAAACCAATGAGAATAGCGTGCCTTTCATACCTGAATGCGACTTCTTCATCCAGCATCAAGTCAAACTCGCTTAGTAAAGCGTCTTTCTCTGGGATCACAGGGGGTGCTCGCACTGCTGCAATTTCCGACGCAAGAGAGCTTGGAGGGCGACTATCCTCGGCAGGTATCGTGTCCGTTGCCGCGCTTGGAGTCATTTCGGGGCTAGGAGCAACGGCAGCCACCTCATCCGAACTTCTTCGTCGTCTTGAATCCCCGTCCGGTGGAGAACTACCATCAGTATCAACTGAAGCTGCTTCGGGCTGTTTGGCTGGATCTGACATCAACGCTTCCGTTTCTTTCTTTATGGACCGTAGCTGCTGAATACTTTGAAAGCATTCATCTCTGTACATTGTATGCATGGGCAGAAATTAGTTGTGCCAAGAACATGAGAGTATATGGTGCCAAGTGATGCTTACCGAAACACAAATGAAGTAAAGAAAACTTTCTCCCCTTTGACTGTGAACTGCAAATCAGTATCACGAAGTGAGTGGTGATGACACACAGGACAAAAACTTTAATCCGTTCTTACCTCGATAGCGTTGGGAACGATCAGTGCTGTGTTTTTCTTTTCCATGAGCGAGATCTCCGAGAATGAAGCCACCTACAGCATGGACACCATTAGAAGATACATCACCAACAGCAGCATCATACTCGCTTGGCACGGTGTAGCTTACGAATATCGTATCTCTCCATCCGGAAAAACACATTCGGTCTCTAGTCAGGTAAAGACGTCCGTGGAACGGGAAATTGGAGAGGTAAAGCGCACACGAAAAGCTTTCCACGACCTGCTCCGGCGAATCCAGCTATTCATCAAAAGAGCAACACGACAAACCCATTAGTTTGCATAGGTATTCTCACTTCCACGGGGATTAGTTACCTTAAACTTCTTCTGAAAGTCGGATACTCCGAGTGGCTGAGCTTCAGTGAATTCTTCATCTTGCTCCATTCCCGAGCCTGCACTTTCGTCTTCGATTGGAGAACTCTCGCCCTCAGCAATGTTGTCATTTGCTGGTACTGCCTGGTCATCCCTCGCCGATATAACGCTTGAATTCCGAGACAAACGCGGGGATTTTTCCGGGGAAGTTACGAACTCGCCACTTGAAATTGACCCAGGTGGATAGCTGCCACTTGTAGGACTTCGGGGGTTCTTGTCCGAATATTCTGAGGATGCTCCAAGTGACGAGAGATATTCGCGCATCACCTCTTTCAAGCTTTCGTTACCGTGGTACGCGGGTGCGATACGCTTGCTTCGTTCATACGGTTGCCTGTTGCTTCGGATAAACTCAGCAATGTCTCCATTGGGATCGATTTTTTCAAACTCGATCAGTGCCTTGTTTCCAACCGACGTGCCACCCTGCAGCATATGCTCGATGGCTTTTGCCAGCGATTGAAGAGAATTTTTGCCAACCTGGAGTCGGTACTTCTCGTTTTTCATGTAAGTCGAAATGAAAACCTCGATTTCCTGTATTGCAGCAACAACGGAGTAAGTAGTCGTCGTAAAAAACCTGCATATTCCGAAAGGGACAAACCTGGACGTAGATCTGGTACGTTTGTCTCAAAGACTTGCTGCTTTCTGAGACTTGTACTTGGAGCAGACGGATCTCTTCCGCAAGCTGACGAAGTTTGGCTTCCGACCGTCGATCCTTTTCGTTGAATAAACGCAAATTTGCACTCAACACTTTGAGAGCTTGTGCAACCTCGATCCCGTAAGAATTGGTGGCAACAGGCGTTGATCCTGGCATGTACGAGAATGTCACTGCAAAATCACGGGACTTCGTATCCAGTTTATGCTGAAGCTTCTGGTGTGCAGCTGCTTCGTTGCATAACGTGGAATGTGCCTTCAAGAAGTTTTCCTGCGTCGAGACTCGGACACTTTCATATTCAGTCTTCATGGTGGCGAGACTCAAAGACACGGGCTCGGCAAGCAATGATTGAAATTCCTGAGTACAGTAGAAAGCATTCGTTAAGCATGATACCCACAGAAACGCTTGTATATAGCGACATACCTGATGAACTTCCAATAAAAGTTTGACTTGGTCTTTCACAGTCAGCCAACCGTTCGCCATTGTTGCTCCTTCGTCGGCCAGGAAACTAAGGTTCACATTGGACGAAGACGTGCCAAAGAGATCCGATGGAGGAGTGAGGCCGCCACTCTCGTGCGTTCGAAGCAGCTTCCGCAGGGCCTGCGAAAAGCGGGCCTCACTCGCTATAAACTCGGTCACGACAGAATTGATCACTCCGATCATACGCTGACCATTGTCTGACATAGCTTGAATATGCGTCATACGTAGATAGAAAGGATTGATCGACAAGTCTGCCCGGTCCACATCCACTTCCTCCTGGCTTCCAAGACTTTGAAACCCTTTCTCAATATCCGCTACAAAACAGACATACAGCAGCGTTTAGCTTACAGAACGATCAGCACAACGTCGAATCGGTAAGATGATGCCTTACCTAGCTCGTCGACTTTGCTTACACTCTCTTTCATCCGCTTGACGAACTGTTGCGATCGAGAAAACATGGCGACGAACGCTTTTTGCATGCGCATCAGGACATCTCGGAGGTATTCGAGCCGTTGTTCTTCCGTAAGCTGGAACGCGTGCAAGTTTTCTTTGATCTCTCGCTCGATAATCAAGCGTTGTGCGTTGGTGTACTCCACCGTCTGGACGTAGTGCTTCTCCGCGGCAATGACCTCTTCGAGGCAGCCGTACAATTTAGATCGTTGCCTCTCCAACGGATTACGCCCAAACGAGGATGTAGTATCCCACATCTTCGTCAGCAGTTGCCCAGCACCGGCTGCGAGTTTATCTGTCAATTCCTTGGACGACGACACGTCATCGGAGGACTCGGATGACGACGAGTTGACATCTGACGCTGTGCTGTTATCACTCTTTTTCATCGTCGTAGTGATCTCAATAGCCTCTTGGCACTTGCGCTCGTACTTCTCTCGTGCTTTTTCCATCGACGAAATCATTTGCTGTTGCGCCCAGCGCACCTTGGTGCCCTCTGCAGAGATCATTTACAACAACCACCTACGTTTAAGTCCTTACAACGCCCCAAACAACATGCCTGAAGCGTACAAAACTCCTGACAGATATCCCCACGAACCTGTGATGAGTCGTTGCACCTGAGTCTCCTGCTGGGCCGCAAAAGCCTTTGCTCCGGGGACAACAGCAGTCTGCATCGTTGACGCAAATGCCCATCGCTCCTGAGCCAAATGATCGGTCGCCTCCTGGAACGTTGCCCAGCACTCCGTGAGCTGCTCAGACCAGTCCTCAGCCCTTGCACTTCTGCAAAAATGCATCCGACGTGAGTAAAATCACAAGACCTCTAAATAGTTCCAGCCTAGCTGCACCGTACTGGGCCAGTTTGAGCAGCGACTGAGCGTAGTTGCTCTCCAAGGCCGCGCGTTCCATCACAAAAGCCGACACTGCTTGGCAGAGCTGCACGCCGCTCTTGGCCTTCTGGCTAACTTTGGGAAAGGCTCGAAAGAGGTCCGTGGAGTAGGTTCCCTCCGTCGGTGCCGCGCGGGGGGACGTCACCGAGCCGTCATCGCTGCGGGCGGTGGGGCTGCTGTTGCCCCGTGTGGGAGACCCCTTGGAGGCAGCTGTAGCGTTTCTGGGGCTGCTCTGGGGCCTGCTGTCGGTTCCAACATCCGGCAGCGTCTCCACCTGGAGATCCGCTGAGTCCTCTGTAAGCACAACGCGCGGTACATGAGGCGAGAGAATCGCGTAGGCATGAAGACGAGTTAGTAGGCGCTAGATAAGGGGGAGAAGGAGACGGCAGGACGCACCCATGGCGATGCGAGCGGAGACAGCTGCTTGAGCACGGCTTGAACTATTCCGCACTGAAACGATAAAGGTCGGACGAAAATGGAAATCAACACTTAACTGATATGATTGCAGTTGAAGGCATACAAATTGCAAGTCAGTCCAAGGCGTTAGGTACCGAGGCTATGCTATGCAGGTGAAGCCCACGATAGGATTCATCGGGGGATAGACCAAGTCAAAGGCGAGCAGCAAGGAATCCTACGGGCATCAGCAACTTGTGAACACGAACCCTGAGCATCAACACGTTCTCCGGCCAAGCACCAAGTAACATAGCAATTCAGAAGGGTAAAACTGCAAGGATAGGATGAACCAAGAGGGATGTTTTGGATGTTTGAATGTTATTCAGCCATTACAAATTGCCAGGAAGGTGTTTCCTCCTGTCGAGAGCACCTAAAACGGGGCGACGCGCCACACGCCACACTCCGCTTCGAACCGGTACACAACTTAGTACTGGGCCTTCTTGGCAGCCTCGGCAGCGATCGCCTTCTCACGCAGCTCCAGCTTCTTCTGGGTCTTCAGGCCCATGATGCCACCGCCCCACTTGCGACGCGACACGGCATCGTCGTTGAACTTGGCCTTGAAGGCCTCCGAGAGCGAGTCGAACTTGGCCTTGTCCTCCTTGTTCACGTGGGTGAGCGCCACGACGGCGGCGTTCTTCTGGTGCACGAGCTGTCCCAGACGAGCCTTGCCCTTGACGATGCAGTACGGGATGTCGAACTGACGGCACAGAGCGGGCAGGAACACCACGAGCTCAATGGGGTCCACGTCGTGGGCAATGACCACGAGCTTGGCCTTCTTGTTCTCGATCAGCGAGGTCACGTGGTTGAGACCGAACTTCACGACGGCGGGCGGGGCCGAGGCCTCCTCCTTGCCGGCGGCGATGTTGCGCAGACGCAGGGTCTTGGCGGCCTTGGTCTCCGGCTGGTACTTCAGCAGCAGCTTGAAGAGGTCCGTGGCTACGTTCTTCTCCAGGGTGTTGGAGAACTGGTTGATCGACGGCGGCACCTTAAGGCGCTGGTAGAGGATCTTGCGCTGACGCTGCAGGCGCACGTAACGCGGCCAGCGGACGAAGCGGGACAGGTCACGCTTGGGCTACAGAGATTGAATAGAAGACAGTGCAAACGTCAGTATTTCCGTGTCATGGGCATGTAGACTGGGTGGGGCTCCACCACGCCAGAAAACAAGTGAGCTGGTGCATGACAACGCGGCAGAAAGCGAGGTTCTTTACCCTTGAGGCGCAAATCATCGCGAGCGAATGAAATTGCCACCACAAGTTTGTGTCATTGCGGTCGTGGTGGACCCGCTACACTGTTCTCTAGTAAGGGCCAGGGCAGATGAGAGAGGGAGTCAACCTGAACGGGTTGTCTCTCCATCTGCCTGGTCCTCACCGAGGGGCGTGGAATCGCTGCCGAGAAGGCGAAGCGATGGCATGGAACTCTCTGGAGGGACACGGCGCTTCAAAGTACCTGGATGTCACCGCCCTTGCGGAAGTTCTTGGGCGTCGACACGAAGAGGGGGTTCTTCTTCGAGGCGGTCGACGCGGCCTTGACCGTCTTGGTCGAGGTGACCTTGGTGGTGGTGGTGGTGCGCTTGACCTTCTTGGTGGGCATGGTGATCGTAGATGGCGAATAAACGAATGGGGGAGCCTCGCGTTCGGCGGCGCCTCTGAGCCGCCCCCAACAGCCAGTCATTCAATATTTCGTCTTTTCAACCAATGGCAACGGGGGTGATAACCAATGTGGGCCACGTAATTCAGAAAGTGACATGTCAGTGAAATGAAACTTATAGTTGAAGTGGTGCAGCGAGTTGAAGTGGCAGAGGCTGCAGGAAGATGGCCCCAAGTCGGTATCTTGGACAACAGACGCAATCCTTGTAATGCAATGCAATCATTTACGTGCTCGTGTAGATACAATACTTGTGGGACAAACAAAGCGCGAGCTGTATTTGAGCTTCGCGAAGGGCTGACTTTCCACCTCCACCTCGATACCTCGATATCGCACTTCGAGCGTTGCTTGACATTCCATTGACGACAGCTTTTGCGAGTAGGAGTTGAATTCAGCTGGCATTGTCATGCTAATACGGGCAGGCCACCAGGGCTCGCAAACGGTGCTGACCGGGTACCCGTACCCGCCCGTGTAGCCGTCCAAGCCGAAGTCGGGTACCCGTACCCGCCCGCCCACAAGCCACGGGCCAGCCAGGGCTCAAGGTTTTGTACGGACGGACCAACTGTTACATCTCCCGACACGGTTTTAAAGTTAAACATTTAAGTAGGAACTACGCGAAATCAATACAGAGTGAAAAGGACTTGTGGAGGCTAAAAGAAGACGGCGTAGGAGCATGACATAGCTGGTATAAGTAAGAAATATTACTATTTAGTACTATTTTCGTCAACTTCGGGTACCCGTGGCACCGCCCGAGGTTTGCTTCGGGTACCCGTACCCGACCCGAAACCGGGTATACCCGAGGCGGGTAGGGCGGGTACAAGAAACGGGTACCCGATTGCGAGCTGCAGGCACACGAGCAGGGTGGCTACAGTAGCGCACTTACGCGGACAAATACGCATGGATCCGGTCATACACGTCAGCACCGCGACGAAGGACCTCGCTCTTCCACGTGCCGCTCTGATGCAGATAAAACACATCCCGAAGTTTTTGAGCGTACGGCAATCGGCTCACGGGTGATGGGCTGTGGTGATACATGGCGTTTTCCTCGATCATCGCTTTGAGGATGAACACCCCCGGCACCGTCCCGAATTCCTGGCAGAAGAGAAGCGCGTTTCGTTTAGTCTGCGGTCCAAGCAAACTCGCTACACCGTCAAAAGTGAATCCGCCAACGCCATCATACCCACGCGACACTGGGTTGTCGTTGTCGTGCACGAAGACTACCTTGTCCGTGTACTCTGGACCCGTGAAGACATCGCGTGCGACGGCCATGTCACTCGCCGCCCCAAGCATGAGAGTGTCAACGCCAGCAGGCCCAAGTCCCGTGTGGACGTCAATCATCGCAAACTTCTTTACGCCGCTAAAATCCACATGCTCGCGCAGGAAGGCTTGCAGCAGCGCCAAGCTCGGTTCCAGCTCCTTCCCACCGTAAAATAACGTCTGTGGGAAGCGATAATTGCCACCAATTGTCGCCTTCTTAATCGCGTCGAAGCCCTTGGTGGCCAAGTGAACGATGGCTTTCACCCAGAACCAGTTATTGAAGCCGCGCAGATCCGTCGGGTTCAGCAGGCCGTACACGTCCAGATAACCCAGGCGGTTCGGGTCGCGCTTCTGGCGCTCCTGGAACTCCTCCTGCGTGAGCCAATTGCGGTTCAAGTCCACGCCGTGCTCATTGAATCGACGAAGCTGGGCGAATCCGTAGGGGTTGAGAGCGTGCACGAAGATGACGGTTGGCCTGAGCTTGGCGGAGCTGGGACTTTTCGCTGCTCGCTCCAGCAGCGCCGACTGGATCGCGCTCCCCGCGAAGCCCTCGACACCATGCGTGCCTGAAATGTGCAACAGCACGCAATCCCTTGACCCCGGGAGCACCGCCATGTCCACCGTCAAATCTAACGTTCTGAGATGCTCCAGTGGAAGCGAGAAGAGATCGGCGCCGGCAGCCTCTGCGCGTGACCGGAAGAGCGCTCGTGCCTGGTAGTACGAGTCGCTGAAGTGGGCCTCGACGGTGGCATTGGCAGTAGCTGAGGGGAGGTACGAGTCCACGGGGCCAAAGTCGTTGTGCGCGTGCAGCAGCAGCGCCGCGAATACAGCGAGCGCAGGCAGCAGAGCTCCGCCGATCCGCATGATTCTGTTTCGAAATGGGTAACCTACAGTACAGTACCAGTTCTGTACCTGTTCTAAATTAGAAACACCACAATGGTCCGACGTTTCAGTTCAATACTAAGTCGAGAGGACGAGCACAGAGGACGATCTGCTCTCTCTCTCTTCGAGGCCCCCTGTCACTACAGGAGCGCCAGTGGCCGGTTGGAGCTCGCGCCAATTGCCGCCATGGGTCAGCACTGCTCGTGCCTGGAGCACCCGCCCAAGTACCAGCGGCGGCAGTCGGACGACCTCGACACGGTGGATATGGAGCGCAGCGGCGACGACGACGACGACGACGACCAGGAGCTGGAGGTGTTCGTAGACGCGCAGGAGTCCCACGAGTTGCTGGGTGCCAGACCCAGAACAGGTTCAGGAGGGAGGGGCAGTCAGCGGGGCGTATTAAAGCGCAGCGGGTCCTGTGTTGCCGCTGGGCTCATGACCGGAGTGGACAGGAGAGGCGACGAGGACGAGGAGAAGGAGTCGGAGGAGCAGCACATGCGGCGCAGTCTCAGCATTGGGCTCATGGGGCTGGCCGCAGACCAGCACCCAACCCCGTCACCTCGACCAGAGGAGCTGTCGAGGCTGCTACGATCGTATCAGGAAATCACGGGTGTGGTAAGTTGGAGCTTACGTCTTTCCGGTGCTGGAGTTGGATCTGACCGCGCCGTGGTACATGTATGTATTGTTTTACTGTAGATTGACGAAGGCCAATTGGACCTTGAGTGCATAATGTGCCTCGACACATTCTCGGAGGTGGGTGCTGCTTTAGAGGGGTAGTTTGGAGGGATTTGGTGCAGCTCTTAACGTTTCCGTTTGGTGTTGTGCACGACTGCAGGATAATCCCAAGGTCCGCACACTGTGCAACTGCGGCATGAACCGCACCAACTTCCACATGAGTTGTTTGCTGGAGTGGCTCAACCGAGACTCGAATTGTCCAGTTTGTCGAGAGTATCTCTTCTTTGAGGACTCGTAATTACTGTATACCCGAATGTCAAGATTCATGCTCATATTTCAAGCGCAAGTATGGCTACCACAGCAGCGGAACTTGAGCTACCCCGGTCGTGACTACTGTAGACACCACGAGGGGTATCAAAGTTACAAGGCCTGACAGTCCGTGATCGTCGCTCCAGCTGAGGCTCGCGGATCACTTTTGACGCGCACAATATTTTATGCACCAGTGTAGTACTTAGTAGTAATAGGATGTTTCTCGCGACCACAGCGACTATTTTGTGGTTGCTTCAATGTCGCTCTGTATTCTATGATGCAAGCAATCTTCGGAAATTGCAATATTGCCTTACACTCTCATTCCAATTCGATCCCGAAAAGTGTACGCAGATGCCACTGCTACGACGCCTATCGCCACGGCCGAGACGATGAAAGAAGCCTGTAATGTAGCAAGACAGAGCACGCCCATTGAGTTGGGTAAGAATGCAACCTACGGACACTTGATACGCAGGTAGCGGCTTACCTGCCAGGAACCCAGTACATAGCTCGATTTGTCGCCATCCCTATTCATGATTATGATGGCACGGTGGTTAATACTTCGAAGTAAGAGCACACGCCCCACCATGCTGGGACTAACCTTTCTTGTCGAGGAGGCAGCGGCGGAACCTCTTTTAGCATTGGAGCGGTCGCGCTGGGCCACGGCTGGTGCCCGAAAGGGAACTGAAAATACGTGTTGGCTCTGCAATTTTGGGAACGATAAAGGTTAGGCAACTGGAATTTGACAATGGAGAATTAGATATGCGTACTTTGAGGCTGATTCAAGTTGAGCCCGCTGAAGAAGCTGTGGCGGCGGCAGTTGGTGAAAAAGTACAACAGCCCGCGCGATGACTTTTTCAACATCCATGGCGAGGGGCAGGCTCGAGAGCAACCCGTGCATCGTGCCGAAGTCACGTTCGCAGCGAAGAATCTTGTCCTTTGCCTCAAGTAGAACCTGCATATCGGTCATTTGCAATCCGTCAGATGCAAATTTGTTTGCAGAACTGTCAAACCAATTCGGAGACGAGGGATGACCACCTACAGCAGCGGATACATATAAGCTGAAGAGCGGATGGGAGACAAGAAACACGTCGTACAGCCGCGCAACATCCTGGAATCGCCTCAATTGATGCGCAAACCACGTGATCATCCACGGCAGAGCGAAATACGGTTCAACCTGAGCCAGACACGCAAAGTTTGTCAGCTTGGCTCCGCGATAATAGTTGATGTGCACCAGAACTCACCCCCGACTCGTGCAGATGCTGGTAAAGCAGCTCGTCAGCCGCATCCAGCAGCGGAAACAATAACCTGGTCGTCGCCATGACTTGCTCGAATCCCGACCGCATCGGTTCACGCTGGTACGTCTCGCTCACAGTTCGCACCGCTTGCAGCGTTCCCTTCGAGTTGCCCAGTGTCAAGAGGAACACCGAAACGATATCGTGATACCCCTGGAAGTAAAAGAGCTCGTCATTGGCGCCCAGCACCCCCAGAATAATGTGCGTGAGCGCCCGGCGCTTGACGCGGCGCTCGCTCTCTTTAAGCCCTTGCAGCACGTCATAGTGCCACAAGGATCGCTCCACGTCCTTCTCCACCTGCGCAGCGTCCCGATGAGCCTGATGGGACTGGTTCCCGGTGTTCGAGGAGCCGTTCAGCGCTGCCGCATTGACACCCAGCAGGAAGGGCCACAGGTCTCTGCGGAACTCTTCTGAAACCAGGCCTTTCGATGCTACTGCGAGCCGGCGCACTTCGCGGAAGCAGGCGTCGCGCTCTTCCGCGGCGGCGGCGTCTCCGCGGTCCAGAGCGCGCAGGCGAAGAATGACCGCGCGCAGCTCCTTCTCCTTGTGGCGGATGAGGCGGCGCTCGCGCTCGGCCGGCGCCCGACCGGGGATGCCCCGCTCGCGGTTCGCGCTGCGCTTCTTGGACATGGGGTCGAAGATACTTCACGCCTGCAACGAGCGTACCACATCATTTTTGTATTTTTGAGAAATGTATTTTCAGAAATTTCAAAATGGTCCAATCGCGATCGTGCTGATCTTTGATGTGGCGCGAACACAAACCAGCTGGGGAAATTAATTGCTCGCGACGGATGCGTCTTGGATCCGTCCAGACAGCGCGGTGGGCGACGCTGACAGCGCTCGCCTCCTTCCTGCAGGGCGTCGAGACGTTTCCGCCCCACGTCTCAACGAGATCCACATTGCGCGCGGCGCACTCTTCAAAGCCTAGTTTTGGTGCCAAACAACAGAATCCAGCTGGTCAACACTGATTCCTGACGACCGCTTTTTATAGAGGACCCTCGCAGTAATGTACAGGCAGCAATCCTTCCACTTCACCCATTCATTCACCCATTGCACCTTGGGTTGAATGGGAGACTGGGTGACTGGGTGGTGAAAAGATGGGTGAAAAAGAGTACCGTAGTCACTTTTAAAAGTACCGTAGTCATGACAAACACGTCTAAGTGCTCGTACGGATTCCGTGCCTAAGTGCGCATACGTCGGCTAGCCAATCGTAGCGTTCACGGTTTCGCCGCCGTTCCAAGCCGATCCGCTTCGAAAAGTGCCGTTCCAGCGAACCCATGTCTGCGATACAAACGCCAAGTCAAACGATCCAAGCCTCAACCAGCGCGAAACCGGGGTCGAAAGCGCGATCGACCAATGGGCGCGTCACCTTCATTGAACCAGCCAACTAGCGCGCAAACGCCGTTCCAGCCGCGCAGTACCGTGAGCAGTTACGCGCAGTACCGTGAGCAGTTACGCGCAGGACGACCATCGCTTTAGAGAGGTTGTTTAAAACAGTTTGAGAGATCAAAAAGCCCAAATCGTACTTTTCCAGTGGGTGCTTTGAAGCGCACTTACCAACACCCCTCGAATAGAGGCCCCCTCGAATAGAGGCTCAGGCTGACTCAGGCCTGCAAACCGCACTCGATATCGAAGGTAAACTCTTTGTGACAGGCACCTAGACATAATGAGATCAAGTGTTTCCGCAAAGTCGGCAGGATGCGGTCTTGCAGGTGATAGTATGTCAGGATTCTGATTTCTACACCCAAGCACCACTTGGCTTCACTATTGGCCCGCCGCGTCCGTTGGTGTCGGTGTCGGCTCGCTCTCAGTGTGGGATATCGCGAGCCGACGGCCAGAGGTTCGGAGGAAACACCCGAGCGGACGATCGCTGCCTCGCACGCCGCGCCCACATACAGAGCGCAAGTGTCCCCGCCAGTCGCGATCGGCGATAAGACCTGCCGCCAGCTGGGCAGTCGCACGTGGACCGAGACAGGGCCCCGAGTCTCACTCGCCTCGCCGCCCGCTGTCTCTCTCTCTCTGCTCCCGTCCTTCGTCTCTCAGTCTTGAACGCCCCGCAGCCCGCGCGCGACCATGGCGCGTTCCGGCAGCGATGGCGACAGCGATGACGCCATGCAGTACAGCAAGCCGCTGCGCCAGCAGAAGAAGCTCTGCGATGAGGCCATGGAGCTGGTCAACGCCGGCGTGGCCATGCAGAACGCGTCGCCGCCCGACACGGCCGGCGCGGACGCCAAGCTCTCGCGCGCCGTGACGCTCATGGAGCAGGCGCTCGCCATCGAGTACCCGACGCAGGAGGAGCGCGACGCCAGTCAGCGCCTCAACAACAAGATGAACCGCTACGTCAAGATGATCCGCAGCCAGCGCGAGAAGGGCGCGACCGGGGGAGCCCCGGGACGCGGTCACAACACCAAGTACAACATCCTGCCCATGGACAATCTGCCGTCCACGTACAACGTGATCCTCGAGCTGCTGACCAAGTGAGTTGCAGTGCGGTTTCACCCTTGTCTGATTCAGGGGAAAGACGAGCTGACGTTGTATTTTTAATCTTGTGTGTGTCTACAGCTCGTCGACGGCCGGTGATATCTTCGAGAGCATGAAGACCACCTTCGGTTTCCAGGAAGCTAATGTGACCAACCAGAAGGAGCACGTGATGCTCATGCTGACGAACTTCAAGCTCCAGGAGGAGGAGCCGAACCAAAACGGCGACGAGCACCACCAGCTCGACCACCAGCAGGAGCTTGACATGGCCAACAAGGGTATCAAGCGCCTCCACGAACGCATCTTTGCCAACTACACCAAGTGGTGCAAGTACGTTTCGACCAAGCCTGCGTTCACGAGCGACCCGCTCGTGGATCTCGTGCTGTTCTTCCTGATTTGGGGAGAGGCTGGTAACTTCCGCCAGACGCCCGAGTGCCTTTGCTTCCTGCTGCACACGTCGCTTCCGCAGGCTTCGTCTCGTGGCGGCAGCAAGAATCCTGGCGACTTCCTTGCCGAGGTCATTCGCCCTATGTACAACGAGATCAAGAAGGATAACGACAAGAAGACAGCGCAGGGCGCCCGAGCTTCTCACGCGGAGATCCGTAACTACGATGACTTCAACGAGTTCTTCTGGAGCAAAAAGTGTCTGAAGTACAACCCGACGACCATCCACGAGGCATTTGGCGAAGTGGACAAGAAGGGTCGCCCGAAGGTCATCAAGAAGAGTTTCGTGGAGAAGCGCACGTGGTTCCGCGCGCTGATGTCTTTCCGCCGTATCTTCTGCTTCAACTGTGCGCTATTCATGGCTGTTCTCGGATTCTCTATCAACGTGGTGATGTATTGCCCGGACACGCCAATTTTGTACGGCGCCGATCTGAGCAACGGAAACTCTCGTGGCTTCACCGTTTTCGGCAAGAATATGACGGCATCCGACTATACTGCTATCGGATCTGGCGATGGATCTGGTGATAAGTCGAGCTCGGGATCGGGAGCTAGCTGTAACCACCAGATGCTGGCGACTTGCCTGGGTATGACCTACACGGAGGGTATTTTCGAGAATATTCCTATTGATTTCAAGGCACTGCTGCAGCTTGTGCCGTTCACCGACTGCGTGGAGAAATCTACGGGTCGCTGCGGCTGCTACTTGGATTTAATCGACAATTGCTTTTCGGAAACCGGTCAGACTACTCACGTCACCGAAGACGAGCTTACGTTTTCGTCATCGAGCGAGTACGACCAGAGCATGTGTGTTGTGAACTGGCGCGCTGCCGTTGAGTCCATCATTAAGGACCCGGGTCCGGGTAAGCTGAACTGCGAAATCTGCCAACTGGACATCAAGGCGTTGATCACCAACGGTAAAATCGGTGATCTCATTGCTGGACTGTTATCTGTTGGAGACGGCACGCCCCTTTCCGATGGAGACATCACTAATACGAAACGGACGGATATGGGTGCGCTTGCCATGTTTGGCGGTGTCGGTTGTCTTGGTCTCGTCTTTGCATGCGAGTTCTTGAACAAGATCTTCTCGCGTGTTGGATCAGGCTACGTCGGGCGTTCGATGCCAGTTCCAATCCGCGCATACTGCCGGTACACGTGTTTTTGGCTTCTGCTTTTCATGTGCAAGCTGACCTTCGACTACCAGTACATGATGAAGGCCCTGGTGGAAACAACGTTGTTCATTTGGTACGCGAACGAAGACGAGTACCTCAAGTACTCGAACTTCATTCTCCAGGTCACGTTCCACAACATCATCTACATCCTGTTCTTGTGGATTCCGGCGTTCTTCGTGTTCATGTACGACGCGCAGATCTTCTACTCTGTGCTGTCGGTGATCTTCGGTTCGTTTGCGGGTTTCAACCTTCGCATCGGTGAGCTGCGCTCTTTCCGTGTTCTTCGACTTTCGTTCAAGTCCATTCCCCGCATGTTCAACAAGAAGATTGTCCCCAACATTCAGGATGGAGCTGCCGATGGCAAGAAGAAGAAGAAGAAAAAGAAAAAGGGTGAGAAGGAAGAGTCAACAATGCCCGTGCGTCACTTCGAGCGTGTGTCAATGGCTGACGGAATCAAGCCTCTTACGGTGAAAGCTCAAATGTACTCCAACCTTCTGGATCAACATGGAGAAATGTACAACGAAGTCAAGACGCCCAATGACAAGGATGACGCAAGCTCTAGCGGCCGTCAGTCTCAATTGGGTTCAGTAACCGGTGTCTCTGGCGCCGACTTCGAGCGTACTATTCCTTTTGCGATGGCCTGGAACCGTTGCCTCGGCAGTTTGCGCGAAGCTGACGTTATCAGCGACCGCGAGCTGAACGTGCTGAGCTACTTGATCGACTCAAAGGACGCAGAAGACCGCAAGTTGTACCCGCCTGCTTTCTTGACGGCCGGCAAGCTGGACGAGTCTCTTGATATCATTGTTGATTGCTCAGCTGTGTACGAGAAGCTGAGTTCCGACAAGAAGAAAAAAGAAAAGGCGCTGCAGAAGATTGAAAACACGATGCGCGAGCGTCTGACCAAGGACGATTTGCGTGTGGAGTCGATTCTCGGATCGTACAAGTTCACTTCGCAGGCTGTTCGGTTTTTGCTGGGTGACGAACACAAGGATCTGAACGAGTGCTTTGAATTCATGGAGGAGATGGCTGCTCAGCAGTCGGTGCTCAAGGGACTCAATCTGAAGAGTCTGCACGAGTGTCGTGCTGCATGCGCCGAGTTGATGAAGGCACTGCTCGAGGTGCCCAAAACGACATCGGACAACAGCATCAAGTTCCAGCGTGCGCTTTATCGCGTTATTGACTGCGTAGAGTCTGTGCTGAACTGCATGAAGAAGATCCTCGTGAAGCAGGAGAACCTGGTGCAGATCTTGACGGACACTCCGTTGAAGCAGAGCTCCTTCTTTTTCCCGGGCGATGCCCAGCAGTACGCCAACATGCAGCTGCAACGCCTGGTGAACTCGGAGGCTGCCTTGGACATTGTGTCGCGAGCGTACCAGCTGCTGACTGTGGATAACTTCGATGCGGAGCCACGCTCGGATGAAGGACGCCGTCGCTTGCGCTTCTTTGCCAACTCTCTCTTTATGGACATGCCTGAAGCAAAGCCGATTCGCAAGATCCGCTCGCTGACGGTGTCGACTCCGTACTACAACGAAATCGTGATGTACTCGATCAAGGACTTGACGGCTCAAAACGACGATAGTATCAAGCTGATTTACTACCTGAAGACCATCTATCCGTTCGAGTGGGAAAACCTGCTTGAAAGGCTTCAGGCCAAAGATATGGAAGAGGCTCTGAAGAAATACCCCGAGGAGGTTCAGCTGTGGGCTAGTTACCGTGGTCAGACGCTGGCGCGTACCGTGCGCGGTATGATGTACAACGAAGACGCCATTCGGTTCCTGCACTGGTTGGAGATCTGTGAAAACGAGGTGATGCACCAGCCTGGTTGCCCGTGCAACAAGTGCAAACGCCTAAATGAAATGGTTGCGCTCAAGTTCAACTACGTGTGCACGTGCCAGATCTACGGTAAGCAAAAGGATGAACAGCGACAGCAGGCTGCTGACCTGGAGTACCTGCTTCGCAAGCACCCAACCCTTCGTGTTGCATACGTGGACGGCCCCAAAAAGATGAAGGAAGGCCCTCCGAAGTTCTTCTCCGTCTTGGTGCGTGCTGACGGTGAAAACATTGCCGAGGTCTACCGTGTGGAGTTGCCGGGTAACCCTGTCATTGGTGAAGGTAAGCCTGAAAATCAGAACCACGCCATTATTTTCTCGCGCGGTGAGCTGCTCCAGTGTATCGATATGAACCAAGACGGCTACCTCGAGGAAGCCCTGAAGATGCCGAACCTGCTGTCAACCAAGGACTCCGAAACGAAGAAGTGCCCCTTGACGATCATCGGTTTCCGTGAGCACGTGTTTACGGGCGGTGTGTCGAACTTGGCCAGCTTCATGTCGATCCAGGAACTGTCGTTTGTGTCTCTGGGTCAGCGTATGCTGGCGTTGAACCACGTGCGTCAGCACTATGGTCACCCCGATATTTTCGACAAGCTGTTTGCTATGGGCTGCGGTGGCACTGCTAAGGCGTCCAAGGGTGTCAACCTTTCGGAAGATATTTTCGCTGGTTTCAACAGTACCCTTCGCGGTGGCCGCGTCTCACACGAGGAGTTCATACAGGTGGGCAAGGGTCGTGATGTGGGTATGCAGCAGTTGACTCTTTTCGAGGCCAAGCTGTCGTCTGGTGCTGGCGAGTGTGTCATCTCGCGCGATGCCATGCGCATGGCTTCTCGTCTGGATTTCTTCCGCCTGCACTCGTGGTTCTACGGTAACTTGGGTTGGTACTTCACGCAGACTATGACGGTGGTGGGTGTGTACTTCTTCATCTACGGCAAGGTGTACATGGCTCTGAGTGGCATGGACAGCTACTTCCTCGAAAAGGGTGGCCTGGGCATCGGTGGTACACTTAACACCTCGTGGGCGTTCCAGTTCGGTTTCTTGCTGGTGGTGCCTGTTGTCGCCGTGGTTGGTGTGGAACAGGGTTTCCGTCACGGTCTCACATATTTGATTTGGAACATCTTGACGCTCGGCCCGTTGTTCTTCACATTCCAAATGGGCACGCGTATGCACTACTTCGACCGCACGTTGATTCACGGTGGTGCCAAGTACCGCGCTACGGGTCGTGGTTTCACAATCAAGCACGAGCGTTTTGCCGAGCTTTACCGCTTCTACGCATTTAGCCACTTCTACCGCGCCGTGGAGCTTGTGTTCTTGTTGATCCTGTTCCGTGCGTATGGTACGTTCTCGTGGTGCAATTGCTCGTGGACGCAGGACGCTCAGTTCTACAACTACTACAAGCCTTCTGACAACGACTGGAACACTCGTTGTTACGCAAACTACTACCAAACGTGCGTGGAGCCGACGAACCAGAACTACGGTGTGATGTCGTACTCGCTGTGGATTATCGCGGCGACCTGGTTGTGGGCCCCGTTCTTCTTCAACCCGAGCGGCTTCGACTGGGACAAATTGATCGAGGACTACAGCGACTGGCAGAACTGGCTGAAGACGACGAACGATTCCGCGGCCAGTTGGTCGGGTTGGTGGTCCAACGAAGTGGAGTACCTGGAGCACTCGACTAGGGGCTCTCGCATCGTGTCGATGATCCGCAAAATGCGTTTCTTCTTCGTGGCCTACGGCATGTACCTCCAGTTGGCGTACAAGACGTACTACGAGGACCAGGACCTTGAGATCGAGAAGGGATCCATGATCTCCTACGCCTTGTCCGGCCTCATGTTCATCTTGGTGTTGCTTCTGCTGTGCTGTGGCTACATCGCTAGCCGTGTCAAGAAGAAAATGACCTTCAAGCAGAAAAAGCTGCGCAAGATGAAGTTCGTGCTGTCCTGCTGCGGTCTGCTGGTGGCATGCGTGAGTCTACTGGTCATCTCGATCATCAACTTGATCGAGATCGCGGTGATCATCCTTATCGCCGCGTACTGGTTCCTGCAGCTCTGCGTTTACCGCAACCAGACCAGCCATGTCGTGGTGCGCGCGATGGCGCGCTCGTACGACCGGTGGGTGGGCTGGATCATCTTTGGTCCCGTGCTCTTCATCGCCATGTTCCTGCCCTTCCTCGCGTCCTTCCAGCAGCGCGTCATGTTCAACAACGCGTTCACGTCTGGTCTCGAGGTGTCGAAGCTCTTCGCGAACGAGGCGGCGTCGTCCACGAGCAAGATCGTCAAGGTCAAGCGCGTGGCCAAGAAGAAGAAACGGAGTGACTAGAGCTAGCAAATCGTATCGTCCGGATCTGCTGCGCCTGCTGGGTAAGGCGTGCCTCACCTGGATCGTGCTGGAGCGTGGCTTGGAGTGCATCCTCGCGCACCTTGGACCATTCCCCTGCTTTCCTGGCGCGCACGCCACGGATGGCTAGCGCCCACTCGGCACTCTTTTCCTTTCAGTGTCCTCTTTTTTTTCGTGTACATCGGTAAGCACATAGCTAAAATACACAAGCCAGAGATGGCGATGAACATGCATCGGAGCGGCCCTATCGTTATTTTGAGGTCGTGAAACGCGCAGCTAAAGGACAGGCATGGTCGCAAGACGAGCAAATGATCTGGCTGGCAGTCCATCCTCGCTCGTCTCGCAGCTATCACCCTTCTGCTACCCATTGGCTTGTCATTTGGACAAGGACAGCTATCATGTTGGCACGGGTGCGCGCTGTTCGCTAGAAGACCTTACGATGCGATCTGGCGGGCCGCATTACATTGGCAGGCAGGTCGGAAGTTCACCATTACTGTACCATTGCTGTTGCCGCTTCGGAAAGTTCAGATACTGAAATAGAAACGCCAAAAGTGCACCCGTTAATATTGGGACTCCAAAAAAACACTGCACATTCAAGTGTATGAATACAGTAGCTGGCGGAACAGCTCCAACGGCGCCGTGCCAGCACGGCACCTTTGACTCACGTGTGACCATGTCGACCAGACTCTCACTTTGGATCAAACTCTTAGTTGGGGACTGTGTGTCTAATAATTTATACCAAGCAAAAACTGCAGCTGCTGGTACTTTGCAACGATACAGAAGCGTCGTACAACACTCCGAGGATGATATATTCTAAACCTCAAAAACTAACGATGCCCCTTCAGCACAATGGACGGGTTCGCCACCAAAAAGCGGCAAATTTGTGAATTGCAACCCTCTACTAGATAAACCGCTCTTCCGTGGGGCCTCTGTGATTTTGACGAACGATAATAGTGAATTGAGTTCCCCTGGCTGATAGAGTAGGTATCGTGCGAATAGAGAGCACTCGCGAAAGTTCTGAAACAATTTTTTTCAACACCTTTATTAGCGTATTGTGGAATTCAATATTGCAGCCTGCAAGATAATTCCTGGTATCGTTTGCTGTTCTCAATGTGCTGTGGTAACACGATAAGGTTATCGTTTGCTGATACTAAATTCAGCACAGAATGAACTCGTGGGAACAATTCCCAAGACTGGCAATTGTAGGTGACATCCCTAGCAGCTAGCGTGTACGCTTCTCCTACTTGAAGAAAAGGTCAATGGACCTTTCGTTTACGGCGCAGTATCTGCTCAACGCTGCTCAACGTTGACACTCATTAGTAGGAGTGCTAAAGTGCACCATCTGAGCTCAATTCTGTATTATACGATAAGCTAACAGGTGCAAGTGTGCCCACGTAAGATACAGCTCAAAATAACGCCTAAAGGTTAAATTCCACCCTAAGATTATGCCAGTCGCTTGTCTCAGCTCGGCCCTTTTTCATTGAGCTCGACTGAGCGGCAAAATGTGGCTTTGGCTTTGATCGGACCATTTTTCGAGCAGTTGTGTCAATCCGGCAAAAAATCGCTCGTGCCGTCGTCCATCAAATGTGCACGATGCTTATCAAAGCTGAGCTCGCCGCTGCGTGGTGCTGCTTCTGGAGGCTGAGGAGCCGCGGGCTCGCCACGCTCACGGGCCCCGCCCGCTCCAGAGGGTGCCTGGTCGTATGGCCGGCGTGCGCGCAGACCACATGCTCAGCCGTTTTCTCAGCAGCTCCAGCCTACACTTTGCGTAACGGATGACGGCCGCCGCACCGAGGCGCCTTTCACAGCCTCAGAAGCGTCGATGTCAAGCCGCACTCAATGCCAGCACAGCTGGCGGTGGCGTACCATCTTTCGCGGCGCGAGTTGGGGCTCCAGTGTCTGGTCTCTGAAGTTTAGGAGCAGCCTTGAATTGCGTACTAAACAATAGTACATATGCGACAAAATAGTATTTTGCCATCGATAATTACTATTTCATTCTGTTGACAAAAATACTACTAGTACATGCTTGTAAGGAGCAAGCAACACTCATCTGAGTAAGCAGGTATTTGTTGCGGCCTTGGCTGCGGGCAGGACGAAGACTGCTACAAATAAGCCTGGGTCGTGGATGTGCAGGTACGAGAGGAGCATGCACTTCGCAGTCCACATTGTACCGTTAGGCCACTGTTCCACGCTTTCTAGTATCAGCTTACACACGTCGAGCGTATCTGATTCGTTTAGTTGTGGGAGGACTTTCAGCGGTAGATCCCAAATATCTCGACGCGCGATAGAACATGCTTCTATCGCTAATGAGGTCGCTTGGGGATCTAGTTTGTGTCCTTTCGTCCTATACCAACGAGTTCCTGGATACAGTAGCCTCGGCAACCGAATCTACTCGGGAGAGGACTCGCTGGAGACACTTGTGACGCACATGAACACTGAAGCATCGCTCAATTGTTTTCCTTGTACAAGTTGTCAGCTTTTTATCTTCGGAATGCGCAATGCGCCTTGAGTCCATTATCACACGAGTTCTAGCGTTGCAGGCCGCACGATCGTCGGGACAGATCGCATTGTACTGCGAAAAAGTCAAACGAGGCGATCCCTTCGCTCCAGGCAGGCAACACGTCGACCACAATGCGCCAACCACTGGCCTTTGTAATGGGTGTGAAAGTCGACGTTCCAAGCAATAGTACTCCGACCAGTAGTAGTACTACCTTTTGCACGCCGTCGAAAACCAAATGCTTGGGTAGTACAACTCGCAATTTTCTAAATAAGCTTTTCACTGGTAATTTTTATATATACTGTAGAAACACATACCTTATCGAGAGGTCTAATATGGCATTTTGTATGGTGTACGAACAGAAGCGATACGCTTCCCGGTCGTTAGGTCGCCAGTTCGGCTCGCAGCGTCTGCGCGCGGCTGCTCTCCTGCTATCGACGTGTAGGGGTCTCGGTCCCTCCTGGCGCGGATCCGAAACCTCTGCCTTGACTTGGCTTCAGTATAGCGGCGCTGGCTCCAAGCCGTTTCCGCGCGCACGCGCTGCCCTCTCCGCGGAAAGACGTCGGCGAAAACATCCAGCCAGCGAGCCCCAAGCCATTCCCCCGCTTTCCATTCCCCATTCATTTGAGCGCGGGCGATTGCTTTGCTCTGCTCTGCGGTCGGTTGCTCTCTAACCAGAAGGAGCAGAGGACGCGCGCGGCGAGCGTACGTACTTAACTACAGTAGGGGACTCGGGTCGGAGCCATGAACCGCCGCGGCCACGGCAACCCGAACGGCAATGGCAGCGAGCGCGAGGGCAGCTCCGTGGGCATCATGACGGAGGCCCTGGAGATGCAGCGCCAGATGTGCGACGAGGCCATGAGCCTCGTGAACGCCGGCGTGGCCATGCAGAACGCATCGCCCCCCAACGTGGCCGAGGCCGAGCGCAAGCTCACGCGCGCCGTGGACATCATGGAGCAGGCGCTGAGCATCCGCTACCGCTCGGCGGACGAGAAGGACGCGGCCGACCGCCTCAACAACAAGATGATGCGCTACGTCAAGATGATCAAGAGCCAGCGCGCCAAGAGCGTGGGCGGCGGCGGCCCCAAGGGGCGCAACCTCGTCAAGCACAACATCCTCGAGATGGAGCGCCTGCCCGAGGTCTACACGCCCGTGCTGCAGCTGCTCAACAAGTACGTGTCCCTGCCCTCCTCCTCTCTCATTCATTGCGAGGGGCTTAACTGCCGCCACCTCCGGCAACGCCGCGTCGCAGTTACAACCCATGCTTAAACTAACTGCCTGTATCTGTGTGTATCTATCTAACCAGCTCGAACCAGTTGGGAGACATCTGCGAGACGCTGAAGCGCACGTTCGGCTTCCAGGAGAGCAGCGTGCTCAACCAGAAGGAGCACTTGCTGCTGCTGCTCACCAACTTCAAGGAGCAGAGCGGCCAGGACGACGGCAAGAAGAAGAAGAAGAAGCAGGACGAGATCGAGGCTATCGACGACTACTTGCGCCAGCGCGACCCGCAGCTGGAGATGGACCTGGCCAACAAGGGCATCACGCGTCTCCACAGCCGGATCTTTGCCAACTACAAGAAGTGGTGCAAGTACGTCTCGCAGAAGCCCAAGTTCTCCAGCGACCCGCTCGTGGATGTGGTGCTCTTCTTCCTCATCTGGGGCGAGGCGGCCAACTTCCGTCAGATGCCCGAGTGCCTGTGCTTCCTGCTGCACACGATGCTGCCTAAGGTCAACAGCGGCGGCAACGAGGAGCCCGGCACGTTCCTGGCTAACACGATCCGCCCCATGTACGCGGAGCTGCGTCGGGACAGCGACAAGAAGACGAGCAAGGGCGCCACCGCCCCGCACAAGGACATTCGTAACTACGACGACTTTAACGAGTTCTTCTGGACCAAGAAGTCCCTCAAGTACGACTACACGAACATCGGCGAGGCGTTCTCCAACTACGACAAGAAGGGCCGCCCCAAGATCGTCAAGAAGACGTACAACGAGACGAGAAGCTGGGCGCGCGCCATTATCTCGTTCCGCCGCATTTTCTTCATGAACTGTGCGCTGTTCCTGGCGACGCTGGGTTTCTCGATCGATATTGTGCTGTACTGTCCTGACTCGACGATCATGTACGGAGTGGACGTGCAGCCGGCGGACTCTACTGAGGTCCTCACTATTCTGGGCAAAAAGTATGCGGCGTCGACGGACAGTTCGTCTGTGGAAAACACGGACGATTCCCTGTCGGACGATATCAACACGGACAGTGGGGCAGGCAGCCAGTGTCTGTATGCGAAGCTAGCGACGTGTTTGGGTGTGGAGTACTTCACATCTGCCTCTGACACCTTCGGCACGTTGCCTCAGGACTTCAAGGAGCTTCTCGAAATTGTGCCATTTACGGACTGTGTGGAAAAGCAAGTGGGTCGATGCAAATGCTACCACGACTTGATTGACAAGTGTTTCGAGCAGACGGGTGATGCTGATGAAGTGTCGACTGACGGGTCTGTCGCTTCGATCTCGTACGACCAGAGCGTGTGCGCTCCGACGTGGTTAGAACAGGTGAACAGCATTTTGGATGATGAAGGCGACGGCTTGCTCAACTGCGGCAGTTGCCAGATTGATATCACCAGTCTCATCAAGGAGCCAACGCGTATCGTCACGCTAATTCAGGGTCTGATCGACTTTAGCCGCTCCGACAAGGGTGTGATGGCTCTTCTTGGCGGTGCTGCTATGATCGGTCTGGTGTGTGTATGCGAGCTGCAGAATCGGTTCTTCTCTGGTATTGGAATGGGCTTCGTGGGTCGCTCGATGCCTGTCCCGATGAAGACTTACTGCCGCTACACATGCTTTTGGATCGTTCTGTATTTGTGTAAACTGACGTTCGATTACCAGTTTGTTGTCAAAACGCTGGTGGAGACGACGTTGTTCGTATACTCAGCCAACTCGACCGACTACCTCAAGTACTCGCACTTCATGCTGCAGACCACGTACCACAACATCATCTATATCCTGTTCCTTTGGATTCCGGCGTGGATGGTGTTCCTGTACGACGCGCAGATCTTCTACTCCGTTCTGTCTGTTATTTACGGTTCGTTCGCTGGTTTCAACCTGCGCATTGGTGAGCTCCGTTCGTTCCGCATTCTTCGCCTAACCTTCAAGAAGATTCCTGGCGTGTTTAACCGCAAGCTCGTGCCCAACATCGCCGAGGAGCAGGCCAAGAAGAAGAAGAAGAAAAACAAAAAGAACAAAAACGAAAGGGACGAGATGGCCATGCCGGTGCGCCGCTTCGAGCGTATTTCGATGTCTCAAGGTGCCAAGCCATTGACGGTGAAGACACAAAAGTACTCGAGTCTGCTTGAACAGCGCGACGACGAAGATGTTTACAGCGAGATGAAGACCCCCAACGGTACGGACGAGGACATGTCGTCGCAGTCCAGTCGTACTTCGAACATTGGCTCCATCACTGGTGTGTCTGGAGCGGAGTTCGAGCGCACAATCCCGTTTGCTATGGCCTGGAACCGTTGTCTGACTAGTCTTCGCGAAGCCGATGTCATCAGCGACCGCGAGCTTAACGTGCTGAGCTATTTGATTGATTCTAAGGATACGGTGGGACGCAAACTGTACCCGCCGGCATTCTTGACGGCTGGCAAGTTGGACGAGTCGATTGATATTGTTCTTGAGTGCTCGGCGCTCTATGAGAAGCTGAAGACCGACAAGAAGAAGAAGGACAAGACACTTCAGAAGATTGAAACCACGATGCGTGAGCGTCTGACCAAGGATGATCTCCGTGTCGAGTCCATTTTGGGCTCGTACAAGTTTTCATCGCAAGTTCTTCGTATCTTACTTGGTGAGGAACACAAGGAGCTGGACGACTGCTACAACTTCATCGAAGAGATGGCTTCGCACCAGCAAATTCTGAAGGGTCTGAAGCTGGACAACCTGTACATGTGCCGTGCTGCCGCTGCTGAGTTGATGAAGTCCATTCTGGAGGTGCCTAAGAAGTCGACGGAGACTAGCATCAAGTTCCAGCGTGCTCTCTACAAGGTCATTGACTCGGTTGAATCCGTGATCAACTGTCTCAAGATGGTCCTTGCGAAGCAAGAAAACCTGGTTCAAATGCTGAACGACACGCCGCTGAAGCCGAACTCATTCTTCTTCCCTGGCGATGCTCAACATTACGCGAGTCTTCAGCTCCAGAAGATTGTGAACGACGAGGCCGCGTTGGACATCGTCTCGCGTGCGTACCAGCTGCTGACGGTGGATAACTTTGACGCGGAGCCGCGCTCGGACGAAGGACGGCGTCGCCTGCGCTTCTTTGCCAACTCGCTCTTTATGGACATGCCTGAAGCAAAGCCGATTCGCAAGATCCGCTCACTGACGGTGTCGACTCCGTACTACAACGAAATCGTGATGTACTCGATCAAGGACTTGACTGCTCAGAATGACGACTGCATCAAGCTGCTGTACTATCTGCAGACAATCTATCCGTTCGAGTGGGAGAACCTGCTGGAGCGCATTCAGGCGAAGGATATGAACGAGGCTTTAAAGAAGAACCCTGAGGAAGTCCAGCTGTGGGCTAGTTACCGTGGTCAAACGCTTGCACGTACCGTTCGCGGTATGATGTACAACGAGGAGGCTATTCGTTTCTTGCACTGGTTGGAGATCGGCGAGAACGAGCCGATGCACCAAGTGACATGTTCGTGCAACAAGTGCTGCAAGCTGAATGAGATGGTTGCGCTCAAGTTCAACTACGTGTGCACGTGCCAGATCTACGGAAAGCAGAAGGACGAGCAGAAGCAGCAAGCTCAAGATATTGACTTCCTGTTGCGCAAGCACCCGAACCTTCGTGTCGCTTACGTGGACGGCCCTAAGAAGGTGAAGGATGGTCCTCCCAAGTTCTTCTCAGTGTTGATTCGAGCTCAAGATGACAAAATTGTTGAGATCTACCGCGTGGAGCTACCGGGTAACCCGATCGTTGGTGAAGGTAAGCCCGAGAACCAGAACCACGCTATCATTTTCTCTCGCGGCGAGCTGCTCCAGTGTATTGATATGAACCAAGATGGCTACCTCGAGGAAGCCTTGAAGATGCCGAACCTGTTGTCGACGATGGACCGTGGCACTGAGAAACGTCCTCTGACAATTATTGGTTTCCGCGAGCACGTGTTTACGGGTGGCGTGTCGAACTTGGCCAGCTTCATGTCGATTCAGGAGTTGTCGTTCGTGTCGCTCGGCCAGCGTATGCTTGCTCTTTTCCACGTTCGTCAGCACTACGGTCACCCCGATATCTTCGACAAGCTCTTTGCCATGAGCTGCGGTGGTACTGCTAAGGCGTCCAAGGGCGTCAACCTTTCGGAAGATATTTTCGCTGGTTTCAACAGTACCCTTCGCGGTGGACGTACGTCTCACGAGGAGTTCATCCAGGTGGGCAAGGGTCGTGATGTGGGTATGCAGCAGCTAGCTCTGTTCGAGGCCAAGCTGTCATCTGGTGCTGGTGAGGCCGTTATTTCCCGTGACGCCATGCGCATGGCTTCTCGTCTGGACTTCTTCCGGCTGCACTCATGGTTCTACGGTAACTTGGGTTGGTACTTCACGCAGTCGATGACTGTGGTGGGTGTGTACTTCTTCATCTACGGCAAGGTGTACATGGCTCTGAGTGGCATGGACAGCTACTTCCTCGAGAAGGGTGGTCTGGGTATTGCCGGCACGCTCAACACCTCGTGGGCATTCCAGTTCGGTTTCTTGTTGGTTGTCCCCGTCATTGCCGTGGTTGGTGTTGAGCAGGGTTTCCGTCATGGTTTTACCTATTTGCTGTGGAACATCATGACGCTAGGTCCGATCTTCTTTACGTTCCAGATGGGCACGCGTATGCACTACTTCGACCGCACGCTGATTCACGGTGGCGCCAAGTACCGCGCTACGGGTCGTGGTTTCACGATCAAGCACGAAAAGTTTGCGGAGTTGTTCCGCTTCTACGCCTTCAGCCATTTCTACCGTGGAGTCGAGTTGTTCTTCTTGTTGTTGATGTTCTACGCGTACGGCACGTTCTCGTGGTGCAACTGCTCGTGGAGACTGGATGCAGACTTTTACAACAATGTTGAGCCCACTGATTTGGAGTGGCGGACTCGTTGCTACGCCGACCACTACCAATCCTGTGTGCTCCCGACCAACCAGAACTACGGTATGATGTCGTACTCGCTGTGGATTATCGCGGCGACTTGGATGTGGGCCCCGTTCTTCTTCAACCCGAGTGGTCTGGACTGGGATAAAATCATCGAGGACTACAACGACTGGCAAAACTGGCTGAAGACGACGAATGACTCGGCTGATAGTTGGTTTGGTTGGTGGTCGAACGAGCTGGAGTACCTGGAGCACACCACACGTGGAAGCCGTTTCATTTCGGGTGTTCGCAAGCTTCGATTCTTGTTGATTGCTATCGGCATGTACCTGAACATGATGTACGACGCGTACTTCGAGACTCCCGGCCGGATCATTACGTCAGACGATGACATGCTGACTTACGCGCTGTCCGGTCTGGTCGTCGTGATTTTCTTGCTGCTGATCTGCTGTGGCTACATCGCAAGTCGTGTGACCAAGAAGATGTCGATGAAGCAGCGCAAGCTTCGAAAGATGAAGTTTGTGCTTGCTTGCTGCTGCTTGCTCATCTCGTTCCTGAGTCTGACGGTACTGTCGGTTGCGAACCTCTTCGAGATCTTCGTGCTGCTGTTCGTGGCAGTGTACTGGTTCATGCAGATGTGCATCCTGCGCCTCCAGTACCACCACATTGTCGTGCGGGCACTTGCTCGTGCTTACGACCGTGCGGTCGGCTGGATCGTGTTTGGGCCCATTATGATCGTGTCGATGTTCCTGCCCTTTATCTCCTCCTTCCAGCAGCGTGTTATGTTCAACAACGCCTTTACCTCGGGTCTTGAGGTATCGAAGCTCTTCGCACACGACGTGGCACCGGCACAGGTTGTCAAGGTCAAGCGCGTATCGAAGAAGAAGAAAAACCGCGATGACTAAGCTAAGCGTCTTGCTGGCTCTCCTCTACTGAGTTGGTCAGCTAGTCATGCTATTTTGTATCTTCATAGAAAACAAGATATTGGTTTTCGTTTGTTCACCGATTTGCTTGCGCTCCATTCTTTACATGATTGGCAAGTGGTATTGACGAACTTTGCAGCAATTAGATAAGTTGTAGCGGGCATAGATCTCAAAACTACTGCTAACCCTGCATTCGAGTGAGATCCGGGGTAGACACAACGTGGCGCATGCCTGCAAGTTCAGCTGCAGAACGGTTGTTCAAACTGTTGTGCGGATTCACGGCATTCCGTTGACTGAATGGGACGAAGGTCCCCGAGGTGCTCACCGGTGCGCGAGCATTGTTGACACGAGGCGGAGAACCAATCTTCAGCTTGCCTAGGATCTCGGAAAACTTCTGAGAATCGGGCTGGAAGCGCTTGAGGTCTAGGTTCCGTCGGGAGTCTCCAGCAGCTTTTGGTTTTCGTGGACCGGATCCATTTTCCTTGCATTTTAGCTCAAAGGAGGATCGCGAACGCACGGAAGGCATCGTCAACTCGTGCGAGGGGGAAGAGGTATCACTGCTTTGGTCATCTCCTGAAAGCGGCTCGGATTCACTCTCGATAGATGACATTGTGTTGCTTCGACGGCGTGCTCCAGCCTCGTCGTCTTCATTCGACTGACGCGAGCTTCGACTGCTCAAGTCGCTCTTTGGAGCAGCGCCCACGCTGGATGTACCCACAGGACCAATGCCATTCGAGCCAGCCGTGACTTCTCGCATCCTCATCACGTCAAACTCATCGGCGTCGACTTCATTGTCGATCTCAATTGCCATCGCGCTCTCCGTATTTCCTCGAGACATTTGGTGGGCAAGGCTCTGGATAGCGTCTTCGATCGCGTGCATCCACTGCTCCTGACGACCCCAGGTGTCCGTGAGCACGATAAAGTTCTTGTAGCCCTTTGACGAGAATTGAAGGCCGTGAGCACCACTGCCTGGGCCCTCCGTCACGCCAAAGCTGTACCACTTTCGGACTGATGTTGGAATAACCCACTTCATACGGTTCGCCCAGTTAGCGCTTTGAAGTGTGTCGCAGTACCACAACTTATCGCACACTTGGCACAGTCCGAAAAACGTGATCGTGAATGTGAGAGCGTGGAACGGCATGGGTACCGGGAACTGGATAAACGAGCTCACTCGCGTAGGCTCTGGAATAGGGATATGATCATGGATCTTGTCCTTCTTGTACATGAAACCAGTGATGAACTCGTCTGTATAGGTGACCTTGCAGTAGTGGCTCGCAGCTCCAGAGAAAATGGTCTCCAAGTACCCTGTGTACTCGTCCACGTCGGCGTTCGTGAGTGTGGCGGCCACGTATTCGACTGCGCTCTGCTTAAGCTTCAAGCACCCATGGCACAGGGGGGCGTTCCGTTCACCAAGTGGTAGCATCTCGACACGGTTCTGCTCAGCAAGGGTTTGCTCGAACTCCACCCACTTCTTGTGTTGCGAGGTGTATTGCCGTACCACATCCTGGGAGGTGATCGCTACCGAACCACTCTTGCAATTCGGAGTGCTGTAGTAAGCAATTATCATTTCACAAGTTAGTGTAAAAATCCCCAGCAAACAAGCAAAGCCATTAAATAACAACGTACTTGGTCAGCGTGAAAATACTGTTTGCGATGGTTGTCATGTGACCCTTGTACTGCACGTGCTCTTGATACGCGCGGATGACGAAATCCAGGATGTTCGCCCCTTCAATGAAGAGGCTGTTCAACAACGGAGACGACGGCAGCCGTTTTTGATCCGGATCCATCAACACAAACCGAATGACGTCCGTAAGCTCGTGGTGCAACATGCTATTGCTAGGATGCGACCCGTAGCATGCAAGCAAGCATGGCATCAAACCAAAATTCGCCATCAGGTAGTCGACGTCTCCACTCTGTAGAAGGACACACCGCTTAAGGAACGTGATGATATGCAGAAGCGCAGACCCCTTGGTGTTAACAGCCTTGATACTCCCTGGATTATAAGAGGTAGACATCGCACGAAGTGCATTGACGTCCGACGTAACAACTGCGCGACACAGCTGCACGAACTTCTCCACTCGCGGAATCAAAGCGGTTAGCACAGACACGTAGACTGTCTTCAAGAGCCCTTCAATCCCCGTTACATCACGTTTCTTCTTGTGGTAGCCCAGTGTACCCATCAGCATCATAACGATGGACAAAGAGCCACCCTCACGAACAACCAGAGACGTGCATCCTTGGGTGCACTGACGACAAACTTCAGCGAATCCCAAATCGATAAGCGTTCCAAACGAAACATCCGTTGTGTTGAGTAGGAAAAGCAACAGCGACTTGAACAGTTCGTTGTGGTGAAGTGGGAAGTGCTGGTCTGTAATTAGCGGCAACGAGTGGTCTGTGTTCTCCACGAAAGTCGCCACGTTGTTCATGATGTACACCGAAGGAGGATAAATGATGTAGTTAATCAACGAGCAAATATTTTCGACCGAGTCTCGCTGGAAAGCTGTCCCCACACCCCAGCCTAGAGTCCGCTGCCACGAATACAGGCGAGCAAACAAGCAATCAAATATGCCGCTCTTCTGCACATTCAGTTGACCGGACTCCGACATGTCCGAGTACAGCAGCCAAACAACCGTGTCGCGAATTGAATCCAGCCCAATGTGGCAAACCAACCAAGGTACGATAAACTTTCCTTCGTCTGCTAGGAAGCGCCAGATGAGCTCTCCAAGATTCTGGTTCACAATGAAGTGATTGACGACTTTGCAAAATAGCACCAGCAGCACGTCGTCCAATGGATCAGCAGTACACACGAAGTTGAATAGTACCTTCAGGTACCCGGACGAAACCTTGATGTCATACGCATCCGACGCGTTTAAAGTCCATCCTGCGCCACCAGGCTTGTAGCCTTTCTGGAATATCTTTGGCGAGTACGATAGTGCCACCTCGCTACAGAAATGCTGGACGGTGTACTTGCCGTAATTAGGATCCTCCGCAGGGTCGGACTCGGGGGAAGTGACCGGAACCGTGAGCAGGCGAAACACTTCATAAATAATTCGAGGTTGCTCCAGCCAGATGCTGGACTTGTGCTCACGCACCATCTCTCGGTACAAAATGTCCACTGACATTTGACTGCTCTTCGCAATTTCGAGCAGCTCACGCAACGTCGAGTTCGGTTTGGCAACCGTTTCCTCGATTTTGCGACGATGATCCTTAACGGATTCCTGACAAAATAAATAGACGAAGTCAGAAACCCATTTTCAACACACGTACAAACTACGATATAGACTAGCTCTGCATCACTCACACTTTCCGCTTGCTCACGTAAAAAATCTTCAATGTCAGCATGCCCTGCCATCCGCGCCAGATGCTCTGCTGTGTTGCCATCCCGCTGCAAGACGATGTATCAACATTAACTTTAGTAAGTACCAGAGCCGACGCAACCATACCATGGTTCTCATGTATACGTATCCACTTACATCCTTCGCAATCAAACTAGCCCCGGCGTCAACGAGGACCTTCACACAACCCAGATTTCCGGCGCGCGCGGCTTCCATCAAAGCTGTTGTTGAGTTCGGCTACGCAGAAAAAGATTTACATGCGTTAAAATTCCATAAACACATCGTTCTGACACATTGATCTACGTACACTTTGAGTCTCAAGCTCGGCTCCTCCTTGCAACAAAATGGAGCAGCATTCCTCTTGGCCACCTCGAGCTGCAATGTGAAGCGCTGTAGTTCCGCGACTCTGACATAGTTTAGCAATCACGGAAGCGATCAGTATGGAGACACTTTGCTGGAAACGAAAATGAGCCGAGTTCTCCGTACTCTGTTTCTGGACAGGTTGATTCTTGCCCCCTTCTTGACAAGAAGCCTCACGCAAGAAGCACGTCCATCACGAGCAGCGACCATCAACGCGGTCATGCCGTGCACCTGGAAGTCGTTGTACATTAGTGTCAGATCTCGCCCAACTAATGCGGTATAAACGGAAATACTTACGTCTTCCAAGTCGAGACTAGCACCAAACATCAGCAAAGCGCGAGCGGCTTCTACATTTCCAACAGAGCACGCCATCATAAGCGGCGAAACTCCTGTCGGCTATTCGGGACAAACAAAAACCAAAGTTAAATCCTCTTCAAGTCACGAACAGCATCATTGCCCTGCAAACCACAACAGCCATTACCTTCTGCTCATCTAGAGATACTCCTAAGCTGTGCAGAATCTCAATGCAGTCCACATGTCCGTTCTCCGCGGCATCACACAGCGCCACAGCCTTTGGAATGTTCTGCACAGGCACCACAAACAGGCCCCCAGTCAGCAATCCACACCAATTGGAATAATACTGCAACTACAGACGAATTCAGCACTGACATCCACCACATTTCCTGTCGTGTCAATCTCAAGCAAGTGCCTCAACAGCTCCACATCTCCAGCCCGCGCCGCAGTCTGCACTCCAAAGTACACGTCGTCCGGCACTACATGCCTGCAAGCCTGTTCTCTCCAGAGCAGCTCGATCGAGATCCGCGGCGGTTTGTCCGCCAGTAGCTGGTCCGCGTGGTACTTGGACAGCAGCACGATCGGGATGGACACGGGCTGGCGTCCGGACGAGTGGAAGCCGTCGAACAGCGACTGGATCGCGTGCTTGTTGTCCGTCCGCTCGATGAAGACGATGCCCGTGACGCCCGCCGCCAGCAGACGCCGCACGATGTCGGGGAAGTGGACGCGGCCGCCGCGCTCGACCACAGCGATGTTGCCCAGCAGCGCCGCCTTGTTCGCCAGCTCGCCATCGGCCTTGGGCGGGTTCGTGAACACGACGGTGCCCGTCACCACGCGCGGCACGCGGTCGTAGCGGTAGCTCGAGGGCTCCGCGAAGTGGAAGGTCGTGGCGGTGGCGGGCGCGCTGTTCTGCGCGTGCAGGTTGGCGTCGATGTCCTGCGCGGGCGACACCGGCGGCTGCTTGGGGCTGCGCTGCCAGCTCACGAAGGGCACGCCGTCGCAGCGGGACCCGCCGGCCGTCGACTGCTCGTTGCCCATGCTACTAGCGACAGCGAGTGCGGAATGTCCGGAGGTTGAAGGGCAACCCCGAAACCTCGAGCAGGAGTGATGGTCTTGTCAGTCAGCCGATGGATCTCTTCGTGTCGCCCGTGGCAAGGCGAAGACGCGGCCGAGTCACTCGCCCCACTTGCTCGCCTGGACGCGGAGGGAGCGGGGTGAGGGCGGCGGCGCGTGGGGGAGTGGGCTGGGGTTTCCTGGCGCGGGTTGGTTGCCCCAGTTCTTTTTTTTAGCTCGAGCGCGCGCGAGCGAGCAGGGCTGCGATGCTTTGAAGCCACCAGAGCAGTTGAAGGCGAGTGACTTGAGTTTGTATCAGGGCCCGGTCCGTCCAATCGCCAGCCGTTTCCGAACTGGGAAAAAGGGATCAGAACGTTGCCGGACTCAGGGTCCGCTTTGCTTGTCGGCTTGCTTTGCAGTGCCAACACCGGCGTGCCCACGTCCATTCAACAATGCTTGCTCAGCATGGCTTGCTGTGAAAGCATCGGTTTGAGCAATTACACACATGGCGGTTGAGCTGTCGAGACTCGAAAAGCAGCTTCTCTTGCTTAACTCGAAAGTAGCTGCTTTTCGCGTAGACGAAGACCAAGGTGAACATACCAACTCACAGCTGAATACGAAGTAAACGAGCTCACCATGAATTCGTAGAGCACTCGGCACTTTGTAGTCGATAGCCCATCTTGGGTTTCATCTTGGCAGCCAACGTCTGCGACTTGAGAAAGGGTTCGCGGCCCAATAATCGGGCATCCCTTTCCGCATGGAGTCCCCCAAATTCCGGTCATCCACAACGAGATTTGCAAGGTGGAGATGGCAGGCCGCGCCGTTAGCGCCGCGCAAGTGCAGCAGCGGCTGACGAAGAGCTGGTCCACGCTGCGCTATCGCATGGAGTATGGCGGCTACCTGTCCAACCACCTGCTGCACGGCGTCGTGGCGCTGTTCGACCTCGGCGCGAGCGAGGAGAAGATTGAGGACTTCGCGGAGAGCTACTCGACCAAGCTGGAGGAGGAGCAGCCCAACCACGAGGACGTGACGCAGCCTGGCGCTCGCTCGAAGCTTTTGCAAGACTCGAAGCTAACGCTCGAGAGCTCGCGGGCTTTGCTCGGCAAGCGTGACAACTTCGACGGACTCTTGGCGCTGTACGCCGCGGAGGTGGAAGAACTGGGCATCGACGGAGCAGTGAAGAAACACTTGCCGGGTCTTGTCGGCGGGCTTGCTGGTGCGCTCCTCCACTCGATCATCCAGCTTGGGTATGCCTACCACGTCGGTGGTGGCCGTCTCGTGGCGGAAGGACTGGCGTATATGCACTATGCGTACCTTTCGTTCGACGAGCCGGAGAAGCTCAATGGACAGGAGCTATCGGAGAAGAAAGCACTATCGCGGGAGGAGGCTCTGCGCTTGGTGCGCATGCTGAATGGTCATGAAGTTCTGCTGGGCGAGATGCGCCGTAAGCTGCAGTCGAAGCCTTTGGCCGATCTACAGGTCGGCGGCATCCAGAAGCGACTGAGCACCATGTCGGGTGACGAACGAGGGAGCGCTGTGGCTTTTAGGTTGATCTGGAAAGTGATCGACAGCTACGACCTGTCGAAGATGGACGGCGTGTTTGCGATCGACCTCGCGCTCTGGCTGTACATGATGATCGAGCACAACGACTTCGTCATCCTCCACGCGGTGACATCGGCGTGGGCTCTGCAGCAGGTTGATCACCTGCTTGAGCCGAATGACCGCGAGCGCTCGTGGAAGGTGTGGCTCCACGTGTCGCTATCGGCGTTCGTCACTACCGAGATCAAGGACCTCCTACCGTCGGATGTGTGCGACCGACGGCTGGATGAGTCGTCAGGCCTGGACCCCTGGAGCCGCATTGCTGCGAAGACGTTGGGTCTAGCTGATGGAGGGCTGCTGGAGCGCGACCTCGTGCACGCGTACAAGCTGGTGCAAGTAGCTCGCAACCATGCCCAAAACAGTGACACGGCGTTCCTGACAGCGGAAGAGCGCGACTTCATTGCCCGCGAGAGCGCGCTCAAGGTCATCTCCCTCGAGTTTGGCCCGCTGACGACTAATTGAGCGGCACGATCGTTGCATGCAGTGCAACCGCATTTTTAATCGAGCTTCTCGAAGTCAAATCGAAAGTTGAAGTGCATTACGGGCCACCTTCGCGCAACATCGACATACCTCTCATCATCAGTCAGACATTTGAGCAGCTGTACCGGCGGCATCAATCTGCTACGTGGCAGTCGTCGCCACAACTCGATTCCGTAGCGCTCTACCTACATCCATGGCGATTGCAGCGCGTGTGCGGCGCGTTCTGCGCGTAGGTGTACTGGCCGCTGCCGTCGTGGCAGCAGCGGCATCAACAACTCAAGCTTCTGTCGCCGACAGCGCTCCCAAGACCTTCCCCAAGGACATGGTCGACTACCTGCAATGCCAAGTGTGCCAGACACCGGAGCTCACAGGCAGCGTGCAGGACTCGGCGTGCGACTACGAGACGGTCGACAAGGCCGTGAACGAGCACTTTCACCCGCTGCTGCACGAGCTGTCGCGCCTCACGTTCTTCCGTTACTTCAAGGTGGACCTTGGAAAGGAGTGCCCCTATCTGCCGTGGCAGGACGACGGCATGTGCGCCAGCATCGACTGCGCTGTGTGCGAGTGTCCGTCACACGAAATTCCGGCGCCGTGGAGCCAACTGGACCAGCAGGAGACGCAGTCGCGGAACGTTGAGAAGACTGGAGAGGCTGGTAAGCCCTGTGACGAGCAGACCGGCGAGAGCACGCTGTCCAAGGTGGAGCGCAAGAACGCGGTAGCCGGTGAGAGCTTCAACGAGTGGGAAGAGGTCTCGAACGCCAATGTGTGGGCGACTCAGGGCGAGGCGGAGGAAACTATGACGTACATAAACCTGCTAGAAAACCCGGAGAGATACACGGGCTACAGCGGCGTCCAGGCTGAGCGTATCTGGAAGTCCATTTACGAGGAGAACTGCTTCACGCCGCCCGAAGAGAGCAAGCTGGACGGCATGTGCCTCGAAGAACGCGTGTACTACCGCCTCATCAGTGGGCTGCAGGCGTCGATCAACACGCACATTGCCCTGACGTACAAGTTCGGCAACAGTTGGGGGATGAATCCTTCTCTGTTCGTTAACCGAGTTGGCAAGCACCGTGAGCGGCTGCAGAATTTGTACTTCGCTTATCTGTTCGTCATGCGCGCGATCAGCAAGTATCGTCACGAACTGCTCGCGTACGACTACAACACTGGTAACGCCGCGGACGACCTTCGTGTGAGAGAAATTCTTCGTCAGCTCCTGTTGGAAGGATCGGACGATGCTAGAGCATCGGGAGTGTCTTGCCCGGCGTATGCAGAATGCTCGTCTGTGTTGTCTGGGTTTGACGAAAGCGCACTCTTCCGCGTGCAGGCCGACGGACTATCGATCGATCAGTTGGTGCAGGCCAAGCAGGAGAAGGAGCAGCTTGAGGTGCAATTCCGCGAGAAGTTCCAGAATGTGAGCCGTATCATGAACTGCGTTACGTGCGAGAAGTGCCGCCTCTGGGGCAAGCTGCAGACCATGGGACTGGGTACGGCCATTAAAATCCTGCTCGCTGAGGATGTCTCGACAATCCCGAAGCTCCACCGCAATGAGCTCATCGCGCTCATCAATGTGGCCAACAATCTTTCTCGCAGTGTTGACGGCGTCAAAATGATGCGGGAGCTCGAGTTCATCGAGGCAGTGAAGCAATTCGGCATCGTTTGTAGCGCCGCCGTGCTGATCGTTTTAGTGCTGATTCTCATCTTCCGCAAGCGCAAGAGTAGAACGCGTGCTCACAAGAAGAAGCAAGAATAAATCCTTTGCAAGATAAAGAAAGCTTGCCAAGGCCAACAACCAACACATCACATACAAACAAAATACAGTTCATATTGATTCATGCGCAGCTAACTGTTTGCTACCTACTGACACACCTACGCAACTTCCTCTTGTCTGCACGACACATCCTGGACTTCCTTGTCCCCGCGTTGCTCTCGGCACTGCATGCAATACGGCATCACCAAGTGCTTGACAAAGTTCCTCACCTCGCACGTCCGGATGTCTTCGTCAAGCACATCTTTGTCATAACCAATCTGCCACGCGAGATCTTCGCGCGACGGGTCCGCGGCCAGCTCCTCCAGCAGGTCCACAAAGTGATCAGAGTCCTCCAGGTCCGCGAAGAAGCCCAGTTGCGTGTTCATCTCGCGCCGGCAATACAGCAGCCGTGCCATCTCGTGCAGATCATACTCGGGGTGGTACTGCAGTCCCCAGAACTCTCCTTTCAAGTATCGCAGGCAAACGCTTTGCACCGTAGTGAACGCATTCGTCGCGAGCATCAGCCCGCCGGGTTGGATAACGCGGACCTCGTCCTTGTGGCTGCTGAAGGCATCGAAGATCGACGGCTTGCCTTCATACATCGGGTGAGCACGCCCCGCCGCATTGAGGCGGATCTTGCGTGCGACCCCCAGCTCTTTGCCGTGCCTGTTCTTCTGCACGACGCCGCCAGCCGTGGCCACCGCAAGCTGCAGCCCGAAGCAGCTGCCGAACTGAGGGACGCCGTGGGCGAAGCTCTGTCTGGCAAGGTTCATCATCTGCACCACCGATGGGTCCTCGCGTTCGTGCACTGCCAGGGACGACCCGGACCAGCCGACGCCATGGTACTGAACAAGTCAAGCAAACAATGAAGAAGTGTGAGCTAAGCTGCTACCTGCAGAGTTCTTCAACCAACATTAGTGTCTACCTTGGTCAGATCTGGGACGACAAAGCCCGGGTCGGCCGGGTACACGAGGTCGTACTCTGCAGAGCGACCGACGCTGCGCTCCGTGGCTCTGACCAGCATGTTGGCGTAGAGCTGGCCGGCGGTGGTGGCGCCGCCCGCCTCGAGCACGTCTCGGCCCGACTTGACGTAGCCGTCGACCACGAGGTAGCGGATCTCCGCGTCGTCGCTCGCCGCTGCAGGCGTCGACGTGTGCAGGAGCTTGGGGGCTGGCAGCCAGCGGCCGGGCCGTCCGGCGCCGCGTGCCAGCAGCAGCTGAGAGCGAGTGGCCACGCGCCTGAGCATCTTGTTGGCTAGTGGGGGTCGGCCGAGCGGGAGAATGCGGCCAGCTCATCTTCCTTCGCTGGTGCTGATGACAGACGGCGACGTGGCCATCGAGACCTTGCCCGTCGTGGTTGAATCTGGAGATACCGGTCAGAAGTACGTCAGCAAAGCCCCGTCATATCCGATAAAGCGAGCGTCCGGTGGCGCTAGACGACGGGATCTGAAAAGCTCATCTTCACTTCTCAACATGCTTCGCCACGCCACGACCCAGGTACAGCACAGCGCCAGCAACAGGCTGGTACCGTGCATTCATAGACGACCTTAGCTCACTTTTGTGCGCCTCGATGCTGCTGCAGCTCGCAACGACCTCCCGCCAGGCCGCCAGGCTCTCCTCCCAGCGAGGCTTCGCTGCGTCCGCGTAAGATCCAGCTACTTAGCACTATGCGCATTGGGTTTTTGGATTGGGGACTGACCTTCTTGACTCCGTTACTGCTGCTGTTGCAGACTCAAGGTGGACAACCCGTACACGGGTGAGACCTTCTGCGAGGTCGGCTACGACACGAAGGCGGAGGCGCACGCCAAGCTGGACGCCGCCGTGAAAGCGCAGCTCGACTGGAAGAACGTCCCGCTGAGCGAGCGCCAGGCGCTCTGCACCAAGTGGATCGATGCGCTCTCGAGCAACGCAGAGTCCATCGCGCACGAAATCTCCGGCATGATGGGCAAACCTGTCCAGCAGGCGCGCAACGAGGTCAACGGCACCATTGACCGAGCCAAGTAAGAAAACTTCTTCTCGTTTGTGCTGTATTGATCTACCGCTACTGTACTAACAACATTGGTGTGCTTTTGTCGTGACTGCAATGACTGTAGGGCTCTCATCTACATGTCGAATGAGGCGCTGCGCACGGACTCGTTCCCCGAGGAGAACGGACTGTTCCGTCAGATCACTCACGACCCGGTCGGCGTCGTCTACGTGATTGTAGGTGCAGTCTTTGGCTCGATACTGTCACTAGCTGAAGCTAACAGCGTGGAATCGTCGACTTTCGTGGTGACAGGCTCCGTGGAACTACCCTCTCATGACGGCGGTCAACTCGATCATCCCCGCTGTGCTGGCTGGCAACTCGGTGTTGTTGAAGCACTCACCTCGCACTCCTCTTTGCGGTGAGCACTACCAAAAGACATTCGAGCAAGCTGGCTTCCCCAAGAATGTGCTCCAGTCGTCTTTTGTTGAGCACGGCACGGCTGCGGAGATCATTCAGCGCCCGGAGACTGCGTTCGTATCTTTCACGGGATCTGTCCGCGGGTAAGTTTTGCTTCTTGACTGTGATAACGTTGAGATCGCTATTGATACTTGGACTAACTGTCGATACTGCTCATCCAAATGTCTACATGCAGCGGGCGCCAGGTTCAGCAGGTGGCATCCCAGCGCTCCATTGATGTGAGTTTGGAGCTCGGCGGAAACGTACGTATACATTATGGTATTTGCGGTTGTGTTCTCTAGCTCTCGTGCTGAAGTGAATTTCGACACGAATGTAGGACGCGGGCTACGTGACTGCTGATGCCGACGCTGAAGCTGCAGCGGAGGGTCTCGTGGATGGCGTTTGCTACAACGCGGGCCAATCGTGCTGCGGCGTGGAGCGGATCTACGTCCACGAATCCAAGTACGACCAGTTCTTGGAGAAGGCGAAGAGCTTGTTCGAGGCGTACAACCTGGGCGATCCGACTGATGCGAAGACGTCCATGGGCCCGATGGCGCTTCCTAATGCTCCCGAGATGCTCGACGCTCACGTGAAGGATGCCGTGGCGAAGGGTGCTATTAAACTGACCGGAAGCGGAATTGTTACCGACGCCGCTGGAAAGGGACGCTTCTACTCTCCTACTCTGCTGGCTGGCTGCAACGGCTCCATGGACATCATGGCGGAGGAGTCCTTCGGTCCGATTGTCGGTGTTGAGCGCGTTTCGTCGGACGCCGAGGCTATCCAGAAGATCAACGACAGCAAGTACGGATTGACGGCATCAATCTTCACCTCGGACCGCGAGCGCGCTATGGCTCTGGGTTCGCAGATCAGCGCTGGTACGGTATACATGAACCGTTGCGACGTGCTGGACCCGTACCTCCCCTGGACCGGCACTCGCGACTCCGGCAAGGGCATCAGTCTCTCGAAGCACGGTTTCCGTGGTGTCACGAAGCTGAAATCGGTACGTGTATGTCGCCATTCTGCCTTGTCATGCCCCCACCCTAACTTTATACTCTGTTTGCTTCTTTGTAGTGGAACTTCCGCGTCTAGATCGGCGTGCGTGCTTGACTGTTGTCATTAGTGTGGAGTTTTGATGCTAAGAAGAAACAGCAAGTTGAACCTCGAATCGTATCCGTAATAATGCAATCGATTCGCGTGTTAGTGCCCGTTTGAAGTGCATCCATGGTCTTTGTGTATCGCCAGCACTCTCTTATTCTACGCACAGATCCATCAAGCAAAGCTTCTCGTTCGAGCCCATCACCTGGTGGTGATGATCACCATCATACTGCAAAAAGTTTCGTGTCAAACGACCGTCGACAAAGCTCTACGCAAAGATGTCGAACATGTCAAACGCGGGCAATTTGTTTGTATGTTAGAAGTTGGCTTCTCTACTGTTCTTTCCAACACCTACTTGGAACTCGGAAGCTCCTGCCATTTACACCTCGCTGGGGCCGCCGAAGGGGTCGACCTGGCCCTCGCTCGTGACGTAGGCCGACGTAATACCACCGTCAACCACAAACGACGTGCCGGTGATGTACGACGCGTCGTCGCTGGCAAGGAAGAGCGCGGCCTTGGCCATCTCGGCAGCCTCGCCGAAGCGGCCCATGGGCACGTGGACGAGGCGGCGCTGCTTCTTCTCCTCCGAGTCCAGGAACTTCTGCAGCAGCTCCGTGTTGAGCGGGCCGGGGCACAGAGCGTTCACGCGAATGTTCTCGCGCGCGTGGATGGTCGCCAGCTCGCGGGACATGGCGATGACGGCGCCCTTGCTCGACGTGTAGGCGAGCTGCGGCGTGGCAGCGCCCAGGATGCCCACGAACGAGGCCGTGTTGATGATGGAGCCGCCGCCGGCGCGACGCATGGCCGGGATGCCGTACTTGCAGCCGAGGAAGACGCCCTTGACGTTGATGTTCATGGTGAGGTCCCACACGTCCTCCTGCGTGGCGATGGCGTCGTCGTCGGCGCTGTGCATGATGCCGGCGTTGTTGAACAGCACGTTGAGCGCGCCGAACTCCTTCTCGGCCAGGTTCACCATGTTCTCCACGTCGCGAGCCTTGGACACGTCCGCCTTGACAGGGATGGCGACCGTGTCGGTCTTGCCCAGCTTGCGGAGCTCCTCCTGCACGAGCTGCACGGTCTCGGCGGCGGCGTCCTCGTTCAGGTCGGCGCACACGACGCCCTTGGCGCCCTGCTTGGCGAACAGGATGGCGGACTTGCGGCCGATGCCGCCGGCAGCGCCCGTGATCACGGCCACCTGGCCGGCCAGTCGACTTCCGATGACGCTCATGGTGCGGGGGTATGAAGCGGATGCGAGGTGGTGCTCGAGACGACGCACTTGCGATAGTGAGTGAGGTTGAAGCCTGTCTTTGATTCGGATCGCGGAGGAGTCCTAGGATAGTGTAGTACACACTAATTTAGGGCTGAGGTGATGGGCCACGTACGTCACCCGCGATTGATGAGATCCAGCGCGCGGTCCTCATTGAGGAGGACTTCTCAAGGAGAGGGCCTGAAGCTCTGGAGGTCGGACTCCAACCTCCATCGGGACCAGCTTCAAGCAGTGCTTGAAGGGTGCTCGGATGGGAGGCACGGCCCTCCCGCCACGTGCCAGGGCGTCACGCAGCGTACATAGGTATTTGTATTTGCTCCCGCTGCCATCCTCGAATTGCCCAAAAAGTATGATCAAGGCAACTTCAACTTCGCCGAGCTCAAATACTAAATGTTTGAGTCCGCTGCTCTAAGCTTGATGCTGCGATCATGTCGAGGTCGAGGTTCATCTTGCCGATGAACAAACAGCGCAAGGCGTTGCTCATTCCCCCCACCAAGCACCAAAGTGATGCGCTTCTGATCGTCATATACCGCTTCGTGCCGGTGCAATAGCGAGATGAGCCTTGGCAACACAAGTGTCGGTCGGGGAAGCAGCGACCGCGTGCCTTTTGGGCCCACGCACAACTTCAGTTGCCCCCATCTGCAATCCAATGCTGCATGATGCGCTGGGTGAACCAGTAGGCAGGCCTACTCATGCTCTTCAGATGTCACTGCGAACGTCCGTAGTGCTAGTCTCAGCGTCTTGGCCGTAAAATGGCAATGGGGACTCGCTCGCTGGGTATGACAACCCCAACGTGGCTCAATATACAATGTCGACTCGACATCAATGCTGCAGCTCCCTGAGCCAGGCGAGCTCAGCAACTGAGCCTCAGTTGACTCTCTGTAGAGGTCCTCTACATTTACAAAGCAAAGCAAAGAAAAGAGCAGCCCAGCGTCGCTGGTTTCGAGAGATGACGGGCTTCAAACGGCATCCAAGCCTGCTTGCAAGGGTACATCCTTAGTCACCAACGGCGAAGTCTCGTTGAATGAGGGCTGCACGTGGGTCTTGCGGGACTATTCCAGTGATGTTGCCGCGGAGCTAGAGCACTGGGCAGCCCATGACTCCGGCCTCGTCGACAGCTTTTGCCTTACCTTGCAGCGCCAGACGGCAGCCTGAAGACGAGCGCATCCCCTCGTGCGTCACAAGCTGCACACACTTCGGTCCTGACCAGGGCGCGCGCAAACTACCGAAATTGGTGTCCACCACACTATTCTCGGGGTTATCAGGTGGAAAAGGATCCCGCCGCCGACGCCACTCGCCAACTGCGCGCCATGTTGACTCGCTTCGCCCCCCGCCTGCGCCTTCAGTCGCCTGCTGCCGTGCGCGCCTTGAGCTCGGCCGCTCCGGCTGCGTCTCCGCTGAAGGTGCTGGTTATCGACGGCTACTCGCCCGAGGGCCGCGCCGACCTTGAAGCTGGAGGCGCCAGCACCGCCGGTAAGCTGTACATCGACCTGCTCAACAAGTCGGCGCCTGCCGGGGTGGAGGTCGCCTCCGACGTGGTCTACCCCGCAGACAGCGACTTCCAGTCGCCGGAGCTGTCCAAGGTGAGCTGCAGCATCATCTACAGTATGTAGACTTCTAGGACGGAGGACTCACTTCAACTTGTATCCATGCGCAGTACCATGCAGTGGCCTGGACGGGCTGCTCGCTGACCATCCACGACGCCCAGGACGTCCGCGTCACCAAGCAGATCGACTTTGCCAAGAAGGTGTTCGAGGAAGGTGAGAGGCTAATAGTAGTCAACAACCTTTGGGCAGACAAGCAATGCTGATGCAGAGCGTTCGTGTGTTTGCTGTTGCCAGGCATCCCGCAGTACGGCAGTTGCTGGGCGGCGCAGATCGCTGTGGCTGCTGCTGGCGGCCACTGTGGAGCGAACCCGCGCGGTCGCGAGATGGGCATCGCGCGCAAGATCGAGCTGTCCCCGGAGGGCCGCGCGCACCCGATGTTCGAGGGCAAGCCGTCGGTCTTCGACGCGTTCACGAGCCACAACGACGAGGTGACCCACATGCCGCCTGGAGGACTCGCTCTGGGCGGAAACGACTTCACGAAGGTGCAGGCCGTGGCTGTGCGCCACAAGAAGGGCGACTTCTGGGCCGTGCAGTACCACCCGGAGTACGACCTCCATGAGCTCGCACGCCTTACGTACTGCCGCCGGGCGAAACTCGTTGGCTTGGGATTCTTCGCAGACATGAAGAGTGCCGATCAGTACGTGGACGACCTTGAGAACCTGCACATTGATCCGTCGCGTTACGACATTGCGTGGCGCCTTGGCCTCGACGCCGACGTCATGGACGAGAACATCCGCCACTGCGAGACGCGCAACTTCATCAAGTATCTTGCGCTTCCCTACAAGGCCGCGATCGAGGGCAAGTAAGCAGACCATCAAAGAATCATCGAGCTGTGGATCAAGCAAAATAAATGATATAGAAGATGGGATTCAGCTTCGAGATCGAGTGTACGCTGAGACGTACACTGTAGAATGGCTAGGACTGCGAACGCGTGGTAGAACGCCGAGCAGCAGTGGTGTTGCGGTGGAAGCTGGGGGCCTTATTCTCCGCCCATCATGTTGTAAATAATCCCCGCAACCGTTGCAACGTCGCCCTTGATCGAGCGGTCGTTGTCGTTAAGGGATTCCTCCAAATACTTGATCCCGGTCTCATCGTGCTTGTAGAAGACCCAATCCGAGAAGATACCGAAGACAGGAGACGCTTGGATGTCTGTGTCTTCGTTATCCGCAATTGCTACGTCCATCAGCACCAAGTCTTCTGACTGAGCTCGCAGCTGGTCTTCGCGTAGACACACAACGACAACCACCTTACGCTGCTTCCGCGTCAACAGTAGATCCGGCTTCCACCAGCGAGAACCACCTCATTCGTGAGCAGTGGCTTCATTTTGGTACTGCAGTTCCCCTCGAGGAGCGTGGCGACAGCACCAAGAATCGTCGTGACGCTATGCTGCAGTCGTCTCACTGCAGTGGCTCGTTTCGTCGACCCGAAAGCCTTCCCCTCATCCTGCAGCATGGTGACCAGCTTCTCGATGAACGTCTCGTCCAGTTTCTTGACCGGAAACGCCGCCTTATCCTCTTGCATGAGTGGGTCGTAGATCTTCTCCACATCTTCCCACTCAAGGGAACTGCTGACGACCCCGTGCTGATTGTCATCACCGCGTCTGCGCTTCCCCGTCATTTTGCCTTGCCTAGCATGTTTGGTTATTTTGGCCAGCACTTGGTTGAGCTGAAGTCGACGGTCGGCAAATGGCGACAATGGATAGCGCTCCATTGGCAGTGTTAGCGCCGTCGAGGTCGGCGATCCAGACGCCACTGGTTTCTTCAACGGCAACGAAGTCGAGGTTGCTGAGGTGGCTGGCTGACCTCGACTCGGAAGTGGACGCGCCCTTCGCTCTTGGTGTTGGGGAAGAGCGAGGCGATGGAGCGCGAGTACTTGATCTTGTGCCTGGGAACAGCAGCTGCGTCCTCCTCAAGAGGCCAAGTGCCGTCTTCGGCCTCCAGAGAGAAAATCTTAATGTCGAGCTTCTTGCAGAGCACTAGAGTGAGTTCGATGTACACTTCGTCCCGAAGCCTTGCGCCCAGGTCGTCGAAGTTGATGTCTTTCCGTACGAACGCCGCGATAGAGGAATGTCAACCGACCTCGCTGCTCGGAAGGCATGGAAAAGAATGGTTGCCTAGAGATCAAAGTTGTGCACTTGAGTCCACGAGCGCAAATTCTGAAGTGAGCAACGATATCTCTCAGGTGCAGGCAAAAGAAATCTGGCGGTGTATGCGGTCATCCAGATAGACTTCAAGTGCAGTACAGATGGTGCAACTTCAAGTTCGGCTAAGCTTGGTGAAGCGACCAAGCAACACAACAACACCTTGACTACATGTACGAAAGAATGCACTACGTGGATTACGTGGATAGTCGGAAACCAAACGACATGCAAATGTACACGCAGTAGAGCTATCTAGCCACCCACAGAGAACCACAGAGAGACGGAGGCGAGGTCATCGGCAACAAGCGCAATGGTAACGTGTTGAGCAGGCGACGAAAGCCCACCGGGGTCCGTTATCTACAGCATGCGCTTACTGCTTGCCGCTTTTCTTCTTGGCGGCCTTCTGCATCTTGACAGCCTGCACGTTCACCTTGACGTCGCGGGTGAAGGGCAGGTAGGTGACGCCGCCCATGAAGGGCACCAGCACCTCCGGGACCTTGACACCGTTCTCGTCCTGGTAGTTCTCTAGGATGCAGCACACCGTACGCGTGGACGCGCAGAGCGTCGAGTTGAGCATGTGCACGTACTTCTTCTCGCGCTGGTTCTCCTTCTTGACGCCGCAACGGATCTCCATGGCACGCGACTGGAAGTCCGTGCAGTTGGAGGCGGACACGAGCTCGCGGTACTCCTTGTAGGCGGGGAACCACGCCTCCAGGTCGTACTTCTTGACGGCAGCGTTGTTAAGCTCGCCAGACACGATGTTCACCACGCGGTACGGCAGGTTCAGCGACTGGTAGAACTCCTCGGCGTGACGCAGCATCTCCTCGTGCATGGCAACGGAGCTCTCCGGGTCCGTGATGCAGAACTGCTCCACCTTGTCAAACTGGTGCACACGGAAGATGCCCCACGTGTCCTTGCCGTGCGAGCCAGCCTCCTTACGGAAGCAGGTGGAGAAGCCGCCGTAACGCAGAGGCAGGGAGCTCTCGGTGATCCACTCGCCGCGGTGGTAGCCGCAGATGGGCTGCTCGGAGGTGGCAATGAGGTACTTCTCGTCCTCGCCGATGACCTTGTAGAGCTGCTCGTCGAAGTCGTCGAGCTGCGCGACGGCAGCCATGCCCTCCTTGTTCATGAAGAAGGGCGGCTTGAGCATCTTGTACTGGGCCTTCATGAGGAAGGACGTGGCGTACGACATGAGCGCCTGCTCCAGCAGGAAGCCGTAGCCCGTGAGGAAGTAGGCGCGGTGGCCGGCCACCTGCACGCCGCGCTCGGGCTCGTAGCCGTCAATGCGGTGCAGCACCTCGTGGTGGAAGTGCAGGCCGTCCTTCTGGATGGGGGCGCCCCACTTCTTGACCACAATGTTTTCGTCCTCGTTGCTCGAGACGGGCACGGTCGGGTCCACGACGTTGCCGATCTTGGGCAGCTCCTGGTCCACGAGCAGCTTGAGCGCGTCGGCCTCCTTCTTCTTCTCGGGCAGCTCGGCGGCCAGCGCCTTGCGCTCGTCGCTCAGGGCCTTGAAGTCCTCCTTGGCCTTGCTGAGCTTCTTGATCTCCTGCTGCAGCGCGTTCATCTTCATGCTAATGGTCTCCACCTCGCCCTGCTTCTTGCGCCACTGCTCGTCCAGCGCGATCACCTTGTCCACGATGTCCACATCCAGGAAGCGCTTCTTCTGGTCGGCGCGCACGGCGTCCGGGTCGCCGCCACGCTCGGGACGCAGGCGGTTGATATCGATCGGCATCTTGGCGCTTGGCTTGGCTGTGGGGTGCGTTGCTTTTCCACGTATGCCGGGGAGCGGGAGCCATCGACGGCTCTGTCCCAAACGTTTGGTCGCAAAGTAAACCTAATTTCTGAAAAAAAGAGTCGCATTTTTGCATTTCATTTTTTATCGAACAGAAATCGGGTCGAGTGGGCGATAAAATTTTTAATACCGCTTTGGGGCTGGGGACTCGATATCCGGGACAGTCGTAAGAATACGCTGGACCAAACCGAGCGGAAATGACAGGGCTTTCTAGATCCGGCGTTCCAAATTATTTGAGACCCCCAGATTTAGGTTTGATTCAACGTCCTAATTCATAAAACCACTTCAACTGCGCTTGACGGCTGTTGTCGCCGACGCGCCGCGACGTCGCGATCATAGCAACGTGCCGCGCTGGTGGTGACGTTCTTGCGTGGCGGCGAAGCGGTCCACCACCGTGTTGGCGTTCGTGGCGCCCTTCGTGAGCGTGGCCAGGTACGAGACCAGCAGCGCGTCGTTGTACTCCTGCGTGAACGCCGCGTCGAAGTGCTCGGACGTCATCGCCGGCAGCTGGTTGCAAATGCTCGAGATGTGGCGCAGCAGGTTGTGGTCCAGCGGCGCCTCGCCGTTCTTCATAGCCTGCAAGAAGCGCAGTAGCACGTCCACCTGCCGGTCCAGCATCTTGACGGCGTCTCGGACGTTGCCCAGGTACGGGTGCACTGCACCACGTCACAGCAAAGCATCGGATGAGAAACCGCACCCACAACGATACTGACTCAACCCACGTCGGTGCACTTACAGGTAGACTTGCTGGCGTCGCCGATGGGTGCAATCTTCGAGATGTGGTCGATAGCGATACCCTCTGTCTCGGACGTGTCGATCTTGAAAGGCGCCTTGACGAAGATCATCTTGGGCACGCCGTTCAGCATGTGCAGCTCCGACTCGAACAGCGAGATCGGCAGCTTCTTCTTGGTACTCGGACCCTTGGACTCCGGGTCCAAGATCATGAACAGCGGGCTCTCGTTGAACTCCATCACCTGCACAACGACGCGAACAAACGTTTGTCACTCACTCAACTATCCAGCAGCACACCTTCAACTCCGCTCTTACCACGCGGTGCACCGCCAGGTCACTGGGGAGCACCTTCGCACCCACCGTGTACCAGCCCAGGAGCTCGAAGCCCGGGAAAACTTGCGAGACTACAGACAAAGCACAGCAAAGCAGCGTCAGAATCTACGCGGTTGTATGCCAGAGGCGACAGCATCCATCCGCGTACACTGCTGGATGCGCGAGGTGAGGAACTCCTTGTCGATCTGGATCTCTCCGCTGCTGCCGACGTCGTACTTCATCTCGAACGAGTCGTAGACGTCCACGTCCAGCCCCTTCTGGATGCCGAAGAGCGCGCCGATGACCTGCGGCGCCTCCGTCTGGCTCAGCTGCGAGTTGCACTTCTGCCGCGTCTGGTGGTCGGCGACGTTCACGATCACGAGCGGGTGGATCTGGATCTGGCGCTCGCCGCCGCCGGCGCCGCTGTCCTCGCGCTGCACCAGCATCTCCTCGTCCTGCTGCTCGGCGCTCGTCATCTCCGTGTCCTCCATGCGGCGCGAAGCTCCTCCTTCTTCCTCCTTGATGCGCCTCGACTATCGGTCGATCCTAGAAACGTTGGTGCGTAGCGTGGACGGAACCGTCTTATAGCCTAGCCCAGTCTGAAACAGTGTCTCGATCTATAAAACTGTCTTTCCGACTAGGTAGGCTATACGACAGTTCTCGAAATGCCCGTCTCTACACCGTGGTGTAACGATTGTGTACCGCTCTCGTTGTCGGTGTGACGTTCGGTACGCGCTGACTATTCCGGCCGGTAAAACGATCGCGCTCGTTGAACAGACCCCCAAGGACAGTGCCGCGCTAAACCAAAGCGAACCCCCCCCCTCGCCTCCGCCGCAGGACGTGCAGCGCGTCGGATCCCTCTGCAGCACCGCGAGCCCAACCGCCAGTCAGTCAGGCCAGCAGCATGAGCGACCAAGTGTCCGACGACCTGCTCTGGTCGCTAGACGTACGTGGGAAAGCAACCGCTTGATGGACGCGTTGCAACTAAGCGCCTACTGCGCATTATTAATGGAAAGGACTCTAACCCGAGTATGTATGCATGGTACTACGAGCAGAACTTGATCAAGAAGGATGCCGGCGCCGACGTGGAGGCCGACGCGGACCTCGTGCGCGCGAGCTTCTACACGCAGGACAACATGCTGGGCTGCTCCATGATCGGCAGCGACCTGGTCTTCGGCCGCCGCGAGTCCGTCAAGCTCGCGCAGGATGACAGCCACGCAATGGGAGGGTACGGGCGACCCACGGGCTTGATGGGCTACGGCATCGAGGAGGACGAACTGGACGACGACGTGACAATCGAAGAGCGCATTCCCGCCACTTTCAGCGCCACGCAGCCCAGCAGCAACATCAGCTACCCTCGACACTCGTCGAGCCAGCACAGCTTCAGCGAAGACACGGACAGGTCCTTCTCGTTTGCGTCCGAGGAGGAGTTCAACATGGGCAACATACCGGCGCCCTCGCCGCATCGGAAACAATCGACGAGACGAATGAGTGATGGCGATCAGGACACATACGAGCAGCGCATCGAGGCGTCGCTTGCTGGGTTCATCACCCAGTCGCTGAATATCGAGTCGCGCATGGCCGCGGAGCAGCTCGCGGACCGACCGTTTACGATGAGTGATCTTGCGCACTTCAACCCGCAGTTCGGACGGGATATTTATCTTAAACGTCTAGGACAGAGTCTGCAGGAGCAGGAAGGCGAAGGGAAGTCCCTCGCTTCGTATCGAAGGTCTACTCTGCAGCGAATGTCCACGCCGTCGGACATTATTCGGCAGGGGTGGATTTTGAAGCGCGGCGAGGTTGTTCCAAGCTACCGGAAACGCTGGTTTACGCTGCGTCGGATGCCGCAAGGCCCGATGCTGACGTACGCCAAGGACAACACGGAGGGAGCACCGTCGAAGATTATTGATCTCAGCTCGACATCGCGCTGCCTCGTCGTCACCGGCAAGAACGCGAAGGAGCACGAATTCAAAGTCATGACATCGGCAGATTCCTCACGACGTGAACACTGCATGGTTGCAGCCTCTGGCTACGAGATGACGCAGTGGGTGGTTGCGATCCAAGCTGCAATTAACTCGGGAAATTGCTCGACGTTTGATGGGGCGACCGACTTCCAGCAGCTTTGGCATGAAGCAGGAATCCAGGGTTTTTTAGTTCGTTATGGTGTGCGCAAGTGCAGCTCGCGGAATCGACTTCAAACTCGAGTCCTCGAGCTTAACTTTGCTGAGCAGACACTCACGAATTCGCGGCGAGGTGAGACGCTTACGACATTTCACTTCACAGACATTCGCGGCATTTCGGCGAGTAGCATACGCTCGAGCGGTGAGGAGCATGGGATTAGTATCGACTTCCACGGTCGACACCGGTCCTGGCCAATTTTCTTGGATTCTGTGGAGGCTCGAGACGATTTGTTCGCGATCTTGCAGCGAATTGTGGACAACGTGGTGACTGGCGCGGACCTGGAGAAACGATCTTCTCGCTTGACGCTGAAGACTGGCCATCTCGAGACGAAAAACGCGGGGCCCCACGCTACGTTGCGCGGCCGGTTGTTTGTCTGTCTTCATGAAAACTGTATCGTATTTTATCCTGCGGACGGAGACACCACAACGCGCCCGTGGTATGTCATCGCCTTAAAGGGACTTCGACTGTCGGTCCGAGAGGAAAAGCGGATGCTTTATGTTGGTCGGCTGGCGTTAGGATGCTCGTCTTCTATTGAATGTCGTGCCTGGTATGATGCCATTTCTGCGGCTATGGTTCTACCTTCAGAGATCATCGAAATCGAGCTGAAGGAGAGAGCGAAGATCCGTGGCGTCTTCCATGCGTGTGTGTCTCGGCTGCGAAAATTGCTCAAAGCAAAAGTCACGCCCGAAACAAATGGACCGCCGAAAGACCAGAAGACGGTTAACCTGATGATCACCAAGCTGTGGGAACTCGTGTTCCCGGGTGAACCGTTCACGTCAAACACCGATCCGAAGTGGTTGGAGATTGGCTTCCAAAGAGGAGGCCCGGCGTCTGATCTTCGGTCCAGCGGTTTGCTTGGACTCTACTGCTTAATCTTCTTTGCTAGCTTTCCTTCTAGCGAGTTCCAGCGAATCCTGAAACGCACGCGGCATGGTGTGAGCGAAGGCAACATGAAGAATTATCCTCTTGCGATCGCGTGCATCAACGTCGCATCACTTTTGACTGAGATTCTCGGATTGGGTGATGCCGGCACGCACTCCGAGGGCTGTTCTGTGAAGGCGATGGAGACATACAGTCTTTTTGTCGCTCAGAGCGTCAGCAAGTCGAGATCATCAATTCGACCGAACACATTCTCATCGTCGCGGCCATTAAGTGAGTATGATTCGTGGGAAGAAATCGTCGATGAGCCGCAGAACCACGTCTTCGAGACTATCTTCTGCCTGCTTTTCCCGGTCCTCGACTCGCTTTTTGTTGAAATGGGAGCGGTAAGTCGGCTCCTTTTGTATGATCATCGTATCGGTCATTCACAGTTCTAACGTTCTTCTGTTTGCATTTCTCGCTAATAGGGATACATGGAGTTCGGCCAAGTCACGATCGCGTTCCGACGCCGAGTAAACGAGATTTTCAACGCCCAGCCAAGGTCACTGAAAGAACTTCAAAATCTGGCGAGCGAGCCGTGCACAGGTACCCTTGCTGTGCCAACGGTGTTGGCACCTAAGCAGCACAAGATCAGCAAGCTTCGTATGGGCAAGAAAATAGTGTAAGCGGGTGGTATGTAACCACGACGAAAGTAGCCGAGTTCATCCACCCCACATAGAGATTTTGAATTGCACCGCAATAGAAATGGTATGCAGTTGCAACGCATGACTTCCAGCTGTAACACTACACTTTTCTTCACGTCAGGCCACCCCAAACTCCACCACCACCAGTGCCACCAGTGCTATTTGATCGCGGTAGCTGGCTCGACGGGGTCCGATGCAAATGCAGATGCCGGCCCCTTCCGCGACCCCCGCCTCCACCCCAGCCATGGTGCTGGTGATGCGGAGGTGGCTGTCCACGGTGCCCGGATCCTCCATGATGCGCGGTCGTCCGAGCCAGGAACCGCTCCCACGAAAGCTTCATCTCACGTAAAAGCTGAACGGATTGCTCTTTTGCACGTTCCAAAGCCTGCACACACTCGCAAAGGTCAGGAACACGTTTCCAGCATCCGCCCAAGAGTTAAGAAAAACTTACCGCCTCGTTTGTGCTGGTGATCTGGATGTAAGCTTCTGGCAGTGTGCGTGAAGACACATCCCGGCCTTTGCTCCATTTGCTTAGTGATTGCGGCCACGGCCCGAAGTACCGCAGTTGGGCACATGCAATAGCCTCGATCTTCTTCAAGTGAATGCCTCTCTCGCCGAGTAACTTTCCGGGAAAATTAAACTTGCGTGATATCAGCGCCTCCGTGTCAACGATGTCATACACATTGACGCGCGCGAAAAGGTGGCCTGACGATACGGTTCCCTCAACGCTGTCACCACTCAATATTGCGTGCTGCAAACCGTTGCTCCCACCACTAATGGTGCTTCCACTGTCAACTTCTCCCATCTCATCCTGCTCCAATGCCGAAAGTCCAAGCTTCTTCATCTGTCGACCCCTGTCTTCTAAGGCTTTGCCTTCCTCTTCATTTCCTTGCAGTCGCATACACTTGCCGATTTGCTCTAGTTTATCCAAAGGTTCAGAACAATTTCTTTTAAGCGACAAGTTCAAGTTGTTTTTTTGGAACGATCGATAAACTTACCGATACAAAAGCCGACGTCTCGGGTATCTGGGAAAAGCTGCTGGCGGATATCTTGCGCTTTCTTGTAGGCAGCAATTGCCTCTCCATATCGTTTCTAGGGAGAAGCAAAGATTTCACGGATGCAAGTGGTGACGTTAAAAGTGGACGCTACAACCCCGTTAAGCTGCAAAGTTCGTACCTGGTCTCGATACACGCGTGCAAGATTGATGAAGATGCGCGCGGCACGGGGACTGATGTCATTAAAGTAACGATCCGTGATCTGTAGAGCTTCCTTGATATTTTCTTCTGCTCCACGCCAATCTTTCTGTACTCAGAACACAGAGGATAAGCTACACACGAACTAAAAGATACCATGTATAACAGTTCTCGCTTGATACGCACCGTAAGTCGCTTGAAATTGCCCATGTTGTTCAACGTGGCAGCTGTCTCAAAACTTGCATTACCGAGTCTGCTTCGACGAATCCTTAGTGCTCGCTCATACAGACGACCGATTTCTGCCCGCTGGGTTGCTAACTCCGCCTCACTGCCATCCAAACAAAAATGTTAGACCATCCGGATCTTTAGTACTCGTTGCAAGTAGCCGTCGTACCTCAGTTGCTGCGCTTCAAGCTGGTTGGAGAGATATAGCGCGAGATTATTTAGCGACTGTGCCACCTGAGGGTGATTCTCGCCGAGCGTTATCTCGCGAATTTTGAGTGATTGGCGATACATGCCAGCGATATTGGGCCCCGCTTCTTCCTCAACGCCTGCACCTGTCGCACCTTTAGTCGCTCCCGAATTCGCATCTCTCTGGCTTGGGCTCGTCATGCTTTCGCTACTTGTACTGGATCTGCTCGGGCTTGGACTTGAATTCGAGCGGGCACCTCGCTGAGCACCACCGCCACGCCGCCCTCCACTTCTACCTCCTCTTGCATACCGCTCTCGAGATTCGCGGGCATCTTCCCGTAGTGCGGCCGACGGCGATCGACGCTTTCCTCCAGTCGGGTAGTTCTTGTAGAAGTTTGCAAGATTGTTCAAACTCGTTGCGTATTCCGGGTGATTTTTGCTTAGCACCCGACTGCGCATTTCAAGTGCCCCCTTTAGCAAGCACTCAGCGTGTTGCAGCAACCAAACGTTGTGGGCTAAGTATCCCCAACGTGTGCTGAGGCAAATGCCAAACTGATTCAATACCTCAGCAACTTGTGGATGTTCTGACCAGCCCAGCACCTCGCGTTGCAATCGTAATGACTCCAAATAATGGTACTCTGCGGCAACCCAGTCTGTAACATCGCAGCACGCGTAGCCGAGATCTGTTAGCAGCAGGGCCTCTAGTGCGATAAGCTCTCGGATTCCGACGCATGTGCAGCGATCATGTGCCGCCGCGGAAGCAGCCTGAGGTTGTGGTTCCTCGAAAGAAGGTAGTTTATCCAGCAGCGACAGCTCACGATCGAACTTGGCCTCTTCCACATCCCACAGCAACGCGGCAGGGTCGTTTTCACGGTTACCACAGGTGCAGTGTAGCGAACGAGTCTCTCGTGATAGTTGCAAACACGAGGACACCACCTGAATACGGCGCCGGGGCTCCACACGTGCACGGAAAATAAAGCGGCAACGCACCACAAGGTTACTATAGAGCAACGCGTCCACAATCGAGGAGTTGCTGAGCCCAGCAAAACCTGCAGGACGCTGACCACTTCCACTACTGCTGCTATCGCTTGTACTTGGACCAAAGCTACTGCTGTGTCGTTCGATGGTCGGCTTGGGCAGTGCTCCATCACTCACTGAAAATGTTGGTTCGCTATTCGATCTCATCGTACTTGTTGAACTGGTAGGCATTTCTCCAATCTGATCACTCACGATATCTTGTTGAACGCGACAGTTGCTCTCGCGCACCTGCTCAATGCTTTGCAGCGTAAGTTCATGGGCAAGCCGCATTGCAGATTCAATATTTGCTCGCTCCTTGTCAAATAAGGCCAAGGTGCCTTCGAATCGGTAGGCGTGCGAGGCCTTGGCGACAATCATGCAATAGTAGCGAACAAAACGTCGCTTCCAAGTGAGAAGTAGCTCTTTGCCCAGCGGAATGCTCATTGGAGGGGCGCCCATCGATGCCGCCACAAACGATGAACCAGAAGTTGAGGCAGGTGCGCCATCAGCGAAACATTCATCCCCCATTTTTCCAGCTTCCTCCTCGGCAAAAAGCTGCACGAGGTTATGCATACGATAACGGTTCGTTTTTGTATCAAACTCCACTAGCGACCACTGGTGAAGTAGTTCAAGAGCAACGCTGGCCGAGGGAACACTCACTTCTCGAGCTTTTGCCTCCTCGTCGCTCTCTAGATCCAGCAGATCGTAGCTGTCATTTGTCATGGCACCGTCGTTATCGAAACCAAAACCATCCATGTTCGAAAGCTGAGAACCGAGACTACGCACGGAGGAGGCATCATCATCCCGGCCACGACTTCGGTTGCTCTTGGCGTAAGCATCGGCAGGAAAGTACGAACTTGAGGAGTTTGATGTGCTCGTTGTTGCGCCAGCGGAACCACTCAGACACGAAGACATCAGGGAATAGCTGCTACTCCCGGCCAATTTCCCAGCAGTATTCTGCTCCGTTAACACACTGGATAACACTGCTTCAGCAGCTTCAATCTCAAAACTTCCGCGAAAGAATCCAAAGGCCATGAACGCTAGCCTCAGCGGCTCGTCTAAATGACAAAAAGATGAGCGGATGCAACGGTCCACGCACTCCTTGTGCCCAACTTGGTTGAGTTCCCGGATGGTCTCGAACCGGTGGTCATCGCGCTATACAGCATTACAAAAGATTAATACACTTATGTGATTCGCATGTCGGCAGTTTTGAGACCACTCACCTCCAAATATTCGATCATGCGCTCAGGCGTGACCGTCATTCGTGCGTTAGCGAGAGCCCGGCCGACCACACGAATAGCTAGGGGGAGACATCCACAGATTCTTGCCAACCGTTCAGCTAGTTTGGCCGAACAGCCAGGAGCCACGAGGCAGAGCAACTCTGTCTGTACCGTATCGCAATGCGAAGAGTGGTTGAGTAAGTAAGACGTGCCTCAACGACAAAAAAATCAAAGCATGACTTACCGCCGTGTGCAACGGGAGCTCCGAGATTGAAAGCGAGTATGGTGTGACGCTGGGGATATGCAAATTTCGCCTAGAGGCAAGCAGCAACTTCAAATTTGGGGCAACCGATATAAGCTGGTGCAGCAGTTCTTCGCCCTTGTTTTCATCCTCATCCAGCAGCTCTTCAACCTTGTCTAGCACCAGCAAACAGTTCTTGGTCCTGTAGTACATTCAAGCTCCTGTTAGCCATTTCAAACCCCCACTACTGTGATACGCATAAAGTATACAGAACTCACCCTAACTCCGCAAATACTTCTTCGTTAGTGTCTGCTGCGGGCATCCCAATACTCTGTGCAATGGCATAGCGCACAGTTGAGAGTTTCTGGCCTTCCAGATCCACGTAAAATACACCGTCAGGAAACATGCGGCGGCTATGCACGAAGTGCGCGACTGAGATAATGAGAGAACTCTTTCCGATTCCTGGAGCACCTAGGCACGCCGTCACGGCGTTTTCGCGTAGCGACTTGACCATAAGATACGTTTCAGTGTTACGCCCGATGAACTGGCCGTGCATGGACGGAATGTTGGATGGGTACCGGGGCGTGTAGTCCCGCAGCGAGCCATTTGGGATGTCTCCGAAGAGAACCACGTCATGCGAAGCCGCTCCAAGAAGCAGAAACTTGCTGGACTCGTCGTGCGGGAATGCCAACGCGTGGCCCTTGCAGCAACACTGAGTAGCACTGTGTTGGGAGTGACGTGAACCATCCCGCATCCATGTGCATGTCGGTTCGTGGAGATGGCTGTGCGTACAAAATACAAGGAAGTTAGTCTGTACTCGAATACAAACAACAGCAGCAGCAGCAGCAAACAACTTACGCGCAGCAACAAGCAGCTCGTTTCTGGGTAGGAAGAGCGCGCACCGCTCCCTTTGCGATCTCGAACGCTGTCGACACAGTGTGCCCATGAAATAGCGACAGGTAAAAATGTTTGGCGAACATCGTCGCCGAGGCGTCCACCACGAGAGAATCCGAATGCACCGCCACGACATGAGGGATCCCAGCGTTCAGGAACACAGACGCGACCTTCTGGCTATGACACGCATTGACAAACACAAGCTTTACATTGCCGTCCAATGGTTTGGGTCCAGCAGCAGCAACAGTCTCGGACGCCGTGCCTCTCTTCATCTCCACGGGTGTCGCGCCGGGCACTTGCCGGTCCCCAGGCGTGTGACCGGAGAACATCAACTGCCTCAACGCGTCGGGCGTGATGAGGTGCGTGCAGCCGGCTCCATCCTCGAAGCAGAGCGCGGCTCGTTGGCCCAGTCCGTGGCCGGAGAAGTGCAGCACCGTGCACTTCCACGCCGTCATGAGGCTGCGCAGGATGTCGGCCGTGGCGATGTCGAAGCGCACGTGGATGGCCTTGTGCTGCACGTCCGTGAGCAGCGAGTTGCTGATCTCGCGGCGCTCCGCCTCTAGGTCCAGCTTCTCCATGGGGTAGATGCGGTGGCGGCTGTCCTTGATCACGAGCGGCGCCGCGTGCAGCACCACCAGGTCCAGCGCGTTCTCGTCGCGGGGCAGCCAGGCCTGAGTCGAAGCTGCTGTCGATGACGCGGACGCATCACCCGAAGAAGAAGACGGAGAAGGAGAAGACGACGCAATCAGCGCCTGGATGGCCTGCGCGATCCGCACGCGGTCCCCGAAGGCCGCGATGCCCAAGTCGTCGCGCAGCGCGTTGCGCGTGAGCTCCGGGAGGATGCTGCCCGAGATCTTGTTGGCGGCGAAGAGCTCCACGTGCTCCTGGAAGCCCTGGGCGCCCAGCCAGCGCCCCACGTCGGCGCACGACCAGGACCTCCAGGCCGCTGTCGCCGGCGCCGCCTCCATGTTTGAAGTGAAGTGGAGCAGGGTAGTCACTAGGCCATGAAGTGTACCTATAGGTTAACCTTGTGAAATGTATGGGGATGTATTGAAATGACTGCTATTATTGGTCTCAGAAGCATCAGAAAAAGCATCAGATCTGAGTCTATAGTTATTGTCCATCCATTATTGCTGCGATGGCGACGCCAGCGGCTGGAGGCAAGAAGCGGCCGCGCGCCGACTTGCTGTCGTCGCTGGACGCGGCCTTCGCGACTGCGGCGCAGCCTGCAGCGTCCAAGTACACGGCGCAGGCGGCGGCGCAAGCGGCGCCCAAGGGCAACAAGCAGCAGGCCTACCAGCATGCTAAGCACAAGCGCAAGGACAAGAAGCGCAACAAGGGTGGCAATGCGCGTGGAGGCGGCAAGGACGCGGCCAAGCCAGCGGCTAAGCAGGAGAAACAGAAGGAGGAGAAGAAAATTGACTCGCTCTACGAGAAGATTGACGCGGAGCTGCTGGCTATTGGGCTGAAGGACTGCTCGCTGGTGAGGAAACTCTGGGATGGCACCTAGATCTATCTATTGGAATTGCACTGCCGCTGATGTATGTTGCCCTTTGTGTTGTGTTGTGTTCTCATTGCAGCAACCGAAGGCCAAGATGTTGAACAAGCCACGGGCGCTGCACGAGACGTTTAAGAATTATCTGGAGTCCGTGACGAAGGGCACGAGGGCTGGTGCCAATGCAGTGGACAGTCTCAAGAATAAGGTGCTCAGTTTGGACAACCCGATCAAGACGAAGACTACTGAGACAGCCGAGAAAACGATTGCTGCAGAGAGCAGGAAGCAGACGGCGAAGCTGCTGAGTGCGCGTCGTCGGAGAGAACTTGGCCTGCATCTGCTCAGCGGCAGCATGAAGTACAACGACGCCAAGCAGCTCAACGATATCTGGGCGCGGTATGTGCGTCAGATCATCGAGAGCGAGCTGGGCGAAGTACAGGCCGTAACGGAGGAAGCGCAGCGTTCGCGAAATGCGAAGCTGCAGACCAAGCTCAAGTATTTGGATCTCTCCGGCTGTCCGGTTGAAGGTACGTGAGCTACTTCAGCTCCTCCTAGACAAAGTGACTGTGCTTACAGGACGTTTCTCTCCTCTTATATTGTAGTGGTGCAGTCGCAAAACCCGTGCAATGTTGGCCTGAGCGGTATCGTCGTCGCGGAGACCCAGCAAGCAGTGCAGATCTGCTGTCCTGCAGCATCAGACGATGAGGATGCCGACGGTCCCATCCGCAGTACGTATCGTAGTGGCGTTTCAAGTTCATACACATTTTCGTTGCTAATCTCTCTGTTCGGTGCGGTTGCAGCCCTAGTGAAGGCGGACTCGCGCTTCAAGGTCCGTTTCGACCCCACCCGGACCCTGCTCCTCGACGGAGCTTGGCTCGCGGAGCGAGCTCAAAAGCCGTCAGCTTTAGACTTTGGCACTTCAACAACACTTCGACGCAATGTAGCCATGTTGTAGAACATGATCTCCTCTTTAAGTGCACCCACTGAAATAAGAGCATAATCTGCTGTATAAACCGTTGCACCAGCATCATGGGCGGCGGTAGCATCGCCGGTCTGCTGCTGCTGGCCGTGGCCTTCCACGCGCTGTGCGTCCTCAGCATCTTCGACATCTACTTCCAGTCGCCCGTGGAGTCTTTCATCCCGAGCGCCAACTACACATCGTCTCCACCGGCCAAGCGCGTCGTCATCTTCACGCTCGACGGTTGTCGTGTCGACAAGCTCTTCAAGACCGTCGCTCACTACGCAGACCGCTACGACGTCAGCCCTGACAGCTCTGCGACTGCGCAGTTCAGTTCCAATAGTCGCACCCCGTTCCTGGGAAATGTGATGCGCCATCGCGGCAGCTGGGGCGTCTCGCACAACCACGCACCGACCGAGAGTCGACCGTGTCACGTGGCGCTGACTGCCGGAATGTACGAGGACCCGCACGCCGTCACCAAGAGCTGGAGGCGGCATCCAGTGCCCTTCGACTCGGTGTTCAACCAAAGCAGCAACGCCTTCATCTACGGCAATAAAGACGTTGCTCCGATGCTGGCGAGGCATGCGCCGCAAGCTACGGAGGAGCACTACACGGCGAGAGAAGAGGTCGACATGGTACGGGAAGACACGACGCTGCTGGATGTGTGGGCGTATCGGAAAATGAAGGAGCTGTTTGCTCGTGGGACAGAGGCGAAGGACCCGGAGCTCTACAGGAAGCTGCATGACGACAAACTGGTGATTTACTGCCATTTCTTGGGCACAGATTTGACGGGGCCGAAATATGGGGCCGATTCGAGGGAATACCTGGAGAATATTGCGGTGGTTGATGAATTGATCAAGAAGACGGAGAAAATGATCGACGAGTACTATGGAAACGACGGCCGTACTGCGTATGTGGTCAATTCGGACCATGGAATGGATCTGCGTGGAGATCATGGTGACTTAGATCCTTCGAAAACCCGAACGGCAATTATTGCGTGGGGTGCAGGTGTGCAGGGGCCCATTACAACAAACAAGCCTGACCGCGGAGGGTTTGCAATTGACTTACCTACTCAATCAAGAATCGAAGTACAAGCACGATTGAGAGCTCAGGAAAAGGAAGAGGAGATCGCAGCACGCGAATGGGCGTCGATGGCAAATTTTACGCGGAAGGACGTTATGCAGACGGACGTGGCTGCGCTGATCAGTGCACTAGCAGGACTTCCTTACCCTCGTAACTCGGTGAGTGTCTTGCCATTTACATATCTACCCGAGAACAAATACCGCGCTGTCGCCTTGCGTGCAAATGCCGAACAGCTATACCGACATGCGCTGCGAAAGGAGGAAGTGAAGCGTGCCCATCGAGGTTTGTTTTTTGTGCCATACTCGCCTCTTCACCACCGGGTACTTGATCTTGAGGCCAGGATGGACGAAGCCCTTGACAAGGGTAAGAGTCATACGATTCATCAAGAGGCTCATCGCGTCGTCGAGGTTTCTAGCCAGGAGATGATTGAAATTTGCCGGAACGCGATCGTGTACTACCAGACGTACGACTGGTTGTTTTTGCTGGGATCCGTCGTTCTGGGCTACTTTGGCTTAGCTTTCGTCGTGATTATCGCCTACCTCAATCCTCTAAAGTTTCGGCTGCGGTGGCTGTTGCTCCATACGATCGACATCAAGCTCGTTGCTGCTGCGGGCGCAGTGATGTGGTGGCGGCTTCTTGCAGATTCACCGCTGACCCACTATCTCTACGGACTGTGCCCCCTTGTCTTCTGGAAATTCGCTTGGGGTCAACGCACTACATTATACGCGGCGGTAGTATTTCCTGGACAAGGATCGTGGTGGCAATGGAGTGCTGGACTTGCATCGATTTTCCTGTGCCTAGAGCTTGTTGTCCTCGGCTACCAGTACCGGCCAAGTTTTAGTCTATTGTTCGTTCTACTTGCGATGTGGCCGTGGGTCGGTTCTGGTAGAACCCTAAAGTCTGCACGACGTACGCACCTGAAAGAACGTTGGAGGAAGTTGATGTCGTCAAGTTTCTGCTGGTCAGTAAGTTGTCTTCTCCTCGCTATCTTCCCATGTTTGCCGAGTAATTATGACCAGAGCACGCCTTTCGTAGGAATCGGCGCATTGTTGGTATTAATCTTTGCGTTCGTCACGATTCGAAGAGTAGCGCCAGCACAAGGGGGAAGTTTCCGATGGAAAACGATACTTGGTTCTGGAGCAACACCGGTGCTGTTTGCAGTTCTCACTTTTCACTGGACCGACAACTATTTGCAAAACAACGACACCCCTCCATTCACCCTTGTGGTAACAAACTGGGTCGTTGTCATCTTGCCCCCGGCCTGGTTTCTAATCCACGGGAAATGCCAGAGTAAAGCGAGTGGATTGTGTTCGCCCAACCTAGAAAAAGCTGGTGATCTCGAGCGGCAGCAGCCAGGTGAAGATTCCCCAAGCTTGTTGGTTATGAGGCTTGTGAAGGTGCAGTTAGCTCTCGCACCAGCTCTCACGTTGCTTAGTTCATCGTACGAGCTTATGTTTTACGTGGCGCTATGCAGTGCTCTCGTCAGCTGGCTGTTACTGGAAGTAAAGCGAACTTTTGCTGCAGGAATCTCTACAAGTCGCGAGGTTCAACGAGCTTTGCTGTTGTTGTTGTTCGCCCAGATTTCGTTCTTTGGCACAAGCAGTGTGGCGGGTATGACCAGTTTTCAACTGCCTTCGACTCGGCGGTTTTTAACAGAACCTGATCCTTCGGTAGCGCAGGCTCTTGTGGTCCTGAAGCTTTTGATTCCGTTCGTGGTTGTTGGCTGTGCTTTTCGGCTCATCCTCCTCTTGCCCTCGGGAGCAGTATCATCAAGAGAAAAGGAGTTGCGGGGGAGTTCTTGCTGGGTCTCGCGCTATTATCTGCTAGCAATCGCTTTTGTCGAGTTGCTGGCTGTGCACTACCTCTTTCTTGTGAACAATGAAGGCAGCTGGAAGCAGATGGGGAACTCCATCGCGGAATTCTGCATCATCAATGGCCAGGTAGTCCTATTATCGACCATCGTGCTGCTTGGTTGGGTTTTCGTGAGCGACTTGGAGCCAAATGACAAAGGATACGAATTAGTGGAAGCAGAGGAAGATGATGAGAAGGTTCAATAGAGTAGAACAAGTTAAAAAAGTAATGCCAAGAAGATGAAATGGAGTTTCTCCTCAAATGACTTTGCTCGCGAAGAACATTATTTGCATGTAACAAGCTGTGCCCACGAGAGCTCCGAGGCACGGAGAGAAGCCACAAGCTCTACGTTTTCAAGTGCCAGCGAATATTCGCGGGCGACGCGAGCTTTAGCGTTTGCATGGACCACCTTGCAGTCCAAGCCACTTCCACGCAGTTGATACAGGTGAACTCGTGCTCGGCCCAGCTTCAGCACGAGCAAATTCCATGGGTCGCTCAAAAACACCAAGTTCATGAGCATGCGCTGTGTGGCCGATGCTGAGCTTGTAGCTATCCTATCACCTCCAGCAAGGTTCTCCTCTTCGTCGTCGTCATTGCTTGAGCCCTGCTTTTGGTCAGCGTTCCGATGGCTCCGTTGGCTTACCCACGGTGTAGTGTCAGTCAACATAACTAGAAGGGGCCCCAATAAATCGTCATCCCAACTCACTGAAAGGCAGCTTGGCTCCCAAAGAGCACCGGCGCCACTTGGGACGGCCGAGCGAGCGAAGAAGAGCGGATCAGGGACCGCATCACCTTTTGCCCGAGTTTTCCCCTGGTTAAAACTTGTAGGTTTGACCCATCGACGCCGGTGCCAGCGTACGAGCGCACGCACAACTAAGATAACCACCACGTAGATCACAGCTGCAAGGGCGACGGCGAGCATATCACTGTAAACGCCTTCGAGGTTCATCTTCCAGGCATCCAGCGTCTCTGAGCGCAGCAACATGAAGGTCGGGACGGGCTCCACTTCATTCGCCTCCAGAATTCTAGCGTCACGATCGTCGACTGCTATTCCTCCATGCGCCACAAAAGCCACAGCACCTAGTGCCAGAGCTGGAAGTAAGTGACCACGCACCCCTGAGACGCCATGGGAAGGAGTCCAGGCCCCCGCTGAGGTTTGCAGTAACGCGCGAAACCTTGCAAGCAGAGCCATGAGCCAAACGCAGCGCATATGCACGGCTAGCCAGCGAGTCAAGGTCGATAAACTTTCCGTCGTGCTCTCTCCTCCGTCATCTTCCAGCTCGTAGAATATCAAACCGTCGATGATATGTGCACTAGCGTAGCAGAGCACGGGTAACCAACTGCCGTACACTACGACCTGACTCGGAACCGCAAAGAAGACACGCAACGTCCGCTTCAACCTTGAAGTGTCCGAGCTCGTCGCGAAACTCATCGTCTTGTTCACTACAGCGTAGCAAGCGAGGAGCAGACAGAGTAAGCGTACGATGACATACAGCTGACCAACGAATCGTAACGTGGAGGCCAGAGAGCTCCATTCGAGAGCATCCGTGTAAAGAACTTTGCCCTCAACGCGCTCGTCAAACACCACTGAGGTCTTACAAACACCATCGTCGGTGCAGTATCGGATCCGGTAGAGCGCCACCACATTGTAGATCTTGTGAGCCAGCAGCACTGCGCCACCCAGTCTTGTCAACGGATCCGACTCGGCTTCAACTAGAGTCACGTCGAGCTTTTGGTTCTTACCGAGACTAGCTTGCAATGCCGCAGCACGTGACGACACGACCTCCCAGTATGGTTCGCCCTGTGTGCCATCAACCGCCACTGCAGCAGCCCAGGGCTTCTCGCATAATAGAGGACGATCCAAGTCGTCCACGCACAGATCGACTCCAGGATTTTGCGGATCTAGGTCGGTGAACGTCGTAGCCCAAACGCTGAGCCAGTACTTGTGGTCCAATAAATTCCGCGACAGAAAGCTGGTGCTGCTACTCGCAGCGGTGGATCCGGAAGCTGCACTGCTGGTGCCCGTCCAGCGAGCCTTGGAGCGTGCTGCGAAGCACACGCGTTGAGGGAACGCGCTCAACTCCCCTCGCGCCATGATCGCAATGCCCTCCTCCGTTTGGGCGACGTTCTTGTAGCTCGTAGTGCTCGGCGCATTGGCCGCCAACGCTTCGACGAGGGTATCGAGCATGCTGAACACAGTCGTGCTAGGCAGAGTATCACCGCAGTTGCTGCTGTACGAGGAGTCCGCGGAGTGGACACTGAGAAGGCATTGCGGCCAGGAGGAGTCGAGCTTCGAGGATCCGTCCAGCAGGTCACGAACTGTGCGAAGACCATAGGAGCTTGGTGCAAACTTGTACAGAGCCGTCGGTAGATCAGAAGAGCTGGCAGAGACCCCGTCGACTGTGGTCGTGCCGTTCCGATAGACCGCGCGACTCGGCAGTGCAGTGGGTCCGTACACTGTGAAGACGTTCGGCTCGATCTGCACGAACGGAAGTGTTTTGACGTTGAATCCTCCGCGAGGCACGTCGGACACGAGTAGCGCGTAGGCGAAGAGCGCTAGCATGACCCGGATCACAGTGGACCGATGCAGCCGCTCGACGAAGTTTGCAGTCTCGCGCGCACCCTCCGGATGCATCGCAACCAGCAGCAAGGACGAGCGCTTGCGCTGCCAAGCGTTGTCAGTGGAATTGATGGAGGACGCCGTCCTCGCCGGTTGCGGGACAGGGCTTTTGCCGTTGAAGCTGGACGCCATGTCGTGGTCCTGCGGAGCCGGTCGCTTGTTTGGTGCGTGCTTCGACTCGGGACCAGCCATGGCTAGGCCCAGCGAAGCGAAATGCCGATAGCGGACGACTGTTCCGGTTAGCGGTTTCGATCCGTGGCAAGCGCTGACCTTGCATGAGATACTGTGGCCGTATCAATATGACCATTGCAGTAGCCCTCCCTCCCAGGGCATCCCTGGCAGTGCTCGGCACAACGTGAGCGAGTATCATTGACTGTGATTCATATGGTACTTGAATAGCTACATGTACAGTATGTAGATGGCTACACTGGCCGGTGCTGCCACCATCGATTTTTTCCTACCGGCCACGCCAGCATGGCCTCAGTGAGAGCCCCTCAGCTCACCGCCAACCAAAGGCACGCCTACCCATTCATAGAGCCCCCCCCCCCGGGGAAGCGGACTCCGATCGCTAAAATCCACCAAGCGTGTGACTTGTTGCACGCCTTGCCATCTGTGGGTTTGAGTCTGGGTGTATGGGTTCAGGCGCTTTTTCTGCCAATCATGTCCCGTAATCCACCAAACTCAGGAAGCAACCTGAACAGCCATTCCCAGACTCGCCGACACCTCGACGCCGCCCACCATGAGCATCGACTGGTCGCTCGACTGCTGCAACGACGAGCAATTCCGCTCCATCTTCCTCATCATCTGCTACGCCGTCGTCATCTTCAAGCTGTGCGTGGGGCCACCTCGTCGATGGTATAATAGCCTCCATCTGCTGACCTCGTTCTCCTGTAGATGGCGCGTGTCGATTCTCCACCCGTTCAAGATTCTGTACGTGCTTCTTCTTAATTGCTGCTGAGAAATGAGGAGTTCTGTTCACTAACGGGGGGGGGGCGCTGTAATTGCTACAGGACGGTGTTCCTGCACGAACTGGGCCATGCTACAGCTGCGTGGCTCACCTGCGGCAGCGTACGACTCATCCACCAAGCCTTGTTGCTGCTGAGTAAGAGAGAAACTTACTTAAGTAATGTGGCTACATGTTGCAATGGTTGCAGGTTAAAGGGATGGAGGTGCACCCGGACGAAGGCGGCGTGACCAAGACCGTCGGGGGGTTGCAGTGGGTCATCCTTCCCGCTGGTTACTTGGGCTCGGCGGTCTGGGGCATGGCGCTGACCATCGCGAGTGCTGACAAATTGGCGTCGGAGATTGCGGCGGGCGTCCTCATCTTCTTCCTCCTCATCTTCATCTTCTACGCGCACAACGGGTACCTGCGGATCCTCAACTTCTGCTTCATCCTGCTGCTGGCGGGCTTGCTGGCGCTGAACATTTGGACGACCTTCGACGCGCTGCAGTACGTGACGCTCTTCCTCGGCGTCATGAGCTGCCTCTTCTCCGTGTACGACATCTGGGACGATCTCATTTCTCGCCGTGTGAACGAGAGCGACGCGTCGGTCTTTGCCAAGATGACGCACACTTCGAGCCGCTGCTGGGGAGTTATCTGGGGCCTCATTGCGCTCATCTCGCTCGTTGCAGCGGTGTATTTCAACCTGCTTGTAGCCCAGGACACCGGCGACTCGATCACGAACATCTCCGACGCCTCCACCGGTACGAAGGTCGCCCTAGCTATCGCTGTGGTTATCGTGGCTCTTTCCGTGCTGCATACCGGATTCACGCGGAGGTGTATGCTGCGGAAACGCGAGGGGTTCAGAGACTACTTCGCTGCGTAAGGCTAGGTATAGTGATGATCTACTGAATCTTCTACTTCTCGGTGCCTTCATCATCGAGTGCCGAGGGACTTCATAGGACAAGTTAGAGGCGCTGTAGATCATGGAGCAAATGATATTCTGCATCGTTACCACTCTGTGCTCCTCGCTAACGATATCGATCTATACACTCACTACCTGCGCTCAAAGCGCACGCACCTTATACTACTCTTTTTTCTCTAATGCGCAACGACATTCATTGCAATAGGACTTACGACTTCTCTCTTGTGGGTTGCGGCTGGGTCCTGGCAACCATCTACGGAAGAATACCGTTCGTCATGCGCTGGAAGTTGTCGTATTGGCGGGTGCTGTAGTTGTTGTTGCTCTTGCGGATAAGCGACAGCACGTGCGCCACAGTTTCTTGCTTGGACAACGTTAGCTTGAAGCGTGCGCGCAGGCGCAATAAAATATAGTCAGCGTCAATGCCCAGGAAGCAAGGGTACGGTGACTGGCGCGACATAACGTCGACGAGATCGCAGATTTCGTCGCAGTGCTGCTGGCATGCGAGGAAACCTCGCGTGCAGAGCGTAACATACTCCTTGAACCCCTCAGAGTCCTGACCGCCCATCGTCTCCACCATCTCGGCCGTCAGCTTGAATGGAGCCGTCTCGATGCTCAGCATTCCACCCGGAGCAATGCCGAGCAAAAAGCCGTAGTCGATGTGGATAATGTGCCCCTCGTTATCCAACATGATGTTGCCGTTATGCCGATCCTTGATCTGGAGGAAGTAGCACACAAGCGAGTATCCTGCCATAGACTGGATGAACTTCCGCCGCGCTTCCTTGAATCGGTGCGAGTCAGGTGGACCATACGACTTCTCAAAGTGATGAAGCAGCGAGACATAACCTTCGCGCTTCTTCAAACCGTCCAGCGAAATGGCGTTGATCAGGGTCTCGATAAGACCCGTAGAGGAGCTCGTAGCGATGATACGGTATCTCTTTACCCACATCGGCAGATTGGCGCCCTTGAAAATCTCAACAAATTTCTGAATCAGCTGCAGTGTGAACACTTCCTGGCGAAGATCGTCATTGCTCTTGCCAATCATTGACACAATATCCCACCCGGGCAGGTGCCCGAACGGTGATGCCGCTTTCAATCGATCCCGTTTAGAGCTCCATGATTCACCAAAAGCCGCCTCGAAGTCCCTACGGCGCGCTTTCTCCCGCTCCATCGCCTCTGCAGTCAAGTTGCCTGTTGCCAAGTCCATCTCCAAGTGAGCTGAAGGTGTACCATCGGTCGTTACAGCACTATCAAGTGCACTATCACTTAGCACTGGCGGGGCCGTTGAGGGCGTGGAAACAATATCGGGGACGTCAATTGGCGTCTCAGGAACGGGAGCTCGCCGAGGAGCGGCGACTGGAGTTGGCTCCGGAGCAGCAGGGACTATAGGAGGTTCGGCGTGGATTTCCTCCGCGTCTTCGGCATCACCAGAAAATGCCTCACTAGCTTGGTGCCCAATTAGCTCGCCGATTTCATCATCATCGACGTAACTTACATCAGACGATTCGAGTGCACCGTTGCCGTTTAAGTTTCGCCTTGAGGGAGATCGAGGTGACTCAGGGAGCGATGCGTCTTGCTGTTGATCCTCATTGAACGGGTTGCCGCGAATCACTTCAAAGATAAGCAGAATAGGGACGCGCGCTTTCGTCGAGAATGCCGTGCCTTCCTTCGTGGGTATCCGCACAATACGTTCAAAAGGATCCGTAGCTTTTACCAGCGGCACGTATGCCATGGGCGGAAGGTGTAGTTTCTCCAGGTACGACGGTAACTGCGCCTTTCGGTCCTGAATAGACGGCACAAAGCGAAGTGCCTCAGCAATATCCGTGATCTGCTCGACGAAATCACATTCATCAGCAAAGTGCTTCGCCAGGAGGGACTTGTCCGTCTGGCTCATGCGCCGCATAGATTCACTAAAGATGCTGGTTGGCTGATTGTCAGTATCCTCCTCCACGAGAATTGATAACCGTTCGTCTTGTTCGTAGTCGTCACCAGTCGGATGCGAAATCAACATCGAATCGAGGTCTTCCTTCGGAGTGAGAAGGTGCTGCTGGAAGCGCGAGAAATCACGGAATCGGCTGTCTACATCGGCATCCAACGAACCGCTGCGATCCGTCCCATTCCTCGCCATAGGAGGCGACAGCGGCGAGTATGAATCCAAGCGCGTAGGTGAACCACTGGCGGCAGCGCTGCTGTGGGCTTGGCGGCGGTGGTTCGCAATCTCCTCCGTCAGCTTGACAATAACCTGCAACTGGTCGTCTGTCGGCATCGGCAAGTTACTTTTGTGCACCTCCGACGTTTCTTGCTGAGGGTCTCGACTGAGCACCGTAGCACGGTCTACGCCTGCGACCTCACGCTCAATCTCCACCATCAACCGCACCACACGTGCATACTTGTCTTGCATTTCCTTCGGCTTCCTCGGATCAAACGAATCTTCCAGTGCACCTTGAAGCTGCCATCGAAGCAGGAGCGCAAGGTGAATGGAGCGCGAGCACACCGACAGGATGAGCTCGTCAAGCCAAAAGATCTTTTCAAAGTCAAAATTCGGAATCGAGAGGTAAGCGTGGACGATCTGGGGCCAGTAGAACTCCACCTGGTTGATACGCGTGTACGAAAAATGCAGCAGCTTCTCCACAATGGGCTTAAAGAGCAGGGGGTCACTGTCCAAGTGACGATGCAGCAAGATCACTGCGCGATAGACACTGAAGCTTCGCGCACGGAACTCGCGGTGTATACCCAGGATCTTTAGATCCAATGGAATTTCGGGATGATCCATGGTGTGATCATAAAATCGTCGATCTTTCAGCAGGATCTCCTCGCACTCCTCCGCTGTGATGACTTTGGCCTTCAGCAAGTCGATAGCGATCTTTGCTGACTCGGTCTGCAGCGGGCGCTTGGGCATGATGAGCTCAATCGGGGCTTCAGGGTTCAGCGGCTTGGGGTACAGACAGATGCCCGCCTTCAGTCTCTCCACCATAGCGCGCAAGTAGTTGATGTAATTCTGCGCTTCATAACAACGGTCACACACGCGCTTGGCGTAAAAGAGCGATCTCTGCGGCAGCGGCACCTTGTGTGTCGTAAACTTATCACAAAACAATCCATCACAGCTGTTGCACTTGTACAGCAGTGCCGCAGCAGTCGGTGCCGGTTGTCCCGCAGCAGCAGCTTCAGCGGTCAACCTCGTGCAATCCGGGCACTTGCACGTCACATCCGTCTCCGTCGACGGCACTGCCACCGTGCTCACGGGGGAGACCGACACATCCAGCGTCGCGTGTTGGAATAGGGCTGCAGCCAGTCGGGGAACAGTCGTCTCCACTGCGGTTTGGATCGCTCGGATCCACTTCTCCTTGTCCATGGCCGTGTCGGCGTACGCGTAGAATACCTTGTTCTGGGTCGTGGCGAAGAGGAAACCGTGCTGGTAGATGTGCATGTTGCCTTTGCCATCCCACTCCTGCACTCCCAGGACGTCCACCTCGCCCTTGAGCCGAAGCATATGATACGCATCTTCCTGCGTGCTACATATATCCACACATACAAGAGCAATAGGTTAGAGACACTCTAACCAGTGCAATGACTACGCAATCTGGTGGATTCTAACCTGTAGTAGTGGAAGGAGGTGCCCACGAGGAAGCAGTAGCGCCGCAGCATGGGCGGGGGTGACGACGGACTCGTGCGGAAGGTGAGGTACCCCTCGCAGCTGGCGCGCGGGGCCTTCATGGCGCTCCACGAGATCAGACGCGGTCGGCTACGACGGCGGCGTCTCGTTGTGGCGCTGGGCGTCGACCGGCGCTCGGAACTGGGCGCGTTATGCCGATCTGCGCGGTGATAGGCGCGGACTTGGACGCTGCGGGCGGTAGCAGATTACTCGCCTCCGAGGGGGCCAGCGCACGCGACCAGTAGCTCCTTAGATAGAGGAGACAGCGGGGAGCACGACGCGACTGGAGTGGCCCGGCGAGCAGCACTAGAAGCCGAGATACAACGACAGAGAGCGGCGGGCCCGGAACGCGAGCCTTCTCTCTTCAAGTGGGCGTGCCGTGTTGTGTGGAGGCTCTAGGGAGGGGCTCAAGAACCCGCGGGACGGAGTAACGATCCCGTGGGATTTTGGACCCGCGGGTTCAGGTTCAACTGTACCATTGACAGGGTACACTCGGTTTTGCTGGTTGCGAGCCCACCAGCAGTTAGGTGGAGCATCAACGTGCCCATTGCCAGACAGACCATGGCTCGCGGGAAGAAGACGGCTGTGCCGCTGAAGGCGTCCACGCCCAGTGCCAATGGCGGCGCTAAAGGCAACAAAAAGACGGCGGGAGTCGCTCAGAAGAAGAAGCAGAACAAGCAGCAGGTGCAGGCGCCTGCGAAGGCTGCCAAGAAGCCCGTGAAGGTTGTCAAGCAGCCGGTGAAGGAGGAGAGCGAGGAGGAGGAAGAAGAGGAAAGCGGAGAAGAAGAGGAGGAGGACGATGATAAAGAGAACAGTGAGACGGAGGACAGCGACAATGCCGATGACGAGGAGGACGACGAGTTCGAGGACCAGGGATCGTCGTCTGACGACGACAGCGGCGACGAGGAGGAAGAGGACGATGCCGAGCTCACGGAGCTGGAGAAGAAGACGCGACGCTTCACTGTGGACCGTGAGAAGGAGGTGCGGAAGATGCGTGAGGACGGCTCGCTTTCGATCGCGTCGCAGCTGCACGTGGACGACCTGTCGTCTGACGATGAGGTACGCTGCCAATGGAGGATGCATTGTATGGTGCTGTGTAGTTGGCTAATTAGTTTGAGGGTCGTTGTTGCAATTGCAGGAAAACATCAACACCATCGGCAACGTGCCGCTCCGCTGGTATGAGGACTACGACCACATCGGTTACAATGTGGACGGCAAGAAGATCATGAAGTCCAACAATGGCGACGGCATTGACAATGCTATTGCGGCGAAGGATGACCCGAACTATGAGTGAGTTTGCTTTATGGTGTGGATTCGTTGAAGATGGTCTTGAAACTGACCAGTTACTTATTGTCTTCAACTTGCAGCCGCACCGTGTACGATGCTTACAATGACCGCAAGATCGTGGTCTCGGAGCGCGATATGGAGATCATTCGTCGTATGCAGGCGGGTGCTTTTGCACACCCGGAGTTTGAGGCGTACCCGGACTACGTGGACATTTACTCGTCGAACAAGATTATCCACTCGATGGGCAACGACATTGAGCCCAAGAGCCGATTCTTGCCGTCGAAGTGGGAGCGCATGAAGGTGATGACGATCATGAAGGGCATCAAGGAAGGTCGCATCAAACTCGATCAGGAGCCGGAGAAGAAGCCTGAGGTCTACCAAATGTGGTTCGATGACGACCAAGCCCAGACTCGTAAGGGACCTGCGCACGTGCAAGCACCGAAGATGCCTCTTCCCGGACACATTGAGTCGTACAACCCTCCCGATGAGTACCTGTTTACCAAGGAGGAGCGTCGTGCGTGGGAAGAAGCCGAGCCGGAGGACCGCGAGACGAACTTCATCCCGAAGAAGTTCAAGTCGCTGCGCGAGGTTTGTGGCTACAGTGGCTTCGTCCGTGAACGCTTTGAGCGCTGCCTGGATCTCTACTTGGCTCCTCGCGTGAACAAGCGGAAACTTAACATTGACCCGGAGTCGCTTGTGCCGGAGCTGCCGAAGCCTCAGGACCTTCGTCCGTTCCCGAACACGCTGGCACTTGTCTTCAATGGCCACACCGGTCGCATTCGCTCGCTGGCTGTGGATCCGTATGGCCAGTACGTGGCCTCGGGCTCGGATGACTTCACCGTGCGCATTTGGGAACTGGAGACTGCGCGCTGCCTGCAGGTTTACAACGTTGGAGCTGTGGTGCACAAGCTGTCGTGGAACCCGAACAAGGACCACCAGTTGCTGGCCGTTGCAGCCGCTAAGAAGGTCTTTATCATCGCTACCGGAACGGGTAGCGCAGACCAGACGGAGCTTACGAACGCACTCGTGGGCGACGCCGACGATAGCATTAAGACGTCTTCCGATGATGACGCTGATGCTGACGTCCAGGTTGTGGACGAGGACGAGGCCACCGTGGAGGCCGATGCGCTCAAGAAAAAGGTGCCTGTGACGTGGCGATTCTACAGCGGCACGAAGGACAAGCACAAGTCGAAGAAGGCTACGGAGCGGCCGTGGCTCGAGCGTCGTGTGGGCACTGGCATCCGTGTTGTGCTGCACCACACGAGCGACGTGAAGGACGTCGCGTGGCACTACAAGGGCGACTACCTCTCGACGGTTGCCCCTGGTGCCGGCTCGGGCGCGGTGCTGATCCACCAGATCTCGAAGCGCAAGACTCAGAACCCGTTCCAGAAGAGCGTGGGCCAGGTGCAGTGTGTGCTGTTCCACCCGTCCAAGCCCTTCTTCTTCCACGCCACGCAGCGTCACGTGCGCGTGTACAACCTCGTGAAGCAGTCGATTGTGAAGAAGCTCTCCTCCGGTGTCAAGTGGATCTCGAGTATGGCGGTGCACCCGAATGGCGACCACCTGCTCGTGGGTAGTTACGACCGGCGGTTGTGCTGGTTCGACCTAGACCTGTCCTCGAGGCCGTTCAAGACGCTCAAGTACCACGAGAAGGCTGTGCGTGACGTGTCGTACCACGCCAAGTACCCGCTCATGGCTTCCGCCTCGGACGACGGCACCATTCACATCTTCCACGCCATGGTCTACTCGTACGTATTGCACGCCCCTGCTCAAATGGCTTCAATCAGACGAGGCAGGTGGGATTGGTTGACTAACAATGTGATGAACGTTTGCACAGGGACCTGATGAAGAATCCGCTGATCGTGCCGCTGAAGATCCTGCGCGGCCACGAGGTCTCTGGCGGCCTTGGTGTCATGGCCCTGGCCTTCCACCCTGTCCTGGTACGTGTGCACTCGTGAAGGTTACTGCCGTTTCAGTCTGTTGCCATATTCTAACTCGAATTTGCTTTGGTCTTGGTGTTGCTTAATGCAGCCGTGGGTCGTGACAGGCGGTGCCGACGGCTCCATTCGCCTCTTCCAGAACATTCACTAACTCGCCTGTTGCCGGACCGTTTTGAGGCAACCACCCGCCGAGGTAACGATGTGATTTTCAATAATAGACAACGTGCATGTGCCTCCATTGCAGCCGATAAGTTTGTAGCGGTAGTTTCTGGCGCCGTGAACCGCTTACGATGTACTGTGGACAGGCCGAATGTGGCGGCGAACAGCGAAGTGCTCACCCCGCGTGTTGATGGCAAGCCTGCTCGCCTTTCCGTGACCAACAACGGAAAGCTAGTGCACCCACTTGAACCGCGACTTGACAATGACGTTGGCGCTTCATCCAGAGCCTACCTGGCGGGGTCCTGGGCAATCATTTGGAAGCAAAATACCGGCAATTGCAGCAACACTTTGCGTCGGTGACATTCGAAGTCCTTAATTTATTTAGCAATGAAAGGAAGAGGAAGGTTAGGCTACAGCTAGACTACTCGGGAAGCTATCGCAACGCGGTCCAAACGCGGGCGGATCCGGTCTCCCTCCCCCGGCACGCAACAGATTACACCACGAGGCTCTACACTCGCCTGGAAAGAGAGACCACAATACTTGATCATCGTCCGCTCGCTTGTCTCCATCCCAGCGAGTGCGCGCGCGGCTAAACACCCATGGAGCCACGCGTCCAGTCGAATTAGTTCTTCTTGCCCATGCCGGGGATGCGGAACCGTGAACGCTTGGGCGCTGCTGCAGGCATGGGGGGAGGCATCTGGCCGTATCGAACTGGGTACTGGTACTGGCCGCCCAGTGTCGTGGGCGGGTACTGCTGCTGGCCGAAGCCTTGCTGCTGCTGGGGTTGGCCATACTGCTGCTGGGGTTGGCCATACTGCTGCTGGGGCTGGCCGTACTGCTGCTGGGGCTGGCCGTACTGTTGCTGAGGCTGGCCGTACTGCTGCGGTTGACCATACTGCTGCTGCTGCTGGGGCTGGTTGTTGCCGTAGCCATAGGCACCCGGCTGCTGCTGCTGCTGGCCGTAGGCCGAGTGCTGCGGCGGGTACATGCCCGTGGCCATAACCGGCGGGTAGCCAGCGTTGTTGCCGTTGTTCACGGGGTTGGGGCGGTTCTCCTCGTCCGAGTTGCGCTGGTTGTTGCTGTGACCGTTGCGCTTGGCGTTCATGTCGTAGAGCGAGCTCTCCGTGGGCTCTCCGTCGCCGTCGAGCAGGCTGGCGCCGTCCACCTTGCCCTTGCGGTCCAGCACCGTGTCGCCCGAGAGCATCACGCGGTCCGACTTCTTCTTGCGGAGGAACCCCACCATGGGACGAGCTAGAGGCTGGCTGGGTGAGAGAGTGTGGGTGTCTGTGTGTAGCAAGACGGGGAGTTCTTGCTGGCCGCGGGGACGATTCAACTATGGCAGCGCGCGCTGTGCGTTTGGCTGCGCCGCGACACCGGCCGGAAACTGGTTCCCAGCTCCCACTCGATCCTCCCCTGCCGCTCCTCTTCTATGCTGGGGCGATTTGTCGCAGCGTCTCTGGCACCGCAACTTGATCTCAGTATGCCGCGCATCTCGCGAAAAGGCGCCAGCTCAGAGGTCGAAAACGCCGCCCCAATAACGAGTCAAATCCACGTGGACGCCTACGAGCGAGCAGCTCCAGACAGATGGAGACTGACGGAGCTCGACTATGGGCGGCGGCGTCGTGCGTTCGCGCCGTGGATGCCGGAAAGTGGCGGCAGCGGCGGCGGCGACAGTGTTGGAGATGCTGTGTCGACAGCATGCAGTGCTCGCATTGCGAGTCGCAACGAAGACGTCAACCGATCGATTAAACGGACCAGCGCTTCAATTGGCGAAAGCAAGCAGCGTTTTCTCTGCTTTTTTTGTTTGGACTCTTGTCGCGAGGCACTGCTGCAGCTTTCCGCGAAAGCAGAGACCAGCTGCAGCAGCAGCAACGCTGGAAAGCACGGCAGTTTAACTGCAAAGTGTAGCTCACGAGGCGAGGACTTCACCTAAGCCGCGGCTAGCCAAGTGGAGCCACTTACGGACACGACGGTGCGACAAGATACGCCTGCTGCCACCATTACAGCCCTGCGCTGCGCTCGGACCTCCCGGTGGAGCAGCAGTACTGCTCGCTGCCGCTCACGGCTCCAAGCCGAGCAGCTTGCCCGTCGCCCGTCCGTTTCGTCGCCCCGTTGGCGCTGCAAGTTGCAGTGTCACCACAGTGGTATCAGGCGTATCCAAACGACGCTGAGACATGCTTTACAGAGACCAAGTACAGCCGAACAAGAAGACCAAGCAGTGCTTGGCAAGCACCACAACGCCGGCCACGACGGGATCACGCGGCCTTCTCCTCGCTCGCTCATGCCATTAGGCTGTCTTCGTAGTGCTCCCCGACGCGGACAACACGCCCGAGGCTCCGCTGAGCCTGAGCAAGGAAGGCTGTTCGCTGCATCATGGTGCCGCCGCACATCGTGGTGAAACGGTGCGATCAGCCTGTGTGAACAAGTACTGTAGGCTGCCGCAGACTCTGCGAGTGCCCACCCGATCGCACTGCAGTCCACGTTGCTGGCCTATCGAGCTGTCTGTACGTCACCGCGATAGCAGGCAACTTCAAGACGTTGTGCAGCCCGCCTGCCTCATTCGTCCTTCGCTTCTTAGCTGCTGGTCGTCACTCTTAACCTCATCCCACCACACAGGCCTCCGACAACAACAGCGCTAGCAGCTCTAGCAGCAACACCGCGTCATGCCTGCATGCGCAATTTACGCATGCACTGATGCTGGGCCCTGCGCTGTAATCAGAGCGGTGCCTGTGCATGTCCAACGTGCGCACCAGCGTTGCATCTCGCAGCTGTGCGGCCACGGGCAGCGGAATTCTTCAATGCTGGCGGCTTGGCAACTCGTCCATGACGAGGTACCCCGCGGCTGAGGCGGACACCACTGCAACATGCAACTGCAGGCACACTAGTAGTGTAGTGTCACTACCGTACGGATCAACTTCACGTCGGCACAGCTTGCCGCTCTGCGATGCAATAGCTGCAGCTGAATCTGCCACCGGATCAATCCGCTTTTTGCATTGTGCCGACAGAAGCGACGTCCAACTTGAGGTGCCAAGGTCACCTTGAAAATGCGGTCAACCCAGACCACTCATTCCTTGGGCATTCACGCTGGACGACAACTTGCTGATAGCGCAATTGTATCTATTACAGCCCGCTGCTCGACTACGCCTTTGGGTTTCACCACGTGACGTGCCTATCGAGGAAGTCACGCGTCATCTCCTCGTTCTGCGCTATGTTCTCCATGTACGTGTCGTAGGACATGTGCCACGGGTCGGGCACGTCGCGCGCGAAGACGGCCAGCACGTTATCTCGCTCTTTGATCTGAGGGAACTTTTCCGTCACCTTGAAGACCATGTCGCTCGCCACGCACACGACGTAGTCGGCCTCCATGCACATTTTCTCAGTCAGGAGCTGCGAGCGGTGCTTGGACAGATCCAGCTGGTACTTCTTCATCACGTCCACGGCGTGCTTGGACGCCGGGGAGCCCTCGCGGTCGAACACGTCCGTCAGCCTGCAGCCACCACCAACCACGAGACCACAGCGGTAGCACTTCGTCCTCGGAGACATATTACGTGGACACAAGGTGCAAACTGCAATGCAGCTGGATGCACTTACGCCGCGGATCGAATGGCAATGCCCTTCGCCTCCTGCTGCTCGCGCGACATGTTGAGCTTGCGGTGGAAGTACTCGACGGCGAAGAGCTCCGACACGGGCGAGCGACAGGTGTTGCTGGTACACACGAACACGATGTTCATCTTGGCTTGAGGTGCGCTACGCTCCAGCACTGCAGCAGCTTGGCTTGGGCCCCTTGTGCGGTGCACGCACTATTCTGCTTTGAGAGGTTGCTGCGGTTTGCTCCAAAACGCGCCCCGCCGCCGCGATTGGTTGCAAAAACTGTATACGAACGGGGGTGGCGGCGCGCCGGGCTCGTTCCCACCCGGTGTTTGCGTTGATGCCGCGCGACTTCAAGCTCAGCGTGATGACCGCGGAGCAGATTGCAACAGCCCCCAGATACCTCTGGCGTCCACGACCTCGGCACTGCATATTCATGCGGCTAAGCTACGTCGCAGCCTTCCCACTTCCTAATTCGTGTGCGGATGCAGAGCCGTATTGCGTTTTAACGATAGGTCCCGAACGAGCCAGGTGGACGACGGTGCGTCGAGCTCACTTGGACCAAGAAGTATACCGCCTGCAAACTGTACGGCGTGTCCCGCTTGGACTGCAAGCATGGGTGTACGTCTCGCTCTTAGTTGCCTGCTTGCTTGCGTGTTTGCCAGCACTGTGCGCCATCTTTAGTCGGCATACACGAGCGAGAATGTTTTGTCGTGAGCAGTGCCGCCCTGTATGCGTGTTCGCCTCGATCGAGTAACTTATACTACAAGTAAAGCCGCTTAACGAAGTGCGGCTCACATCATCACCTGATTATCCGTACCAGTAGGCGACGATGACTACACAGTCTTTCCGACCAACAAGTTCGATAGCTTTCAGGGCCCTCCACCAGTTCTGGCCCAGAACTTCTGGATCATCCAGCTTTGCTTGCTTGCTCGCACTCAGTGATGCTCCGATGGTCGACCCGACCCGTCGATACCGAAATGATACCTCGTCGGTCGGAACGGAAATGCGCATGCACGTTTACGGAAATGCGCATGCACGTTTGCGCAGCTTTACCTAACGTAAAGCAACCGGATCTCCAGACAATTCTGTGGGAACTTTGTCAGGACTGGTTCAACACATTGAAGTTACTGTGCTAACTTCTTGCGGTCCATCTACTGGAACCGTTCAACGATCTTAGCGTACGGGAATGGCCCCAAAAACTCGCTGTGGTTCTGTCTCTTGGTGGACGCCTCGAGCAGCGAGTAGTCCAGCTCCGGATGCAGATCCTTGTTGGCAGCGTACGATTGCGGGTCCCACTGGATGTCAAAGCTGTTGACGAAGAAGCCCTGAAACTGGGCGATCCACTGTCGCAGCGCCACGTACGGGATGAAGTAGAATCCGCACCGGTCTGTGTCGTTCTCCTTCACCTCCTCTTCAACCGGTCCCAGCGTGAGTGCGATGTACACCTCCAACATGGGTGGGAGGCAGATCTCACGCGACAGGTGAAGCTCCGCCGAGTACTCCCACAGACACATGACGGTCATGCGGTCGCCCCAGTCGGTCGTGTTGCGGACAAAGTAGGTAAAGTCTCCGTCCGTGCGGCACAATTCCGGGTCCTTGCACTTGAGGTGCAGTGGCTGAATGTTGACGTCTGCAAACAGCTTTGTCTCCTCAGAGAGGCAGTCTTCGACTCCTTCATTATACTCGTGGGTCTCGTTTCCCTGCGAAATCCCCTCGTTTCCACATTGGTACCAGTTGAACGGACTATGATACGCAAGGTTGTAAATGCACAAGTTGAGTTAGTCCGAGGTGGCGACAGCAGCATCTTTCGATCGTGTACGTACTTGTAGCTGTTAGGACACACGGAGCGTTCTTCCCAGTCCGAAACCTCCTGCATCCAGTATGCGAGCGAGTGACTGCCCTGGGTGGGTCCATCGGCCCACGAGTTTTTGACGATAAGCCCGCCAGTGAAGCCTTCACGGGTCAAAAAGGCGTCGTTGTAGCCTACAAGAAGCTGAAACACAAGGGAGTACGAGCAGCAATTACATGTGAGCATCCCAACTTCACCTGCATGGTAAGCAGTAACCTACCATAGCGTGACCACCCTCGATTGACATGCCACGGTGGCTGAAGAACTCTCCTTCCATGTTTCGGTTCCGTCCTCCCTTCAAAGGAATGCAGCACGTTGTCGTGGCCATGTCTCCAGGGCACAACGTGCACGTCTCGGGCTGGCAGTGACGATCATTAGCGAACTCCCCAATGCACGGGTAGTAATGTGTGACCATCGCAATTGGAGTGGAGAGAGGCATCGCCTGATTCTTGCGGACGAGGTGCTCCCGCACCGACATGTCCTCGTACTTCGTCGCCATACTCTGTGAGAATAGCAGCGGCAACAAAAAGCCAACAAAGAAGTCAGCCTCACTTTCTGCCATCCCGAAAACAAGTTAGGAACTAGCGGTGTACTGATAGTTCAAACTTGAGGGGGTTGCCAGCGGCTTGCGCAGCCTCAAGGCCGGGGCAAAGTGTATCGTTGCCATCATCCGTGTAGTACTTGCACACCGACTGGGGGAATATGGACTCTTTGAGCCCATTTTGCAGGTAGTAGAGTTCAGGCACCTCCCCACCCTCAGTCGAGTTCATCCACATCTAGGTACAAGGGTGTATACATTCACGTTCGTGTCAATTTCCACTAGTTGCAGAAAGGCAGAAAGTTGTAGAATTTTATAAACCTCGTCTCCGGCGACACGGCAATCCTTTTGCTGCTGCGAGTCCGCATCACCAGTGCAAAGCTTGAGAACCTCTACACCGTAGGCCTGCAATTCATCACAGAACGCGTCATTAAAATGATACAAGTAGTTCTCAAGAGTTCATACTGTTCAGGTTCAACTCACCTGCTCGGAAAACGCGACGTATTCATCTGGTTGGAGCCATCCTTTGCGAACGCCGTGTGCGCGATATGACTGCTCCAAGAATCCTATCGTAGCAAAGTCCCAGCACGTGCCGCGGTACGCTTGGTCCTGGCGCGGAGTCACGTAGTCCACTGCGAACTTAGATGGCAGCAACGCCATCGGGAGCAGTCCATCCTTGGAGATGAAGTGCAGCGCCCCGGCACCCAATTCTTTATGGGCGTTCGTAGTATCCTGCTGGATATCCCTGGCAGTCTCTCTGACACAACATAGCATCCAAGAGACGGCGATCAACTAAAAGCTCTGGCCAAGGTGCTACAATCCTGCGAAACGGCACGTACACGCTGCTGCCTGCCCGCGTTTCCAGGCGCGAGATCGTGTTGTGCATTGAAATGCACAGCGAAAGCAACACGAAGAGGGCACCACCGTTCAACGCATACAGCAGCGTCCTCAAGGGAAGTCGAGGTACATGTAGCCCGCCACGCTTGTCAGGGATGGTGAACTGTCGCGAGCGAGTTGACAATTCATCGTTGTCGTCGTCAGCTGGATGGGGAGCAACGCATTCTCAACGACATCGTCAGTGCTTAATTGAATGGGCCATTCAGCCGCAGCTTCTTGGCTACAGTTGCGTACCTCTACCGGAGCCGTAGCGGAGTAGCGGGCTGCGGTCTCTAGCGGCAAGGGGCCTTGCCATTGCTCTGCGATGGAGGAGGCGCGATGATGAATCAGTGGATCCGATATCTGATCTGCAATCCTCCTTGGTTAAGTCCCCATGGCCTCTAGGTAGCGCTCTTACAAACATCAAGATTAAATCGACACTTAAGCGAAACCAATTATTTTTAAAGTATCCATTCATTTGGCTTAAGTTTATTGTGAACCTTGAAAACACAATCCGTTCGTGCAAAAAACTCAAAATGCCATCTCCTTTGGAGCCTGGCCGATATTAGTTAGCTATCGTGACTTGACTTCACAGCCACAAGACTTGTATCACATCTAATGATTGCAGCCCTCGCCTCCGGCGATGACTAGACACGCAGTGGAATCGAAAATGCTCATGATGTTGGTCATGACGGACCAAATGAGCGAGAAGGTCAGGTATGCCACCGTGACAACGCCCATGAGGTAGCTGGAGCCGCCGAGACGCTTCATGACCTGCGTCTGCTCCTTTTGACGAGGAAGCATGCACAGGAACACGAGCGAGAACAAGTTGGCCCCCCACATGATGAACACTGTGATGGTCACGTCGTGCCTCACGCCGTAGCTGTCGTTCTGGATCCGCTCGGTCGACAGGTCGTACTGCCCGTCAACATTGCGAGTAATTGCCGCTGCAAACGGCGTCGCGAGATTGTAGACCGTCGTCAGAAGACCATACATGGCGCCTTCGTGTCCTTCTGTCGAGAGCTCCACAATGATGAACGACCCAACTATGTAGATGATTCCTTGAGGAATTTGCTGCAGAATGGGGATCCCGAGCCAAAAGTACGGCGAGCGAACAACATCCCAGATCGTCAGCAGCTTGACAACGGCGTCCAGCGTTACGTTGCATATCATGGTCACCGCTGCTGTGCGCCGCCAGTCCCAGTCGCGGCCGTAGTTACCGGAGAACCAAACCGCGATGGCAAACATCCCTGTAGTGCAGAATCCGGCGATTTTCTCCTCCAGAGGCGACACGTTGGCCCAGTTGGTTTGGATGGGGTAGCTCGACACGTACGTAAACATGGCAAAAATGCCTGAGAAGAACTGGTAGGCGACGTACTGGTACACGGCTCGTGTCTGCACAATATCCCAGAGCTCGCACATGTAGTGCTTGAAGTTCTTGTGGTAGTCTGGACGCTGCTCCTCATAGATGAAAAACCACGTGACGGGGACCATCGGAATGAGCATGATACCAACGACCAACATCAGCATCGGGAACGACAGTGAGAAGTCGAAATCTCCACCATATTCATCGCCGTTGAAGCAGAAAGCCACCAGGATGAGAGCGATGATGTTGAACAAGTAGCGCGTCGTGTAAATCACTGTCTGGGTTCGTCCTCGAATCTCGAGCGGTTCGCGCTGCGCCAGCTCCACGACGATGGCGTCGGCACACACGTCAGCCATCAGATACCCGAAGACGCACGCCATCATTGGGACAATGTACTTGCTTCCCTGGTTCGCCGCGTCATAGTTAATGGTGGCGATGATCTCGGGTGTGTAGTCCTCGGGCTTCACGTTGCGGTACGCTGGGTCAGTGAAGTATGGCTGACCCTCGGGGGTAAGCACCATCTCCAACACCATCAGCAGAGTAAGAATCCAGCCCATGACCATGTAAGGTCGACGTCGGTAGCCGCGAATGGGGAAGCAGTCGGAAACGATGCCGTAGAAGACCTTGAAACTCCATGGCAGCTGCACCAGCACGGAGGCCGTGGTGGTCTCCGACCCAGGAATGTTGAGGTAGTTCTGGAGGAACGGGTAGATGACATTGGGCAGCAGTCCATCAATGAATCCAACCGCCGCGTACTGCGCGATCAAGCCAATGTACTGCCGTGAGAAGAGCTTCGGTGTGCCGCCGCTCCGTAGCGCGCCGCCTTCGATGTAATCGTCGTACACGTAGCGCAACTTCCCGTAGACCTGAGGATTTTCAATCGGGGACAAGCTGGATCGGTCTCCCAGCATCACTGCGGACTCGGGATTGTACAGCTCAACCTGCTCTGGTAGTGGCATCTCGATCTCTGTCAACCTTCCCGACGAGCTCATGCGCAGGAGGCCGCAAATTCGCAACTACTGGATGCTGCGTTACCCGGCCAGCAAGACCTCGGGTCGTCAGACAGGCAGATAGCATTGATAGTTGATACCGCAACTATGGACTCAGCGGGAAATACACATGGCACATTAAAGGGAAGACCTGAAGCAAACAATGCATAAGCCAGACCGACATTTCTTCGAGGATGTGCAAAATGTGGACACCTAGATGCTAAAGACCATATTGCTGTGCCATCATCCAAAGTTTCGCTTGAACAGGGGACAAAACAGCGGGCTCGGCACACACGCACGAAGTGCAATTCGGTAGGCGAGCAATGACCGATCTATCCGAAAAAGTGTGCACTGAAAGACAGTGCCAGCGCGCGAGCTGACTTGCACATGGTATTCCGGCATGGAAGTCGGCGGGACTGCCCGTGATTGAAATTGCACCGGCACGAGTACGGATCGCAATTTTTGTTATGGAGAGAGGAAAGGTAGTCTATTTAACGTTAGTTATTAGCTTCCTTGTATAATCTCAGTCGGTTTATTAGCGCCATCTCCTTTTGGTGGAGCCATGGTGCCGGAGGTGGAGTGGTTTCCGCTGGTCGGGGGGCTTCGGCGTGCATCGCGTTGAAGCAGTCAGTGCTGAGCGTTAGATATAGTCCTTGAATTCTTGAAGCTGGGCGCCCGCTTTCTTTCTTCGCCACTGCACGCAGTTGGCGAAGACACGTAGCCCACATACTTTCAACCTGCCGCTGTGTCGTCCATTGGGCTCCTTCGTGTACTACCTGGTTTCGAATCTGCCAGAGCAGCGTACATCCAATGCTACATAGTGCTCACCATATCCGTCTGAGAGACTCCTCGTGCTCCTGATCCCAATGTCCGTACATCGCTGTTAGTCGTCGCTGGATTCTTTCACTGACTGGCGGTGCCTGCCGGGCAGAGAGATAAATCTTGTAGTTGACCAGGTGACGTGGCGTCACCTCGCAGCCTAGCCAGTGTTGCAGCACCTTCGTCCAAAACGCTTGTGCTCTTGTGCATGACCACGCTATATGCGTGATAGAAAATGCCCCCCCTACGCAGTTGCTGTCAGGGGGCATCCGCGCGAATGTTGCATATGGGCATAATATAGGTTCAATTGTTGCGTTGCCATCCTGTACATGACCCAGACTTGATAGTCCGTAAGCATGTTTCGGTGCGCCCAAAGTTGTTTGGGGGTTTGGCTCTGGTGGCCGCGGACCCAGGTATCTGTGGCTTGCTTCGCGTCCCATCGCGATATAATTTTGCTTAGGTTAGTCGTTTCTTGCCGCTGAAACCACCGTCTCAGTTGTTGCTTCAGCTTGTGCATGATCCACTCAATTTTTTTTTTTTTATGGGCCCAACTGGTGGATTCGCTCTCTACTGGTTCAGGAGCTCTGTCAGTTTACAGCAAAACTGTGGATACCGCTGGTAGAGGGAGGTCAGCGAGTCGCCGTGACCAGCACCTGTCGTCACGAGTGAAAGTTTCCCGCGTCTTCAGCTTTACTTTGTCTACATGTGGACGGTGGCCGACTCATTTCGACGTGCTAGTTGCACACGTACACGGTACAGCCGAGCTGCCGCCGGTGCAGGTGGACAACCATGCGCCTGCTCAGCAAGCAGAGCATCGCTAACTCGTTGGCAACGACTCGTTGCATCAAGCGGACGAAGAGCGCGTTGTCGATTTCAGTGGAGGCTGGCAGCACTGCTGGCGGCAGACGGCGAGCTCGCAGCATGTGTTTGCACTGAACAACAGAGACACGGCAATGGCAAGCGCTTTGGACGGCGCGAACCGGCTTGGACCGAGTCTTCAAGGCTTCACGCCTTGGACGGCGCGACACGAGCGTTGGACCGCTACAACTTGAGCGATCGTGCACACGAATACGCACACGATTTGAAGTGCCCCCTTCGCCGCGTGGGGAGTTGTCCGGAGCCACCCACGAGGCTCAAGGTCTCCGCTAAAGTCAAGGAGTTCGCCTCCCAGGAACATCTCAACACTGCGAGAGCGGAACGCCTCTATGGCAGCTGGTGCCCGTCGTCAGCATCGCGCCGATTTGCACCTTCCTACGCGTTCAGAGAGTTACGTCCACAGAGAAGGACGCCTTTGCCCCATTTTGCCCAGGAGGCTACCCATGGGGATGTGAAACTAAGCCATGGCATGGGCTAAGGTGGCTGCTCGCTCGTCTGTTGTGCATCCCCTAATGCATTGGATGTGGGCCTATCCAAGCTTCGCTGGACAGCAGCGCTGGGTTACTGCTATGATCTCGACGTCTTACCGCATTGTCCAATTTGCTCCGTGAGAGAGGCAACCGCGCCGCTCGACTAGTCTAGCGTAGTGCCCACGTAGCATTCGTTATCTAGCTCCACCCTTGGGTACAGGTTCCGCGCGATGAAGGCAACCCGGACGGATACACTGACGAAGCAGCAGGCTCCGATCGAGCTCTATAACGAAGAGGACTCGGACTCGTGGATGATCACCGATTCACCGACAGATGAATCGCCGTTCCCCATTGTGATGGAGGATCAAAAGATGCGCTACGTGTACGACGACTACGTCGAAGGAGGCGCCCTGCGCAGTGGAGCCGCGCCGCAACTGTTCTCACGAAAGTACTTTGGACTCGTCGCGCAGTACGCGGCCGTCGGATTCATCGATGGACTGCTGCCCAACGTCATCTACCCGTTCCTGCAGAACTACCTCAACCTGCCCGGATCGCAGACTACCACGGCTTTCGTTCTCGTACAGATGCCATGGAGTTTCAAGGTCTTCTACGGCATCGTGTCCGACTGCTTCCCTATCTGGGGATACCGTCGTCGGCCCTACATTATCGGCGGGTGGATTGTCGCGCTGCTGATGCTCGTGATACTGTCGTTTACCCCTCAGGGTGAGCCCTACTTCACGAACCCGGCATACCGCGATGTCAAGCCCGAAGACTACACGCCCGAGATCATCGCCACGATCAACTACAATGCAGCCAACGATGGCAGCATTTACATCATCCCGATGATGGGGTGCGCGTTCGGCTATCTTCTGTCGGACGTGTGCGCTGATGGTTTGGTGGTGGAATTGGCGCAGCGTGAACCTTTCGAAGTGCGAGGCAAGACCCAGACGGTGATTTACACGACTCGGTGGGTGTTCACCATGATGGCTTACGTGATGCTGGGATTCTGCTTCAACGGCGAGGAATACGGCGGCGACTTCGACTTCTCGCTGACGTTCCCCATGCTCATGTTGATCGTAACTATCATCCTCGCACCGATTGTGCCCATTTCGTGGTTTTTCCTGTACGAGGAGAAGAACGCGTTCGGAGGCATGAACTTTAACCACTACATGCACACGCTGTGGGACGTCATCAAGACGCGTGCCGTGTACCAGTACATCGCCTACCAGTTCTTCGCCGGCATTTTCGCGGCATTTACCTACGTGTCCAAGAATCCAATCCAGCGGAACTGGGCTAACGTCTCGCCCATTGCCGAGAAGATTGGAGGGCTCCTGTCCACCAGTGTCTACGCTACATCGATTTGGTTCGCTGGCAACTACGGACGCAACTGGGACTGGCGCCGCACGGCAGCGGTGACCATGATTTCGTACGTCTCGCTCGACGCCTTCTGCAAGCTGCTGACGATCTGGGATATTGTGCGCTCGCCGTACTTCTGGCTCGGAATCCCCATTCTGGAGCAGATTCCGCTGGGCGTGATCTTCATCGTCAGTTCTTTCATCATCGTCGAGCTCGCCACCGAAGGACATGAAGGCGCCATGTACGGTCTGCTTACGACGGTCTACAACCTCTCCATCCCATTCGCCACCGCCATCACCCGCAACGTGAACAGTATGTTCAACCTGACCACGGAGCGCATCCAGAACGACAGCGATGGCGTGAGGTCCGACATGACCATGACCGTGCTTATCATGTGGACAGCCAACTTGTGCTCACTGGCATTCCTGGGCATGCTGCCCCGACAGAAGGAGCAGACGCGAGCTATGAAGCAACTGGGCGGCTCCAGCTACTTCATGGGCGTCGTCACGGTGGCGTATTTGTTATTCGCTCTCGCGTGGACACTAGCGACGAGCTTGTTGAGCATCTTCCCGGACACGTCGTGCCTCGCCATCGCAGGCGGCAACGGCTGCAACCACCCCAATAGCCCGTAAAAACCTCGTGAAGTAAGCCTATACTATAATGAAACACGACGCGACGTCGACTTCTTCTCCTCCTCCATTTGTCAGAATAGAAAACAAAGCAACGTTATCATCTCTCGTGGCAACAACAACAGCAATTCATTCATCAAGAGTCAGGACTTCTACATGTACTGTAGCTACAGACAGTTCACCACTCCCGACGAACGAACCACTGCACCGCATGACAGCGCGGCCCTAGCTATGCAGTGGCAGTCATCGCCCCTCACTGGAACAGCGACCAGTCCAGCACGGTGAAGGACTGCAGCGCCTGCTTAAATATGGCGGCGGCCACTTCCGAGTTGTTCTCGAACTGGAAGGCGTCGCGGCTGCTGCTGGCTGGGTTGATGCGCATGGGCGCCGACACCGACAGCACCACGTCCGTGGTCACGCCAGGCAGGCGGATGTTGCCCAGGTACACGCGCACCACGTTCTTGGCGTGGTCGCCCTCCTTGAACTTGGCCACGCGCTGGTCGCCCACGATGAGCTGCGTGGAGTGCGGCGCGTCGATGGCCGCGGGCGCGTTCTTGGCGTCCGCCGCCTCCTCGAGCAGCACCGAGACCTCGTCGGGCCCGCAGCCGTTGGACTGCGCGATCTCGTTGAAGAAGTAGCGTGCGCTGTGCGCGTCCTCGACGCTCTCCTCGTACTGCAGCAGCTCCACGATGACGCACTGGTCCGTGGCCGCGTTGGCGAACACCTCCTGGTTGTCGGGCACCTGGCGGAAGGTGCTCACGTCCGCGAAGCCCTCGGGGATCTCGCAGCTCAACGCGCCACCGAACAGCGGGCGCAGCATTCTCTCCGACAACGTGGTTGACCTCGTGCAGGGTAACTGGGGTACTGTCACTCTTGTCACTACTGGTGCTCGCGAATGTCAATCTATTTCTGTGCGCATATCCAAACAGGGGGATCGGTGCGCACATCTAGATGGTGTGTAAACTTAACAATTACATAGAATATTTAACTGGATACTTTCTTGATAAGTATACTGCCTGCTGACAGTGACCAGATGGCCGCGCTGCGAGTTGGATCGTGTGCGACCATTAGATCTGGAATCGACGACCACAAGCGCATCGAGCATGAAGATCGAGGAAGTGCAGTCCACGGCCAAGTCGCAGCGCATCGCGGTGCACACGCACGTGAAGGGTCTGGGCCTGGAGTCGGACGGCTCGGCGCTGCCCATTGGGTCGGGCCTCGTGGGCCAGGAGAAGGCGCGCGAGGCGGCGGGCATCGTCGTGGAGCTCATCAAGTCGAAGAAGATGGCGGGTCGCGCGCTGCTGCTCGCGGGTGCGCCTGGCACCGGTAAGACGGCGCTGGCGCTGGGCATTTCCCAAGAGTTGGGCCCCAAGGTGCCGTTCTGCCCCATGGTGGGGTCGGAGGTGTACTCGTCCGAGGTCAAGAAGACGGAGATCCTGATGGAGAACTTCCGCCGCGCCATCGGCCTCCGCATCAAGGAGAGCAAGGAGGTGTACGAGGGAGAGGTGACCGAGATGACCCCGGAGGAGACGGAGAACCCCTTGGGCGGCTACGGCAAGACCATCTCCCACGTCATCGTGGGGCTCAAGACCACCAAGGGCTCCAAGCAGCTCCGACTCGACCCCAGTATCTACGAGTCGCTGCAGAAGGAGAAGGTGTCGGTGGGCGACGTCATCTACATTGAAGCCAACAACGGCAGCGTCAAGCGCGTGGGCCGCTCCGACGCCTACGCCACCGAGTACGACCTGGAGGCGGAGGAGTACGTCCCCATCCCCAAGGGCGACGTGCACAAGAAGAAGGAGCTGATCCAGGACGTGACGCTGCACGACCTGGACATTGCCAACGCGCGGCCGCAAGGCGGACAGGACATCATGTCCATGATGGGGCAGATGATGAAGCCCAAGAAGACGGAGATCACGGAGAAACTCCGAACCGAGATCAACAAGGTCGTCAACAGATACATCGACCAAGGTGTCGCGGAGCTCGTGCCCGGCGTGCTGTTCGTCGACGAGGTATGTGCTGCAGTTGTGCTGGATGTGGGCGTGGAGTGAGGAGCGTGATACTAACTGACTGTTGCTTGGCGTGATCTCCGTAGGTTCACATGCTGGACATCGAGTGCTTCACGTACCTGAACCGCGCGCTCGAGTCGACGCTGGCGCCTATTGTCGTGTTCGCCACGAACCGCGGTGTGTGCCAGATCCGCGGCACTGACGTGTCGTCTCCTCACGGCGTGCCGCTTGACCTGCTGGACCGTATGCTGATCATCCGCACGATGCCCTACTCCGTGGAGGAAATGGTGCAGATCATTAAGATCCGCGCCGAGGCAGAAAGCATCAAGCTCATGGAGGACGCCACCGTGCGTCTGGGCGAGATCGGCTCACAGACGTCGCTGCGGTACAGCGTGCAGCTGCTGACTCCCTCCCGGATCCTCGCCGAGACGCAGGGCCGCTCGGAGGTGTCAGTGGACGACATCGAGGAGACCAACGACTTGTTCAACGATGCCAAGCGCTCGGCGCATGCACTCGCACAGACCGAAGGATACCTTATGTAACGACAGACAAAGATACCTTCTGTCCGCAATACATTGAAGGGTCACTTGCCCTTGACCCCTTGACCTGTTGGTGTGCTTCCCTCGTTTTGATAGATGGACGTTGTGCGCGAGTCGGAGATATTCGCGACATTGTCTCCGCGAGGTTACTCGCGCCATGAAGGAAGCTCTGACGTCCGAGGGGCTTCCCCGGGAAATGCTGGATCTGGTCTTGCTGGTTCGCTCCCGCCGGTGAATCCGCGAGAGGCTAATCCCATTCCCCGACTTCCAATGCAAGTGGCGTCACCGCGCAGTCTCCAGACGTCGACTTTGTCGCCGAAGACCCCGCACTCACTCATGATGTCAGTTCCCATGACGACAAACGAGTGTTCGCTGGTGTGGAAGTTCTTGTGCGACTGGGTGAAGACCCAGGTGCGTTGTGGCAGTGGCTCGTATGGGTTCTTTTGATGGCGCTGGCTAATTCGTTGCGCGTTATTTTTTTGTCGATTGTTAGCTTGCAATGGAAGTGCCTGCTTCAATTCCCGGCTTCGGAACGTTCTATCTGCGAGTTCAGCCTTTGGGCATTCGCATCACTTTATTCGGTGAGTTAGGAACTAAGCTGCTGCAATTGAATGAACGACTCACGTCTACTGGGGTGCCGTATGCGGTTTGCAGAGCCTGACAAGCAGTTCCTTAGCAAGTTTAGTATCCAGGTCGTCTCGGAAGTACCTGACCCAGCGCTGGCTGCGACTCTATCCTCCACTACGTCTAGATCCGATTTAGCAGTGCCCACTGGTGGACGGAACAGAGCTGCCAGTCTAGTCGGGCTAGGAGAAGTCTTTGCATTCAGCTTCGTGGAGATGGCGTCCTGTTGCGGAAGTTCCGTTGACGCAGCACGAGCTCAAGAGTGGTTGGCGGTAGTGATTCACAAGCTGGGGACCGCTATGAATCAATGCAGCAGAGTACGTGCGGCCACACGAACTGCTGGTTCCCACTTGCCCACTCACCGAATGTTTTTCTTTCGTGGACTAGGTGGAGCTGAACATTGGTGTCGGAGTCATTGTATGCACAAACCGCGTTATCCAGCGTCATCTGCTCCCGCGTGACTCGGTACGCACATGCACAGGACTACGATTCGATACATTTGTTATACGTCGTATTAATTGGGCTGTCTTCTAGCGCCCTTCTCCACGGTTTGAGTACGAAGTCCGCACAGGAGAGAGTGTTGTCAAGCGAAACTTGCGAGCTCAAGCCGGCCTAAAATCCGTTCCAACACCACAAGCAAAGTAAGTGCGTATATTGTACACCACGCACGCAGTCTTCTCGTTTAATGACCAGTTATATGTATGCAGATATTCTTTTCTGTCAGGATCGAACTTTTCTCCGTCGATCCAGCTAAATCCCGTTCTTGACCGTTCGAAGGAGACCCCAGACTTTTCGTTTGGACCCCCTCTCCGACCACCAGCATCATCTTTTGCGTCAATTGCGTTAGAAAACAAGTCGTCTCCTCGCTCGGCACAGCTCCAAAAGCGCTACCAGAGGTCACCAAGCCCATTAGCCAGCCGTATCAGCAAGCCTGCGCCACCACCGCAAGAATTGTCCGAAGAAAGAGGCATTGGAGACGTCACGGCAACGATGCACGATCAAACGGATGAGAACCGTGTTCCACAGCTCTTTGATCGACTGAGCCGTACACTTTGTGTCGAACCTGACCAAAATGTGTCCTGCTTACTCCCTTCGAATCGAATTGGATCCAATTTCACCGAGACTGCGGCATTTCTGATGACGGAGAAATCTGCGTCCCAGTTCGGTTACCCGGGTCAGCTGACGGGGGGATTGGTGTTCGTTGAGAGACCAGCCACCAGGCCGTTGCAGACAAAGCGAAGGAAAGAAACAGTCTCAGATCCGACATCAGAACAGCGCTACTTTGAGTATTTAACCGACGACAAGCTCATCGACCGCTGTTACCTCGCGCCGCTTCCAACCGATCTAGAGACACGAGTAGTGTCTTCCGCTGTGAAGTACGTCATCGGCCCGTCGAGTGAACATATCAAGAAAGTCATGGAAGCGGCTCACCAGGAGTTCGTCCACAATTATTGCGCGAGTGCCAAGAAGGCCATTCTCAACTATTTGCTCATGCGCACGACATCGTGTGAGCGTCTCGGTATTCCACAAGGAGTTCCTGTTCACGCTCTTCTCCCGTCAAAGTGGAAATGGGGGAGTAGTGATGGACCCAACGGCTGCATTGGTGACTTAAAAGCTCTGGTGCTGAAAAGAGGTCGGGGTGCAAGTACCGGCATTATTCACAAGCGTTTGAAGAACACATCTGGACCACAACCTAGAAGCGGTGGCCTTTCACGCTCAGAGGGAACGCGGGGGAGATCTATGCGCCGAAAGCGTGTGCACACAAAGCTGATGTCTTTGTTGGTTCTATCAAACCCGCCGGTTCGCGCGCTTCGGTATATGTGGCACGATTTACATAACTCAATCTCGCTCGTGGATCTGCCCAGTGCGCAGGGCCTCAGTGATGCCATTGAGCCGATGGATATCATCGAGTTCGAACGAGTCCAATTCGCCTATTCCGCCAAAATGAAAGCTTTCGTGATGGAAAATTGGTACACCAAAACCAAAATGATGTTCGAGAGTGCAATCCGAGCCGAGACGTTTTCAATTCACACGTCTGAAGCAGCAGTGAACTTCCGCTTGCGTCACCTGTTTGATACGGTAGCAGCCGTCATGTCACTTCAGATCCGGTCGCTTATCATGAAGTCCATCCAAGCTTACGTCGAGTTTTTCGAGCTGTTCGGAGGAATGAATGAAGAAACCCAAGACAGCAGTGACTCCAACCTACGAGTGCAGGGCCGACCAGCGTATTCCGGTTTGCTAACCACTCTGATTTTGCAGGATGGTCAAATTCAAGTAAGTTTTGTTGCCAGGGAGGTCTATCATAATGTAATTCTAACAAACGTGTGTGTATTTCTTATATAGTTTCGTGACCCTTTGGTGGATATACCAAGTCGTCTGCTGAATGTTCTTCACAACATACCCAAGCTGTTTTACAACCTTGGTCGCATAGAGACACAGTTTGATGAGCCACTGGTACTGCCTAATTCCTCGTCGCCGTTCTTGTGGAATGTCGCGTCACAAGAAGATGACATCGTGGTGGCAACAATTCGAATTCGCGCAATCATCGAGCAGAATGTACTGCACTTGCGAAAATTGCAGACTGACTATGACGTTTTCGCGCTAACGCATCGCTACGTGAGCTCGGTTGACTGCTTCCACCTGGAGGAGAATGGCGAGCTGGAAAGCTACCGCGCCGAAATGGAGCGAGTGCAGACCACCGCGATGCAACTTGCAATTGACAACCGGCATTCCCAACATTTGGGCCTTTTCTCCGTTGATTGCCGACATGTAAACACAAAGCTGCATTCCGAGCTGGCTCAGTGGACGATCCGTTTGCTTCAAGCCTTTGAGCAGCGAACTGGTCGCATGAATTCTGAGCTCCGACAGCAATATAAGGAAATTGCTGCGCGACTGGCGAAGAAACCGCTGGACCTATACGAGCTGGTAGATTCAGAGGCGTTTGTGTATTCCCTCAAGACGACAACGCTGCAAGAACTTCAGGAGAAAGGCAACACCATCAAACAGCGTCTCCGATTCTTGCTGTTTGAACGAGAGAGCATGCACGTCGGCAGTATTGCAATCGATTCCCCGCAGGACGTACCAGCCAGTGATGACAATGATGCTTCATCGACTTCCGTGGCAGGATTTCGTCTCTCTGTAGACTTACTGTCGTCAACTGCGAAGACTGTGAAATGGAGGAGCCATATCGAAAAGTTACTGAAAGAAGCAGAAGCACTGCTGGTAAATGAGCGGGCAAGGATCGAAGCCATGTTTATTGCAAAACGATCACGATTTCAGACGGAAATTGACGAATTTGAAGGAGAAGTCCGAGGGTTCGCGAAGAAGGGAGATCTGCGGCACGCAGCTACGTACGTCGTCCAACTCGCGAAGATGAAGGACAACATGTACATCTTCCGCCAGGCCATGGAGACGATTGTGAAGGAAGAACAAAAGCTGCAGTGGAAGCCTACCGACTTCAGCAAACTCGATGACATTGCCGAAGAGATGGCGCCTTACGAGCAACTCTGGAAAACAGTGAGAGAGTTCCGCGAGATGAACTCTAGATGGCTACGTGGAAACGTCTTCGAGTTACCGGGGAAGGAAGGCCTGCTCACGTTACAGCAAATGCTCTCGGTCGTTGCAAACGTGTCAAGCGTGCTGCTGTTGAATTCCGCTGCGGCTGCGATCACAGCGGAGACAGTACGGAAGCAGATGACAGATTTTAGGGGGAATGTCCTGTTAATTGTCGCGATTCAAAACCCAGCCATGAAGGAGCGGCACATGAAAGCGGTGTCGGCGCTGATTGGGCTTGATTTCATCGCCGACGAGACCATTACGTTGTTGAAACTGCTCGAGAATGGGGCATTCGAAATGGTCAACGAGATAGTCGATATCAGCAGCAATGCAACGCAAGAGCAACAAATTGAGCGAGCTTTGAACGAAATGGGGGACGAATGGGACGCAACCAGCTTTGAGCTCGTACATTCGAAGCATCCTTTCTCTTCGGGTGCAGTGCTGGCCCCGTTCGTTTCTGCACAAGATCTAGCGTCTGAAGCCTGGAATGTCGTTCTCGATAAACTATGCGCCGAACGTATTATCTTTCTAATGGATGACCATCTCCTGCGGCTGCAAACGCTATCATGTATGGCTCATGCCGGCCCTTTCACAGAGGCTATCGCACAATGGCAAGGGTTTCTATCCGACACGGGCCAAATTGTAGAGATGCTCCAACTGATCGAGCAATTATGGCGCAAACTGACACCGCTATTTGCTGCGGGTATCGTTGACGCAGAGTCGAAAGAGTCTCAATTCTTTGCTCACGCAGCTCAGCTCTACCATTCGATTCACGCCACGATTCTCTACCAGTCGGTTTGTAAGGCGTACTTCCCACGGGTAACGACGATGAGAGACTTGGATATAGCGCAGCTTTCCCCGTCAACAACGCTGATATCAGATTTGAATCGATGCCGAGAGCTTTTGGAGAGAGTGAAAGGAGGCGTTCGTGTGGGCTTTGAGACCAAACGATCGAGTTTCGCTCGATTTTATTTCCTCTCAGATGCTGAGCTTGTTACTGCCTTGGCCTTAGCCAGGGTTTCGGGAGATGCCACACTTTGGAAAGCCCTTTCACGATGTTTCCCAGGGATCAGTGGTGTTCAAACCAATGCAGCAAATGAAATCACAGCGTTACTCAGTGCTGCAGGTGAACCGTTCCCGCTCGGCTCTCCGATTGTCACGAATGATACACCGATGCCCGTGTGGTTAGCAAAAGTGGAGTCGTCCATGTCGACTATTCTGCACGCTTCCATCCGGGCTGCTTGCAGTGATCTTCCTCGGAAGGAATTTCGCAAGTGGTGCTTGATCTGGCCTGAACAATCTCTTCTAGCCGCGGTGCACTACGTATGGACACTCGAGTCGGAGCAAGCCTACCAGGAAGTTAACCAGCGGAAATCCTGGACGGAGCTTACGGACAGTTTATACAAAAACCTCGATGCTGTCAGCAGAGAGATTAAGGTAGCTGCGTACCCGCACGCAAAAGCTGCACTCGGAAACGTGATACTCTTGTTGACGCAGTTACGTGACGTCAGTAGCGAAGTGCTTAGAGAAGTCGGAGGCATGTGGAACGACGAGAATGGTGGCAGCATCCGCGAAATGCGCCGTCAAAGCCAGCAAGTTGTTTTCCCGCGCCATTCGCCTAGTTTAACGTGGATTTCTCAGCCGCGGTTTTATTTTATCGACAGCGTGCTGAGTGTGACGGTGCTGTCGTCGTCGTATTTACCCTACGGCCTGGAATACTTGGGCAATGGATCGACCGGAATTTTGGTGACCCCGTTGACACTGCGTTGCTATCATGCGATTGCACAAGCGGCAAGTACGATGATTAAAGGCGTTTGCTTAGAGGGTGCTGCTGGAACTGGCAAGTCCACAATTTGCCATCAGTTTGCTCGGTTGTGTGGTCGACTGTACGTCACGTTCCAGTGCGCCAACCGGAAGCTCTCATTCGACGCTCTGGCCAATTTCATCAAGGCTACAGCCTCATCCGGAGCCTGGTTGTGTATGGATAATTTGCAGCTCTTGGACCCGACGACTGTATCCATGGTGACAATGCTGTGCTCACAAGTTCTGACGAGTCTAGCTGCAAGACGTGCCCAGTGTACCCTCGCTGGAGACAAAGTTCGGCTTCGAAGAGGGGCTATGTTTTTCCTGACTTTAACTACGCGGTCTCTCAGCATGACGGCTTCACACTGTGTACCACAAAACAAAGATTTAATCCCGGATGCGCGGTTCTTCTTCCGAACCATCATCGTCCAATCTCCAGACATTGAAATACTGGCTGAATTCGAGCTTCAAAGTGGTCGATTCGTGTATGCTCCCGAATTGGCCAAGCTAGTTATTGTCGCGCTCACTGCGTATGCACGGGGTTTCGAACTCATCAACGATCCAACGGCGATGACGCATGAAATGACGGTCCTCGTGGATAATCTAGTGACTCTGCGCCAGGTTAAAAGTGTCGTGAAGCGTGCCACAGAGCTCAACAACCTTGAAAAAGAGCACCGTAGACGCACCCGAAAGAGCATATTGATCACTCCCGACGATGAGAGCGAGGAAGCGCCACCGAGTGGGGAAGTTGCATCTAACGACACTAGCGCTGAAGCCATCGCAAAGCGCGACGAAGAGCGGATGGAGTATCGAAACGTTAGTCAAGCGCTTCGTGAGCTGCTTGGCGCTCTTGTGCCGTCTGCAAATCTTCATCTAATCGATGCTGTCATTCGAGACTTTAATGCGCAGGCACTGAGGAGAGACCTGCACATGAACAAGGGCACCATGTGGATGTCGCGTGGGAGCTCCATGTTGCCAAGCTCGCGACTCGGAACACTCCCGCCAAAGAAAAGTCTTGAAGACGATGTTGAGAGTTATGTGCGTACCAATGAGAGCTCATGGAAGCGGTTTGGCGTTGAGTTTGGCTTGAAAACGGTGCAGCTCCTGCAGACAATGAGGACCCACCGTGCGGTGGTATTGTCAGGGGATATACAAGCAGGGAAAACGAGTTTGTACGCTTCACTATCACGAGCACTCACGCAAATAGCGAAGAGAAAAGCCGATGAGCGCAGTGGCGCCACGCGTGGACTGGGCTTCGACAATTCAGGCAGTGAAGCGGGGTTTGTGCCACCAGTACGCACCGTCGTAGTATGTCCTCGGGCACTCAAAACGGGCCAGTTGATTGATCCAGCAGCTGATCATCCTTCACACAGTGTCTTCTACAAGCTCCTCAATGAGGCAAAGGCGCTCAACAAAGCAATCAAGCGCACTCAAACGTGGTTTGTCTTTGACGGTGACCTGGATGCATTATGGAGCGAACAATTACTTTATACAGTGGAAGAAATGCCGGATGATACTCCAGGGTATAAGCAAGGGCTGCACCTTTCGTCAGGGAAGCTCTTACTGATCCCGGAATATGTTCGAGTTATTATGGAGACGACTACTCTTACGAATGCGTCGCCATCTTTTATCTCTCGCGTTGGAGCCGTGCACGTAAATACAGACCGTCGCAGCAGGACTGGAGAGTGCTGGGAAAATGTGTACGGAATTTGGAAAACGGTGCGCAGATCAGGATTTGAAGGGTATGCCACTGCCATATTCGCTGCGCTGGACGCTCTTATGGCTGAAACAGTCCCCGCTACACTAGCGTTTGTAAGCACGAATTTCCAAAGCCCTAACAGCGGGGTGGAGCGAGTCCAGTGGATGCTTGCGCTATTCCATAGCGCGCTAGTACAATCGTGGAAAAAGTTTGGCTCTTTGACGAGCGATCAGCAACGTCATACTGCCGTCCACTGTCTGTTCTTGCAAGCACTTGTATGGGGAGTTGGAAGCACGATCAACACTGTCGAACGCCACAAGTTTCACTTGTTTCTCTACGATTTGATACTACACGGTCCTAATAGCGAGCAATCCTCACTCACGAGACTGGTTACGCTGTTCTTCCCGAGTGGAACATTGATAGGGAGCGTTTCAAGCATTACTGGTGGGGACAAAACGAACAATCCTACTTCAAATGGAGGATCTGCGCTACGAAAGCAAACCATTTACGACTATGGGTTTTCAGTTGATTTTGGGTCCAAGTGGCTGCCTTGGACGGAATATTACACTCGTTGGGAGAAGATGCTGCTGGGATCAGATTCCAGTGAGCTCAGTGCAGCTGGTAGTTCATTGGGCTCTGGCTTAATACCAGAGTATCCTGTCGACTCGTGCTTGAATCGCCTACTAGTTCCCACACTATCTACATCAGCAGCGGTATGCTTGTCTGGTCAATTACTCCTCACTAATTACCCAGCAACTCTGTGTGGCCCTAGAGATTGTGGCAAGTCAGTATGTGGGTCGGCCTGGATTATACTTTGTTCAGCACTCTCGCGAGCCGAGATACCGGTGGTTCAACCGCCAACACCTCCATCAGAGCTTGAACCGTCTGACACTGACACGCAGGCAAACGATGAATCAACGCCTGAAGAGTCCACAAGCGTTGAAAAGATTTACGCAGGTTTCTATACAAAGGCAAGCGATGTTTTGGTACACTTTGAGACGGTCCTTCAACGGAGTCGTGTCGAGCGACAGGAGAGCTCTAAGCACGAGTCACAGAGTGTACGTGAAGTGGAGAGTGCTGATGGATCCGATTCAACACCGGGCAAAATTACTGCGCCAAGTGGTAAACATGCACTGAATGTGTATATCGACGACTTACACTGCTTCGATTCCAGCCGCAGAATGGACTCGGCTATTGAACTGCTGCGCATGCTCACAGAGTACCATACAATCGTTGACCCCAGCACGAATTTATTGACTCCATGCCAACACTTTCTTCCGTTCGTGACACGGCAAATTCCAACTCCAAGAACGCAACGTACCCCAACTGAAACCCATGACCTCGAACGCCTCGTACGACGATTTGTTCCGGTAACTTTGCTGCCCTTTTCGGATTCAGATCTGAGCAGCATTTGTGAACGTTACCCAGCCTCTGTTACAGCACCAAGTGTGCCCCGTGAGTTAACATCAGGATCGCAAGCATCAGCGTCTACTTCAAAAGCGACAGCTACGACCGGAGGATCATCAACCGCAGCGAAAGAAGCCGAACAACTTCAGTCGATTATTATTAAGGCAAGTCTGAGATTGTTCCGGCTGCTGACTTCTAGTAACGACTTCACAGTCGTACAGAAGGACGCTGCGTTCAACCCTATCAAGCTTCACTACAGCTTTCGTGCGGCTCAACTTTTCTTGATCGTCAAAAACATTTGCTGTGTCATCCGCCCTACTTTGACACTAGCGGAGAAGCCGGCGCTTGCTCGGTTGTGGTGTCATGAGAGCGCTCGGGCACTGGGTGATGGTATCATAGACCCTAAGGAGATGTCTTCATTTCACCGACGCACACTTGAGATTGCTTTGACGACTTTTGGTATCACTGACGATGCATTCTGCCCTACACGCTCCGAGGTAGCAGGAGTTCAGACCCAAACTACCCAGGATTGGTTTGCAAATGACCTGCACTATTCTTTTATTAGCGAGACTGCTAGTGCAAGTGGAGGCAATCGCAACGGCTACCATGAGGTGAACGAGATCTCCAAAGTCGAAGCAGTTATCGAACGGAGTATGATGACGATGTATCGTGGTGATACTGGCAAATCCGAAGCAGCAGGTACTTCGGAAGCTCTTGAGGTTATTCTGTGCTCGTTCGTCGTTAAACATGTTCTACGAATGAGTCGATTGCTACGAATGGATAGGAAAGCCGTCTTGTTACTGGGAGCACGTGGAAGGAAGCTCGTGACGATTACTCGATTGGCGTGTTTTATTTGCAAAAAGTCCTCCGTGGTGTACAACATTCCAGAGCAAGACATGTCGGGATCCCAATGTAACGATGAAATCACTCATGCGAGCGACTGGATTGCAGCATTTCGGGCTGCCATGTTGAAAAGCGTTCATTCCCGAGATGGTTCCGTCGTGTTTATTGTGAAGGATGCTCATTTAGACCCTGATTCGTATCCATATCGAGTTCTTGACCAATTTCTTGGAGGTAATAGCGCCATACCTGACGTCGTCGCGTACGAAGATCTTGATGACGAAATAATCGCAATTTTGCGTGAAAAAGCCGACCGAGAAAGGAAATCGATTCCGCCAAGTCGAGAAGGCAGTCACCAATCAGCATCGACACATCACCAGGCATCATCGGTACTTCGCTCAAAGAGCACTATATTGGGATATTTCTTCCACCACGTGCGGCAGCACCTCCAAGTCGTGCTTGTGTTTTCCCCCCGACCAAGCGCATTAGCTGAAACCAGCTCCTCAAATTTCAGCTGGGCTTCCATTCTGTGGCGCTATCCCAATATTTTGAAATGCTGCGACATAAATTACGTTGGAGCATGGTCTTCCGATGGTTTGGTAGCAATTGCACAAAAGTGTCTATCTCACTCGTCGTTGGTATCGGATAAACAAGTTTCCGCTCAACTCGCTGAGGCTGCGGCTCAAGTGTACCGTACAACTACTTGTTTTATGGGTGCAAGCTCACAAGAAGGGAGTTTGAGTGTTTCAGAAGGACAACAAAACGCGACTGCTGCTAGCTTGAGGAATCTTTCCTTAATGCAAGTGGACGTAAGTATACTTGTGGATCATGTCCTCTTGTTTGCTGCACATTACGATCGGCTAGAGCAAGCGGTCCCGGTGAATTTAGCGCGGTATAAAACTGGACTGGAATTTATTGACAAGACTGCGCGGATTTTGAAAGCGGAGCAGGCTCAAGCCGAACAGCTGCTCCCCGAACTAAAGTACAAGACCGAAGTTAGGCGCAGGATGTCAGGTAGTTTGGAAAAAGATAAAATTACGACGGAAAAGTTGACGAAGGCACTCGAGCTAGCTTCCACCATGGTGGTTTCTCAACGTGAGCGACTTGCTACGGTCACGAAGGAGTACCAAGACCTGATAAAGGATTCAAGGGACATATTTGATGAAATGAAGGGCACCCTACAAGTATTCAATGAAGCGTTTGCGAGGGGAGAAGAGGAAGACGACGGTGCCCATTCGGACCAAGATGAGTACAACGAAAGCAAGGCAGAGGGAGAAGATCAACAGACCGAGGCGTTGGTAGAGAGTGAAGGTATCGCTGATGTCGTTGAGACAAAGCCTGAAATTGATGCTGGAATGGGAGCTAGACGCCGACTGCGGAGACTTGTGCACAAATTTGCGGCGATGGACCACATACCCTCCTCAATTTACCAGCTATCGGAGTGTCTTGGCGTAATTCTTGGTATCGATCCAGTCGAAGGGCGTGATGAAATGGACCCAGACGAAATCATCATGAACTATTGGGAGAACGTCGCAATAGAATTGAAGAAGGCGACGTTCTGGGAAAGGCTGATGACCTTCGATGTTACTAGCCAGGTCTCCGAGAAAATGGTCAGCACCTTGCTCCCGATCTGCAGGTCACCCGACTTCGACAAGGCCTTGTTTGGGTCGGTGCACGAGGTAGCTGGAGTCTTGTGCGAGTGGGTTCAAAAGTGCACGAACTTTGCCCGGGACTTTATTCTAGCCGAGCCGAAGCACGCGCAACTGCTACGTGAACAGGAATTATTAAAGCAAGCCGAAGCTCAAGTTGTTAAAAGCAAGATGGACGTCCTGGACCAAACTCATTCTTCTCGACAGACGAACGAAATGCGGGATTTGTCGGAGGTTGAGCGGCAGCGAGCAGATGAAAAGCTGCAAGACTCGACATCGCTACTTCATATCACGAACACCGCGTGGAAAGTACTGTCCTTCACTCGAGCTAAATGGCAGCGACTGCATGATTTGTACTTCGAACTATCTAAACACTGGAAAGGAGACTTGTTGCTGGCAACAGCGACAGTAGCGTACGCCTCCGTCTTGCCGCAAGCGCTACGTTTGAAGTTGTATCAGTTATGGCAGGAGGCCATCTCTGATCTGGTCCTTCCAACACCTGTGAGAAGAACACTACACGAAGTTTTCTCGATTCGAGACGTGGATCTGGCCAAAATGTTCTTGAACGGATTACCAGCGAACGATGATAGTGCACTGGAGAATGCAGTCATAGCCTTGCACAGCTATCGCTTACCTCTGCTGATTGACCCGTACGGTGTTGCTACAGACTGGCTGAAAAAGCATCTCAGCTCTCAAAATCTGAATGTTGTTTCGGCAAACAACACCACTACAGACGCAGTACTCTGGAAAGCCGTCGAGACGAGCATTAAGCATGAGTCCGCTTTGATCCTCACGGGTATATGCAAGGAGCGCCTGCATGGCTTACACTCGTTTATTGGCGCGAAACGACGAGCTCTTTTTGACGCCGTGAACCATGACATTAGCGCAGGTAGTCACGATAGCGGTGTTTATCGCTGTTGGTGTCATATTCCGGTGGAAGTCGCCTCGAATCTAGCCACTGATAGAACCCCAAGCGGACCAGGGAGACCAAAACTGAACTCACCTCCAGTAGACGCTCCGTTGCTCGAGTTTGGCAGCGATGCCTGTAGGATTTTCTTTATCTACACAGACACGAATGAGCCCCCGAGCTGGATGTCCCAGTACTTTAACCACCTCACAGTGATCCAGGTCGAGATGACTGCACCTTTCGTGGAATCGCAAGCTCTTCAAAAGCTCCTGGAATCCCAAGGTCGACTTCGGGAGCTGACTGAAATTCGAACCCTGCAGCAAGACATGGTAGTTTGCGACGAGCAAATTGTTGTACTCGAAGACGAGCTACTGGAATTCTTTAGCATGGAGCAAGCTGATGAGGTTTACGCGGACAACTCGAAAGCTCTTCGAATTGTGGCAAACCGAAGCGCAATACACACTCTCGATAACACAAAAGCCGAGGCAAATACGAAAGTTCAAGCTCACTGGCGCAGTTTAGCAACTTATGTTGCTGTTTCAAGGAGGTGCTTAGATGCGGTCTGGGCCTGGCGAGAGTTTGATACCGTGCGAAACAATGATAATGCGGAGAGGATGTTCACGCTGTCGTGGATATGGCAGCTGTTGATTCGCGCGGGTGAAGTTAGCAGTAGAAGCAACAACAATTTGGAGGTGGTCATGGCTTGTTTTACTAGCTATCTCCAGCAGTGTATCGTTATGAACCTCCGAGATGAGGATCGCCTCCTTTTCCACTTTTTGTTGGCATTTCGAATTTGGCAACGCCGTATGGAAGAAGCAAACGGCCCTGTTCAGCCTGTAAGTGGCGAAGGTGTATGGTCTCCATTAGAGCTGAGTCTGCCTAGTCGACGAATCGCTGATACAAAAATGCTCGCACGCCTGCTCGCCCTGATTAACTATAAGATGGAATGCAACAGCTACGATGCCTGCAGACCTACATTAAAAAGTCTGCTTTCGATGCGTCCTGCAGGTATGAAAGCTACAGCTTGGTCGGCAGTTTGCTATTTAGCAGAAGCTTCTGGAGATCTTCGGCAATTTATCTCCAGGATGGAGAGCTTGGAAGATGGACAGATTGCGTGGAAGGCACTACTCGAGCTTGGAACAAGAAGCTCGAATGATTGGCCAGTGCCGGTACCTCTGGATGACTTTTCACGATTATGCATTGTCACTGCTGTCTACCCCCATCGATTCATGTGCGAAATTGAAGACTTCGCTCGACGAGAGTTACAGCGGATGCATACTACACCCGTATCGTTCACGCATCCTTGTTCGTTAATTCCAGAGATGAATACGCCGTCTCTTCCCACCGTAGTTGCAGCTGCAGCGCACACTGCAATGGCGCAAGCTCCGGATAGGCATCGTGACCTTTTCTTCATGTGGCAATCATTCTCCAACTCGAAAGTTCCGCTAGTTGTGTTTTGCCCACCAAGCATTGATTTTGTAGATGCAGTAGCCAATGTGGCAAGAAGAGCTGGGGCTACGATGGATACGACGGACTCAATTCAGCTACTGCTGGCTGACCAAGAAACGTTCAAAACGTTGTTGCTACAAGCCATGGAGAAGGGACAGTGGGTTGTTCTACCGAACCTCGAGGTTTGCCATGACCGGTTTTCCCTGTTGAGTAGCATATACGATTCTCTCGAAGACGGGCGCGCTCACTCTGACTTTCGCTTGTGGATATCGATCACAAGTCAGGATATCAACGACCATGATATGCGGTATGCCAGTTTTGATAGTATGCGCATCAGTCGGATCGCCACGAAAAGAGAATGGGGGACTGGAGCACTATCGCTGAAGCGATGTTTACACCACACGTTTGCTGTTCTGAAGCATGAACTAGAGACATTTGAATTCGCCAGCACCAATGCAGTCAATTCTACCGCAACAACTACAGGACCGTCAATAATAAGTGAGTACGAAGAGCAACGCATAAAGCAGTTGGGGGTATTTCACGCACTAGTTACTTGTCGTGATCATTTCCCGTTTGTCGAGTGGAAATCGGAAGGAGAATTTGGAGATCCTGAACTGTTCGGCGCAATCCGCTCTCTGGTGGCGTTGAGAAATGAAGAGCAGACATTGATAAAGGAGCTTCCGAGTCCGTTGAGTAAGCCGGACCTAGGTATTTGGACGAGTATGACGCTTCGGGGCGTGATTGCAAGCGTCTACACGTCAGGTGTAAAGGCTCCCCAGGACCAGCTACTGATTCAATCATGCATTGATCTAGTACTGAACGCTTGGCCATCAGCGCACGATGAAGGCCACCTCCATCCCACTGCCATCGTAGCTCAACTGACCATACCAGAAGCTGTATTTACCATCGAAAAGCTAGCGGTGATACCATGGGTGGCAATTGTGAGCAGTATCCCACATTTGTGGATTAGCGAATCGTGTGGGCCATCACTATCGAAGGATCTAGTGACTGCAAGTGTTCCGCATTCCGACAATGTATCATTGTGGGATCCGCATTATCTGCGTCGAGATCGACAGAGGCAAATCGTTACACAACTGGCAGTGATGGTTGCCAACCGCGGATGCCAAGTACCGACACGATTAATGACTCCCCGTTCACTTCCGAGTATGGAGGTGATACAATCGCTCGAATTCTTAGCAACATTCAGAAAGAATCTGGAGGGAGTTGTAATGCTGCTCCGGGGCGGAGAATTCGAGTATCGCAAACCAATTTCAGCTCTTGTCTACCATGAGCGGCAAGTTCTTGAGCAGATTCGGGCGATGATTTTGTGTGATATTGGACGACTGGAACTGGTGCGTTAATTTATGTGGGAGAAGTGTCTGATAATGCAAATTTGCCAACTAACACGCACTCATATTTAATTCCTTTATAGGTGGCATATCGGGGAGGATCGTTGGATCCCGCTACCTGGCAACTAGCAAATGAACTACGAGGTGGCCGTACCCCCGCGTGTTGGCTGGCGCTTCTGCGCCTGCCAGGCGCTGGTGGTATGCAGAGATGGAGCTTAGAGAAGTTCCAGCAGCTTCTGTTAGATCGACTTAATGCATTCGCTTCCTGGAGGGAGCCAGACGGTGATTCGTATAAGCTGCCGCTTAGCAAGTTCATGGACGTTGATGTACGTTGTTCAGAATTATTGCACCAGCGCGAAGCTACGAGAGATCTAACGTCATATTGTCTGCGACCTTGGCATATAGTGTGTGTTCGAAGCCGTTCATCAGCACTTTATTCGGAACCATGTCGGTAGTGCGTTGTGCTCATCCGACTGTCTCAAGGTTGTATCTATGTTTGAGGATTCCCCACGGCTCACCGTGCCGACAAAAGAAGATGTCATCTACTTCACCGGCGTGCGGGTCATGGGTCATCTGCAACTTCAGATTATCGACAGCAAAGGACGCCTTCGTCGAACTCCGATTACTCCCGAAGGTGTCTCAGTGGTCTTACAGATTACAAGCTCGTGCTTAGCGGAGGTTCTCGGCGCATCCAGTCATCCATCGGAGTCACTTGTTGTTGAAAGTGATAAAAGCAAGACTCCAGACCCAGAAAGCTCCAACACTCCCATTGAGTATTCATGCCCATTGATCCACACTTTGGAGGGATCGGAATCTTACAAGGGCGCTAGGACCAGCATCCGAGTGACGAGCTCGTTACCCCTTGAACAACTGGTTTTTAGTGGGGCAAGCCTGCGACTCCAAAGTATTGAGACCAACGAGAAGTAGTGGTTGCAAAGTGAAAGCTTGTGTAATTTTGTGTAGTAAAACATTTTTTTATTTCTATGCCTTAACTGCGTAAAGTTGTTTAGAGAAACGAATGACCAAAGGTATACCAGCTTTTCGCATAATCTTTTCGCGGCCAGGCGAGCTGTCAAGCCACTGCAGAAGCCCAGTGATCTGTCGTTCAGGTGTTTCATACCCTTGCTTTGTGGAAAATAGCTCCAATGCAAGTCGAGCCAGCACCATGCCAAACGCAACCTTCTTCAGCGTCTCTGCATCGGCTCCACTGGGCGGATCCTTATCGTGCAGTGCAAAATACGCTTTCAGCAGCCCTGCAACTTCCGTGTGTAGATGCTTAAGGCTCACGCGATCCATGAATGATGGAATGAGCTCGAAGTCTATTGCAAAGTTGAGCACAAGCTCAAAACTCAATCCGAAGAGCTCGTTCTTCGCAACAGACATTGCAGCTGCTGCGGTTGCGTTGGGATGGTACTGGGCGCTGTAGAATTCACAGATCGTACCAAGGGGCCGTTGCTCTCGATTCAACACCCCGTTCATCTCGAGCATGGAGTAAACAACATCTTCTCTTTTGTGCGTCCGGCTTGACGATGGCGGATTTGAGTGACAAATAATTTCTCCCTTGTCGGTTCCTATGCGTTTGATAGTTCGAAGGTGCTCGTTCTCATTTCCACGGCCCAAGTGGAGGGCGAGGCCACTCAAAATGCTCTTCAAGGCTCGTGTACATACTTGAGAAGGTGATCCAATACTGGTAGTGGGCCTCCCACTGATAGAGCAGGATGAAGACGATCTGCTTCGTTGAAGTGTTGAGGACCGGTAAAGTGTATGTTGTTGACGCAAGTAAGGCCGCAAGAAGAGCGCCACGACAGTTTGAAGTACGCGAAGCAGATCAGACCGTGGGAATCTGCGCATACCCACCAGTGTCACCGCCTCGTTGAAGGCATCTTGACTGAAGAATCGATAGCGTTTAGTGTCACCTGATATACTCGCGTGCTTCGTTGGTGAAGATCTTCTCTTCGTCTTCGCCCAGCCGGTCGGTGGTGCCCACGGCTGTTGTGACATCCCATTGAAGTCCTTCCGCACAATCGATTTCTTACGGTTTGATTGAGCTTGAGCCAACACACCGGCTAATACCACGTCTACGTCAGCGGGGAGGACGCTGGGAGCTTGCACCAATCCACTTTCCATGAAGAACCGTCGCACAGTGGCCACATGAACCCCTTCTTCAATTGATCCTTCGGCAGAAGCCTCGAGAGTCTCAAAAACCACAACCAAACAACTTTGTATCTCTGATGTTTCAATGGCATTTGGATCGTCATTGAGATCTTCGTAAACTCCGCTTGCTCGAGTGTGTATAGGGTGTACACTGGCGGGCCCACAGGTAGATGCGGTTGTTGTGGACTCCGACAGATGCGTCACCAAAACATCTGTAGGTAGAGAATTCCGTCGCGCGACAGTATGGCGTTGAATACTACTTCCAGCTTTGCTCGTTGCTGTCTTCGCAAGCTCACTAAAGACACCAGGACGACGAGCATCGACGTCTTCTTCCCGCATTAACAACGCTTCAAGTCCCTCTCGACGACAGTCTGAGAGCTGTAATAAAAGCTCGATCTGCATTTCATGGAGGATACCGGTAAACGTTAATAATCAAGTGCATCAATACGTTCGAAGTGCTGCTTACCTTCTCTTGGTTGAGGACCTCAATTTTAATAAGCGCGTTATCACGCTCAACTTCCACACGCTGCTTGTCCTGCTTACTTTCCCGTGTTCGCATCATATACTCCGTTTTCATGATCTCTTTTTGCTGTAGCTCCCGAGCAACAGAAGATTGCTGGGCTGCGAGAGATTCCGCTTCACGCACCGATTCATTAAGCGCTAGTGAGAGTTGCTCACATTGAACAGCTTCCGCAGATCGAAGAGTCCGTTCAACGTGGCATCGGCGGTCTGCTTCCTCTAACGATGCTTCAAGAGTGCGCATACGCCGCAGTATCTGTTGGTGCTCGTTAGCATGGTTGCTAATGCGCGCATTTTGTAAAGCAAGAAGCTTCGTCTGCTCTTTACAACGGCGAAGAACAATACGATACTTCTCATTCAACTCGTGGAATGAGTGTTGAACCCGCTGGACTTCACGCGTACTTGCTTCATACAGGGCCAGCCATTTTTCAGCTTCCTGATCGGATGTGCTTTGACGGCGGTCACTTGGAATATCCCGCGCCTCACGCGCGTTTTCTTCGCAGAGAGCTTGCCATTCTCCCACACTGTCATTCGCCGTGTTTTGATTCGGAATTTCACTCGTCGGTGGTGAATCAGGTGGTCGCCCATGTGGTTGGCTTGATGAATTTGAATGAACCTTCGCGCAAATATTAGCTCCATACGGGGTTTTACACAAAGCACCTACCTGCGCCGCACTGCTAGTGTCAGGAGCAGTGTGAGGAAGGGCGCTGGTAGCATTCACGTTGGACTTCAAATGTGTTCTGGCCCCCTGCGCTTGCTGAAGAAACCTTTCAAAGTATCCAAGACCTTCGTCGAGGAGCAAACCATCGTCATTTCGCGGGTCGTTTGCATAGCTCAAGCTCCCTCCCGAGTCCACAGGGAGTTCATCTCCGCTATCGTCCTCAGAATAGGTAGATGCGTGCGATGGGATCGTGGGGTGAGAGCTCGAGTAGATGAATTGCCCATAACCATCGTAATCAATGCTGTTTCCACACGCCAATGTAGTTGTTTGATCCTTTGGAGGATTGGTAGATATGGCACCTTCCACATGCCTCGCTTCATTAAGCAACGTTTGCAACCGGGTTGTAATAAATAGCATGCGAGCTCCACTCTCTTGGCCCGCTACCTGACTATTTTGTAGCGCTTCAACTTGAGCTTTCAACGCTTCCAAACTGTATATCAGAACATAACGATTTGGGAGGACACATCAGCAGCATTTGAGGCCTAAATCACAACCCGTACAATAGCTTACCGTGGTGTTACCGCAATTTGATCTTCTGCCAGATGAGAAGCGTCCGAGAGCAATTTAGCCATCCTATAGCACGTGATAGGATCACGCAGCAGTGTGTCAAGTAACTCCACGAAATCGCACGCAGCTTCATCTGTTGCGGTAGTTGCCAAGCCGTTCTCCGCGACATCCCAAATATTAAGAGAGCATAGCGCTTCTTTAACGGGAGGGTGCATTACGATGCTGATGGTTGCCAGATACATTCACAACGCATAGGCACATGATAAATACGCTGCTATAGTCTCGTCAAAATTGAATACAGGGCGTACCTGTTGAGAACAGCAACTCCGTTGGCTTGCACGAGTTCCACACTTTGCAGTACGCGCATTGCGTCAACGACAGCGTTGACAACTCCGTGGAAAACTACCGCATTAGCCCCACGATACGGAGCGCTTGCATCTGGGCCGTCGTGATACTCAAGCCCCACACAGAGGAAGAACAGCACATCCAGCGCTGTGACCACCAGCTCAACCTCTTCTGTAAAGCGAGCCAGCGCGCTCGTGACCGCCTGCAAGCCTCCATGACGTCCAATACGTTCCTTGCAGTCCTCCTCCAGCGCCATTTGGTGCAGGAACTGACACGCTCGCAACTGCACCGCAAACACAGTCGTGTGCCTTTGCATGAGCATCACACAGAGGCGAATCGTGTGCGAGACTTGTAAGCTCGGTCGGCTCTTGCTGTCCACGGCCAAGGACTGCAGCGTCTGCAGAGCTGCGGCCGCTTCAACAGCCGACAGAGTCGAGCTCGGCTGCACCGACTCGCCGCACTGCACGATCAGGTCCGCCACGCCGTCCCGCACGAGAGCTTCACGCTCGTGCTCGCCGCGACTCGCGGCCTTGAGCAGGACTCGATTCACGCACACGAAGAGCGTGCCGGAGCCGTCGTCGCCTGCCGTAGCCGCTGCTATGGCTGCATCTCCAGCTGGAGCAGCGACCCAGTAGCTCAGGTCGCTCAGCACGGAGCGAACGCAGGCCAGCGTCTTGGTGAACGTCCCGTCGCCCACCGCCAGCTCCTGGGGCCGCAAAGACGTCAGCAGGACCTCCAGCGCCCGCCAGAGCGCGCGCGCCTCCGCTATCCGCTCGCCGCGTCGGGCGCTGCGCGGGTCGTCGTCCTCGTTCGCCAGCTCCCACAGCCGGTCCAACAGCGCGTCCATGGCCGCCGGCAGCGTGCACAACGAGAAAGTGCGGGGTGCGCGTTGTACATGTAGCCATGTTTGGCAAGATCTATTTTTGGCACAATCGCTACGTTCCAGTTGAAGTGCTCCGTTCCAAATTGCTATGTGCAATCTAAACCAAACTTTTGAAAACAAAAGCTGAATTTTCCAAAGGATTTTTTTATCGAAGAGAAAATGGCTCGAGTGGACGATAAAAAATTCAGGCGGGTCGGATGCTGGTTGATGGGTTTCAACACTATTTCCGGGACAGACATTTCTGGGAGACGACGAAGAGGGAGGCAATTGTCTGGCGCTGGCCCTGCCCATGGACTCCGTGCACGTCTCCGCCGCCATGTCGCCGCCGGTCAAGGCCGCGTCCACGGGCGACATCGACGACCACGAGGCCATGAGTCTCTTTGGGGGCCCGCCTGCGCCAGGGCCTCCGCCTGCGCCGGTCAAATCTGTTTCGACCAGCGTGCTGGACGACCACGAGAGCTACGATCTGTTCGGCAGCGCCCCCAGCGTCCCGATGGCCACCGCCGTGACGAAGGAGCCCGCCCCCATGGCCAGCACAGCCCCCGTGGAGGAAGGGGGCGCGGGCGAGGTGCCCGTGCAACCGGCAGAGCCGGTTTCGCCTGCCAACTACGAGCTTTTTCCAGCGCTGGCGTCAACGGACAAACCGGAGAATGTGGAGGCGGCGAAGGAGGAATCCGAGCTCTTCCCATCCTCCAGAGGACTCAGTCGCAGCGGCAGTAGCAGCAGCAGCGCTGCAACTTCTTCCATGGGCAGCGGGGGATCGTTCCGAGAGGGGCTGCCGCGTGCCAACAGCAATGCGGTGCAGGTGGCCGCTGTGGAGCAGCAGAGCCCGCCACCGTCGTACAAAATGGCAGGAAATGCAGTTGATATTGTCGCGGTGAAGAACACGGAAGGGCAGTACCTCACTACGTCGTGGCACGTTTCGTTTTCATGGTCGCGCTTTCGAACCAGCTACGCTACTGGAGTGGGAGACATGGTGAGGATTCTCGTGAATGACAAGGAGCTGCCCACGAAAATGGAGCTGCAGGAGCGCGGTCGATGCACCTTTATTACTGGCGGTGTGATCATTCCACCGGGAGACTTGCTCTTCGCTGATCTGTCGGAAGAACAACCCAACCACGTGCGATTTGAACACTACCAGAGGTACACCAACACGGTGCGCTACGTGGACGCGAAGCTGCATCTATGGGGGCCGAATGAGTCAGTCGTTGTAGTCGACTTGGACGGGACTCTCACTATCAGCGATGTGGAAGGCCACATTCGCACGCTGCGTCTTGGACAGTACGATTTCCTGCACGCCGGAGCTTGCGACTTCTTCACCAAGGTGCACGAGCTGGGGATGCGAATCGTGTACCTCACTGCGCGCCCTCTGGACTGGGCATCGGCGTCACGAACCCACTTGGAAAACGCAGTGCAGCAATCGATTCCGCTCCCGCCCGGAGTTCTCATCACCAACTCGAATGGTCTCACAGGCGCACTGTTCACGGAGGTGGTCAATAAAACCCCTCACATTTTCAAGATCCAGGTGCTGAATGAGCTCCAGCTCACGCTCATTCACGCCGGCCGCGTGATCGAGCACCCCGTGTTCGTGGCGGGCTTTGGCAACCGCCCCACGGACATCGTGGCATACGAAGAAGTCGGCATGGACCCCAGCCTCATCTTCATGCTGGACCCGTACTCGAATCTTAAGGCCGTCTCGGATCCGCGTCTCTACGAATCGTACAGTGACCCGAACGCGCTGCTCTGGATGCTGCCCAAGCTCAAGCACCGCGTCCCAATCGAGAAGGTTGGTCGCATCGACGACTACACCGTGCGTGAGCTCGTTCTGGCGGAAGACCGCGAACAACTGCGCATGGCGGAGATGCAGGCTCGACGACTTCAGCAAGAGGAGTTCGAGCGAGCGCGCCAGGAGGCTGACCAAGCGCGATACGCCTCGAACAACGCTCTTCGGGCCAGCAGCAGAAGTCTCTCAAGGTAAACTACCCCCAAGTCATTTCGTACTATACCGCTTACGATAGTCTGGCATTGAATAAAATCACAACAACAAGCTCCATCCATCACTGGCAGTCTGCCTGCAAGTTGCTTCATATCCAGACCACCGGAACACCATGACATGTACCGGTACAATCATTGAGATACATTGCTCTACCCTCTCACTACTGATAGTGCAGCCAGATGTCCGCAGCCTTTCATCATCTTCTTGGCCTCTCGTCGAGAGCGGCGGCCGCGCAGCTACAGCTCCGACAGCTGAGCTCCCGGTCGGCAGCGCACCAGCAACGCCAGTTCGAGTTGCTGGTGCCGGCGCTGCAGGCTTTCCAGCGTCTTCACGGCCACTATGCCGTCCCGCTGCGCTTCACCGTCCCCAGCGGCCACCATCCTGAAGCTGGCCAATGGCCAGAGGAGCTGCAAGGAATGAAACTAGGCACAGCCATCTCGAGGTTTCTGAAAGCCTGCGCCTCGGCTAAGAAGCCTTCAAAGCGACGCGGACTGGACGAAGTGAGGATGCAGCTCCAGCAGTTGGGGCTGCCGGACGTCGAGGACTGGAAGCGATTCCTCTGGGATGAAGTGACCGTGCCGGCATTGCAGACGTACCAGTCGATACATGGAGATCTGTTGATGCCAGTCTCCTTCACGGTACCTGAAGGAGATGAGGCGTGGCCACGCTCGACGTGGGGATACAAGCTCGGCTACTGGACTAGTGAGCTCCGCCGCAGCAAGGACAAGCTGCTGCCGTACCAACTGGACGACCTGGAGAAACTCGACTTCAGCTGGAATGCGCGTGAAGCTCGCTGGAACCGCTACTTTATTCCAGCTGTGCAGAAGTACCAAGAGCTGCATGGAAGTTCTCAGGTGCCGCAGAGCTTCGTTGTGCCCCGCGACCACCCGGACTGGCCAGCAGAGCTTGGAGGCTATCGCCTGGGGCAGAAGGTGAACAATTTGCGCTGCGGCGACCCTCTTGGCACAGGACCAAAGGCCGAAGAGTGGCAGGAGGTGGAGTTGATCTACAAGAACTGGATGCTGCTCGAAACTCTGCATGAAGTGGAAGGAAGCGGCGTCTTGGAGGAAGAAGAACGCGAAAAGACAATCAACCAAGAACTAAAGGAATGAAGGCATCGCCGTCAGTTTGTTTTCAACTCGTGGTGCATTCATTTATAAAATATCGTAAACGACACTAGGCCTTGCCCCTCGTTCATCTTGCCACCACCAAGAAGTCCCACCGCTCAACATTCCTACTGCTCGGATCGCTCAGTCAGCTCGTCCTTGGCATGCCAGGATGCTTTTTGTAGCGATGGGACTCTAGCTTCAGATGCTGGAGCCGAGCTGCACAATGCGCGGGTAGCACGGCAGCGTGAGGAAGTCGACCATGTCGTCACCCGTCAACACCTTGCCCATGATCTCACCGCCTAGCGCCCACTTGTTGCCCGGGTTGGCGTTCAGCGAGCGCTTGTTGACGCACTCCTTGAGAATGTCAAGCACCAGCGCCTTGGTCACCGTCTTGCCCTCCACCGTCTTGCAGCTGTGACGAATCCACTGCCACACCTGGGCACGCGAGATCTCGGCCGTGGCGGCGTCCTCCATCTTGTTGTGGAGCGGGATGCAGCCGCTGCCGCGCAGCCACGCCTCCGTGTACACCAGGGAGACGTCGATGTTCTCTACCAGGCCGTTGTACGTGATGGCGCCCGTCGGAGGCTCGATCAGCTGAGCAGCAGTAATATCCTTGCCAGCCTCGGGGATGAACGAGATCTGGTTCGGGCCCGACATCTTGCTGAACGCGTCCAGAGCGATCTTGACGAGGCCAGGGTGGGCCACCCACGTGCCATCGTGACCGGCGGCCACCTCACGAGACTTGTCCTCCATGACAGCAGCCATGAACTTGTTGTTCAGCTCCGGGTCGTTCTTGACAGGGATCTGCGCAGCCATGCCGCCCATGGCGTGGGCGCCACGGCGGTGGCACGTACGGACGAGCAGCTTCACGTAGGCAGCCATGAAGGGCGTGGTCATGCCGACCGACGAACGGTCCGGCACCACGAACTTGGGGTGGTTGCGGAACTTCTTGATGTACGAGAAAATGTAGTCCCAGCGGCCGCAGTTGAGACCCGACGAGTGGTTGCGCAGCTCGAACAGGATCTCGTCCATCTGGAAAACAGCCACGATGGTCTCAACGAGCACGGTGGCGCGGATAGAGCCCTCCGGGATGCTCAGGTAGCCCTGCGCAGCCACGAACACGTCGTTCCAGAGCTTGGCCTCCAGGTGGTGCTCCAGCTTGGGCAGGTAGAAGTACGGGCCCGAGCCACGCACCAGCAGCTCGTGGGCGTTGTGGAAAAAGTAGAGGCCGAAGTCGAAGAGCGAGCCCGACATGATCTGGTTGTTCACGAGCACGTGTGCCTCGTCCAGGTGCCAGCCACGCGGGCGCACCAGCAGCGTGGCCACCTTGTCGTTGAGCGCGTACTTCTTGCCCGTCTGCGGGTGCGTGTACGAGATGGTCTTACGCACGGCGTCGATGAGGTTGACCTGGCCGTCCACCTGGTTGAACCACGTGGGGGCCGTCGAGTCCTCGAAGTCGGCCATGTAGCACTTGGAGCCCGAGTTGAGCGCATTGATGACCATCTTGCGGTCCACGGGGCCCGTGATCTCGACGCGGCGGTCAGCGAGGTCCGCGGGGATGGACGCCACCTTCCAGTCGCCCTCGCGGATGTACGCGGTCTCCGGCAGGAAGTCCGGGAGCACGCCGGCGTCCAGCTCCCTCTGGCGCTGCACGCGCGCGGCCAGCAGCGCCTGGCGACGCGGCTCGAACTGCTCGTGCAGGAAGGCGAGGAAGCGCAGCGCGTCGGGCGTCAGCACGCGGCGGAACTCGTCCGAGACGTGGCCCAGCACGCGGACGTTGGCGGCGTTGACGTTCAGCTCTGACATGCTTGGTCTGTGTGGAGCGGGGCAAGTGCGTGGGGGCTTCTGCTGCTTGTTGGCGGACGGGATGCGCGCTTGGAGGCAAATAGCGGAATGACCTCACGCCCGCAGTGCGATCCTGAGGGGTAGCGGTTGCCACGACGGAATCCTGACGTGCACGCCTTCAACGTTGACTCGATTTTAGCCAATCGGGTTGAAGAGCCACAGGCTTGTCGCCCGTGTCACGCGGTAGCATTCGGTCCTGAGGACGAACTGCACTCTCGCCATTGCGTTTAACTTGCCGTGCCTTGCGAGCCACAGCGATACTACAGCACATGCTGCGCAGGGGGTGATCGGGGTGATTGGACGGGCACTTTTTATCCCCCGCCCCCCGCATGTGAAAACACCTCCTCGGAACTTCGCTGAAGTGCAGCCGCTGCATGCAGGAAGCGCATTGCGTGCATTCTTGTGGTGATTCGCAAGTATATCATGGGTTCATGCGCTGGGAAGACTCGGAACCCCTTACAGCAGAAGCTTCATTTCCGGTGCCGACGCACAAGGTCAGCTAGTCAAACCAGATGTCGGCATTGCAACTTCAACATGCTTCGTCGTCAAAGTCGCTCAGCGTCGCTGCTGAGTGTGCTTTTGCCTAAGCTTAGGCTCTTTCGCTGCGAGTGTGTCAACATCGATGACTGCATGGTAGAGCACTGCCACTGGGGGGGTTCGCACCGGTAAATCTTCAGTAGGATCTTAAGAAAGTCCAACCTAAATCAATACATGCCTACTCAAGAACACGGCAGACGAGCCGAGAATTTGCAGTAGCGATTTTGCTACTGCAAAAGTCTTCAGTAGGCAACTCAAGATCGGCGAGGGGGAGAAGCTTGTGGGCCATAACGACGGAGCTGCGGCGGCAGCACAGGAAGCACAAGCTCGCTCTTGCTCGCCATCAGACCGGAACGATGGCGGCACGCTAAGGTATGACACACGGTAGGAGAGCTTGCGCTTTGTAACAATCGCAGGGAAGCCGCGTATATGAAGGAATACGTCACGCGTTCGACCAAGCAGACAAAGAGAGGAAGATTCCCCCCTTCACAGCCAGTACGGTGCTGCATTTTGCGGAGCACGAAGTACGGCGACGTCTACGGCAAGTTCGTCGCGTGCGCTGAGACGCGGGTACTGCTGTTTCCTGGTGCGTGCGGCGCCGCCGCTGGCCGCGAGGGTGCTGGTGCAGCGGTTCACGTACCGGTAGGTGCGGACCAACGAGTGCTGCAGTCGCTCACAGCGATGGTCTGCTGCTTCACCGGTTCCATCCTAGTACCTGGTAGTATTAAATGAAGTGTTTATCACCACTATCCATGCCGCGGTCCCTGTTGCTTCTTCATCTCTGCTTAGCTTGCATGCATCTCCGAGGGGGTTCTTCAGCTTCGGAAGACCTCAATCCGAAAGGTCGCGTTTACCAGTGGGAACCTATCTGAAGATTTGCCGGTGCGAACCCCCCCACTGGTAGGGGTCAAACAAGAGTGAAAATGACTCCAATTGGCGGCAATGTTGTGGCGTAAATTTACTCAAGCTTATCCTAGATTCGCACCGGTTGCAGCAAAAGTAGGGGGACAGGAAAAATTATAAGCAAGCCCAGGCACTCGACTATACACCGCATTGAGTGCAACACACACCACGGACCGAAACATGCTGTGTTCAAAGCATTTTCATAATGTGCGATGCCCTCCCTGGATCCAAGGGCATATACGAACACAATGCGTTCGTGAGGCCTAATGCTTGTCGACCACTGCAACTCAATTTGCATGCTAGTCCCATTGGCTCGCAGTTTACCGTTGTCGTACGCTGCGGGGGGATCGAGCTGGCATACTAGTATTTGACTCCGCGATCCCCCCAGTTTACTCGATGGGGGAATATAGTCCACGTTTTCTCAGACGGTGCCAGCGTGTAGTTGTATTTTGGGTGGAAATATGACTTTTACTCAGCTTTTGCCCCCACCGGTGGCAGTGCTCTGACAGTGCTCTAAGAAGTATCCCACAAGCCGTTCCTAGCTGGCTTGCGCGTCGCCAACAAGGGTGAAGTGCGGTCAGCGCCGTGTCAGACAAGAAATTGCGCGGCAATCGCATTCGAACGCGTTGTCTAAAAGAACGCTTATGGGAGCGTCGATATTATCTACTACATAGCACGCAACGAACCTACGCTGCATTCCCCTACTATTCGTATTGGTAAGAGTGTCAAAATCTTCGGAAGAAGGCAGAGAAGCGAGATTTTACAGGACACGCACTGTTAGCGCAATTTCACGAACGATACACGGGTGAAAGTAGACACTGCAGGTGACACATGAACAGTGGAAGTGCTAGTGATAGTCAGCCATTGGTAAAGTGGTTCCGGTTGTCACATTAATGTGAAAACGATATCTTCCTCGACGTATTGTCCGTGCGAAGGTTCATTGCTTGCACTTCTCCCTACATCGCTCACACTCAGTCAAATGACTCCGAAATTCGGTCAAACTTGCCCAACCAATTTGACATTCCTGATTAATAAAGCTACTGCACCCACATACTGCAAACGTCTATCTCTTGGAGCGAGGCCAATGGGATACGAATTGGATTAACGATCTTAAGGAAAGCGATGCACTAAATCCTGATGAAATGACGAATCATGTAGTGCGTGGGGGATATGGCCTACACATCACTGATAATGCCAGGCTCACCAATGTTAGAAGCGACCAAGACGCTGGGCCGATTCTCGTCGACTTGGCCCGGATCCACTCTGGGTTTGTTGGTACGCTTAAGCGTCTTGACAGTGCGCTTCATGCCGAATGCTACCAATCCCACTACTACCGCGACACCAGCACAGACCACTGCACCGACAGCATACCCGGCAGTTCCGCTATCGAACAGTTTAGCGCGGTCTGACGTCTGTGCATTATCTTCGGCCGAGATGCTGCCACCCGATTCAGCCAACAGCATACGCCTCTCCTCGACTGAAAACGAGCTACCCTCATCAGCTGAAGTGATACCTTCGCCGGACAAGGCATAAGCCACACTAGAGGTATTGACAATCTCGCAATAATCCAGGTAGTCGGAGATGTTGGTGGGGAACCTCATGCAGTATCGGCAGCCGGAGTCGCCGATACACCCCGGCGCAAGTCCTTCAGGGCAGTGAAGCGTGTCGAGTACAACGCCGATTCCTCCAGCCGCTTGACCATCCGCCAGTGATACGTTAGAACAAGCTTCCTCTACATCTGGCGAAAACTCCGTTGCCTCATGAACCGCAACAATCATCTCCGATGACGCTGTCTCCAGCGTGTCTTCAACGGCAGGGATCGCCTTGAAATTGATGTCAGCGCCGTTGTCGGTCGAAGGAATATCGGAACAGTTCATGTATGAGTGCGACTGCGTCGTCTCGAACCGCTTGCAGAAGCGGCAAATGCTGTCCACGCAACCTACACCACCATCTCCACAGCGGATGTCGGTGACGATGTCGAGTCCTAGACTCTTGTCCCCGTTCGAAGCCGTTTGGTAGCAATCCAGAGGAATCGAGTAAGCTGAGACCGTCGATACTGGGGCGGTAGTAGGCGCACCAGTAGGGGAAGCGGTTGCAGTCGCGGCAGGCGTAGTAGTAGGCGCCGTTGCTGTTGGTGTAGGGGTAGAAGTTGGCGAGTAGTCCGAGCAGCTCCCCAAATGCGCTGACTGGTCCGTCGTCTTCGTCTTGCAGAGCCTACACACGCTGCTCATACAGCCAAGTCCTCCGCTGGCGCATGTCAAGTCCGTGATGATACCGATTCCCACAGCGGCATCGCCGTCCGACACGGTTGACGTACAAGTCTTGGACGCCGAAGATGTAGTGGGCGTTGGAGTTGGCGTTGAGGTCGAAGCTGTTGCTGTTGTTGAACTGGTAGGGCAGCTGGTCAAATGCGCTGACTGAATAGTATCCGTTGTCTTGCAGTATCGACAAATACTGTCGATGCAACCAGTTCCGCCACTTGAACAGCTCGAGTCAGTCACGATATTGATACCAACTGCAGCATCTCCAGCGGAGACCGTCGTAGTGCAGGAACTTGCACTTGTTGCCTCCAGACTATCGGCGCTGCTTGAAAGAAGCAGTCTAGTTGGCGCATCGGAATCACTCACAACTGGGATCGGTACGAAAGTGATGTCAGCGCCGATATTTGATGGCGGGATGCTGGAGCAATTGATGTACGTCTGCGATTGAACTGTGTCAAAGCGCTTGCAGAAACGGCAGACGTCATCCAAGCATCCAGTTCCACCGTCACTGCAGCGAATATCCGAGACGATGTCCAGACCGACACCTTTGTCACCACTTGATACCGTGCGGGAGCACTCAAAAACAATAGAAGTGGTAGTAGATGGTGCCGATGTCGCTGCCGGAGCTGTCGTTGCCGGGGCTGTTGTTGCAGGAGCTGCCGTTGCCGGAGCCGAAGTCGATGGTGCCGTTGTCAGCGGGGCAGTGGTTGGCGCTACCGTAGTAGCTGCAGGCGTAGTGGTTGGGGCTGCTGTGGCCGGACTAATAGCTGTGCCCGTGATTGAGGCGCAGTCGACGAATGACGCGGACTGGGCAGAAGTAGTGACTCGGCAGAATCGGCACACCTGATCAATGCATCCCAACCCGCCACTCGCGCAGCTAGAATCAGTGACGATGTTGATACCGACAGCAGCATCTCCATCCGACACTGTCTGGCTGCAAGTTTGCTTCGTTGCGGTCGGAGCTGGCGTTGAGGCGGTGGCTACTGGGGCTGTGGTTGGAGCCGACGTAGTGGCTGCAGGTGCCTGCGTGGCCGAAGCGGAGCTTCCGATCAGGGCACAGTCGGTGTAAGTTGCAGATTGCGCAGTTGTAGTCACTCGGCAGAATCGGCACACGCTGTCGATGCATCCCAATCCACCGTTGGCGCAGGAAGTATCCGTGACGATATTGATACCGACCGCAGCGTCACCCGCTGATACTGTCGTTGTGCACACCTTGGTGGCAACAGGGCAGGCATTCAGGTGCGCTGACTGAGTCGTGTCCCGCGTTTTGCAGAAGCGGCAAATACTGTCGATGCATCCGACGCCTCCGCTGGCACAACTCGCATCAGTGGTGATGTTAATCCCGACCGCCAAATCGCCATCCGCCGCCGTTGTGGTGCACAGGGTAGCAACTCCCGCCTCGAAGGCCTCTTCATTTCCGCTGTTGCTTGATGATAGGATTGTTTGGGAAGCCTCGGGCTGGTACTCATCACTGTTATTCAGGACGAAGTCGACATCGCCAGTGTCGCTGGACCCAGAAGTCGAATCAAAAGCCCACGAGCACGACACAAACTGCGACGACTGTGGCGTTGTTTCGATCTGGCAGAACCTGCAGTGGTCGCTGAAGCAGCCAATGCCCCCATACAAACACGAAGGATCGGTCATTCCAGCAACTCCGACCACAGCGTCACCACTGGAAACATTACAGGGGCCTTGCGAAACAGCCAGAGGTGTCATGGTGGGGAAAGAAGCACCAAGCGACTCGCAGCTCTCGAGGTGGGCCGACTTCAGAGTATCGAGCACTTTGCAGTACCGGCAGTGGTCATTGTAGCAGCCAAGACCACCACCAGCACACGCCGGGTCGGTAATCACTTGGATGCCAAAGCTCTTGTCTCCGTCCGAAACTCCGCACTCCTGCAGCAACTCAGCCGCAACCGATCCAGAAGCTGAGTCGACGTCGCTGGCCTCGGCACGCACTGCCAGGACTCCGCCAGTCGATAGTGCATACATTGCTGCAAGCGCCACGAAAGACCGCAATCCCCCGCTTGAAGAGTACACCATGACGGCCACAGTCAATCGTTCGGTTCCTCTTGTCTTCACGTCCAGACTCTGCCGAGTGAAACACGTTTGAAAATGCTATGGGTGCATGTAGCGCTTCATATGCGACGCAAGGAGCCATGGGATCAACTCTATGAATGGTTTCAACGACGCCAGCGCTTGATTGATCCATCTCATGCCTCATGTCTGTATGATCTATTGTCAGCTCCGTGGTCATTTTGCTTGAAGCGCTGTTGAACAGCAAGGAGCTTGCGAGATTGTTCTTCACGCGATACTGCGGTGAAAACGTCACTGAGGTTCGTTGATCCGTTTCACGAACACCAGTCACAGCGAAAACCAACTATAAATCTGTAGACGGGCGCTGCTAAACACCGTGCGTTTGCCACCGGTAGACGCGATCGCGCGCTATTCGCCTTCCCAATGACAAAAGGGATAGTTGCTCGCATGAAGCCACCTGCAACGTGAATTCGCGGCGCAAGTCAAAAGAAAATGCTGTGTTAAAATAGTATGCGAGTGACACCTAGCTCGGTGTGATGCGATCATGATGGTTTGCAGAAGAAGTCTTCCCTGACAGGTAGCAGTACGGCTTACTTGGCACTGGGCAAAGCGATACTTGTAGACTTCGAGTTGTAGCAGCTCGACAATCCCGGGGTCGAATCGTTAACAAATAGCTTCCCCTCACTGGAGCAGGCTATACGACAAGACATCTACTTACATGCTTTCGCATTCGCAACTGGATACAGGCACAGCAGCCTAAAGCCATCGTGGTAGACTCAGTAGGTCTAGATCGTGTCGAGTTGCTGGTCCTTTGACCGGCTGGGCTGTTAGGATTCTTTCAGTAGTCCAATATACCTCATCATCATCAGGTACTTGCAGAAACTCTGCAAGGAATGCCAACTTGTCTTAATTAATAGCAAACCTTTTTAACACACAAGATTCCCAGTTGCCGGCGCGATTGGTGGCCATCTTTTAGTCTACCCGTAGTGGCCAACCAATTGTGTTGTTGAAGCTTGGACCTAGACGATTCCGACCCCCAGATATCTGCCTTGTGCACCACACGTTTTGGTTTGCGAAAGCTTGCAGGAATGCGCTGCGGGGACGAGCTCGAACCGCAGCCGACCAATATGAATCTTTTCCTTGCGTTCTTGCGCAGCAAGAGATGCTGTGCGTGAATTTCACTTTTAAAAGAAAAAGACAACGAGATTGTCGCTTTCATATGTCTGCAAAACAATAAAACTGCTGTTGTTGCTGCTGTTCTTAGACAATTTCCTGGATTTGACAGCCTCTTCGAAAGAATTTGTCTCTATGTACCAACAACAATTCGTCCTAACCGTGCAGCCGCGTATTTCCAGTGGGAAGCACTGCTTACGGACACCCCCCAAATGTCTATGACGAGTTGCAGCTGAAGAACCAGGCTGCCGTTACTTACTGCACTACAGTGAAGAAACACTCGCGGTTGTAAACACGACACCACCAAAAAGAGAGAGTGCGTGCGTGTTTGTGGCGGTCCACATGTACTGTAGCTCTCGACGATGACGTCGGTAAAATCAATGCACTACTATTACGCGAAACCCCCTGCACTGTCGCCACCTCAAGAAAGACAACTCGCTCGACAGGCCTAACGAGCTTGGTTGGGTCGGTCGAGTTCAGCACGATGGTGACGAGCAAGCCGCGAATCTCACGTGTTGTTCGGAAGCCGCCATAGTTTTTGGCCATAGTTTTGGTGGAGTTGTGTGCACTTTCTCTACCATGAAGCGAATCTCCGAGATTCATCGCACCTTGAAGGCGGAAGATCGAGTGTGACGGCTTCTGGGCCCCAAGCACAGCTTTTCTCCTAATGCATCGAGGCTTCCGGAATCTCTGCAAACACGGCGGCACTCATCACTTCCCAATCGCTCAGGTGAGGGCTAGATAAACCCCTCAACCCTCGGAATCCCCCACCACCTCGTCAATTCAGTCGCCATGAAGTTCGGCAAAGGCTTGCTGCAGGAAATTCTGCAGAGCAACCCGGAGTGGGCCCCCTTTTGGCTCAACTACAAAATACTCAAGAAGCGCATTAAAGCCGTAACCCGAGCAGCGCACCACGCCGTCAATCAGCGCGACATCTGTACGTGAAAGTGAATGTTCGTCCCCTTTCAACCTCGTACGTAAGTATTGACCCAGCTTGAACCTATTGCAGCCGAATCCGAACTGGAGGTAGCGTTCTTCCGCGACCTGCAGGCAGAACTCAAGAAGATTTCGCTCTTCTACGCTGCCGAGGAGAAGCGCGTCGCCTTCCGCTACCAGCAGCTGCGTTCTGTCCTTAAGACGCTCAAGGTGCGTGGCCGAACAGACTGGTTGTCCCTATAGAGCGCTTCTGATTGTTGTGATGACGTTGCTCTTCCAGAAACGAGAGAAGATTGAGGCATCTGAGGCTCAGCGACTCATGTTCGCCTTCGTCCACTTCTACCGTGAGTGCATTCGTCTCGAGAACTTCGCCGTTATGAACTATCAGGGCTTTTCGAAGGTGGGTTCTCTCCTCTAGTGAAGCCGGGCAACACCAACCGTTCTCTAACTGCTGATGCACCTCAGATCCTCAAGAAGCACGACAAGATGACGGGTTACAACACGCGGTCCAAGTACATGCGCCGGAAGGTGAATCTGTCGTCGTTCTCCAACTACCCGAGCCTGCTGCAGATCTTGGCGAGTACGGAGGAAATGTTCCACGAGGTGGAGCGTGACGCCCGCATGGCACCCGCCGTGTCCAGCATGAAACTCAACATTGAGTCAAAAGTGACGCCGGTTGCTAGCAGCACCCACGTCCTGGCCCCGGTGGTCCATATCCCGCCTACTTCCTCTGCTGCACCAGGAAGCTCGTCCACGCCCGTCGGAATGACCGCGTCGCTGCCTCCGAAATTCCCGTCTCCCCACCTAACTCCCTCCAACTCTTCACTTGCCGCCGCCTCCTTCCCCGCCTCGGTCTTGTGGGCTTCTGAAGAGCAGGAAACAGTCCACCATGAGCAGAAATTTCAGCTGTAGCTTGATACGAGTCATTGAAGTCCAGCAACAATCTATCCACGTCTAATTTATCGGCAGCAGTTCGACCAGTGTCCAATTCAAGTCCACAACCCGAATTTCAATTGAGTTTTCATTCTACAACATCAAATTTCAGATTTCGTGCGATCTTTTCCAGACCTACTATTGGTCGATAAATCTCGAATATCACGATTCCACGTTCACTCCCCCTTCGACTGAAGCGATCATCAAGACACGCACGTCATGGCTCAACTGCTCCGCGCTGCAGGTGCGCGCGTGCTCACGGCTCCGACGCTCACCCCCTACTACTGCAGCTAACACATCTGTATGGCTACATTTCAGCAAATGGAAACCTCGAGAAGGTGATCGAGCTGCGCAGCGACTGGGGCTTCCAGAACAAGAAGGGCGAGTCCGGTACGACTGCAACAAATGTGACTTTTATCTAAGCTGCTGTGATAGGGGCATGTTAAGTAACAACTGTTCGTCATTTTTGTGTTACTTCGTTAGTGCTGCACGTGGCGGTGGCTGAAGACCGACTGGAGATCGTGCAGCACCTCGTGTCCAATGGGGCCATGCTCAACCTGCAGGAGAAGAAGCGCCGCTTCACGCCGCTGATGTTGGCGCTGGCTCAACAGCCGCCGAGCTTTGAGGAAATCTTCCAGGCGCTGCTCAAGGGCAAGCCTGACCTCAGTCTGCAGGACTCTTCGGGACAAACGGTGCTTCATCTAGCGGCGGGTACAGCAATGATCCTTTGGCTTATGCAAACAGACCTATGGTGACTCGTATTTACTGAAGTGCGTTTGTTTGTGGTGTGCTGCACCTATAGAGTACGAGGAGGTGGACTCATTGAAGCTGCTGCTGAGGGCGAAGGCTAAGGTGGATGCAGTCGACAACAAGAAGATGACGGCACTCCATGTGGCGGTTGCCAAGGGGAACCTCGAGATCGTCCAGTTGCTGGTTGAAACGGGCCGTGCTAACGCCAACGTGGTGGACGCCAAGGGAAACACTCCACTGTAGGTGGACCTGTGACCACGATGACGGTGCTGGAGTTGGTGCTAATACTTTGGGTGGAAATGCTGATCCGATGTAGGCATTGGGCGTGTATCAAGAACGGAGACGGTCAACTTGAGTTGATCAGCTACCTCATCTCCAAGGTTCGTATTGCAACGAAAGCCGCTGGAGACATCGGGGCTAATCGTCGCATTGCTGTGTATGAAGGGCGCCAAACCCCTTAAGAACGCCCACGGAAACACGCCCTTGCATTCGGAAGCGATGCACTGCGATTCGTCTGGAAATTGGCCGAGTGCAGCTGCGGAGACGCTGACCACTGCATTCCCGGATTTGATTGCTGAAGTGAACAACAATGGGCTAACTGCCCAGCAAACGTTTGAGCAAGATATTGATGCCGAGGAGCCGGTGGAAGATAAGTCGCCAGCCAAGTCGTCGAAGAAGAGCGGGCGCCGAGGCAAGGGTGATGACGAGGAGCAGTTTCAAGAGAACACTGCTGCTGCTCGAGCCGGTACGTGACACTTCAGTAGTAAACTTGAGGCCGTTGTGTATGTATGTATGGAAGCTAATCATGTATCGCCAACATTAAAACTGTGCAGCCGCTATCGCTCACTCGAAGAAGAAGATCTCCAAGAACAACAAGGAAAGCAGCGGCATGGCTCCGTACATGTGGGTTGCCCTGATTTTTGCTGTTCTTGCTGTCTTGAATGCCATGTTTTCGACGTAGTTTTACAGTTGAAGCGCAAGCTAAGACGTAATCTTGGAGCCCTGTCGAGAATCACCCAACCAAGTTTCTGCCTCCTAGATCGATGTAAATTGCTACGCAAAGCCAAGGGTTCGAGCAGTGTGCTGTTCTATTTGAAATTAGTCGCATACATCCGATGAAGACGATTCATCGTCATCGTGGCACTCCTGTTCCTCCTCTTCATCCTCTTCTCCAACATCAGCTTCATCTTCAATAAACTGATTCCTTCCCCGAGAACGACCAGTAATCTCATCCTCTTCCTCCGAATCGGTCTCACCCTCGTAAGGGTCCGCATCATCATCCTCGCTATCATCTTCGTCCAGGTCTTCTTCTGATCCTTCCACTTCACTGAATTCGCTGTCGTCATGCGCGAGGAAGCCCTTCAAGTTGCCGTTTTCATCGACGTCTTCCTGGTCTAAACGACTAGGGAAATCCAGCCGATCTGTCAGATCAGGTAGGTCGAGCAAGATTTCATCTTGATTTCCATCGAGGTCGTCAAAAATATGTGACAGCAAGACTTGCTGAACCAACGCAATTTTACGCTCAAGCTGCCAGTGCTCACACAATTGCTTCAACAAGCAACCGACGTCGCACACCGTCGACATGCTTTCCATAAGCGGATGCAGCAGCTCCATCACTTCAGTATTCGACTCCATCAGGGCCACCCGACGCTCCAAGGCGGAGACAAATGCCGGGTCACGCACACTCAAGTGTCCGTTCTCTAAGGCCGACGCCATTTTGTTCATCAGCACTCCGGAGTTGCCAGATCCAGCCTCGAAGACTTGCATCAGGTGCTTCGCGGACAAGTTGATACCCAGTCCTTCAAGGAAGTCCACACTTACAAGTTCGGGGCACGTGTCGAGAAGGAAGTGCGCGGTTTTGCTCTCTTTGAACTTCCACTCAGCAGCAAATAATCGAACAAGCCGCCCAACCTCCACGAGCTCCCAACGTTCTCGAGCAGCCGAATCAATAAGACGCGAGTACAGCGATGCGTCGTCGCTGTGATCAGAATCAACACCACTATCCTCCTCGCTTTCAGATGAGTCGTGCGTTAGCGGAACAACAAAAGGCGCCACCGCCTTTACTACCCGTTTGGGAGCGACTAAGGTCTTAGCCGATTCCTCTCGAGCTGGCAAGAACATGTCGTTCTTCTTCTTTGCATCCTTGGCAAGAGATGCTGCAATCGGCGTCAAAGGCTTGGTAGGTTTTGTATCCTTTGCCTCGTCCTTCGCCAAATTCTTCTTCACAGACGAAGCTGCACCTTGGGTGACTGCTTTGCTCTTTTGTGGTGATGACATGATCTTCGCCTTCTTCCCTAGCGCAGTTGATTTAGCGTTGCTAGCAACTTCACTATGGCGCTCGTCCGATAACACGAGCGGTTTCCCTTGTCTTGGCTTTGCAGCAACGACGGTCTTCGGCGACGCACTGTTCATACCATTCACCTTGGGAGATTTTTTTCGCTTCTTGCGTGAGCCTGGCGACTTTGGTGCTGGTGCAACAGGTTGACTGGGGGCAGAGCCATTCACGATGGTTGACGGCTTGGCTCCAGCAGAGGAAGAAGCGTCGGCTTTTTCTAATGGTTGTGGCGGCGTTGCGGACGCAGTGTTTTCATCGTTGGCCTTCACTGGAGCGCGCTTCAGTTTCCTTAGCTTTTTCTTCATACTCCTCTTCTGACTCCTCGATAGAGTGCCAGCAGGATGATTATCCACGTTACCATTCACTTCAGCTTTCTGTAATTGGTTTGGTGACTGGCTCGGCTCAACTGTCTTCGACTTAGCAGGTTCAGCATCCTTTTGGTTCTCCACAGTCTTAGGCTCAGTAGGTTCAGCAATCTTTTGTTTTTCCGTCTTCTGCGCAGCAACCGCTTTGCCAGTCGCGCTCTTCTGTTTCTTGCGAGGCGGCTTCGTCGCTTGCTTCTTCGCCATCTCCTTCATGCTCCCGAGCGCCTGTTCCAACGGGTCCACGCCCTCATCGTCGTCCTGAGCATCTCCACTCTGCATGGAATGCCACTGAGGCGCCTGAGCCGCGACCTGCACCTTTGTCGTCTTCTTCACCGTCTGCACTGTCGTGATCAGCTGCTTCTTCGTTTTCTTATTATCCTTCACCACATGCGTGGCCACTTTCGTCTTGACCGCTTCACTTTTGACGACGGTCGGCATCCCTGGCACCTTGATGACTGCGGGGCCCGCATTCTTCTTCTTCTTCTCCTTCTTCACCTGCACGGGCTCAGCCGAATTCTTCTTCGTCTTTTTCTCCTTCTCCTTCTTGGGCTTCGCGTTGAACTTGACCATGGGCACAGGCTCTCCGTCGTCCTCGTCTCCGCCCATGCCCTTGTGCTTCTTGTGCTTCTTCTTCGCCTTGAAGGTCACGCGAGTGGCCTCCGGGGCCGCGACTGCTGCCTCCTCCTGCGGCAGCTCGAACATCCGCGCGTGGAAGGCTTCCAGCCGCTTGCGGGCGTCATCCTCGCCGCCCTGCTCGACCTGGAAGCTCTCGGCGCGCCGCCGCCTCTTGTTCGCCATCGCTAATTGAGCTGTTGGCTCTAGGACCAGCAGCTTTTTCCGCCAATGAAACGACAGATTAAATTTGAGCTGGCCAATCACGGGCGACTCAAACGTGCGACTTGTGACAAGAGCAACTTATTCCTATCTTTGGTCAAGATGAGACCGTCGGCTGTGGCTCTTGGATTCGTTGCCTTCGCGGTGTGTTGTGCACTGGGATTGTATGGACATTGCCAGCGTGACGGAGAGTTTAAAGCGTGCGAGAAAACTAGCAAGCAATGTCGGCGCGAGATGATGCGGTCCAAGCGTCGCAATCATAAGGACCAACGACTTCAGGCCAAGAAGCTCGCAAAAAGCCAAGCGTTAGCTGCCGAACGGGCCGAGATGACCGAGGAGCAGAAAACTGAGCTGCGAGAGCGGATCCGCATGCAACGAGTGGAGCAATACGTAAGGACTGCTACAATAGGGGCGATTGAGTTGCGGTTATGAATGTACTAAGTGTTGGTCGTGGTGTGTGCAGCAAAAGCTGGAGGAGGCTCAGTTGCGTGGGGTTCGCGTCGTGGTGGACTTGGCATTTGCAGTGGATCAGACAAGTCGAGTACGAATGCTTGGAGATGGGTGTATTTGTGGAGTGCTATAAGTGCTTATGGTGCAGTCGTTTGCTTGTTTTGCAGGAGCGCAATAGCATCCTGAAGCAGCTCGGGTGTGTTTTCGGATACCTGAAAAGCTGTCCGCTGGATAACCTCGTGTCGCTGCATCTCGCATCCTGTGCGCAAGAGCTTGCTGCTGTGTGCGCCCAGCATGGCGCACTTAGCTGGAAGGTACGACCATTTCTACTATTGCTGCTGGATGCTGTTGCTTACTGCATGCTGGGTGTACGGACAGATTGGAAGGCATGAAGAACCGCTGGAAGAACTGTACGACGCTGACGAGATTGTCTACTTATCGCCAGATTCAGACAACGTACTCGAGACCCTTGATCCAGCTTGCGTCTACGTCGTTGGTGGCATCGTCGACCGCTCTGTTCGCAAGGTACAAAAGTTACAACTGTCTCGTTCACAAAAGCTTAGTTTTTGCTAAATGGTACCTGCCTTTCAGGGTCAGACCATGACGAAGGCGACTGAGCGTGGCGTTCGAACGGCTCGACTTCCGCTTCAAGAGCACTTTGCTCGATCTGGTGCGAGGGTTCGAACGCACATCATGAACCTCGACTCTGTCATCATCGCGCTGAACGAGGTCGCCAACCATGGCGACTGGGGCCGCGCCTTTGAACGATCGGTACCTGCTCGAATCACGCGCTGTAAGGGAGCTTAGAAGAAGTGCTCTTGATAACCATGTTGATTCATTGAAACTTGGCGATAATTCATTCAATCGTGTGAACATGAAATATGCATATATAATTCCACTATGGATGGCTTGCTCACTCGCCGACTATGGTTGCCATTCCTGCTATAACGCTGGAAACTGCGGCGGTCGCGGTTGCCGTTGCCGTCGCGGCAGCATTGGTCCAGTTGATGCCCTGGCCAGCTCGTTGAGCGACGGTCGTGTTGTCGGCGTCGATAGACTGGCAGTGGGTTATGGCATACACGAGCTTGTCATGCATCACTTCACGGCACGAGTAGGCTGGCAGGTCGATGGAAAAGAAACCTGTGGAGCATTCAATCTCTGTCAGTTCTGAAGGTAGAAAGTAGCCGCGTGATGAAGCATTGCGACACTTACAGGTATGAGCAATAGGCAGGTACATGTCGGCACGTCCTGCAGCCTTGGGCAACCCTGATATTTTGAAGTCTTGTGTGAAGTCTGCAGCATGCGTCGGCAAACGCGATCGCCCCCTGTAACACAACACAGTCCAACCCTGTTAGAATCCACTCGATCATACCAAATGCAACGCCTACGAAGATTCCTTACCAGACGAATCGCAGGAAAGAAGACTTCTGCTCGTCACTGAACTCGCCCAGAACGTCCCAGAAGTAGGCAATGTGCGGGTCGGTTGCTTGACAGCCGTCACCGTATATGGTTCGTCGTCGTAGCAGAGCAATATCGACGGACGGCTTTCCACACACAAGCGTCCGCAACTCATGCCACGAGAAAAGTCCCAGTGTAGGGGCTGGAAGAATTGTTGCCAATCCGCGTGACATATCCGCGCACACTGGTGCAAACTCAGTTAGCCGGTATGTTTCGACTGCACACGCATACTCCTCGCGATCATCCCAAGTCACATGCAAGTGTGTTCCCCCTGGAACAAGCTCTACTGTCTCGCGAGTGCTCGACAGTACTGTAAAGCTTGCGTCCACGATCTCATCGAACATGGCCTCGGTAATACCGTGAGCGGCCAGGTTAGCTATCGTATCCACCACTTGGAAGCAGCCCTGATGAATGACCTCAATATCGTGGCGTGCCACCTGCTGCCCCACCAAAAGCTTCCACACAACTGGAGGAAGGTTCAGATCCAAAGGCGTCTTGGTACGCACCGCTATACCAGCAAGTTTTCCGAGAAACTCGGCCATTTGCACTCGTCGTGGGTTTGAACGAAGGTGTGAATTCGGAACAAACAGCTCGCGATTTTCGCCTGTACTCATCAGAGCGTTGGGGCATGGTCGCAACACCGGCAGTAGTGGCGTGAAGGTCTGCAATTCGGAGCTCAATTGAGCTAGGCATTCGCGGTACAAACCACCGAAATCGTCACCGAACTCGCCTACAAACTGGCACTTGAAAGCGCGATCAGCTCCACGTAGTAGAGTAGGCTGAAGGCCATGCAGCTGCTCAAACGTCTGCGCAAACACACTGTCACGCTCACCAGCTTCGCTAGCGAGGGGATCACCATGTTCCGAGAGTTCTAAGGCGTCATGCGCACGATGACGGTCAACCTCGATTTCTGGACGAGCTGCTGCCGGTGCTTGTTGCTCTTTAAGAACACCAAGCCACCATGCAAGCTTCACATGCTGGAACACCACGCCGCGGAGAGCGCGTGCGCCTCGTGCTAACAACGACCGTTCGTCTTGAGCCGAGAAATCAATGAAGGCTAGCGAAGTCTGCAGACGACAGTTAAAGTTACGGAGCACCAAAAAGCGGCGCTGAAGTGCTTCCAAAGGAATACCCCGCAGAGCGGGGAAGGCTCGGAGCTGCTCCTCTGTGGGGGCAAACTCCTCCGGCGCCATGCGGAGAGGATCACAGCTGAGAAGAGCTTCGGCACGAGACTCGCATATCTCGTTCACGAGCTGCACGAGAGCACAGTCGCGTGCTGGAGTAAATACTCGTTGTGATGCGTGCAAGCGGCGCAGTTTGGAGCTGTACTTGGTCGCCAATAAACGACGTCCGGTAACTGAGAATTCCGGAACGACTGTAAACGCTACACCCCATTTGGTGTCCCCAGACGACTGTTGCTGTTGCTGCTGAAGCTCTGTTGTGTCACCGATAGGGACTTCTTCTGCGGCTCGAACGGCATCAACATCTCCATCAATGGGTGGTGGTGGAGGGATGGAAGTCGCATCTGACACATCGCCGTCCAAATTCTCGGACAGAGCTAGTGCTTGTTCTTGCAAAATCTGACGATGGCGGGCGCGGCGCGCGACTGCTTCGGCTTCTTCCCGAACGAGTGCTTCCATTGCATGCATGTTGGCTAAGATGAAGTCTGCCGCCTGCTCAGCATCATCCTCACAGTGGCGTAGGGCGTAGATACACCAGTCCATTGGGAAGCCCATCTGACTTAGCGCGATACCCAACTCCATCCGGAAGTTCGGGATAGCTCCATCACCTACACCCCCCTCGCCGCTTACAAACCCTCCCAGATCTTCTTCTTCTTCACTGTAGTACGAGTCCTCTCCACTTGCGAGTCCGCTTCCGGTCCGGGGTAAGCCAGGTTCAAGACCTCCATCTTCGACGCGGTGGCCACCGATGAGATCAATGGAGTCGCGTTGGTTATACAAAGCAAACCCAGGGTAGAACGTGCCTTCGAGTTTGGGACCGGTTCCTCCAGGACCAAAAGCGACGCCCAAATCCTTCCCGTTGAGAGCATAGCTAAGAGTTCCACGCCGCAAGTCCAGCGTGAGTCGGACAACATCCCCCGTCTTAAACTTGTCACCGTAGGTACCTCGTTGTTTACTGCCATTATGCCAAAGCGCACGGTTGCCGATCCAGCCCCACCCGCGGTTATCTTTTCCAAGGTAGGAGTCGAGACGCACATCCTTACGAGCGATACCCAGGAAGATGTTCGAACTCGCGGTCACAAAGGTAATCCGGACCTCCCAGATATGCACCCCGCCATCGAAACGCGCCACGCCAATTGCAGTTTGCCAGCCCTTGTCGCGCACAAGTGACAGTCTTGTGTCTCGAGCTTCAAGCTTCAGATATGGACCTTTGCGCACGCGGTCCACTCGGCATTGGAAGTTGGACTGCACAGGGAATCGCCACACGAAACTGTCACCATCAATGGTGACCTCCTGGCCTCCACAAGAGCCCGTGAAAGCACGCACTTCAGCTTCGCCTCCGCCGCTTGTCGTCTCTTCGGCCCCACCTTCACCTCCGGCATTACCCCCTCCTTGCAAAATCTGGAGGCAGTGGGAACTGGCCGTTTCGCTCTGAGGAGCAAGCCTGACACGAATACTGGTTGCCAGAGGAATACTGACAAGAGATTCTTGTAGTTCCAAGTCGTAAGGATGCGCACTCTCCACGCGAATGCATACATCCTCCGATATGTCCGACAAAAAGTTGTCGGCAGAGAGCATAAACTCATCCGGAAGTTGAGCCACAGCTTCATTGTTTTCAGGAACCTCCTCCGTTCCTGTCACTTCGCTAGGTCTGGCCGGATCCATGAGTGCCTTCATCACACCGTAAACCTGGCTTAGTGGTTCGAACCACTCGAAGGCACTCATAAGGTTGTCGCAATCCAAAGAGTGGAAACGGAAGCTGAAGTTGGCGTTCTTCGCTGACGCAGTCGCTGTAGCTCCCATGTTAGCCAGTAGCTTGCAATCGGCGTTAAAGGAAATAGTGGGGTGAAGCTGCTGAGGACGTGAAATGCTTGAGAAGGCTGTGCCTAGTAGCTGGCCATTCTTGCAGAAGAAAATTTCTTGCGTGTCCAGGCGTAAGCCACAGCCAAACACGTCACCAGGGCTCACTGCACCAGCCGGTTCTACCCAACGCCAGCGATCTACGCTGGTATCTCCAGCAGATAGAACTTGCCCACTAGCCGGCGTGAAAGAGTAAGACCGTGAGCCATCAGCGCTTCCGCCCACCAATACTCCTTCCAGAGGAAAAGAAGGCGGCGAGAATCCCACAGCAAGTGAGCCACCCATGTTCGCACTGGTGCTCCACTCCACGACAGTGACTTCAAAATACACGATTTCAGCCTTCACTTCATCCTGCATGGTCATCACCAGAGCTGGCGTGTGTTCCAATCGGCAAGAATACACGTCTCCAGGCGGCGCTCCAAGTCCCTCAGCTGCCAGTGCTTCCCTGGCTGCTGCATTGCTCCCATCGTCAGCACGGAAGTCCAGCAAGAACTTACGCTCTTCTCCCGACAGGTGCCGAGTGACTGCCATCTTTGACGAATGACTCACCAGCATCTCCACGAACGGTTGCTTCGCAAAGTGGAATCCATACGGGAGGCTCAGCGAGTTGCCGCCATCACGTTCTAGACAAGCTGCAAGCTCTTGTACACGCTGCGCGCGTTGTTGATCTTCCACCGCCAGCATTAACTCCACAAAAGCCTGTAGAAGGGCATGCAATGTGAAGCCGCCATCCTGGTCCTGACTCAGAGCCATGATCTTGGACCGGCAGTACAGAAGGGCTTGCTTGTCATACCAGTGCCCACCTCGCTGAATCACCGTAATAAGTGATCGTACAAGCGAGACGGCAGCCTGGCCACTTGACGGTTGATTTTCGCGTAATACCTGCTGCACCAGCGCGAATAGTGCTGCCGGCAGCTCGGAACGCAACTGTGTTGGTGGTGTCGGTTTGTCTTGGGGAATACTCGGCAACAGCTTGTGGTACTTCAGCAAAACTTCGACGAAGGCGAGCACATTGTCAACACTAACTGGTGCGCACAGAACCAGATCTTCGTCCGAGAGACTTAGCGCAAATGCAGTACTAGGCTCGCCAGCGTTTTCGTCGTTCAGTGTGACAACAGGCAACAGCAGTCCGCTGCTGAAGTCAGATTCGACGGCCCAAAGAGAAGTCTGCACGACTACATCGTTGGCGACTGGCAGCAGTAGTTGCATCCGAGACGTGTCAATAGACTGGTTCTTAGTACCACGAGCCTGGCCAGAGTTGTCGTTCTCGCCACCCGCATTCTCTTCATCCTGAGCTTCGTTCTCAACCTCGATCGTTGTTGGAAGCTCGACACCTCCACCCCCTGTCGAGGCAGGTGAAGCTGCGCGCCACACACAATGAAACGCGTCAACAGGCTTGACGAGATCTTCCCGTACGCAGCGCGTGCTAGAAACGTCAGGAGGTTCAAAGGGGTCTTCCTTGCTCCCAGTAATACAGCCCAATGCCACATACCCGGGCGGTGCAACAGGCCACCATATCGAGCGTAGTTGCTTGCGCTGGAAGTCCGGATCACTTTCGGAATTCCGGGGCAAGCCTTTGCCGGTAACGTCGACCCGTTCAAAACTCACAGGTGGCAGTAAAAGCCCTTGCTCCTCGGAGTCGCTGAAAAGGAGCATAGGCGCATCCGGGGCTCCATTGCCACACTTTACAACGTCACCCAGGCAATACCACTTGTTAGCCCCGGGCGTTGCAGACTCGAGCGCTGCTGGCAATGTTGGCCGCCAAACTGTCACCGCATGATCTGCCGCTGACTTCATCCATGCATTATCATTGCCCACGGACGATGCAAACCGCTTCCGCCACTTGTGCCGATGCTTGAGTAGCGGATCCGGTGGTGGGATGCTCCATAAGCGTTCGTATGTATCAACTACCAAGACTTCAAGACCACACGAGAGCAACATCGGTCCCTTGGGGAAACATCCATCAGTCTTGCGGACTCGAAGGGGAGAGCTATCCCAGTTTAAGTTCGTAACGGGAGCTGCATGCGTACGAGAAAGAATGTGCAGGATCGTCTCGAATGTGATGCTCTCCAGTGTGCAAGAGAGCCTTTGGTCGTTAATATCCTCTCCGGCGTTGACTCTGTTCTGGTCGCTCTTGACAAGAGCCTCAACAAGTCGACTCATGCCTGACCAGCCAACTTTCGTTGGGTGCTCCGTCATTTGATCGATTGATCGCTGCAGCGTCGATAGATTTTGGGATGAGCTCAGGTTCCCAGCTAACGTTTGCGTGGGAGAGCGCGCCATCACCTCACGTGCCATGCGCGAGAGGATCTGTTGGACCTTTCCACTCTTTTGTGCCTTCGGCTGCTGATGTAGCTGGTACTCTTGCTCGCATGCAGTGCTCGTATTGCTCTGACTGGGCGCATTCAAGAGCGAAATTAGCCGCCGAAGCACCACTGGATTGCCGAGTTCGCTCAGTTGGACGTCCCCATTTTGTGATGCGCTTTGGAATAGCCTCACAATTTGAAGCAGGATCTTGCGTGCGTGAATTGCGGCGAGACGCTCGCATAGCGTCTCTTCCTCTAGGTCGATCTCAAACGAATTCATCTGTCGAACGCCGTCATCGAAGCTGCTGTTGCACTCACTCCAGAGCGTGAGGTCCGTCTTCGCCGGCAGATATTCCAAGCACGTCGTACCGAGGCTTTCCATTTTCTTGGTTTTTACCGGACTTCCGTTTCCTCTGGTGCCGATCCGTTGAGGCACAGGGGGACACAATGCGCTCGATTCTGTCAGAGCGTAACTTGGGTTTTCGTCGCCAATGTCTTGGAAGTTAACCAACGGCTCACTCGCTACTGGTCCATTAACTCCAGAAGGCGTCATACTACCCCCCTTTGTGGTGAGAGTATCTTGGTGCCTGGGTGAAAGCACTGAACTCTCAAGCTCTGCACCTCTAGCTGACAGCAGCAAGCGCAATGCATCGCCATACTTGTTATCGGTTTGACGAAGAGCTTCCGCACACACTGGCTCGGTTCTTCCTAGCACCGTGGCTAAGTGACGCACATTTGAAGGGTAGACACGCTGCGAATCACCAGAAAGCTGCAACGGTTAGTGTTAGATCCTTACATGTATGTGTAGATGATGATGCAATAGTTAGGAACGCTTACCGAGTCTGAACCACGACTACGTTGGATTACCGAAAACGCTTCGTCCATACTACCAGCCGTCATGCGGAGGGCCTCCTCGCACTCGGTAGCGCTGGCTGCTATATTCGCTTCTTGAACTCGAGCAAGAAGACGAAGAGTTAGCACTTGCATTTCCTGGAAGCCAGACGCCGTGTTCTAGACATAGTTCATAATGCAAGTTTACACGACAAAAAATAATCGTTAGCACGAACACACCCAAGACGAGACAGTATGCCATCTAACAGAAGAATACGCTTACCAGACGCGTGGCTACGCCGGTGTCACCGCTTGACCTTAGCACGCGGGTCTTCGCGAGTTCATTCGGGATGTTTGGCCTCGATTCGCGGTTTACGCTGTCGCGGCCTAGCGCAATGCGAAGCATCGACCCGACGCCTCCCTCTTGCCGTGGTGATGTTATCGCTGTTGATTCGTTTGGCGCAAAACTTTCACGCTGCTGGTATGAAGCGGGGGACAGAATACCTGGTGGTACCATTGTGGAGAACATATTTGCTGGAGGAGGTCCCACAGAAGGGGTGCCTGGGGCTTGAAGCACAGAAGAGCGAGGAGAGGTATACCCACCAGCTCGAGGAGAGTCCACAGCAGGGTTCGGAGATATCAACGCTCGAGGGACATCACTCTCTGCGACAGAGGTAATTACACGCAGACCCTGTGTTACAGTCTGTCGGCTTCGCCCGTCAACGAGACTCTCCGATGGGGTAAAGTTTCCTGGAGAGCCGCGATTTTGCAGCTCTGCGGGACTCCGAGGAACAATCTGGGGTGTTCCAATCTGTGGTTGTTGGTACTCCTGCCCAGGGATCAAAATATTAAGATCGTCTGGGTTTTGCGACGTCGTAACAATAGGAGGAGGTGCGTGGCGGCCTCCACCGGACGTCCGAACTTGGAACTCGTAGGTCACCAGGCCACCTCGAGAGAGGATTAATGATATACGAGACCCGCTTGTAATCCGAGTGCTGGATCCATGAATCCGGACTCCGTTCACGATCGTGCCGTTCTTGCTGAAATCCTGGAGTTCAAACTGCTCCTCAGTTCCGTCAGCTTCTCGTCGCAAACGACGCAAGTGGAAGTGACGTCCACTAACACTGCGGTCATTCACAATGAGGTCACAAGCATCGGCAGCACGACCGACCCGAATTATTGGCGCCGTCAGTGGGAACGGTGTGTGGTCAATTGCTGAATTCCCAGGAGCACCAGGCGCGTGGCCATGCTCGTTCTCATTGAGTGGGGGTAAAGGCAGTAAGACACCCCAAGCACCGAACGGCAGGTCTCCTTCGCCGGATCTGTCGGAGCGCTGAGTAGCACCGCGCAACCCGTTTGCACCGAAGCCTGCAGGTGCAGAACTTGCAAATGACGGATGGCTAACCTTACGCCGAGGTGATTGGATCGCATCCATTCCCCAGCTTAGCGCGTTTTCGCTTCCCAACTTCTGAACGACTTCGTCCCGCATATCCGCTTCGTACTGATCCAACGCTGAGTCAATCACCTTTTCTGTGCTTAAGAAGACTTGTCGCTGCTTAACACATAGCCACCGTTTCTGAAGAATATTTGACGTTTCAAGCCCCGAGACATCCGACTTGCTTGCCCACGACAGTGACTTCTCTGATGACAGCAGCGAAGCTAGGCTTGACACCAGTTGAGAATCCATACTCATGATCGTCGGGCTTAGGGATGGGATTTGCTTCAGTAAGGAGGACAACGCCTTGGACGATCGCCATCGAAGCTGTTGCTTGTACATTTTCAACCGGCTCCGAAGTACTTCCTGCACTGCGCTGTTCTGAGGTAGATCCAGATCGCAGTTCATACCGCACTCCTCTTCAGCAGAAGATGCGGACAACATTCTCGAAAGTGTCATGATGATGTTTTCAATTTCATCGAACATATCCACAAGAGCCGGAATGCGCTCGACAACCTGAAGTTTTGTGAGCGGGATTGGCTGTGCGCGTGCGTCGGGTTTGATCAGCGGTGATACCGATCCTTCATTGCTAGTCTCGACAACAACATGCGCCAACAGATCAGCCGTGCGCGGGTCCCTTGAAATTCCAGATAATACCCCTAGTTTTGGCGAACCCTGCGTTCTATCGTCTTCGAGCGAAACGGATCCGCCTTCTCTGAAGCCTTCTACATGGCCTCCAACAATACTCACTGCCGCTACAACTGTTGCCAGCCCATCAAGTGCATCCTTTGCTTTTTGCCAGAGCATTAGCGACTGTTTATCTCGGATGGTATTCTCAGTGTCGTCAGCTTGTGCATTGAGATCTGGTGCGTTGTTGATCGATTCGTCCGTTTCAGGTGAAGGTGTAGTCGACTCGGGCTTTCTCAAAGAAGTTGAATCAGGGTCTCGGTTAAATCCACCAAGAACGTCGGTCTGGCGTGCCTCACCATCCGCTTTCTGAACATTCGAGTAGTAAAGGCAAATCGTGTCCAGCAGCTCACCGACGCTGTTTGACTTCGCAAAACCTCGGTTAATCGCGGCGTTGATTGCAACCTTCCACGTCGGATAAAGGGTAAGATACCGCAAAAGTGCCACCACTTCGGCCGCTTTAGCTTCCGCTACATGAGCTTTCTCGAGGGTTGTCTGCTGGATCTGGGCGATTCCGATATCCTTGGTCACGGCAACCCCCTTCAAACATCGAGCCGAATGGCAGAGTGCTGTACTTGAGCACTCTAAGCCGAGCTCATGCGAACAGAGACGCGGACGAAGCAGAAGCGGAAGTCCTACCAACGTCATCAGCATGTTGATGATATCTCCCGAAAACACCGGGGCTGACTGCTGAGATCGATGGATCTTGTTAAGCGCAGACACTGAGTGCTGGGGGAATACCAGCATCCCAAGTCGAATGCATACAGTAGCCGATGCCAAGTCGGGTGAATTCATTCCACTAATAATGTGAGCCATCACCTCCGTGTTAGCTGCAATGATGGAGCCGACATTGGTGTTCGCAGAGCCACACGCAAGTAGAACACTCAGGATCTGATTCCGGTAGAAATGACCATGAAGAGCGTCCGGAGGCACCACCACACCAGCAGTGGGTGAAGGGAGCGTAAGTTTGGCTCCAAAGTAATGTAGGAGCCCAACACACACGCGCTTCAATGAAACGCACGTACCCAACTCGTGAGACGCAGTCGAAGCTAGCATTGTACTTGTGCTTCCACTCACAGCTGCATCGTCTTGCAGCAGTTTCAAGCTTTCCAGCAAAAAGCTGATGAACATGGATAGCACTGGGTTTACACGGTTCCGCCTAGACGACGAGTCATTCCTGCCGTTGTCCCTGGCATCTTGAAGGGACCGATACATGAGAGCACGGGCCATTGCCCAACTAGCTGCATGTAACTTCACAAGAGGCAGTTTGCGCTGGGGGTAGCTGCGCTTGATCTGAAGTGGGGCCCGCTTAACCACCGCAGCATCCGTCATGTGCTTGGAGTCGATCTCTTTCATCAGCGACTCGAACAGCGCATCTGAATTCACAAGACAGCTATTTTCTGGCAGGTCTTTTGCCTGGCTTGCATCGTCCGGTGCACCATCAAGTCCGCAGCCCTCGCCTGAGCGCCCAGTGAGAATGTAGGAGCTGTAAAATCCTGCTGCAATGCGAACAACTTCGTCGTTTGCCAGTGAATTCGATGGAACGGGCAAAGGCAGATCAGCCGATGGGAGTGTCCTTGACCCCGCTCCGAGCTGGCCCTTGTTGTTGCGTCCGAACACCATCACGCGTCCATTTGACATCAAAATGAGAGTGTGGTAGCACCCACAGGATGCAGTCTTGATCTTGGATGACAAAGGTAACGGTACGTACTGGGCACTATTCTTGTGATCCTTGCTTCCAATCCCGAGCTGCCCGTAGTCATTACGACCCCATGTGATAAGCTTGCCTTTCTCGCTGATGGTCACAGTGTGGTAGTACCCACAGCTTACAGCCACGATTTTCTCATCACTCTCTCCTAGCGATGTCTTTACCAGAGTTGGCACCTTCATATTCCGTGCATGCCCTAAGCCCAGCTGCCCGTAGTCGTTCTTTCCAAACGAGTAAACTTCTCCACCACTAGTAATAGCAATTGTATGGTAGAGTCCACACGCCACTTCAGTGATCACTTGGCTCGACAAGGAGTCCACCAATTGCGGGGTGTGTTGGTGTTGCGTGTGATCGAGACCCAATTGTCCGCAATCGTTCATTCCAAACATCAGTAACTCGCCATTGCTTGAAACGACAGCACTGTGGTGGTAGCTTACAGCGGCCGTCGTAATGTGATACTTCTCACGAAGACTATCGATCATTCGAGGTGTGTGGCTCTTCGAAATCGTCGACCCAAGTCCCAACTGTCCCCGGTCGTTGTACCCCCAAGAGTAAACAGCGCCATCTGAAGCCACAGCTAGCATGTGCTCACATCCATTCGCCGCAGCGACCATATTAATGACGATCCCGCTCAATGCGCGAACGGGCGTAGCTATGATCACTCGCTCCTCGAATGTTCCATTGCCACACTGGCCACTTTTGTTCAGTCCGCAAGTGAAAACAGCACCGTCCTTCATCACGACGGCGAGAACTTCATTCCCTCCAGCGATGTCACGAATGGCTTTCGCAGAGAAGAAAGGCACGTGCTCTAACTTGCTCGTTGAGTTGCAGTGCCCCAAGCACAGCTCGCCGTAGTTATTTTGCCCGCACGAGAAGAGTTCACAGTCGTCAAAGCTCGCCACACTAAGCAGTCTTTCGGTCCTACCAGCTTGTCCGGATACTGCTGCACCACCACTGCCGTCACCGACCGTCGTACTTGACGGTTTGGATCGGGTCAAGCCATCGCTGAGGGCAGCCATCTTATCACTCCACGACCTCCTTGGCGGGCACAGTAAGGTATTCCCATCCATCTGCTCCTCCTGAGATTCACTGGACGTGTAGACGTAGTATGCAGAATCTAAGTCACCACGGTTATCGTCGTAACACGCAGCACATAGCTTGATGCTGTCATCGTCGCGCTGGCCGTAATACGCCCCACATAACGGCATTTTCTTGCATTCCTCACAACTGTAGGACGACGTTGTGCTCTCACTGTACGCTGGTCCGTTGTCGCGGTCGAAAATACCACAGAACCCAAGGTATCCGATGTCGATATTTGTGCCTGCCGACGGACAAATTGCTTTAACGATGATGTATCGACCGGTCACGGGGCAAGCCAGCTGCTTGGAAATCTGAGCGCAACTACCGTCCAATACGAAAAATGCAACAGGCTTGGTTTCATCGCGAGGGCAACACCCATTGCATGGAGGGAACGGCAAAGCCGCGAATTCTTCCGCCGTCATGTTATCAAACTCCTGGTAGTCCGCTAGGTCGGGAGGGGTACTGGTGACAAATACGACGGCGGATCGAAGTGGGCTCGAATAACCGGGGCCAGGGCCTCGAATATTGATGTAGCTGATACACATCGGAGTGTCAACTTCGTGCTTCAGCACCAAATTCACGTTTGCACCCTTTGCGGAACTATACACCGTTGTGTCGTCCAGAAGACAGTTACGAGCGGCGTGGGAGCTGCTAAACTCCCCGCCGTCGCATGAATGCACTTGTAGCTGTAAGCTCTTTCCCAGTTGAAGCTCGTTCGACGAAGACATGAGATGATTCTGGAATTTTGTTGCTGGGTAAAACACATGCGGTGGTAGCTCCAGACGAGGACGCGCATGGAAGTTCACATCGTAAACGGTACCGTTGCACAGCGCCGACACTGCCGGATACAATGGCTTTGTGATCATCGAAAGGTTAACGTGATGCACTTCAGGGTCCGAGCGGTCCGAGTACACAGTTACTGTTGCCTTTTCGAAATCAAATAATACTCCGAATATACCCCACTCCAGTATTTCTTCCGTGGTCTTCCATTTGACATCCAGTTTATCGCGTAGTGGAGCGTCAAATTCCGTGAAGTCACTGCCAACAATGCCAAAGCTGAGCGCCGAACGTCCATCTTTTCCAGCTGCAACAATACGGACCTCAACGAAAATGCTTTCAGTTTCAAAGCCATGGCTTGCAACAATAGTCTCGTACTGATCATCGGACGAGCTGCAATCACCGGCGGCCACCGTCATTCCATTTGGCATGAGTTGCAGATGACTCCCCTTGAGCTTACCATTCCAGCTAACCGTTGCTCCATCAAATGGGGCGGCAACCAGTCCCCCAGACACAACTGCGTTAGAGAACTGACAGTTGGAACTGGCACACCAGAGCTTTGACGGAACTGAAGGCGCAAGGTTCCAATGCACATCTGCATCTTTAACTCCGATCGAAGGATAATAACCGCAACCGACCACATCTTTTGAAGGTAGCGTTGCCACATAGCATCTCTTTCCACTATTGTAAAACTCCACTTGCCGCCCCTCACAGCTTAGTAAAACACCGAGAACATCCGCGCGATTCCACCGAACCCCTGCTGATCCAAGCATGTCGCTAGTACAATTTTCGCAGTGGAGGAATACTCCGCAGAGATTGCAATCTCCTGGAGCGTACGTGTTAAGGTCTGTTGTACCAGTGGTGACACCAACAAACACAGGAGTTTCTCCAAAAGAACGTACAGATACTTCCCAATACCAACGGCCCCGGTAGAACGTTTTGTCAAACACCGCGAGCCCACCACAATCCTGAGGTCCGTTCGCGACCCGCGCATTCTCGTCACTTCCGTCGATACTTTTGTGAGTTATCGTAAGTTTGCGAAGGTCCGTGCCAAGAGTAATGTACCGCGAGCAAATAATGTTCGGGTACTTCGATCCCGTGCCAGCCGGAAGTATGGCATACGTCTCAGTGCTGTCCACATCTGTCGATGAGCTATCCGATCCGTCATATTGGATGAAACTCTGCCAGCCTTTCCAACTTGTAAGCTCCGTCAACAACGATACCAAGTTGGTACGTTGCAGGTGTTCCCAATCTTGACCTTTGTATGGTAAGCAGCACGTTTCCAGTACAAGAAGCATGTCGTGTACAGCACGCTGAATGATAGTTGATGACGACCTCATTTCACTAGATCCTGGACCCACTCCCGCTTCGAGGAGCTGCTGTACTCGGCGAAGGTGGCTCGATGATGACTTCAGCAGGAGAGTCAATAGCTGGAAAAATTCCCGCCCAATGGCATCCGATAGCTGAGGTCCAGCAAATTCCAAATCAACGAGATAATGAATCTTGACAATAGAAGCTTGTTCTGTTGGAAGGTTTGCCGCTGCCTTCCCACTACTCATGCGAACACGCTTGAATGCAGATGAAAGCATCGGGATGACGTGGAACCGAGAGCTCGGGATATTCTCGGTGCACTGAAGCATTCGAGCAAACGTCTTAAGCCCTTGTAAGCGCTTTTTCGCCCGTTTCTGATGGACAATCAAGATATCGCGCATGAGGTCCTCTGGGTGTCGATTCGGCATTTCTTCATCCCGAGTTGAAGTAAGCAGATTACTGCTGGACTGCTGAATGAAGGAGAAAATGTCTGCGTGGATCTGCTCGTCTTCTTCTTCCATCACTTCCATTGTTTTCGTCTCCATCAGTTTGTTTAGTTGTCGGGTAAAACGCTTCTGTTCGGGCTCCTCCAACGTAGTGTCAGCAGGCTCGCGCTGAGCAGCCTTCGCAAAGTCTGTGATTCAGTAGCAATGCCCGGTTAGTTCCGTAAGGTTGATAGTATAAAATAGTGAAGCTCACCGTAATTTGTTGCCATCGAGATTCCAGGTAGGATTTTCATCGGAGATGCTGCTGACGGAGCAGTCTGGATCGGAGCCGGTGCTAACTGTAGGAGCAGCAACGCTCTACGAATGATAGGCTCGCATACAGCGTTATAAAGTGCTTGCTGTCTCTCCTTTGCTTCCATGTCTGGTGAAAATCCGCTAGGAGCTCCCACCTCACTACACAAGAACAAGTGAGTTAGAGGGAGTACTATCAGAGTTTCGTACATCTAGGGTCTCTCTACCTGAAGGCTGCAGCCAACTTCTGTTGCTCTCTCACGATCCTGAAGTGAAAACCAACACGTTAGAAAAGGGTAGGGGGGTTAGAAATACAGCCAACAAAAGATAATTACCAGCGACGCAATTGTAGCGCAGCCTTCCAGGCGTCCACAACCGTTTCAGCTAGGGCCCCTTCGTTTGAAATGGGCTCAGTCGTGTACGAGATATTGGTATGCTTCAGAAGCGCTGCAAAAGTCGCACGAACAGCACGATCCACTGCCTCGATCCCACCACTCTTCTCAAGTGTCGCTTCCACGCTATCTTGCCTCTTCAACCTCGCAACACGAAGCTGCGGATTTGCACCGCCTTGGGCCGATCCCGGATCCACAGCATTTCGCACTTTATCCAAGAGTTTTTTGCCGTTCCCAACGTTGTCCACCACTTGAAGCAAAAACTCCTCATTGCGACCAACGTGATTGTTCTCATTTTCTGGCCCAGTCCACATTTCTTCTAGTCCACCCCGGAATAGCGGAGAATGCAACCATCGGTCACTAACAGCAACGTTGTTATCCAATTCACCACCGACAATTAAGGTGGCAGCGTAGTGACTTCCGATCCAGGCTAAAACCTTTTGCAGATCTTTGAGCCACTCGTGGCCTTTTACAGTGGTTTTGTCGGTGCAACGTGGTTTTGGTGAAGCGTGCTGTGTGAGTAGTGACTGCGGTGCTGGAGGCGGTCCTACGTCAATCTCAGCTTTACCAGGTACCGGCAAAGGTCCGTCACTCAAAGGATAGATGTGCTGTGAAAGAATAGTCCGACTAGGGGAGAATGTAACTTTTCGTGGGTCATACTCCAACATACCAGACTCACTTCCAGCCTTTGAAACTTTCACGAGCAATGTCTCCGTCCCAAAGAGCTTCGCGAGATCTAAGGGAATAGTTACCCGACGAATCTCCACGTCCTGTGATACATCCTTAACATTGCAGGACGTGTATCCTTTGAAATGAACGATTTTTTCCCACATGCTTTTGAAGATGTGACCATAAGCAACGGGATGGCCGGTGTGCTGCTGCAGGAGACATATCGCGAGCTCCTTAGACACGGATGCAAGCGCGTTATCCACAAAGTCTGCATCGTTCAAACTGTCCCCCATCGCAGCAGTTGCCTCGAGGCTGACAATCGATGGCTGTAAAACACCACGCTTGCTTAGAACTGCAAGTGTTGAGTGCAGTTTGGATGATAGAACTTCCAGCTGAGACCAGAACGGGTCCATCAAAGCAGGCAATGATTCACGAACGGCAGGTAACGAAAACACGCTCAGCAGTACAAAAGGTAGCAGCTTGCCTGCGAAGCTACGCTGGATGATGACAGGAAGGAGATGGCTCTTCTCGAGGTCCATCGTCTCACATTGGTCTAGACGTTCCGAAACGAAAGTCACCAACTTCGTGCAGATCGATTCGATGATCACCCAGCCTCTACTGGTGGAACACGAACACCAGAATATCGTCGCGCGCAGCATGATGTTGAGGCACTTAAACTCATGGCGCATCTCAATAGCGTCTAAGCGTTTCATGAGATCAGCTGGATCTCGTGACGAACTCTTCACGACGTCATTCGTTTGCTCCCAGAGTCCATCCAGCAGCGTGCTCATGAATGTTATCACAGTTTCGGTAACAACAGCATCCGATGAACCGTCCGCTTTGAACAGCATATCAGGGTCGGTCATGAGTTGGAAAAGCATCTTTGCTGACGTGAAGCCCGGGACAAGCATGGGAATCAATAGTTTCTGTGCTGGAGTCAACTCGGTTTCGGACTTGCACTTGCTCACCAGTAAGCGGTTCATGACCTGCAACTTGTCCATGAGAGAGGGGAACAAAGTTGAAAATCCATAGCAGATTGCCGATGCCGTCTCTTGTTTCACTGCGTGATAAAACCAAAGCGCTTCTCCAGAGAGCGGCAACTTTGACACGTGATCTGCAATTGAAAAGAGAATCTCACGAATTGAACAAAGAACCCCTCCAGGCTGAGATGCTGCAGGCGGTAATCCAATCTCTGATCCGTCCAAGCAACTTCGAGAAAACTGGATAAAAACAGAATGATCACAAACGAGTAAGTAAGCGCAAAGAGATCAAACAAAGTAGCACAAAAATGAGCCTATCAAATTACCTCGAAGAAGTTGAGCTTCAGGAGCTTAATAGCCACAAGCATCGGATACAAAACATGGGTTATCAGCGGTGCACTGGCGTCTTCACGTAATTCATCCAATCCAAAGAAGCGTGACGTTATGTTTTCAAGCAGCAAGTACAAGGCCGAAAACGTCATTTCTTTCGGGTCGATACAGAGAGATCGATACAGACACCGTGAGAGCTGAACCGAGTCTGCATCATCCCCAGGGATATCATTTCCAGCCAAGCGATCGAGATGGGACAGCAAGCATACGGCAGAATCAAAGGCCTCCGCCGCACAGTGCTGGCTCGATCTGCTCGCGGCGCCGCATCTTGCGCGAAGCGTACCAAGTACATGCCCCGCCTTTCCCGTCGTAGAAATGGTTTTAGTCATGTCGAGACTGTATGATCCCGAGGGGTTTGCGGGGCATAACTTTCGGACAGTGCTACAATTTGTCACTTTTCCTTGGATACTAATTCGGCCTCCAAATAGAATCAAGCCGCTACTTTCAGGCGTAGACGACTCGAAATCAGACAGGCTGGGCAGGGCTGTCACTGCTCCCGTTCGGGCAAACAACTCGGCTGAGCAACACCCTTCCATTTCACTCTGGGTATTGACTTCGACTCGGGTCCACTTTTGGGATGTCACCGAGAAGTACCAAAGATCGCACAACAAGGCATTTGACCGGTTCAACCCTCCAAAGATCCAAACATTTCCAAGATCGGAGCACATGCTGTAGTTAACGCGCCCCTCTGGAAGCACTAGTTGATAGTCACTTCTAGAGTTGCCGCTTGCTGTGTCTTTAGCAGCTTCGATGTTATCGTCATGACACAAGTGCCAGAGTCGGTCAAAAGTGTTATACCTCCAGAGATCTGATCTGAACTTTTCTTCACGGTCCTGTCCGCCAAATAGGTATACGCACTCCCCAATGACTGTAGAGGAGCATCCAATTCTAGGGCCAGGATCTAGTGACACCGAACTAGGTAGTCGTGACCAAGCGAAATCATCCAGAGATAGGTACCACGCATCTCCGAGCATTTCGTTCTCGATCGATTTTCCACCGTACATGAACACAATTGTGTCGAGGCGGACACGGATTGTTGTGGCTGTGTGAAATGCACGGGCTTGCGGCATCGATGTTGCTGCGCCAATGGCAGCTTGAATCAATGTCCAGGCTGGGAGCGAGCCATCCGCATTCTTCACGGTAGAACATTTATACAGATCCATGTGCCGCGATGCTGCACAATTGTTCTCGCCACCAAGGACAAGTAGTTGGTCGTCATCGATGGTCACAATTTGGTGATGCCAAATTCCAATCGGGAAATCAGTCCATCTATCCCAGCTTTTTGTTTCTGTATCGTATACCCACACTTGGTTTGTAGGTTCGCTGGGTTGGGTTGCTGGAGCATTATTGACCACCATCCCACCAACAACAAACAGTTTGTTCCCAATCAAGGCTGAGGCGGATCCCTCTAGCGGTGGGGGCTGCACTGGCATTCCTTCTAATGCAACATCCACGGTTGACTGAACAACTGCATTCGATGGAGGCATCGTCACAGCTCGCGAAATGCTCTCGAAGTCGTGCCCGACAGCCGGCGGGTAAGCAAAAGGATGGTGGCCAAGGTTGATGCGGATGATTTCACCACGTTCAAGACTGATACCAGGCATCATTCCTGATCGCTTATCCTCTGCAGAGCACTTGAATTCAGAGTATGCAACGCCCAAGTTGACTCCATTCCGATAAAACGTCATTTCTTGAGTGTTCAAGTCAAGCAGGCAACCAATGATATCACCGGCTCTCCATTTTTCTCCGTACGAAGATGATCCACTGTTCCAGCGGCGTTGGCGGTTGCCGTCGTAGGACCACGAATGAGCATGGTCACCGACGCCCTCCCCTTGGTCCGAGCTCCCCTGGAAGTAGCCGTCAATCCATCCAACTTGAATCAAGCCGCTTGTCACCACTTCTACCTCGTAAAACCACTTGCCTCGGAATAGCGACACGCCAATTGTTGATATTGAGCCGAAGTTGCTTAGCCCCTCAATCTCTCCCGACCGGTCAATGTCGACACGACCGCAGACTGGAACGACACAGCTCTGGTCTAGCATTATGACGTCACCATCATCGTTTTCACGTTTGCGCTCCACAATTAATGACGTGGTATAAAACCCGGCAGCAACATCCACACATCGACGAGAATTTTTCTCCGGACGAACTTTCAGTGGAACTGGGAGCAATGCGTCAGCACTGCCACGGTTGCCAAGCTGTCCCTTGTTATTCCTTCCAAACACGTAAACTTGTCCCTGTTCGGACAGCAGAACTGTGTGGTAGCAACCACAGGTAGCTCGCACCATCCGAGTGTTGGACGACAGAGCGACGACGTTTGGAACATTCTGGTGGACCTTGCTGCCGATGCCTAGCTGCCCATAATCGTTTCTCCCAAATGAAAAGGCCCGGCCACCGGTGCTAACGACAACAGAGTGGTAGTATCCGCATGCAACGAAGCTGACCATCTCGTTCGGAAGCGCAACAAGTGTGGGTAGCTTGATCTGGCGGTTGTGAGCTAAGCCTAGCTGTCCGTAGTCATTCTTCCCGCAAGTAAAGAGTTCCCCTGCGGCCGTACAAATGATTGTATGGTACAACCCACAAGCCACCATGGATACCTCGGTGGCTTCGAGGCTCTTTACCAGTTGCGGTGTCGATTGATGTTGCGTGTGGTCGAGACCTAGTTGTCCACAATCGTTCATTCCGAACGTGTAGAGCTCTCCTGCATCCGTGATCACTGCGCTGTGGTGGTAACTCACGGAGGCGAATCCAAGCTTTTTGTCCTTCAATGACTCGATCAACTTGGGAACGTGAATCTTGGTGGCCAAGTTTTCATGACCCAACTGTCCTCTGTCATTGTATCCCCATGAGTACGCTAGTCCGGTGTCCGTTAGTGCGATCATGTGCTCACACCCGTTACTTGCAGCGATAAACTTCACTCGCTGGGACCGCAGTGCCTGTACAGGACGGAGCATCATCACTCGCTCGTCGAAGTGCCCCTGGCCACACTGGCCGCTTTTGTTCAGTCCGCATGTTAGCACGACACCTTCGTTCGTGAGAACCGCCAGTGTCTCGTTTCCACTAACCACTTGGCGAATGTCGTCCCATCCACAGAGCGAGACGCTGGTGAGCTGATGCCGCTCGATATCATCGCCCGTGCCTAGCTCTCCATACGAGTTCTGTCCACAACTGTAAAGTTCACCGGAGGCTTCGCACTTGCCGTACATAGGTTGCTCTTTGAGCGCAGCAAGTTTTGCGATCGACATCTCCAAGTTCACCGCACTCGTAGGTGGTTGTTTCATTAGCCACAGTACCACAAAGAGCATGGTAGCAAGTGAGCCGCGGGCAAGCCCCACCTCAGCCAATGTCTCGATCGTTCGAGCTCCGATGCGCATTTCGCCTCCAGAATCGTCTTCTTTTACCGGGTAAGCAAGGTCTCCGAGACAGTCACTCAGAAGGTTGAAAGCCGATGACGCGGACGGTGCAAGGTACATGCTGTCCGAGTAGGCGGTGGGCTTGAGGGGCTTCAAGTTGTCCTTCACCATCTGTAATGCCTGTTCGTACTGCTCTGGATTGTTTGTGCGTGTTGCCTTCAGCAGCATGATCACCAGGTCCCAGCCCATGGTCATGCAGTTCTGTGTTGGAAGTGGTAGTGGCGGCGGCGACACCTTGCGCAGCGACATGGCGTGTGCCCTAGCAGCCAGCAGCCGTTGCTCGTAGCGGTACTTCTCCTTCTTCGTCATCTGGTACAGAGTCTGCAGGTTCTTCACGTAGCCCGCCACTCGAGCGTCGAAGATACCGGGCATCGTTTCCACCACGTCCCATTTGCCGTCCTGTGCGTCTTGAGCCGGCAGCCCAGCCAGCTGCGATATGTGCTGGAACAGCTCGTCCACCGAGTCGACGGAGCTCATGAGCTCCTTCAGCTGCTGCTCGGGGCTGCGTGTGTGCAGGCGCCCCGACACTTCGCTCTCTGCATCGAACGGTGATCAGCGTTAGTCGTTTTGTCAATTGGCAATGTACCTCTAAGCTGGAATGGTCACCAGTAAGTAGTACCTTCAGGGAGGTAGCGCAGCGCGGCGCTAAACTCAAGGATCTTGTCCATGGCGTCCTTTGCATCCTCAGCGGCTGCAGACGTCACGGCTACGCCCGAGTCGCCGGCCTTGGGCACGTCGCACAGCGGCACGTAGGGCGCCTGGAGCGGCCGGAGCTGCGCGCGCTCGCCCGGCGGCTGCGTCACCGCGGCCGGAAGCGAGACCTGCTGCCCCATGACCGGGCCTCTTCAAGTTGCTGTTGCTGTTGTATGCCCGCCCGCTCTTGTCTTTCTGGGGCAACTCGACCAGTGCGGAAGATCGATCCATCAAACGGCGGCCGGCGAGCAGTCTGCGACTCTTCGCTGCGTGGATCTTGTGTGGAGCACACGGACGAGATTGGATTGAATAAAAATGCCTGTGCACTAAAACTGGATGGATGTTTTTTTGGCATAAAAATAGGTTTTTGGGTATACGTAGTCAAATTTCGGGCATCCCAAATCTTGGGCGTTACTTCGTGAGAAGTGCAGCTTTTGAGCAACATTTTCGATCGGTGACATTCACTTCTGGAATCATGTTTATCGGAGCGCTTGGTACACGATCATTCGTATCGATAAGCTGCGCGTCAAGATGACTTGCTGTTGGAAAGATGCGGTGACAAAAATTGTAGGAAGCCGCAAGCCACCCGGCCATTATTTTTTGGCAGCGCGTCTTGCGATGAGCTTCCACTCGTCAAGTTATCTTGTTCAAGCTTACACGCTTCTTCCAGCACCTGCACTTCTCGACAAAAAGCCACGCACTACAGTTCTTCAGCCACCAGCACAGATTTTGCTTTGTCATTGAAGATGAAAGCAAATCACAATTTTCGGATACACGTGTGCCGAACGCCGAAAATTGCTGACCCCTTCGGCTTGAACCAAGCGTGGGGGCACTCGTCTCGCCCGCGTGTGTAGTCGCTCGATTCCGCCGCGAAGCAAGCCGCGTCCATCGCCGAATATCTGAGATCGGTTTTCTTGTGGGTTGGCCGGCAGCGAGCGCCTCGCCCTCGCCCCGCAGCAGCGAAGGCTTTGTGCGGGCCGCTCTCTGGAAAACCGAGACATGGTGTCAACCTCCCAGCTGGCTGCGCTGGGTTGATACCAGCCCCAAGTCTCCTTCCGCGCTCACTTGTGTGTTGTGTGAAACTCGGGCATTTACCCCGAGCCCCGCGTTCGTCTCTCTGCCGCCCCAACCAAGCGTTCCTCAGTCCTGAATTCACGTGTCAAGCGCAACCGCAGTAACGATTGTGGAGACAGGTTGGTGACTGCACATGTTTCGCCTTTTGACTACCGCGGCGGCGCCGTGTGCAATGCGCGTTCTCACTGTGATACTTGTTGGTGGGCGCTCGCTTGCTAGGTAGTCGGCCCCCATCTGTCAACACTCGCCACCTGCCTCGAAAGATTTTGGCATTCCTCGGATAGCTTCACTGCAAGGAAGCTCTTGCTAGCTGAGGGGCATCTGTTGGATTTAAGCTGCCCCCTATCAAGCGGAGAAAAGGGAGAGACACAAGCGGGTGTACACGGAGAACGCGGAGGAGGCCATGCCAGTTCAAGTGCAGAGCGACTTGCTTGGCAGAGAGTACCAGCTGCGTAAGTCGGTGCTACACCGAGACGGCCCCGTGAAGCCCCGTAGCAAGCCCGTGACGCCCGACGTCAAACGCAAACCGCTCGTGAAAAGCCGACTGGCCATGGTGGCCAAGAACGAAAGCCTCAAGAAGGCACGCCGCCTCCCGAGCGACGAGACCGTCTTCTACTCGAATATATGGTCGCCTCCAGCGACTGCGCGCGATGATCCTGTCGCCAAGAAGTCGAAACAGCTCGTGGACATCAGCCAGGTAGCGCACGTTCTGACAACCATCGACTACAAGAGCGGCTACGACGGGCCGAGCGACGCCGAGTTCTTCAACATCTGGGCGTCCTTGGAGTCGCAGCAGAACGCCATCGCCGCGAAGACCGCCATGTTGAGCAAGACGCAACAAAGCGCCAGCAACTTGTCCACGCCCATTTCCGAGCACAGCAGCGAGGAGAGTTCGTCAGTGGTTACCTCGTCCGTGTTGAGTCTTGGCCCCCTGCGGATGGATGCCAACACGCTCCGGAAAGAGTTTGCGGCGGACGATTTCTCGAATGTGATGAGCGCGCCGGTGTCAGCGCCCGCGCACAAGAAGGAGAACGTCGTGTTTTCGACCGTGCTGACACGGAACAACGAAGTGGACATGAGCTGGAACTCGCAGTTCTTACTGGGACTGCACGAGCCTGTTCGTCATGCACTGTACGTTATCGACCAGTTCTTGGAGCGCAGCCGCAACTTGACGTCGCCGATGAACTGGAACGTGTCGGAGTTTTTCAGCTGGTTCAAGCTGCACTTCATCGAATTTGTTCGGAACCAGCGTGACGTGAAAATGAAGGTCATTCTACCGCTTGTGGTTATCAAGTTCGTGGAGAAGCGCGATATCGTGGCCTTGTACCAGGCCATTTTCGCGCTTGTGGATGTGATTATCGCGCAGGAAGACGATTTGGTGTTTTCTGCGGCGTCGTCTGCGGACTCTTGGCAAACTCGCTTGGGCATGCTGCAAGACGACATTCGCCGTCTCAACCATTTGCTCTTTAACGTCCTGGGGCTGGAGGAGGAAGCTTTTAAGCCAGCCATTGAGCTCGCGTTTTCGGAGACTGCGTTCCAGAGATATGTGATGCCGCGAGTCTTTCGCGCGACGAAGCCCAAGCGAGTCATGGTGCCTTGGATCGTAGAGCGGAGTCGTGTTTGGGGAGGAACCAAAGTCGCGAAGGCGTATAAGGACGATCTATCGTTCACGGCTCGATTCATGTATGACCACGTGTGGCACCCATACTTCGACACGCACATCGCATCAGCTATGAAGCATTTGGACAATGCGGGTGAAGGCGTGACAGCGAACGGCTCGGAGGAGTCGTGGTTCGGTTGCTCGGTGATGTAACGAGCAACCGAATTTTCATTCAAGCAAGGTAGCAACAATCGTGTCCGCGAAAATTGTTCACCACATGACAACAAGTAAGATGGCTTCGTGGAATACCGGATAGCTACGCTGCCCCTACTATCGACACCGACGGAAGCACCAAGACGTTTTCGTTGAGTATTTAAAGGGGACTATCAATACAACGTCACCCCTCTCCTTTCGCCCGGTCTCCTTTTCCTTTCGTGTATCTAGGACGACCACCCGCAGAATGGACAGAACACTGGAGTGAGGAACTCAAGCTCACGCTTTGCGACAAGAAGCTGCTTTGCCTTCGTCTTGATGTCTTCTGCACACTCCAGGGCTCGTTCATATGCCTTTTCCCTCGCTAGCCTCTGCTTCAGCTCGCTGAGCAGTTGCAACTCCTTCTGAAGTACAGCGATCTTGTCCTCGTTCGCATACTGGAACTGTTTATCACCCTGGGCGACGCGGAAGACGCCACGACACTCTCCGCAAATGCCGTAGTCATCGAGCAGACAGTCACCCTCTTCCTCAGCATCCAGTAGCTCAAGTTGTTGCTGTAGCTGCGACGCGTTGAGCGTAACTTCGTGAAAGCTAATGTCGTCGTGTCCACTGCCCTCGTTGCGCTTGGCCTTCAACCTCAGCAGCGTGATGACTTTTTGTGTATAGTTGACGGCCACCACGACCGACACGGTCTTGGATCCACCTGGGCTGGTGTGCATAACTCTGGATCCTAACAAGATCTAGTATTATAACACGTTAGACATCGATGAGGCAAACGGACATCACTACAACATCGAGGACCTGAACTCCTGGGTCCTCCAAACGCAGCCACTGCAGGCTACGCGGGCGCTGACACGTCCTACAACGCTCCGACATCTCGTTCGAGAGACCTCCATTGCTCGTTGAACATATAACGCACGTCCACAGGCCCACAGTATCGTCGAGCTCGGTCTCGCGGCGGAATGCACCAGCTAGGAGCGTCGCCTGCAACATCAACTTGCAGTTTTCCCCTTCCTGCGACATGGTACGACCTGTTACGAGTCATATCTTGTGTGAAGCATGTGTGCAAGGGCCAGATCATACAAAAGGTAAGGTGTCGACCACCTGCTCAACATCATACGAAACATGCGACTTGGTAGCAGATCGTCCTCAAAAATATCAACGACTGGCGGCGCAATGAGCGAAGTGGCCGAGAGCCACCCCGCCAAGCAGGATGCGACGGCCCTACAGCCCGCCACGGACAGCGAGGGCCACCCCGTACGCGAGTGGATCGACACGTTGCTTCAAGCGGCCGTGATAGCCAAGGATAAGCAGAAGAAACCGGCCGAAGGCGACGACAAGGCGCCAGGAACTGCAACCGACACTTCAGCTGACGCTGGCGCTGACACCGACGCTGGTGCTGACACTGGTGCTGATGCATCCTCAGAGGCGAAGAGCACTCCTGCAACTGATGTAACATCCAATGGCTCGAGCAAGGCGGCTGAAGACAAGGAAAAAGATGCAATGACCTCGGAGGCGAAGGACGAGCCGATGGAACCTGTTGCTGAAACTGCGAAGACTGGGGATGCAGCAGTGGCTACTCCTGCCGGTCCTGCTGCTGCTCCTGCCCCCAAGCGGTACCGCCGCCGCCGTTGTGAAGTGGAAGGTTGCACTAAGTTTGCGCGTTTCAACAACGCGTGCTCGGGCCACGGAGGGAGGCGCCTGTGTGCCGAGGCTGGCTGCGAACGTGTGGCTCAGTTTGGCCACAAGTGCAGCGCACACGGAGGAGTCAAGTTCTGCAGCGTCGAAGGCTGCCATCGCGCAGTGCAGTCTCGTGGTTGCTGCAAAACTCACGGTGGCGGTGTTCGGTGCCAGCACCCAGACTGTACGAAGGGTGCTATTTCAAAAGGGTTCTGTCGAGCGCACGGTGGCGGCTCACGCTGCGCGGAGGAAGGCTGCCAAAAGTGGGCCCAGCGTCACGGCTTCTGCGTGCGCCACTCCAAGTCATCGCCTGGTGCTAAGGCGGTGGTGAGCCAGTCAGCGGCGGAGCCGATGTCTGGTGCAACTGCCCCACCGCTAGACTCTCTGCAATCTACCGCTTCAAGTTAGCACCGCAGTAGTATCAAGTAGCCATGAGAAATTGAGATACTTTAGTACCGGAGTCGCTTGCCGTTTGTGCCGTCATTATGTGAACCACACACACATCGCATAATGAGCTCAATTCACATGGGCAGGGGGGACCCAGTCTGCCTACGAGGCCTCTCGGCTCAATGCGTGGCCCCCGCGCAACTGCCAAACTTCACGCCTGGCTCCGTCCACTCACTCGATTCCTTTGCGACGCATCGAGACACTGGTAAGAGCACTGTTTGGTATACTTGGGTGTTTAATGTTCTCACAGCGTGTGCGTTAGTGGTTGATATTGCTTGCAAAGAGCGATCGAGTGGCTGCTACCATGGCAACGAGAAGGCAAGACAAAGCGTCCAACTCAAGTTTGGCGACTTCATTGACTATTACCAAGCAGCGTTCAGGAACGAGTCACATTGGTTGCAAGAGGTTGACGACCTAGAGTTTTATCTGGCGCAATGCCCCATCGCAGTGCTCAAAGCTGATGCCACCTGCACGAAGGCAAGTCTGCCGGCCATCATGAACGATTTCCGTCTGTAAGTCTGTAAGGTGCTTGCACGTGTGGTCCTATCCGCTACTTCTGAAACTCACGACTTTCTTGTACGACTTTATAGACCCCAGTGTATTGAAGACAAACCGATTTCACAAGTGAACTTGTGGATGACCGTTCAACCGGGTCGAACTACACTGCACTACGACGCGTACCAGAACATTTTGGTCGTCTTGTACGGCAAGAAAACTGTCACGCTTTTTCCTCCATCGGACGCTGCAAAGTTGTACCCCTTTCCGGTGCACACAAAGTCGGCGAATCACAGTCAAGTGAACATTGTGGAACCCGATCTCAAAGCTCACCCACGATTTCGTGAGGCGACGGTCCATCAATTCGAAGTCACAACAGGAGGTGAGTTGGTTGAACTCTTTTCTTACCAAAGAGCTCGATAACTCGTCGACAGTTTAACAAGCTGGAAATGTCTAAACCTTTTATGATCTCCTGTAGACGCAATTGTGATTCCAGAGGGCTGGTGGCACCAGGTGGACTCGGATGCGTTCACTATTGCTGTCAACTATTGGTGGGATGGTGAGCGCGAAAAGCTTGTAGCAGATAAACGCATGGTACCGTATTACGCCCGGGTCATGTTGGAGGAACTAGTTAAGCAGGAGTGCGACTCGCAGCTACATGCCCTGCGATCGTCGCCACAAGCCGGCGATCCCAGCATTCCCGCGGACGAAATCAGCGCAGCAGCAGCAATTATTGCGGAGGAAGCTCAATTTGCGCGCGAGAAAGTGTTTTTATCGTTGGATGATGATATTTTCACGAAGACGCAGCGAATTTTGGCAAGAAGGCACGCTGCGGACTGGAAAGATCTTCTGGCAAATGCTAGCGTGGAATTGGTGGCAGTCTTAACCAATTGCTGGGAGGGTGATAACCTAGAGTGTGATCTGCTGGAAGTGCTGTTTGACGCTCTCGGTGACGACGGCGAGATCATCAAGGAACAATTTCTGACGAAACAGATGAAGTTCCGCCAAGACTGCGCAGCCAAAATGTATCGGTCATTCTTCTGCTAAGTTTCAAGCATGGTTCGACATCAGCAAAATCCGAGAGCCTTGCTATCGCCCCTACTGCAATACCATACAAAGCATCATGCCTGCGTTTGCCGCAAGCATTGACCACGGATAGGCAATAATCAACTCGTGTCATGGATTATTGTGAGGATCATAGGACAGTGCCAGAAGGGCGTAATGATCTCCCCAGATCCACTACCTCTGCATGGAATCCGAATCGACTGGTTTGACCCCACAACTCAATCAGTGTCAGCATGGTGGAAACCAAGCAGCATGCTAAACCGCAATGGAATGTTCAGCCTTCAGACTTCTCCAAACTGTGCACGAACCCGATTCGCAAGATTGTGGACAACATCAAGAAACCCGCGACGTCGACCAAGACCCTGATCCGGCTGTCACTCGGTTGGTGGCCGTATACAGTCTGGTGTCGATTCGCTGATGAACTAACTTAGAAAAATGCCTTGTAGGCGACCCAACGGTGTTCGGCAATTTACATTGCCCCGATGTCCGTGTTAATGCTGTTGTCCGCAACACTCGGTATGATCCGCCATGCTTGTTCATTACTATACAACTTGCTTTCTTATGTGACCCTCGTCTGTTTTACTATAGCTCGATGCAGCACAACGGATATATTCACTGAGGCAGCTCGTACTGCAATTGCTCAGCGCTATGGCAGCACACGAGCTCCATTGACACCCGATGACGTTATTATCACCAGCGGGTGTTCCGGGGCAATTGATATTGCCGTGCGTGGTCTGGTCAACCCTGGCGATAACATTTTACTTCCGAAACCTGGGTTTCCTTTCTACGAGGCATTGTGCCAATCGAACAGGATCGAGTACAGGTTCTACAATCTGAAGGTGAGGGTGATACGCGCACGATAGTCTTTTCATTTGTGTTATTGCATACTGTACTGACGCACGCATTTACGGTTGGCATTCAGCCGGAGAACAAGTGGAGGTCGATTTTGAGCACATGCAATCGTTGATAGACGGCAACACCAAGGCAATTCTCGTGAACAATCCGTCCAATCCCTGTGGTAGTGTGTTCTCAAAGGTAAGGAAACTCGAACGTCCTTCACTTTACTGAAGGCTGCAAACGCTAACATCACCCTTGATGTCGGTAGCCCCACCTAGAAAAAATTCTCGAGCTAGCAGAGCTGAACAAGATTCCTATCATCGCGGTAAGTAGATGATAACTTACGTGTTTGTAACATTACGAGTCTAACCTGTATGCCACTCTCAGGATGAGATCTACGGGGACATGGTATTCGGCTGCAACGTATTTTTCCCCATGGCGACACTGACGAAGACTGTCTCCGTGGTGACTGTGGGTGGGTTGGCCAAGCAGTTCCTGATCCCTGGTTGGAGAGTAGGTTGGGTCATCGTGAACGACCGCAACAACATCTTGGAAGACGTGCGCACAGCCTATCTCAAGCTGTCAAGAAGCACCCTTGGAGCAAACTCACTCGTCCAGGTAACTTGCTTGCATGTGTAGTTCATCGTGGCTTTGCTCACCGCGGAGCTCACCAGTGTCGATTGCCAGAGCGCCATTCCAGACTTGCTGACACCTGTACCCGGCAGCGCCGAGGCGCAGTCGCTGACGGACTTTAAGAAACGGTACTTTGCAACCCTGGAGGATAACGCCAACTTCACCGTCGACGCTATCAGTGAGATCCCGGGTCTCGAAGTGGTGGTGCCTCAGGGTGCGATGTACGCGATGGTACGTACGAACAGCACACCGCACCAAAAACAAAGTATCTTGCACTAACATCTCGCCCTGGCCTATTGCAGGTGAAGCTGCACGTCGACATACTGGCGGAGATCAAGGACGACTTGGACTTCACGCAGAAACTGCTGGACGAGGAGGCTGTCTTCGTGCTGCCCGGTCAGGTACTTGATCCTCTGAACTTGTTGGTTGCACTTCGGCAGAACAACCTCTGAAACTAATCGACTCTCCTGCTCTGCGTGTTCCGTCCCGCCTGCAGTGCTTTGGAATGCACAACTACTTCCGCATCGTGCTCTCGGCTCCGCACGAGGTACTGGTGGACGCCTTCGCACGCCTCGCTGACTTCTGCCGACGCCACCAGTACACTGAATGAAGCAAGTGTGGGTGTGGATCAGTTGACGGACCAAACTTGATTTTCCTCTAAGTGAAATGTTGCGTTAAAAAAATCATTTCCGATCATTAATGGCCAATGAGAGCTCATGAATCAATGTCTCCCTACACATCGCACGCCTGTTCCAAAACGCGGTTAACTCTGTCTATTGATTGATGAAGAGTATCTGTTTTCATGATTAATGAGCAGAGATTCTGTCGGCAGACTCTTATAGCTGATACAATATCACTCTCGACATACCTCCATATCGTTATGGGTGCACCAGCTGTTGCCCGCGTAGAAAATCCGCTCGAAAAATTATTCTGTTCGCGGCGGGAGGAAAAAAGGGAGAGGCTCATAGTGAAAAGCGGAGCCGACCGACCGCGACTCGCCTGCCTGGGACGCCATGACTGGACGGAGCTCGCTGCTGCTGCTGGCCGTGCTGGCCGTCGCCGCGCTGCAGCACATGGCGGCCGCGGCCGTGGACGGCGTGATCATCGTGCGCGGCAACAAGCTCTACAACGCCAAGACGGGCGAGCGCTTCTTCATCAAAGGGGTGCGTTCGAACGGCGCTACAAGGATCGGAAGGAGCCGCCGCTAACAGCAAAGCACGGTTTGATTGAATAATATTTGGTTCTAATATTTATTTTGTATGTGCCATACAGCTGACCTACGAGTACGCCGTGAGCGACGACTACTACGACAAGTACTCGAAGGCCGCCATCGAGGAAAACCTCTCGGGGCTCAAGTACAACACGCTGCGTCTGTACAACATCAACCCGACGTCCTCGTACAAGAAATTCATGACTGACATGGCGGCGCTCGGCGTGTACGTGCTGGTGTCGGCCTCGCCCGATAACGACGCCTACTACGGCAAGTATCGCTACTCGACCATCACCAAGAAGCTCAGCTGCTCGGGTAAGGTGTCGTCCGGCGACGGCGCCAAGACGGTGGACCAGACGGAGACCTGCTACCCAGCGCTGCTGCTGGAGTACGGCAAGAAGATCATCCAGAACTTTGCGCAATACGACAACACACTGGGCGTTGTCGTGGCAAACGAAATCATGCAGGCAGACCTGACCGCTGGCTCCTGTGTGAAGGCCTACGTGGCGGACTTAAAGAACTGGATGACGGTCAACGGCAAGAAGATTCGTATTCTGCCGCTTGCCTACGCCGCTGCCGACAGTAGTAACGATGAGATTTCCAACGCCGACGACTACCACGTGATGAAGGTCCAGGGACTTCTCTGCGGAGACAAGATGACCAACGGAATGATGACGGAGAGTATCGATATCTACCTGATTAACGAATACCGTTGGTGCCCGGACTCGACGTTCGCGGAGGCGTACCAGCGTTACATTAACATGGCCCAGGGCATTCCCATCGTCGTGGCCTTTGGCGAGTACGGCTGCAAAACGTCTTCAGCAACTCCACGTGACTGGAAAATGGTTCCCTATATGTACCAAGAGCCTTCGAAGACAGAGGAGTTTACCGCGGTTTGGTCAGGAGGTCTCGCATACTCGTATGGTGAAGCCAAACTTGCGACGGACTCGCTTTTCCCGATGTTCAAAGGTATGTCACCTATGCAACGCTAACTGCACCGCCTTGTTGGACTGATGAACTAACAGCTGCACTCCACTTGTAGGTGGCAGCACTGATTTCTTGAGCACGCCCAGTTCGAAGGCCACGACGGATTACACGAACCTCAAGGCTATGTTTGCAAAGTACTCAGGGTACACGGACGATGCCGAGTGGACTGACAGCACCAAGTGCTCATGGAAACCTACCTTGGAGACCAAGACGCAGTCAACCAACAAGCATGCAACGCAGAACGGCTGGATCGTGAGCAGTTGCTCGGCCAGTTACCTGAAAATCTCTAGCTCAGATTCGTGGACGTGCTCCAGCCGTGAAGGCGTTGTCTGCACGGACGACGGTGATACATGTGATGTCACGTTGAGCAGCAGCGTCGGTACGACGCAGGAGGACATTTGCGGCACCTACGAGGTTACAAGTGGCGGCGGGACTTGCGAGAGCACGTCCGACTGCGGTGGCAACGGCCAGTGCAAGGAGTCGAACGGTACCAAGTCCTGCAGCTGCTTGGCTTGTTACACGGGTGCCGACTGCAGCGTTAAGGATATTAGCTCGTGCGCGACGCTGAGCAGTTCGGAGTCGGCACCCGGGACGATTTTCGTGGGCGTCGGCGCGTTCCTGGCGGTAATGGCGGTAGTCTTTATCGCCCTCGGTGTTGCGGCGGCAAAGAAGAAAGCTGGTACGTGTCTTGGCCGGCGTATTGCTTCTCTGCGTTCGAACACTCATCTCACTGACTCTTGCTGGTGCTTGTGGTATGTTTGGCAGAAACGGACAGGTTGGCTCAGCAGGTGAAGGCTGGCGGCAACACTCAAGCTGCTCTGTAGATGCGCTAGATCCGCTATATTGTAGTGAGCTCAGCGACTACGAGAACTGCGCTTGCATCCATTGAATAACACTTCCATGATATGACACGAATCAGAGCGACTTCCCTATCGATCCATGAAGCCATGTGCTTCACTGCGAGGTCAAGGGCTATGCGATTAACTGCCAATGAAAAAAGAGGTTAACCCTCAAATCCGCACCAGAGCACGAGCGCCATTGCTTCATTTCATTTCACGTCTACCAGCAGCGAGAGCCACGCACCACCCCGTTACCATGCCGCCGAAGGGAAAGAAGGCCGAAGAGGTCGGTGCCTCTAGCTGCATGCGCCTTGCCCTCTCTGTATCTAACCCCTACTATCTGTCTGTTCTTTCCCTCCTCCCTGCAGCCCACGCGCACGTACCTGGGCCGCCCCGGTAACAACGTCAAGATCGGCATTGTCGGCGTCCCCAACGTGGGCAAGAGTACGTTCTTCAACTGCCTGTCGAAGCTCCACATCCCCGCCGAGAACTTCCCCTTCTGCACCATCGACCCCAATGACGCCGTGGTGCCGCTGCCCGACCAGCGCTTCAACTGGCTCGTGGACAAGTACCAGCCCGCCAGCGTCGTGCCGCCCGTCATCTCCATCACGGACATCGCCGGCCTCGTGCGCGGTGCCGCCGAGGGCGCCGGTCTGGGCAATGCCTTCCTGTCGCACATCCAGGCCGTGGACGCCATCTACCACATGGTGCGCGCCTTCGACTCGACCGAGGTGACCCACGTGGAGGGCAACGTGGACCCCGTGCGTGACATGAAGATCATCCAGGAGGAGCTGCGTCTCAAGGACATTGAGCGCATCACCAAGGAGTGCGCCAGCGTCAAGAAGCTCGCGGAGCGCGGCGTCGGCGGCAAGGAGAAGAAGCTCGAGTATGAGGCTCTGTGCAAGATCCAGGAGTGGCTCGAGTCGGGCAAGGACGTGTCCTTCGGCACGTGGTCGGCCCAGGAGGTTGAGATCCTCAACCAGATGCAGCTGCTGACGGCCAAGCCCGTGGTTTACCTCATCAACGTGAGCAAGCGCGACTACCTGCGCAAGGGCAACAAGTACCTGCCCAAGATCGCCGAGTTCATCAAGGAGCGCGGCGGCAACGAGCCCGTCATCCCGCTCAGCTGCGAGTTCGAGCTCGAGATGCTGGACCTCGAGGCCGCGGGTCAGCTGCAGACGTACTACAAGGAGAACCCGACGCACAAGTCCATCCTCAACCGTGTGCTCAAGATGGGTTACTCGGCTCTTGGCCTGATCCACTTCTTCACGGCCGGCAAGGACGAGGTGCGTGGCTGGACGATCCGCAAGGGCCGGCTGGCACCCCAGGCTGCCGGTGTCATCCACACGGACTTCGAGAAGGGCTTCATCATGGCCGAAGTCCAGGCGTTCGCTGACCTGAAAGAGCGTAAGTTTACCTATTTATGCCTGCGATGTGTCATTAGGGGCTGTTGCTGTTGTGCATTGCTCAAGGATTCTAACGTTGTTGTTTTTACGATGTTATAGTGGGCTCGGAGGAGGCCGTCAAGAAGGCCGGCAAGCTCAAGCAGCAGGGCAAGAAGTACGAGGTCCAGGACGGCGACATTATTTTCTTCAAGTTCAACAACTAAGTGGGTAACGTGCTGCCACTGGTGTTGAGTGAGACGAACAAGTGCGGGTCTCCTGCTCCAGCAATGCCCTGGGTATTGTGAGGCCTTGTTCCAGGTGATGTCTTCGCGTCTAGAGTATGCAGAATGAAGAGCGGATTGCTGCAGAGCATCCCGCACTGAAATAAAAGCATGCGCTTTGAGCACAAAATGGAACTTCACGAAGCGCAGTGGTGGGGCTTGTGTTTGGATCTGCAGCTTGCAGGTTTTTCAAAGAGCTATCGAAACGGACGATATCTACTTGACCGGTCGCGACTTTTTGAATGCCGCCCGGTCGCGACGTGTTTGTTGCCACTTGCGTCGGTATATCTGCAAAGCAGCCGCGGACGGAGAAGCGGTCGGGTACAAAAGGTTGTCGGTGGGCAAGGAACTCCTCTTCTATCAGCAAACTCTACGATAGGCATACCCCACTGAGGGTAAAGCCAGAATGGTGCGTTCACAGATACCCCCACTTGATGCGTCATTCCGAAGTTGAAGAGGTTTATCCAATATGTGTTTGCATTTGGGCAGCCGATCGGGTATGGATGCGAGCCAGAGCTGGTGTGGCTTGCGCCGAAGCAGAATGGCGAGATCCCAATCAAGCGATCTGGTCACTCTTTCACTCTGAGGAGCTCCGAGTCAGAGACCGCAATCTACATGTTCGGCGGGTGTGACCACAAGTCGCCCCCAGGACCGACCAACGAACTTTACAGGCTGGACGTCTCAAATGGTAAGCTTCGCACCACCATCCCAACTAGAAACTCTACTTAACGACGTCAAAACTATGGCAGGCTACACTTGGTCCAAGATAGCAAGCTCTCAGAGTGAAGACGACGTCCCAGCGCCTCGTTGGAGACACTCAGCTATCCTGTTCGAGAAGAACATCATCATCTTTGGAGGTTTCGCGGCTGAGAAGCGAATGAACGACCTCTGGATCTTCAACACCGAATTGAAGGTGTGGGAGCAGAAGTATGCTCAGGGGTTCTGGGAGGGTCTACCGCAGTGCCGCGGTGCACATAGCGCTACGCTTGTCGAGGAGAAAATGTACGTGTTCGGTGGCTACGGTGGCAACGGCTTCGGACGTACCGACTTCAACGACCTTCATGCTTTGGACTTGCACTCCTTTAAGTGGCAAGAAATTCAAACCGACGGCGAGAAGCCTGAGCCACGCTCAGGTCACCAGACGTGCCTGGTTAAGGAACAGTTGCTGATCATTGGAGGCTGGAACAGCTTCAAGCAGTTTCAAGACATCTTCGTTTTCGACTTACCTACCAAGACGTGGAGCTTGTTGAGCACCCCACTGCACGCGCCTATCTGGAACCACACGTGCGTTAGTGTGGCGGCTGTGCCCCACTGGAAAGTTTTCCTCTTCGGTGGTAATAGCGGGGATCTTGCAGAGTCAGGGACAGCGCAAGGAGCATACCTAAACAGCACAACTGTGCTAGATACAGGTGCCATGGTGTGGCTAAATCCGCCCGTAAAGGGAGAGCTTCCGAAGGCGCGCGCGGATACTGCAATGGTGTTTGACTCGAATACCAACCACTTGATCTTCTTTGGGGGGTGGGCGAATCGCTGGTACAATGACCTGCACGTGCTAAACGCAAGCGAAATCGTCGGACCGCCGTACTCCATTTCGTCGATCGAACCGAAGCAAGGACCGATCACGGGTAACGCAAAAGTGAAAATTACTGGATTCAACTTCACCGGCACAAACGCAACGCTGCGTTTTGCAGTTGCGAAGGGCTCTGTTGACGTCCAAGGAGCTGTTCTGAGTCCTAGCGTCCTTCAAGCTACAGCTCCGAGCTTCGAGAAATTCGGTGCAATGACTTCCGAGGTTCGCGTCTCACTATCCGGAGGAATGTATACGAACGTCGCGACATCCTTCCGATTCCACTCGGTTACTGCAGCACCAAAGTCTCTAGCGTTCGGACCCTGTTTGATCGCAGCTCTCAGTGACAACTGTCTAGCTGAGCTGCCGACAATGTTCATCATCCAGTCTCGAGACAAAGACGACAATCCTCGCGACTGCGGCGGTGACGAGTTCACTTTTTTGCTGAAGTATTGTGATGATCCGCAGGCTGAAGTGGAGCAGGTTGGATCCATCCTTGACAAGAATGATGGCACTTACGTGGTGACATTCACCCCCTCTCGAGCGGGCAAGTACGAGATATCAGTGGACTTCACGGGCACGTTCAATGGCATCGCAGGGCCTATCCGTGGGTCGCCCTTTACGGCGGTTTTCCAGCCTCCGAATGACGAGAACAAGACGAAGTGTCTACCCCCGCTTGCGACCCAGAAGGACTTCGATTCGCCTGAGCTGATTCGGCGAGTGATGGCGACAATGAATAAACGAAACGGAGAGTTCCGACGCCTTCTTGTTGACCTGCGGAAGGACATTCCGAACAACGATACCGAAGGACTTGATACTCTGCGGAAGGTGAAAGAAATTATTCGCAAGCTGGAGACGGACAAGGCGACAAACCATTTGATCCTAGACCAAGTTCGGCAATTGTTTTTCAACATCAAGAAGAGTGGTGGCCACGTCGATAAAGAACTGGTCGAAATCGAGAACATGGAGAAGCTTTTCGTCGACGTTGAGAAGCAAATCCCAGTGACGGAGAAGAGGACCCAGGAGCCGACGCGGATATTCAGCGAGAAGACCGAGGAGAAGATCATCGCGTACGAAAAGATGATTGCTCAGAAAGTCGAGACGCTCAAAACCCTCGACTTCTGGTCGTCGAAGTTGGAGCCTGACAAGGGTCTTGAGAAGATTGAGAGTTACCTTGTCGACTGGAATATGGAGATGAAGAAGTGCGAGGAAAATACGAAGCTGTGCTCCATCTTTGGGTTCCCGCAGCTGATGAATGAATCGCTTCGTATGATGGGACTGATGAGGGCGGATGCAGACGCGATGAAGACTGTGTGGGCCATCATCAAGCGTGCCAAATCATTTTTCACAGCAACTCAGGACATTTTGTTCAAGGAAGTGGATGTGAATGCTTTGCAAATTGAAGTGCAGTCCGCGTTGAAAGAGCTGAAGAAGATCCCCAAGGGGATTCAATGGAGCGATGCGTACACCTCCATCCTGAAGGAATGCCAAGCATTTGACAAGACGCACCCACTGATTCGGTGTGTGTCATCGAGCTACATGCGCCCTAGGCACTGGAAGCGAATCATGGCCCACACAGGAGAGTTCTCCACTCCGGATGAAGATCCAGAGCAGCGGCTTTCTCTAATTCTCAGCAAAAATCTCTTCAACTTCAGCTCGGACATTAACGAAATCTGCTACGAAGCCGAAAAGGAACAAGAGCTGGAGCTTCGTTTGATCGAGCTCGAGGCCCTGTGGGCTGAGGTGAACTGGGAAATGTCCCCTTACAACCCAGGCGCTGCCGAAGAAGATGTTGTGCCTCTTCTCAAGGTTTCGGAAGAAAACTTCGAGCTTCTCGAGACTCATCAGATTGACGTACAAGGTATGAGTGCATCGCCGTACCAGTCCGAGTTTGAGCCTCGTGTTGCGAAGCTCCAGATCGGCCTTTCGTCCATCAACGAAGTCGTGCTCTTGCTTGGCGACATTCAGAGATCTTGGAGTTACTTGGAGCCGCTTTTCATTCAGTCCGAAGAGGTGAAGAAGCAATTGCCCGAGCTAACGTCAGACTTCGAAGACATTGACCGCGAGGTTCGCCAAATCCTCAAGACGGCATGGAAGACTCTGAACGTTCAGCAAGCATGTACGGAGCCGGGTCTTATCAAGCGTCTTGAGGTGATCGTGGAAAAGCTGGAGTTGTGTAAGCACCGCCTGAAAGAATTTCTCGACGGGCGTCGCCGCCAGTTCCCACGTTTCTACTTCATGTCCGAGGCCGACTTGCTGGATATCCTGTCGAATGGGTCTCACCCGGATCGGATCATGCCGCACTGCTCCAAAATTTACCTGGCAACCAAGACGCTCACCTTGGTGGATCGTGGACCAGGAGAGCGGCCCGTTGCTACGTCTTTTGTGGCTGGAGTAGGTCATGAAGTCGTTGACTTCTTTGAGCCTCCTGTGCTGGAGGGAGAGGCTGAAATTTATCTGGAGACTATCATGCGCGCAATGAGGCTGACGCTGTTCAAGCACATTGAGCGATCTCTCGTAGCATACACCGAAATGCCACGTGTGGACTGGATCAACTTTAAAGACGACACGAACAAACCCATGGACGCAGCGCAGATCATCCTACTCGCAGCTGGAGTACACTATGTTCAGGAAGTCGAGCGTGCATTCCGTGGCATCCAGGGAGGCGATAAGGATGCTCTGAAGAACTACAACAAGATGCAGGAAAAGCAACTAGAAGACTTGATCAAGCTGACGCAAAGCAACATTTCCTATGCCGAGCGTCAGCGTGTGATGGTGCTCATCACGATGGACGCCCACGGTCGAGATATCGTGGCCAACATGATTCGTGCTGGGGTGGAGGAGGCTACTCATTTCCAGTGGCAGTCTCAACTAAAGCACTACTTCTCACCTGCAGCAGGAAGTTTCCTCAAGCGTGACAGTACCTTCCGTGGGGCAAACAACGCGCGCGCTCAGATTCTCATTTGTGACGCGGGTATTCCGTACGACTACGAATATCTTGGAAATGGCCCCAGACTTGTGATTACCCCATTGACCGATCGAATTTACGTGACGGCGACGCAGGCTCTGAACCTTCAAATGGGATGCGCTCCTGCCGGTCCAGCAGGAACAGGAAAGACGGAGACAACCAAGGATCTGGCAAACGCACTGGGCAAAGTTTGCTACGTGTTCAACTGTTCGCCTGAGATGGACTTCAAGAGTCTAGGCAACATTTTCAAGGGACTTGCCTCCTCTGGCTCATGGGGCTGCTTCGACGAGTTCAACCGCCTTGTGCCAGAGGTGCTGTCTGTGTGTTCTGTTCAGTTTAAGGCTGTGTGCGATGCATGCAAAGCTGACGACGAGAGGTTTATCCTCGAAAACGACGAGGTCATGCTGGACCCGACGGTGGGTGCGTTCATCACAATGAACCCTGGTTACCTGGGACGCTCCGAGTTGCCTGAAGGCTTGAAGGCGCTGTTCCGCCCCATGACTGTCATGGTGCCCGATCTTGTGTTGATTTGTGAGAACATGCTGATGGCAGAAGGATTTACGCAGGCCAAGATCTTGGCGTCGAAGTTCTATGGCTTGTACTCATTGCTCGGACAGCTTTTGTCTAAGCAGCTTCACTACGATTGGGGTCTTCGAGCTGTGAAGAGTGTGCTGTGCGTCGCTGGTGCATTCAAGCGTGCAGAGCCTGACATCCCCGAAACCGACTTGCTCATGCGCGCATTGCGAGACTTCAATATCCCAAAAATCGTGGCAGAAGACATGGTGGTTTTCTTTGGTCTACTGGGAGATTTATTCCCGCGCGACAGCCCGAATGTAGACGTACGCAACGATCCTCCGCGCAAGCGTGACATGGAACTCGAATCCATGGTGCAAGGAGCTTCGGAAGCCATCGGCAACACGCCTCGTCCGGAGTTCATGCTCAAGGTTGTGCAGTTGTCCGAGCTATTGGCTATTCGTCACTGCGTCTTCGTGATGGGACCACCTGCGTCGGGGAAAACAGAGACTTGGAAGACATTAAAGAAGGCGCGTGAAATCATGGGAACGCCTATGGAAGTGCAAGACTTGAACCCCAAGTCTGTGAGCACGAACGAACTGTACGGGTACATTGTGCTGAAGACACGTGAATGGAAGGACGGCTTGCTTTCACGCATCATGCGTGACTTGGGCTCCCGGCGCCGCGACAATGGCGACGAGGATAACAACCCCAAATGGATTATCTTGGATGGCGATCTTGATGCGAACTGGATCGAGTCAATGAACTCCGTCATGGACGATAACAGAATGCTAACGCTGGCTTCGAACGAGCGTATCCCGCTGAAGGTTCACATGCGCATGATCTTTGAGATCCGCGATCTCGTCTACGCTACTCCGGCAACCGTCTCGCGAGCAGGTATCCTGTACATTTCGACGTCGGAAGGCTACCAGTGGCGCTGTTTGATTGATAGTTGGCTGGATCGACACTGCCAGCAGCCTGTTGACCATCGCTTGAGGAACATGATGTTCACTCCAGACACGCGTGCGAAATTTCAGGGTCTGTTCGACCAGTACGTCGAGACGACACTCAGGTTCTTCCGCAAGAAGCTCGTTCCTGTTGTACCAGTGGAGGAGACGACACTTGTGACGAACTTGCTCAACATGATCGACTGCTTGCTGACCCCTCAAGTGCTGGAAGACTACACGGTGATGCAGAATACATTCGTTTTCTGCTGCGTATGGTCCTTCGGCTCCATCCTCACAATGAGTGACGATGGCACAGACTACTCGGCAGAGTTTAGCAACTGGTGGAAGAACCAGTGGAAGGATGTGAAGCTGGTGGCGTCGGCGAGCAACACTGTGTTTGATTTCTGGCTAGATCCAGAGACGTCCAAGTTCAATTCTTGGTCTAAGAGCCCGTACTTCTACACCGAGACGTATGTCTCTCCGAGCCCGATCAACCAGATCACTGTGCCTACGACTGAGACGGCATCGATTGCATTCTGGCTGGAGAACCTCATCTCCAAGAGTGTTCCAGTGATGGTATGCGGACCTGCAGGTACCGGTAAGACGCAGAATATCATGGGCATGCTGAAAAAGCTCAGCAAGGACGAGGCGACGGCTGCATTCCGCTACTGCACCATCAACTTCAACTTCTACACCACGAGTGCGATCTTGCAGCAGACCATGTTTGGCCAACTGGAGCGCAAGACGGGTATCAACCTTGGTCCACCAGGCAAAGCCCGACTCATCTACTTCATGGACGATCTGAATCTGCCAGAAGTGGACCCTTACAACACACAAAGCGCTATCTCGCTGCTACGACAGGTGATGGAGTACCGACATTGGTTCGACCGCGTGAAGCTCCAGCCTCAGAATATCCTGAATACTCAAGTGGTATCTGGTATGAATCCCACGGCAGGCTCGTTCCTCGTCGACCCACGCCTTCAGCGCCACTTCTGTACATTCGCTATGGGCATGCCCGAAGCACCAAGTTTGGTCACAATCTACGAGACTTTCCTTGGTGGACATTTGTCAGGATTTGCCGATGAGCTATGCAACTCGCAGTTCTCCAACGCGCTGATCAAGGCAGCGCTGAGT